CTTGTTCTTGTTCTTGTTCTTGTTCTTGTTCTTGTTCTTGTTCTTGTTCTTGTTCTTGTTCTTGTTCTTGTTCTTGTTCTTGTTCTTGTTCTTGTACTTGTTCTTGTTGGGAATGGAATGGAATGGAATGGAATAACCCTACAACGGGGAGGTATGGGTGATATTGGCGATAAGATGCTCCACCCACGCGACCCGACACCGACGCCGTCGCCGAGAGGAACTCGAACTCGAACTCGAACTTGATGCTGAAGGAGGCTGGCCTCACTAACCTAATCTACATGCAACGTTAACGACATGAAATACAGAATACAGAATGCAGAATGCAGGATGCAGGATGCAACTGGCTAAGGCTAAATGAACAATGGATAAAGTGAAAACAAAAAGAAAAGCAAAACCCAACCCCCTAACCCCTAACAAGCTATGGATGTAATTGACCAAAAGGGACTGACTGACTACCAATACAACACAGGCTGCTTCTAAGCTCTAACAACAAGGGAATAATCTAACAACAAGGGAATAAAGGAAAGGAAAGGAAACGAGCCGACAACCAAGCCAGAGACCAGCGTTGACTGCTTGATGCCCGCTGGAGTTAAGCTGTACAAGTCACTTGTAGATTGGAAAATAAGAGACCATCCACCCCGAAAAAATCGACGATAGGAAATGAGACGAGACGAGACGAGACGATCTGGCCCACCGCCGTCCCTTCACACCATGTCACCTACATCACGCCCATCACCGTGATGCTCATCTGCAGGATGGATAGTCGGACCTGGACCGCCGAGACTGACGGTGCGAGACCTCAGCACCGGCATGCCATCTCGCGTGGGCGGGGCGGTGCCGGCATGAAAGCTGGGACGACGTTTGTGCGCGTCTTCCTCCTCGGCCCAGGCCAGACTCTCGTCGGGCAGGAGGATGGCGCGGTCGATGCTGACGGGGAGGCCGCGGTGTCGGCCGCGCAGCATGACGGCGCACAGTACCAGTTTGCTGGCGGTGTGCCAGGTGCCACAGAACGAGTAGGCGTTCCACGGCACACCGGTGGAGATGCCGACGCAGCCGTAGGCGGAGGTGACTTCGAAAATGATGTTGAAGGTGGAAAATACCACCGGGTCGCGCTCGAACTGGCCCGTCTCGATGGCCGTGATGATGAAGACGGCCAGTGCCACCCACCACAGATCATGGCCCAATTGGCCGCGGAGCTGTTGACGCACGAAATCTTGCCGGGTCCACGACGGCGACGGCGACGACGACGACGACGATGTTGGGGCGTGCATAATGGTCATGGTCATGGTTTGCCTCAGCCCGTGCAGAAGCTTGTTGCGGCGCGGGTCGGCTTTCTCATTGTGGTCGTGGTCGTGGCCGTAGACGGGCCGGCCACTGTCGCCTGCTCGGGTGGGCGGCGGCGGCGGCGGTAGCTCTTCGGCGTACAGGCCCAAGGACCGTTCCTCGTAGACGTTGGTGTTGCGGATGGTCATGGTGATGGGAAACGCGCTGATATACCTGAGAAAGGAGGGAGGTCAGCTGTGGGGCGTAGAACTGATTTCAAATGCTACAGATAGTACTACGACAACCGTTGGTTGGTAGCCGGCGGACCAGAGTCTGGGCTCCAGTTGATATTCTAGTAACTGGCTCGGTCCGAACTGGAAGGATGGAAGGATGGATGGATGTTCCGTGATACTTACATCATCAAAACATACAGCACCAACAGACCAGACCGCAGTCCGGAGATGTTGACGACGTAGAATCCACCGCTCCGGACGGCAAAGGCTTGGAACAGGCCGTCCAGAACGCGATAATGCGGAGGAATCGACTGGGTGGTGGGATTGCCAATGTTCAACAGCTCAAAGGCCATCCAGTCGATGCCGTTGAGCATGAAGACGGCGCAAACCAGCCACCAGGTCTGCGCGCTCGGGAACAAGTTGGTATAGACCCGTCGTGGATGGTCGAGACAGAAATTCAAGGTGCGACGACGCACCTGCCACTGTGGCGAGTCCCAGCGTCGGGGGATGAGCTTCTTCATGGTCCACAGGATCAGCCTCAGGAACGGCGGGAAACAGGTATTGCCCGCCAGGATGAGGAGACTCAGGGTGAGCAGGACATAGTAGCTCGTCTGGAGGGCGGTTGCATTTGCATCCAACAACGCCATGCCCGAGTTGTTGAAGGCGGAAATGGCGTAGAAGGCCCCGGTCCAGAACGGGTCAAGTCCTGTTTTTGCATCATTAAGTGTCGTGCTGCCGGACGTGTAGACGTACGACCGTAGTAGTAGTCCACCCGGTAGGGAGTGGGGGTTCCTTACCGTTCCTCAACGCTATTCCGGGCCGGTTGAGCTTGATCCAGGCCCCGACCCCCACAGCCCCCAGGAGTTGGAAGAGCACAAAGTAGAGAGGCACCACCCATGAGAGCAGGCAGATGGCATCATACTCGATCCCTCCCAGTTTCTTCCTTTCCTTGTCGCTGAGATGATGGAACTGACTGTTTCGCCCCAGATAGCCGTTGACCGTATCGAGATATTTGTTGATCGGATTGCGGCGCCGGGCAGCCAAGTCCTCGTCGTGGTCACCCTCGACCATGATTCCGACTCCATCGGTGGACGCATGGTGGTCGACAGGCCGCGCGTTTCGAGGATGCCTGTCAAGCCCGACCGCACCCACCCCGTGGCCTTCGAGGAAACTCGATCGATGACGCCTGATGGGACGAAGGATATGGTCGCCGTGGTCGCCGGCGGGAAGGTCGGTGGGAAATCGGATGTGAAGGTTCGGCTCTAGATTCCTGTCTTGGTCCACTCCGCTCGCGCACTTTGACCTCTCCATCTCCAGTGCTTCGCCAGACGCTGACCGACGGCGGTCCATTGAGTCGAGGTCCTTGTGCTCGTCAATTCCGTGGCGATTGGGGATGGCACGGCCACGGACTGCTCCGGAGGCGACAGCGGCCTCATGATCGGGACCAAACGTGTTTGCTTTGCGTCTGGAAAAGGAGAAGCTGAGCGAGCGAGGCCGCTGGAGCCGTTTCCGTCGTCGGGCTGCGAGTTCGGCGAGCTTCTTTTCAAAGGCACGCTTTCGGATGTGCAGAATGGCGATGGACACCCAGATGGCCGAGCCAATGATGATGAGGAGGAACAGGATCACCTGCTGCCATGTATTCCTGGTGGTCCCGGTCAGGTCAGTGTACCGCCCTTAGGCTAGAAGTGGCATCCTCCTCTACTTACAGTTCTGACAGGTTGACCGTGTTCAGACCTGCAAGGACGAGTCCAGTCAGCAAGATTCATCACCATCACCATTACCACCAACATCAACGAAGGGGTCACATCAACGAAGGGGTCATGTCCGACTTACCCGCCTCGGTCATGGCGGAGATGCACAGGAACAGGCTGTCAATGTAAGAGACGGACCGGGCCGGGGTGGAGGAACCCCAGAATATCACACTGGCCAGCAGGCACGTGACCCCGAAATACAAGTAGTGAAGGTTGATGAAGGAGAGCGAGGGCGTGGGGAGGTTTGGGCGGACATGTCGGTTGAAGGAAGCAGCGACACGAGCCGCCATGGTTCTGGTTCCAGATCTTGTTGGTCAAGCCGACCGGGTCTGGGTCTAGATCCAAGGTGAAGGTGAAGTCACGGTGACACAGAAGCCCAATGCGAGGCAGGGCAGTGTTGGGGGCCTGATCCCGATCAGAAGATGCCCGCATCCGGGTCTCTACAGTTGTCGTACCGCATGTCGAAGGCGATAGTTTCCAGTATGGGTAGCAGCAGCCTCAAGCCCAGAGATAATAGGGATGGTAGTAGGGATAGTATTAATGGTAGGGATGGTAGTAGGGATGGTAGTAGTGATAGTAATAGTGATGGTGATGGAGATGGTGATAATCAGTGGTCGTCGTTATACACAAGAAAAAGAAGAAACAAGGAGACGTTCAAGTTGACGTTGATAGTGCCAAGACCGATGCAGGCGCGAGGCGAGAGTGGACAAATAATGCCGCTGTCAGACAGGCAATATACTGGGCTGACCGACGAAGAACCAGCCAAATGACGGGAATTGACCGCCGCAGACGAAAAGATGTAATATACTAATTGTAGGTAGGTATTTATCCCCATCTTCACTTTCACTTTCGCTTGCGGTATTTATTGAGCCACGGCTTTTCCAGCCTTGCCGCTTGAAAGAAAGACGAAAGAGAAGTTGCCTAATATCAACAATACCTAGATGACAACTACAGAGTCCAGAGAGCTGGGAAGCGGTCTAGGGGTTGACCGGGATCACCTGGGGCAGGCCGTTTGGGTTGGGAGGCGGTGGTGGATGGACATAGTATCCGCGGCCTAGACAGCGATTGTCGCCCAGCGCCAGTCTTTGCTCGACGCCGTGCAGGCTGGCGTCACAGAGGGCAAACGTCGTGTCGGAGACGCAGACGAACTGGCCCGGTTGCCTGCACAGGCCGGCCGGGACGGAGGGTAGTGGTAGTGGTAGTGGTAGTGGATGGGGCACTGCAAGTACGCCCAAGGCCTGCCAACAGGTGCTGGCGGCGAGGAGAAGGGCGGGGGTGAAGACAGATGTGCGCATCTCGATTCAAGGCTGGGTTGAAGGTCGATGTTGGGGTGTAGTAGTCAGTTTTAAATATGAGCATACCGTGTCCCAGGTGCGAGGGGCCAGGTGCCAGGTGCCAGGTACATATGTAGATATTAATACTCGCTACGGACAATGCATTGTCTCTTTGTCCTTTTGAGGGTCCCACCACGTCATTACCTTTGTCCGACGCCCCCTCAAGGATATCCGTGGTTCCTTTCGACAAAGGATAGGATGTTGGATGCAGCCTTCTTTGACGAACATGGACGGGACGGGATATCCCTGCTTTCGAAGTTGGCAAAGGAGGTCTCGACCGATGGTTGATTGACCAGTGATCAGCTGGACCGGCAAGAAGGGACAGGACCTTACCTTACACACTGTTGCTTCATTGGCTGCACTGCACCATGCCGGAGTGGCGAGGGAAAAGAGAAAAGGTGCTGAACGGGACAGGTAAGGGGTGTCAAGCCATGCCTCCTCCCTCCTCCAACTTGCCATCTGGACCATCTGGACCATCCAGCCCGTCGTATAGGTACGAATGCACTGCCAAGAGTGTGGAACAAATAACAAACTACTAGTACGAACTCCTAGGCTTCCGACAGGCTTCTCTGCAGGAGCAAGACAAACAGGCGGAGTCCCAAGATGGGAGAGACGTGAGCCACAGGCCGAGAATGATGGCTTTTAGGAGTCTGGATTCACCGCCAACCTGTACTCCACCCTCCGCCCTGTGCCTTAGGCCACCCAAGCCACCCTCTCCCCACGTCCCTCTGTCAAGGTTGGCCCAAGGTCCCAAGTCGACCGACCGGAAGTCAGGTAGGTAGGAGGCAGACCCATGGGACGAAGTTACTGTAAGCTTGGGAACAGATGTGCCTCTAAGCCCACTGCCCAGGGATGTCGAGCCAAGCAGCCAGCCAGGGAGCCAGCTAATCAAGCCAGCCGAAGCCCAAGGCCTCAGCCTGCTTTGGATACGAGACTCCCTCTAACCCCTCCCGCATCTGAGCTGAGCTGAGCTGAGCTGAACCTCTCCTGCTCCTGCTCCCCCTGACAAGGCCGCACGCACATATGATATATGGGCACAGCGGCGCAGTCAGACCAGACTTTCTGAAAACATCACCGCAGTCATTGCTGGAGCCTGAACTCATACAATTTGTTCCGTGATACTAGGAGAAGGGTATATCTTGCGTCCAGTGGCTGACTTCTCTTGCCAGCCTCATCGTCATCCCCATCCTCAAATCATAGTTTCTCTCAGGTCACTTCACTACTTCACTACCCACCCCTCACTACTCACCACTCACCAGTGCCTGGGACGTCCAAATGTCGTCCCAACATCCCATCCCCGGACCCGGACCGGCCCAAGATGTCTTCCTACCCGTGGGTGGAGGGCTCCCCAGTCAAATCCCACCTCGCGGCGACAACCCAGTTCAGCCCACAGGGGTTGTAAGTTCTTGTTCTTGATGAATGCCCACCATGTCTACTCCGTACAGCAGCAGCATTGAATGGGAGCGCAGCTCAGCTGACGGCGGTCTTGATTCAGACCAACCTCAACCCCAACTCCCACCCCAACTCCCACCCCCCGATCGCCACCAACAAGTTCTACGCGAACTTCCTTCTCGGAGACCAAAGCCAGCCGACTTGGACGCATCCTTACTCTGTTTCCTGGAGCAAAGGAGGCGGCAATGCAGCATCCTTTGGACTGGCCATCTCGCACATTGACTCGGACCAGAAGGTGCTTGGACAGCCCCATCCCGAGATCCCCGGCAGCCCGGACCAGTATTTCTTCAGCCCGGTCGGCATTCAGTCCATCATCTTGTCCGCCACCGAGCTAGACCAGACCACGACCTTGACCACCGACTCGCTGAAGGCCTTCTCCGTGAACGTCAACCTCCAGTGTCGCAATGGTCCTGGTTCTGGTTCGGGGTCGGCGGCGGCCGGGGCGGGCAAGATCACCTTCACGCTTCTCCAAGGCATGGGCTTCGTCACCGGCCGATACACGCACCTCCAGCCGGCCATCCAGAGCAGTGTGTTCTTCCGCACCTTCACTCCCAGCCCGTCTCCCAAGCCAGGCGTGTTCAAATATCAAGTGACGCTGGAAGACAACAAGTCCTGGATCGTGTACGTGACTACCGACGACTGGGCCGGAGCAGACCCCGGACTGCAGCTCGTCTCCAACACCCTTGTTCGCGGCTCGCCCAACTTCAGTGGCATTATCCAAGTCGCGAAGAATCCATCCGCCGCTGCCGCCGCCGGAGAGCACATGTACGATGCAGGCTCTGGCGTCTACCCAACCGACGCCGGCATCACGGGATCGACGACCGGTGCCACCGGACAGTATACCGTGCAATGGACCAAGACGGGGACGGGCCTGAGCCCAAACCCCGGCGGTGCGCAGGCGCAGTCGCCGTTGGTCATGTTTGCTCTGCCTCACCATGTCTCGAGCTTCGACAGCGGGACGAGAAGCAAGGCGACGACGGTCCAGCTGGCGACCACCACCAAAGGCAACGCCACCGCGGTGCTGGCCGATTCCTGGACCATGGTCGAACCCGATCTGCCCGTCGACATGGGCTTCGCGCCCTGGACGCCCGGCACCCCGTTTGCGCTTTCCGATGTGGCCAAGGCAGCCGTGAGCTCGATCGCGGCGAGCGAGGTGTTGGAGGACTTCGAGGCCCAGATCCAAGCCGGTCTGAGCGGAGGCGCGTACATGGGCGGCAAGGCAATCTGCAAGTGCGCCAGGACCGTCTACACGGTGTCCGCCCTCCTCGGCGACACCAACCTTGCCGCTCCGGGGCTGGCCAAGCTGAAGAGCTCGTTTGCACGCGTCGTCAACAACAGCCAGCCACACCCGCTGGCCTACGACACCGTGTGGAAGGGAGTGGTGTCTGTGGCTGGCTATCCAGACCGCGCCGGGAATGCTGATCTCAACGCCGATTTTGGCAACACCGTGTACAACGACCACCATTTGTGAGTGTCGAGCTCTCGCTCTCTCTCTCTCTCTCTCTGACTTCGACTTTCCCCCAAGCCATTACGGATACTGGGTCCACGCTGCCGCCCTCATCGGCCACCTCGACCCCAGCTGGTTGACGGCGGCAAACAAAGACTACGTCAACATGCTCGTCCGGGACTACAGCAACCCCGTGGCCGACGACCCATCCTTCCCCCTCTCGCGCTCCTTCGACTGGTACCACGGCCATTCCTGGGCGCACGGGGTCACGGCCTTCGCCGACGGCAAGGACGAAGAGTCGACGTCCGAAGACAGCAATGCCGCATATGCCATCAAGATGTGGGGCAACGTCGTGGGCGACAAGAGCATGGAGGCCCGCGGCAATCTCATGTTGGCCGTCATGGCCCGCGCCTTCCAGACCTACTTTCTCATGGACAGCTCCAACAATGTCCAACCGCCGAGCTTCATCGGGAACAAAGTCACGGGGATTGTGAGTGTGACTCTCAGAGGGCTGAACAAGTCCTTTTTCAGACTTATTACCCTCCTTTCGCTGTTCCCTCACCTGCCGCTGCCGCTGACACAACCTCAATCGGATAGCTCTTCGAGAACAAGTGCGACCACTCCAAATGGTTCGCCGGGCCGGACTACTGCATCCAAGGCATCCAGATGCTACCCCTGACCCCGTGCTCCGGCCTGATCCGCACCAAGCGATTCGTCCAGGAGGAATGGGACATCTACTTCGGCGACCACGGCGTCATGCCTGCGACCACGGTGACGGACGGCTGGAAAAGCATTCTTTACCAGAACCTCGCGCTCGTCGATCCCAAGGCGTCGTGGGCCTTCTTCTCCCAGCCCACTTTCAACCCGGCTTGGCTTGATGACGGCGTCAGTCGGACATGGTCGCTTGTGTTCGCGGCAGGTATGTTCCAAGAACGGGCTGTCGAGGGAATTTCTCTTTCCCTCTTTCCCATTCCCCATTTTCTCTTTCTTAGCCCCTTTCTTTCCCCTTTCTATTAGTTGCACCGTCGTCATGCTGATGAAGATTGATCCAGGTCTGGGCGGAGTAAGCTAGGATTCGTTAGTGGTGATACATATCAGCCGTGATCATGAGGGTGGTGATGATGGCAAAGGCTTAAGGTTCGAGAAAGAGATCTCCAGGAAATGAGTGTTATAATATCCCACAAGGGCATCCTACGATATCAGCCAGGTCGATACAGCATACGGATATTGTATCCCAATCCTTGGTACCATATGAATTGTGACTAGCGCCAGCATTGAGGTCGACCACTTTCCTTTTCTGTCCTCTACTGCTGTGATTGTGGGAGATTCCAAGCTCGCGAGAAGAAGAGACGAGGCCGGAGTGGCGGAGTGGCGGCCCAAGCACCGCGTGAGGAACACTGATGATAGCAGACAACATGATCCTGTAGACTAGTCAATGTTGAGGAGCTGTCTTGCACCTCTGGCATAGCCTGCATTCCCTCAAAGTCAATGTCACAGAGCATCAAGTCGGGACAGGGTATACCGAGTGCAAATCAAGATATATGTAGATATTAAAAGAAGCCATGCTTGCACGCTCGTTCTCCCTTGGGAGGTAGCTTTCCATAATCAAATTTCCCAATTGCTAGGCCGTTTCAAGGCCGGCTTACATTACAGTACACCTCCTTTCTTTTTTCGGGTAGGCCACCCCCGTGGTCGGCATGGGCATGGTTTGCACTCTTCCAGCATCTGGCTCACCTTTCTTTCTCAAGCCCTTCCTCATTCTCGAAGGGTTAGACGCCTCAATCTCTGGAGGCCTGTGCCCAGTGCCCGCCCATACTACCGTGTGGTGCGTCCGTACTTGCGGAGACTGCGATTGGGAGGTTGGAAAGCCAGATATATCGGTATATTGTTGCCGTAACGGGGCGACAGGGTTCACAACTACTCCAGGTGTGACCATGTGAGACCTTGGTCCCGGCTCACCGGGTCCGTATGAGCTGGATACGCTCTCAATCGTATCGAGTCTGCCGATCTGGGGTCGCTCGACGTATGTCCCTACCGCACTGTGTAAGTTCGGAGTGGACGCTGAGAAGGGCATCGAGCGACTACTGCCCCGCGATTGACTCCGTGATGACCCGTCCGGAATATTGTTGGCCGTGTGGAAGGAGGGAGAGCCTGATACACAAGCAGCACCCCAAGCGGCGCGAGTAGGTGGCAGCGCGCCCGATCCACTACTTGTGCTACGTGCACCGGTGTTGTGGCTCTGGATTGCGTCGCCGGTGGTGGGTTTGGGTGGAAGTGGCTTGCGTACTGTCTGTGATACTCGGCGGTTCAGGTTGGCCATCTGATTGGGCGTGGGAGGAGCAACTGAGTACTGAGCATCAAGAACACCCGGAACTTGTATAGAATACTGATCCACAGGCCTGGGAGATATCGCTGGACCCGTGGGTTCTTGTGGTAATGGCATCTGCTCTGCGGATGGTGGGATTGGTGGGACAGGATGATTGAGACGGGCTTGCAATTTCGGCCCAGCAGTCGGTATCGAATTCAACGAGGACTGCTTCAGGGGCAGGGAAGGCTGCGCTGTTGGAGCTACATTAGGTAAGTCTTGGGTCGGCTGGATGAGGCTGAAAGGAGGATGATCCGGTGGCTGCAAGGGTGAAACTCGGCCCTCATGAGATCCCGGCCTTGAAGACGGATCTCCTGGCGTAGCTGGCGCGAATGGTGAGCTGGCGTAAGCCGATTGTGCATTGGTGGGATGATTATTGGGTGCCGACGAACCGTCGTGGTCAGCGAACCGTCCTGTTTGCGCAACACCAGGGACTGCGTGTAGTGACGAGTGAGAGTGAGAAGGAACTTGGGACGGATATTGATCTGGAGGTAAAAACTGGCCCGGGTCAAAGTCCTGCCGTATTGGATGACCCTGGCTCTGGTAAGGCAGATGTCTAGCTTCTGGGATACCTCCCAAAGCCATGCCTAAGGGGCCGTGGCCTCCGTTTGGACGAAGCTGCGCTGGATGGGAAACCTGCGACATACCGGGGTGGACGGGGCCGTGAGAATCCGTCGCGTAGGGCGGTGGCGGGGATTCCCAACCATTGCTGGGAGAATAGGGCTGGTTTGGCATGTACGCCAGATCTTGTTGTTGTGTAGACAGGGGCGGTCTCGGTGGATATCGCGCAGTGGTGAAGCCTGCAGCAGTGGCAGATCTGTGTAAATTGGCCGGGTTCTGTGGCTGGTCGTGACTCTGAGCAGCGGCTAGAGAAATCTGTGCATCGACATCAAGAGGAGATGACGGCCGTAAAGCGGTGCCTCGTTGAGGCCATTGAGACCCATGTCTTTTAGGCGCTGAGGTGGCAGAACGACCCAATGGTGATGTCGCACCTCCTCTTCCTCGGCCCCGGACAGTGCGGCGTCTTTCCATCGCGACTTCGATGTCTATATCACTCATTTGCTCCGCGAGCAGTTCCGGCTCATTGTCGCCCACTTCAATGGTGACCTCCCGATCTTGATTCATGGATGGCGAGTAGTCAAAGTCGAGGACTGAAACGCGTGACCCATCCACAGGCATAGTCTCGTCTCCAAGCTCTTCCAGGAACCGATCGACGCCACCTGGAGCCACCAGGATCAAACGCTTTCCCGGGAAGGCAACCTCCTGCTCGTCAGGCTTCTCAACCCACTTGGCCGCGGTACCTCCTTCCAGACCTCGGATCTGTTGACATTTGACGAACAAACTTTCCCGCCAGTCCACTTTGGCAGCTAGGGAATCATCCTCAATCTCGTCACTGTTTCCAGAAATCGAAGGGGAATAGGCCATCAAGGGTTCGAGGTGCCCGGTGGCAGAAGTGAGCGCAACCCTTCCTTGAAGCCGCTGCTCGTGTCTTTCGACAACAGAACCCATGTCGGGACACACATCCAACTTTTCAGGAATGCCATACATCCAAAGTCCGCTCCCACTGAAGCCTGCTACGACAAGAGTGCCACACGCCGTCGCAGTGGGGGATGTACAGGGTGCTGGCATGGAAAAGCGTCTGTTCGTGGTGGGATTTAAAAAGTATGCAACACCTGTTCGTGTATCATCGGTGCGTACGGCTCTGTAGGTCAGAAGAGTATGGTCGTAGGCGAACAGCCAGTTGGCATCGCCTTCTGTGTGGCCCTGGAGCAGCTCAGCATGGCTGCAGATGCTGCTGATTTGCGGGAAGAGGATCTGTGTTGTCCACATCCGGCTATGCACCTCTTTCGGTGGAAGATCATTCTCCGTGTAGAAGGGCGCAGTGATCACGACTGCTGAAGGCTCGTCCAGACTCTGAGTGCTACCAACCACCATCGATCCGTCGCCAGAAAAATTCAGAGTGTCGACGCCTTCACTTCGGACTGCTCGGCGATCTGTAGATAAAGCATTGGGAGCCAACGAAAATACCTCAACACCGCCTTCATATGCAGCGGCCAGAACCGTTCCTTCTGGGGCAAGAGCAATCGTCCGGGGAGGATTGTCCATGACCAGAACCTGCGAGTGCTTAACGCCAGGGTCGGTTAGGTGGTAAATGTTGGCCTGATACTTGGAAGACAAAACTGCTAGGATTGAGCCGTCGTCGGTGATGGAGGCAGAGAGAGGCCTCCTCATGGTCTTGAATTCTCTGCGCACCGCAATAATGTCACTGGTGGCATCTATGACATAGATCCTCGATGAACTCAGTGCGAGAATGGTCCGACCATTGGGTGAAAACGAGAAGCGGAACGCCTCCGCGCCGGGCAAGGCGGCCGAGGAGCTTGCGTTGACGGAGATGAGGTTGATGAGAGTCTGACGAGGCCGCAGGTAGGCTTCAAACAGGTTGCGACGGACCTCTGCGGCAAACTTTGACTTCAGTCGAAGCAAATCGTTTTTGCGAAACGGCCCCGTGATGACCGTGTTGGCCAAGGCATAAGAGGGACAGCGTGATAGATGGTGAGCGTAGAGCTCCTTGTTCTGGGCGGCATTGTACCATGCTCGGTTCAGCAGGACCAAGGAAGCAAAGCCATTGGCATCTACTGTCCATAAAATCCTAGCGGCCTTGTTAGTACGGCTAGGTAGGTGCAAAAGCAATGTAGGGAACCGTGGTAGTACCTCTCAATGACCTCGACGGGCAGTTTGTGGAAAGCACTGGGTTTAGGCCGGTGATGATTGGAGTCGCTGGTCTGCTGAGACTGGGGAAGGTCGCCAGGGTGGCCTGGGTCATGTGAGGCAAGTAGCTCAGCCTCATCTTGGGCTGGGTCCAGTGGCTGAGGGGGGATCTCGTCACACGAGACCGAGACGGTCGACGAGGTCTTGGAAGCAGGACGCACGATTATCCGGGGCGGCATGGTGGAAGGACGCCTTTGGCAGTGATGGGTGTATCCGTACCGTGACGCTACTTAGAGAGGCCCATGAAGCATGACATGGTCGATGGCACTGCTGGTGAATCTTGCCGCCATGGAGCTGGACGCGTCGTGCCAGTGGTTGGACAAGAAAGCCAGCAGCAGTCGGCGAAGGGAGGAGAGGCGACTACCTGCTAACCGTGTCGGCGAAGCGTTCAGGTCTGCGATGGAGGATTGTGATTTAGCCGTGGCTGATGTGCTGAGGGCGATGGCAACGATATAGCGGTTGATGAGAGGAGAGGTGGTCAGCATCAAACTGCAAGTGCGTATGTGTACTGTATGTCTCCAGTCGCACAGCTGGAACTGCCACCGGAGGTTAGGATGCAGCACAATAGGTACACCGTACGGATAGCTTCTTTAACTCCGCCTAAGCATGGAGGCCCTTGAGATCAAGTGCTTTTCGTGTTTGTAAAGCAGTACTAATAGCGAGGTGCAGCGAGATTCTGTAGGTCGGGGACAGAAGTGTACGTACAGGTAGTCGTAGTAGTAGCTGGGAAGTCTCCACTGCCACAGCCACTGGCACTGCACGCCGTACCACCTCGGTGTTACAGTTACACGTCTAGCCACGCCGGAAGGGCTTAGGCACAAGCGGCTTAGGCCTAGGGCTAGGGGGAGTAGGGGCCTACGTCCAAGGTTATAAGCGAGATCGCCGCCCTTACCGACCCTAGGCAGCCCCTAGGCCACCCCAGAGACAGGCGGCGTTCACTTGAAGATGCCCCTCCGACTGCTCTCTTCTCGGTGTTCTTTACTTAGAATCAGACTACAGCGGCACCCCAGCTAGTGTGTGTCAGGGGCCCTTAGGCCCATCTCAACTTCAACACACTTTCTGCTCCATATGGAGTACGGAGTACGCAGTCCATATAAACAGGTCGTTGAATCTTTCTGTTCAAGACCGCTCGCTGATTAATGTTGCCTGTCGGCCTCAAAACATCGGGAAATTGTATTCTTTCTACAAGAAGGGAGATATCTCATCTTACGCACGCTCTCTGTCCAACTCAACCACAAGTACCGAGTACTGTAAACACTATACTGATACTCCTGTCCTAATTTTATACAACCACCTGCAGAAACTTTCCATCCATTCAACCAAGTCAAAGCCTCCTTCATTTCTTCTCACTCTCCGTGCTTCCGCTTCCACTGCCGCCGAACCATCCAGAGAAGAATCCAATCTTCATGTTCTTCATGGCCTCCTCCTGCAATCTCTTTTCTTCCGCCTCTCGTTCGGCCAGCCACTTCTCGCCCTCCTCCTTTATTTTCTTTTCGAACTCCATGTATTGCCTCTGTCCACGTTCACGAATTTGGTCCCAGAGCATCTTGCCTTCTCCCGTATCATCGGCACTGAGCGCATCCGGATGAGGTTGTGACAGGCCCAGCCATTGTGCTACACTGCCAATGCTCTTCTTGTGTTTCCGCTTCTCTCCTGCCTCAGCCTCAAATTTCTGGCGCAGGATCTTTTCGCGCCGAGCGAATTCGGCCGGGATATAGGTTCCTTCAAACGACTTCAGGACCTCGCGCGCGTCGTCAAATCCCATTGTCGCCAAGTACTCTAGGAATGGAATCAGCTGGACCAACGTCTGATCCTTGGGATCCCCTGTCCACTTGGGCAGAATAATTGCGTTCTCCGGTTGATGTTTCACGTGATGCGGGTCCGTGTCGATGATCAACACCTTCTTCAGATCTCGGTTCAGGTAGGCAAGATCCTAGATACAATGTTAGCATGTTCCTACATCTGGAGGCACCATTGAACGCACCTTGATATATCCTCCGTCCTTGTAAAGCGTCGCTTCACGGAATAAGGGCCACCGGATTGTCTGGTAAGGATCAAGCTTCCGTAGTACCTGTTCCGCCATAGCCATAGGCTGACTAGTGAACAAGACGATCTCATAGTAACTCCCAAGATACCTCAGGAAATAATCCACGCCAGGTCGCTTCGCTATCCGCCAGCCGTTCTCTCTTGTCCACTCGGAATGGATGAGCATATCCTCCAGGCTGATCACCAATGTGAATGGGTAGCGTAGATTGGGATCCGGATCTTCATCTGGTAGCAGCTTGGTCGTCACTGGGTCCCGGTAATAGCTCATGGTGGAACCCAACCGAGCGCCCACTCGATTGTAGAAGGGTTTGAACCCCCAACCAGATGGAGCATCTGGGTGGGCTTTCTCCTCCTCTTCAGACTCCCAATTGCGCCCCAGATAGACGGAGTAGCCTGCAATCCCAACTCCCATGAGAATATACATGTATCTGAAGACCATGTTCTTTTTTCGGTCACTAGTTGACACATACTCAGTCCGAGGAATGTCATCTCCACCTCTTCCTCGTCCGCCGCTCGGTCCTTCCTCCGAGGGTTCTTCGGTGATATTCAGGCTCGATGGGTTTGCGTGAGGCGTGTGCTTTGCTCTCGCTTGGCTCAGCTCCGCGTCTAACGTAGATGGGATGCCTCGAGTTAGGTCGGGTAAAGGCTGATGTGGTTGATCTGCCGATTCTGCGGGTGTAGCCTTCGCTTCCTCCGCAGGAGGTTGAGAATCAGCGTATTCCCTCACCGACCTTCGACTGGCCTGAGAGACTGATTCAGAGATGTCATTGAGGTCTCGAGTCGGATCGGCGCCAAAAGGCGTCGACTGGGACGATGGCTCATCCTTCGGAGCTGGATTGGCTTGAGTAAAGGGGACTTTTCGTAGCGGTTCTCGAGAATCGGTGGACTGGGGCTGTGATTCATGTTGTGCATCTTTGGCTGTATTAGGAATCTTGTAGTCTGCACTTCTGAGACCTTGGTCTCGTCTGTAGTATCGCAACTGTGTCTGCGCAGATGCTTCTCGGATCAAAGGCCGGCACTGCCGCGGCCTCATTAGAGGCAAAGCTGCGCGTCTGAACATCCTGCAACCAGCATGTCCAAACAGCTAGTGATAGAGACGCAATGACAAGGTCCGGCAGACGGTTGCTGCTTTTCTGACTTATTCCGGAAAAATGCGCTTTGGGCTTCAAGACTGGCAGTTGGAGACCCAAGTCGCCTGATGCAGTGACCAGCCTTGGCGGGCGAAAAGCGGAGAGCTTGAGCATCCCTCACCATCATTTGCCGCACCTCCATTTTCTCTTCTTCTTTTCCTTTCCTTCCATCAAAGAAAGTTGATACCCCCAGAATTTTTGACTGGCCGTTCACAGACCTATATGTTCGGCAGGTTGTATTAGCTGGGTAGACTAATGCACACGTCCTCCTCAAGAGCGCACGAGAGGCCTGCCTATGATCTTCAAGTCGCCCCGTAAGGACGTTACAAATCAGCTCTCGCCCGTCACGATGAGTGTTTAAACGGCCGAATTCGACCCTGAATTCTACGTGCAATACTGTCTCCGGTCTGGGAGACCAAACCTCCATCCCTTCCAATGCCACCGTCCTGGCGAGATGGCCTTGTCAACGCGTTTCCGATCCCGCAGGATCGAGTGAGAACAAAAGCGAAAAGGGCTCTGAAACAGGAACACAATGATGAGAACCTGTCCCCTGTTTCCAACCAAGCCGATGAAGAAGTCCCAATGGGGAAACGATTCCCCTTTCTTGAACTACCTGCAGAGATCCGTAACCGGATCTACAGCCTCGTTCTCTTCAGCAAGTTGGGATACCGAGGAGCTGATGGCGGGAAGAAGAGGCGCACTTCCATCCTTGCCGTAAGCAAGAAGGTGCACCAAGAGGCGTCATATATCTTATACAGCTCACTGAGCTTCAGAATCTTTCCTCTCCAGGACTTTACCCCGGCCCCAGTCATCCAAGAATTGCGACCAATGTACCGCTCCATGGTGACTAAGCTGGAAATGGTGGTAGGATCGAGCTGGACCAGTCCGCCCAAGACCTGGCGCGTAAGCAAACTGCTGGCGAGACGTCTAGGAAGGCTCTCTGCAGTCCAAACGCTCAAGGTTTTCGTCGAACTAGATCCGAGTCTCCCCATGTTTGAAAAATACAGGGTTTCGTATGATTTCTACACCGACTTTTGTGGGGACTTGCTCTCCGAGGTTCTGGCTGCTATGCCGCATCTTACTGCCCTGGAAATGGATGGGAATCCCGGCATTGACAGCACAGGGCCTCTTGTATCAAGGCTGCTTGCTGAGGCTGAGAACAAAGGGAAGATGTGTACGTTAGGACCGACAAAGACACTTGCCACTCCGGCAGGCCTGAGGCCTGTCTTCTGGCAATGACATGAGGCTAATGAATTAATGAATTTCATTGACGAGCATACGTCCACTTGTGAATGATCCGATCTTGCATCGTGCCTGCGTGCGTGCCTTAGACGAGACCTAGACATGGTCCATACCTGTCTGTCTTTATGTAGCCAAACGCCGTGCATGCCGTGATATCTGTAGATACAAGTTACAAACTGAACCGAGTCAAGCCGCTGCCTTTCTCCTCGGCATTTTCATAGCTCCTCGTCCACATCCATCAGGCCATTATCACCATTGCGGTGATCGTGGCCATTCGTTTGTGCTGCCTTCTTTGCGACGCTCGCTTCTTTGTCGATCATCTGCCTTGACACTGCCACAATATTGTCTTCAATCAATCGTTGACCGACATCTTCGATATGTTTCTTCGGATCCACCTTGCCCACGTATCGGGTTTTGAGTTGCTCAGCCGTTAATTCATTCTCTTCCCGGACCCGGCGTTCGTAGCCCTCGGCGAGGTGAACGAGTTGCTGCAGCCCCTCTTCATTGCGCTTCCGCTCGTCAACAAAGCTGTGTGGAAGTTCAAGACCCTCAGTCCAGACTTTCTTGTGTAGATTCATCAGCATGTTTTCTTCTAGACCTGTCTTGCGGTATTGGATTCCAATGCTGTAATAGTGTCTGTTCAGGCCGTGAATAAGGGCTTGTATGGACGGCTTGTTCAGATGACCCAAGTTTGATGTAGTTTGGCGAGGTTCTTGTCCCATCATCATTGTTTGTGGGTTAATCAGGCGAAAGGCGTCAATAACGACTTTGCCTTTGACCGATTGAATGGGGTCGACGACGACAGCGACAGCTCGAGGGGTGAGTTGTTCGAAGGACTGTTGTGTGTTGATATCGACGCTCGACAGCCAGCAGCCAAACCCGGGATGAGAATGGTACCATCCCACCACTGTCTCTGGTCTTCCGGTCTGACGCAGCATGTCCATCATCTTGGTCTGAAAGACAGGATCGACGGATTCAACGCTGACGGATGTTCCCGATTGAGGCATGGCGAAGACATCAACAACTCGAACTGTGAAGTCGTCCACAAATTCACCAAGCATCAGACCCATCACTTCCATGGGTACACCTGCGCGGCCATGCCGGAGCATCTTCAATAAAGCGAGAGAGGAGATATAGACTGTCTCGGAGTTATCGACAAGGTTTGTATCCTGCCCGGGGGCGGCTCCGTGGCCTATGCCCAAGCCTTGCGCCGCGGCGAGCATGCGATTGAACCGATCCATTGTCGAATGTCGTCGAGCAAATAGGCTAGAAAGTCGTCCGAACGAGGAGATGGGAATTCAGGTTCGGGCGGTAGAGCGCCCGGAGCGGACAGCAAATTGGAATATCAGAAGGGATCAACCCGTCTGTGAAGACAGGAATTGTATCAAGTTAGATGCCAGGAGCTCGAACTATTATTGCCAATGGGCTGCGGAGTGCCTGAGGACAGATAGCCAGCAGGAAGATGCAGTTGAAGTAGTTGTTCGCTTGATGAAATCTAAGATGGTAAGCTGCGCGTTCCTGGGGCCTGGCTGCTGACGACCTAGTACTTGGCCCTACAAAGTGGCCACTAACTGCTAGCGGCATCTCCGCCCAAAGTTGGAGACGCCATTTCTTACTATGTACATATCTCGAGGTCTCTCTCTCTCTCTCTTTTTGCATGAAGCCAGCAGGTTCGTCTCATCTCGGTTCTGACTCGAACAACATCCTCAGATATCTTTTGCATTGCCGAAGACTGCTTAGATGCTAGTATTCGAGCCTCTCATCTCAGGCACGCTATCCAAACCCTCTCTATCTCAACTTTGTCGTCATCTACTCCCCCACCGTGAAATATAGCAATCATCACTATCTAAAGAACGCGCACATCAAAAGAGCCAGCTCAGCAAAGAGCGCGCCGTCGAGGTTGGCGTCTTCTACTAGAGGCTCCCCATCGCGAGGCGTATATTCATAGCTGACACCACTGCATAAGCCGCTTTCGACGCCATGTCGTTCGCACCGGTCGACCCGCCGAAGCTGCGGGACGACAGCAAGAAGCGAGTGGCATACTTCTACGATTCAGACGTCGGAAACTATGCATATGTGTCAGGCCATCCTATGAAGCCTCACAGAATACGACTCGCTCATTCCCTAGTCATGAATTACGGCCTCTACAAGAAGATGGAAATCTATCGTGCAAAACCCGCCTCGAAGTACGAGATGACACAATTTCACACCGACGAATACATTGACTTCCTCGCAAAAGTCACACCTGACAATATGGACTCCTATCAAAAAGAACAACAGAAATATAACGTCGGAGACGATTGTCCCGTGTTTGATGGACTCTTCGAATTTTGCGGAATCAGTGCGGGTGGCAGTATGGAAGGCGCAGCAAGGTTGAATCGCCAAAAGGCAGACATCGCCATTAACTGGGCTGGCGGTCTGCATCACGCGAAAAAGAGCGAGGCTAGCGGTTTCTGCTACGTCAACGACATTGTCTTGGGCATTCTCGAGCTGCTAAGATTTCACAAGAGAGTTCTCTACATCGACATCGACGTCCACCATGGCGACGGTGTCGAAGAAGCTTTTTACACTACTGACCGAGTCATGACCGTTTCTTTCCACAAGTATGGAGAATACTTTCCAGGTACTGGCGAGCTTAGGGATGTCGGAGTGGGCTCGGGCAAATACTATGCTGTCAACTTTCCTCTACGCGACGGGATCGATGATGCATCATACAAGGGCATCTTTGAACCTGTCATTCGGGGCACTATGGAGTTTTATCAACCTTCTGCTGTAGTACTACAATGCGGTGGCGACTCTCTTTCTGGAGATCGACTTGGCTGCTTCAACCTCAGTATGAGAGGCCACGCCAACTGTGTCCGGTTTGTGAAATCCTTCAATCTCCCGACACTCATTGTCGGAGGTGGCGGTTATACCATGCGCAATGTTGCAAGAACCTGGGCATTTGAAACAGGTACCTTGGTCGGTGAAAATATGGAGGCCAATCTCCCATACAACGACTATTACGAGGTAAGAAGACCTACCCATCATTTGTAACGCTTTTCTGACCATGCCCTAGTACTATGCTCCTGACTACGAACTTGATGTACGACCGTCAAACATGGAGAACGCCAATTCTCGAGAGTATCTGGAGAAGATCCTGATACAAGTATTGGAGAACATGAAAAGGACTGCCCATGCACCGTCGGTGCAAATGACCGACGTACCAAGAGAATCTCTGGGCATGAATGACGACGAAGAAGCAGCACTTGATGACATGGACGAAGACGAAAACCCTGATAAGCGCATAACCCAACACAAGGCAGATAAGTACGTTGAGAAGAACGGCGAGCTGTCCGACAGTGATGACGAAGATATGACTGGCGTGAATGGCCACATGTCCAGCCGTAAAATACGCGCAACACGAAATTATCGCCACATCCTAGATGTTGGCGGCAATGACTCAGGAGTCGAGACGGGGAGCGCATCGGGTACACCACAGCAGGGTTCCAGTATCACTGACGATGCAGATGAGATGAATGTTGATGAGCTCGAAGACCAACCCGCACAGAGTTCAACCAGCCACAACCTCGCCACAGAGGCGAACGGTTCTGCCGCAGTTTCTGGTCAAGAGTCTCCTGGTCGAGCTCCAGCTCCAGCGGAGTTGGATGGAGACATCGAGATGGGAGAGGCGGAGACAGACGCTGAGGTTCCAGCTACGAATACGAATGCCCCCGACTCGCTACCGGTCGAGGAGGAGTCCACCATTACGGTCCAACAACAGCAAACGCCACCGGAATCGCCGCCAACACCGCAACAAGACGAGTCCACGCCTCTCACCACCACCGAGACGTCTACACAGGCTCCTCAACCCGTTGCTCCGACTGAAGGGCAGACCACAAGCCCCGCCGTAGCGCCAGCAGCGATCACAGAGGCAGAAGCCCCAGCCGCAACGGTAGAGGAAACGGCGGTCAAGGAAGAAGTCATCGGAGATGATGAAGTAGCCAAGGCGCAGGAAGAAGGACGAAAGGAAAGGGAGACGGCGAATGCTGAAGGCCAGGCTCGGGCAGAGGCTGCAAAGGCTGAGGAATAGTCACCTGGGTCCAGCCTTTGAACGGAGAATCGGACTTGAACTCTTTCAGGAAACGTTAAGCTAGGCGCTTGGGTTATGCGAGACGAGAATGGACCCCATGGAAAGGAAGATGTATCCGTATATTGTTCTATTCTAAATTATACTCCGACTGCTGTTGTCGCGACTTTCAACTCGGGAATGTTAAATCCTCCCGTTGCTATCGTAAGTATGCTCGTCCTCGCGTGCATAGTTGTTCTGGTCTCGGAGATGTTGAGATAGCTATTGGCTCAAGTGTATGTTTTAAGCGGCAGCGGCAGTAGAAGGGGCGTGGATGGGCGCAAGAATCGTCTGCACACAGTATCCGGCTCCGTACATTCTCGCAGGCACGCGTTCTCCAACGGGGCCTTGGGCCCATCTGACACCTGTAAATGGTGGTCGCTGCAAAGGCGAGAACCTAATTACAGAGTTAAAGAGAAAGAAGCAATACAGGTTGGGAACCTTGATTGGGTGCATAGGGGAACTTATCAGAGCGCAGGCGTCGTCCCGCCAATAATTCGCCATCGTGGCGCAGGTTGCGCGAGTTGGCAGGCCGCCTGCATCATCTTACAGGCGGTAGGGGTGTGGTACGTGTAGGTGGTAGGTTAAGGTAGGTAGTAGAGAATACACCCTCCTCAAAGCACGGCTTCAACCTCACCTTCCACTGTTCTGCCTGCGCTGTGTCCGCTCCACAAACCTGTTACCTCGTCCTACGGGGCAAACCTACTACCTTCTCTTCCCCAAACACGTTCTCTCCATTCTTTGCTTTCATTACTCCTTTTGCCTGGTCCTTGTCGCGGACTATCATTGCATCACCCTCAGGTGACCTGAGTCGACTGTTGGCGGCGTATCAAGTCACAGCTACCTCCCGGTTCGCAACATCACCCCAAAACTGTTCACGATCTTGTGCACAACATCGCCCTACTGCCCGTCGTGCCCTCGGGCATCCCCTTTCCCTCTGGGCACTGTCAAGCCGAAGACTTTGGGACCCAGCCAGCCATCTCAACATGCCTCTCTCCGATTACCTGTCGAGTCCAGTCTCCTTTGCCGGTCGACAGGTTCTCGGCACCCTGGTCGAACGAGATCAGTACAGCTTCACCGGCAATGTAATCGAAACGCTGAAAAAGAAGCCATCTCGCCATTCGGGCCACCCAGACTTCGCTCATCTCGCCCTCCTCGTCTTTGAAGCGGTGCTCGAGGTGGTCTGTGTGAGTCTGCCGGGATACATCGTGGCAAGGCAAGGCATGTTTGATGCAGAATCACAAAGATTCCTAGCGAACCTCAACATCATCCTGTTCACACCCTGCCTGATCTTCACCAAACTGGCATCCCAGTTGACTGCAGAGAAGCTAGCGGATCTAGCCATCATACCCGTCATCTTCGTGGCCCAGACTCTGGTATCGTACCTTTGTGCCTGGGTGATTGCAAAATTCCTCGGTTTCAAGAAGCGGCAGAAGAACTTCCTTATCGCAATGGGGGTATTTGGAAACTCCAACTCTCTACCAATATCCCTAGTCATATCTTTGTCTAAGACGCTGAAAGGACTGCACTGGGACAAAGTGCCACATGACAACGATGACGAGGTTGCTGCTCGGGGTATCCTCTATCTCCTCGTGTTTCAGCAACTTGGCCAGCTCCTACGTTGGAGCTGGGGCTACAATGTCCTCCTTGCCCCACCCGACACGTACACCGAAGAAGAAGGCGGCACGAAACAAGTAGACCGACTAGAGAGGGGGAGGGGCCAGTATCAAGACGAACCGGCTTCAAGCGACGAACAACGCCGGCTTTTGAGCCCCAACTACGACGACATCGCAGACAGCACCGAGGAGTTTGAGGAAGACGATGATCGAACTCGAATCGGTGCAGAATCCCCAACGGCGTGTAAGTCCGATGGCTTCAAAACGCCTCGAACACCGTACAACCCCTCCGCTGAATCCTCGAGGAACTCCTCTCGGCGAAACCTAAACGGTGCGGCCAACGTGCCGGATCTGATGCCTACGCCTACAAATGGGATGGCGAGTCTCCAACCTCATCACGACCACCTCGCACGGCTAAAAGATCCAGAAAATCTGAGATACGATGAGAACCTTGGTGGCATCAAGGGATATATCAACAAAGGGAGAAACTCCGTTCGGTATCACAGCTTGGTTCTGGGCCATAAGGTCCAGACCAAGTCGCTTAGAGCCTTCGAATCCCTACCCAAACCTCTGCAGAAAGGCCTGTCCGCAACTTCTTACAAACTCAGACGCTTCATTGCTGGGGTGTGGGAGTTCATGAATCCACCACTCTGGGCCATGTTGATTGCAATCGTTGTTGCTTCGGTGCCTCGACTACAGCACGTTTTCTTCAGCGAGGGGACCTTCGTGCGAAATTCAGTAACCCGAGCAGTTGAGCAAAGCGGTGCCGTTGCAGTGCCCCTCATCTTAGTTGTCCTCGGAGGCAACCTGGCGAAGAATACTATTCCTCGCGATGAAAGCGGCACCGTCACTGATCCTCAGGAAGAGAGGAAGCTGCTGTGGGCCTCGCTTGTCACCCGCATGGTGTTTCCTACCATCATCATGGCTCCTTTCGTGGCACTGCTGGCCAAATATGCTCCTGTGAGTATTGTAGATGACAAGATCTTTGTCATTGTCGTCTACCTGCTCAGCGGCGCGCCCGTTGCTCTCCAAATAGGACAAATCACGACGACCAACAACGTCTATCCTGACCTGATGAGCAGGATTCTATTCAACAGCTATGTGATTTGGATTCTGCCGTCCACATTGATCCTGGTTCTCCTAGCTTTGGAGACGGTTGAGTGGGCAACTTACTAAGTTTGTGGGATTTTGAGCAACATGAGTACTCACCTTGAGTACATTTGGCGTTGAGTATTGGAGTTCAAATTGCCAGAACGTCCTTTCGCAGTTGGTGGTTCACTGTTGACAACGAGCGGGTGTTGGTTGCAAGACGGATTGCGCTATGACTGTGTGCGAATGGGCCAACACCAATAGAAATGATTAGTAGTTTTGAACAGATGACTTGCTCGAGGTCTCCAGGCTTGTCTGTACCTGTATCCGTACTCTCAAGGCTTGTCTGTACGGAGTACCTGTATCCGTACTCCGCGGATACTCCGTACTATCAGGATCATGACTAGAATCGAATGCTACAGTTCGTTGGGGCCCGTGAGCGGTGGCTGATCTATCAGGTCCCTTAGGCAGCTTAGAGTGACAGTTGAAACACAATAATCTGGAAACGAAACTCCACACGGGCTGGCGCGAAATTCCTATTCGTGCTTCATGTCGAGCTTGACGGGCGTCAAAATGTGCAGGATCTTGAAGAAACCGGGCATTGCGCAGCCTCATACGTAGGCAGGCAACTGTAGGTGAGGTAAGGAGTACGGAGTCTTACTTGCACCTGGTAGGTGCCTGGTATCAGTGTACAGGACATACAGGGCACCCCCATGGAGGCTTTAGCGGCTCAGGCTCAGGCTAAGGGGCTCAGGCTCAGGCTCCCTTAGGCTCTCCTTACGCTGCCCTTTAGTAGGCTTCGGGGCTTGGGCCCTGCACTCGCCACCACCTTGAACTTGGACGTGGCTAAGGCCACCTGCGCGGTGCCGTCATCATTCCCACTACTTCTGGCGTTGGTGGCATCACGCAGCGTTGTCAAACCTGCCGATGGGAAATCCCAAAATGCATCTTCTCAAGCTATTGGCAGCACGAGAATTCCTTCACCCAAGGGTATCTCCTCCTGTGGCGCAAGGAATGGTACGTAGTCCGCATCCCTACTTGACCCGCAAGCTGTTCTGTTGGCAGCCCAACCTGATGCGTCACTCGGCCTGACCATACGTCTGCCTCATCGATCCGCGGCGATAGGAATGGGGAAATTTCCAGCTACACCGGGCAAAGTCAAGTTAAGGTATCCTTCAAAGCAAAGACGACTGGATTCTCTACAGAGTATGGCCCTCTGATATGCCTTTGTTGTACCCAGTAATTTCTCTATATAAATAGAAGGTGTCTAGCTGATGGGAAACGCACCGTTTGGGTGCCCGCCATGAAGTTTGACACCCACCCTGCGCCTGCGTAATCCATGAGCAATCTCTCTTGTCCTTCAAGAGCTTCTCATGGTCGCGACCTCTAACGAAATGCAGTGTACGCCGTGCGGCAGATAGCAAATCCTCCCTACCTGTTACTCGCCGCCACCTGCTGCCGTTCATCAGTTAAACCCGCATTGCTGGGCACAAACCTGCTGCAGCGTCTTTTGTGATTAAGAAAAGAGGATCCGCGGGCTCCATCGCGACACCTCCTCTGGCCGCCATTCCTGGCTTCTGCCCGTCCCTTCCAAACCCACCTCTGCAATTCCAATCACGAAGCCTCGATTCAAGTCATATTGCTCAACTCCCTACCATCGCAGCCGTCCTCTCGCCGCGCACGTCCTGATATCTCTGCTCAAAACTCTCCTTCCACCAAGCTTCTCGGTTGTCTTCGCCTCCCGGCTGAATCTTCTGAAGTGAGCAAGCACGGCTTGCTCAGCATCCTCCGATCGAATGAAATCCGTTGCTCGTCGGTCGAACTTCGCCTCTCTCTACCCTTCGACGACTCTACTTCCTACTGTCCGACCAGACCTCTGACTGCACCCGTCGATCCTGGTTCATTCAGTTGCCATATCGCTTTGCGTCGCATGCCGCCTCGAGAAAACTGCACTGGTGCTCTGGTGCACTGGCGCAACCGCATTCCCAACCGCAAATCTTAGTCACCATGGACAGTACGATACCCCAGCAGCCTTCTTCTCGCGAGCTGTCCAGAAGCCCTGAAGATACAAAATCAGAAACATCGTCAGATGCTTCCCAGTCCTCCTCAGAGCCCACGTACCACCCTCCCCCGTTCAGCTCGCAAGGCAGCAGCATGGCCTCCTCTCTGAGCCCCTCCTCCGCTCCTCTTGGTCCTACCAACGCAGCAAGAAGGCCCGGGATGTTTACCAGTCGTGCGAGTGGCCTAAATTCGGACATACAGGCAAAGATGAAGGCATTTTCTTTATCCCGACAGGGGGCTCCTCCGCCCTCGGCACAAAATATGAGACAGCAGTCTTCTGGTCCTGGCGGATTTGTTGGCGGTCCAATTGCTGGACCGCCACCAGTTTCACACACAAACTCTGCGTCCAACCTACGTCTACCTCCGGTGCTTAATCGCCCGGCTGCCTCGAGCTTCGCTTCTTCGCCGTCCCTAGTCACAGGCAGTCCGCGGGTGGCAAGTCCACGACCTCCTGTCGGTGGGCTGGCTGCAAAACGCGGTCTGAAGCCTGGTGGTCTGAAACTGTCAGATGCGCAGAAACCTGCACCCGCCGGCCAGGAGGTAGATAAGCAGGATACCGGATCTCAGTTCAGCAAGTACTCAAACATCATCGACACTAAGAAGGGCACGTTAAGTTTCAAAAACAAAGCCGTTATTCATGGAAGCGGTATCGACTTCGCAGAGGGCAGCACATTTGCGATCTCGTTAGACGAAGTGGATACTATCTCTGAGCTGGGAAAGGGAAACTACGGCACAGTCTTTCTAGTACGACATGCTCGTCCAAAACTGCGGCGGCCTGGCCTGGGCCTGCGCGGTAACATGGTGCGGCATTCATCACAATCAGTGACAAAACTGGACGAAGATATCGGATCTCACACTCCGACTGCAGGAACGAGTGGGCTTGTCATGGCGATGAAAGAAATCCGTCTTGAATTGGAGGACTCCAAGTTTGCCGCCATCATAATGGAGTTGGATATCCTACATCGCTGCATATCACCCTTCATTATTGACTTCTACGGAGCATTCTTCCAGGAAGGTTCGGTCTACATATGCATTGAATATATGGATGGCGGTTCCATCGACAAGCTCTACGGGGACGGCGTACCTGAGGGAGTATTACGGAAGATCACGCTGTCGACGGTGATGGGTCTGAAATACCTCAAGGACGAACACAACATCATTCATCGAGACGTCAAGCCCACCAACATCTTGGTTAATAGCCGAGGTCAAGTCAAGATTTGCGATTTCGGGGTCAGTGGCAACTTAGTCGCCTCTATAGCCAAAACAAACATTGGCTGCCAGAGCTACATGGCTCCTGAACGGATCTCAGGAGGTGGAATCGCTCAGGTCGGGGCTGGTGGAGGCACCTACAGCGTCCAGTCCGACATTTGGTCCCTGGGTCTCTCCATCATTGAATGTGCACTTGGCAGATATCCCTATCCGCCAGAAACATACGACAACATATTCAGCCAGCTAAGTGTAAGCAGGTCCTGTCTATAATGAGGAGTAGAAAGCTAATTTGTCCATCACAGGCCATTGTTGACGGAGACCCTCCAGATCTGCCAGGAGATAAATTCTCCGAAGCTGCGATCGACTTTGTACGCGGCTGTTTGAACAAGATCCCGCGACTTCGGCCCACATATGCAATGCTTCTGAGACACGCATGGTTGGCGCCTATGATGAAGCCCCCGACGATTTCGGAAGATGAAGATGGCGAACAAGCCGCCGAAGCTGGCATTGAGTCTGCCTTCTCCAGCGACAGTGCGCCTGATACAGCGGACAAAGAAGTGGCCGACTGGGTGGAGGGTGCGATGGAGAGGAAGAAGGCTGGAAAGATGGCGGTCAGTAAGAAGCCTGCGTTACATGAGGCGCCCCTGGACGCCGTGCCTGGGAGTTCTCTGCTCGCCCAGCAAGAAGGACTGCCTCAGGCAGAGGACACGAATTTGGCACACATCAAAGCCAATCCGGGCGTCCCGGTTGACTCTCCGGACTTGACGGCGGAAAACGTCGAGGGTCTAGATTTTGCTTCTGCTTCATGATGGACGGCTGCAAGGCTACGGAATGTTATGATGACACCCTAGATTAGTGTACCGATAACGAGAAACGAGAGAGTGGTTTGGTAGCAATCTCCGGGCACCGAGAAAGAAAATACCTGCGAATTCTCGCCTGATAGGGGCGGAGGATAAACTGTGGGTGGAAGGGATAGTGGCGGTAGACACACGCTCAGCTCCTCCCACTACACAGATGTATTCCACACTGCTAGGTTGCCCGTGCTCTGGCCAGTTTGTTTTAGGAGATAGAGTCTAACGTTGTATTCTAGCACAGGGTGATTGTGGTGGTTGGTATAGGAATTTGAAAGGCCAGATTCAGACATAGCACTGTAACACCACCTAAAATATTCCGAATATGATGTCAGCCAGGTTCTGAAGCGATGACATCCGTCTTCACCACCGCCGCCGCCAACGCCAACGTCAACGCCACCTCTACTCATCAGTATCTGCTTGAAGCTACCGTCTATCTCTGCGGTACGATCTAGTCAATGGCCCACCCTCGAAGGGACATGACAAGTCGTGAAATCTCAACAGCTGCTCATCCTCCACAGAGCGACAATGCCAGCACTTGCCCGCAGATTCCTGATCTGGGCGGCGGTGGACGGTCTCATCCTCCAAGCTCATGGGCCTGCTGAGCATAAAAGAACCGTTCAAATCGACTACCAGAAGCGGCAAATAAAGGAGCTTGCGGACGATGAGGCCGGGCCCCGAAAGGGTGTCCCGCTGGAGTCGCACGGCATCATCGGTAGGATGCCCGTCGTGTCTCGAGCCAACCGAATGGGATAACTCAAGTCTTTCATAGGCATCCTTTCGATCGCGTCTACTTCCTTTCTGATTACCATTGTTCAGCGAGAGCAAGTGGCCCAGCTCTTTGGGAAACCCGTTTACGGCATTACCGATGTCGCCCTCCTTCCACTGTCTTCGCAGGCCGAGGCGGACGAAGCCATTGCTGCAGTCACCGCATCACGAAGCTCGACCGCATCCACGGCCGGTTCTGACTCAGAGTTAAGTGATCCCGGAGAGGGAGACGACGATGACAGTCTGTCCAGCGATGCCGAATCCGAGAGACCTATCGACAGCAAGCCTGCCCTGCACCGCAGCCCCAGTGTCACGAGCATCGCCAAAGATGTCTGGACTAATCGTGGCCAATATGGCAGGTTCGCGTCCCAGTGGTTCTCGGGGAGAGGTTGGGGCATGAGCAGGACTGCCACCGAACCGCCTGTGTCTTCGACTGCGGAGCCGACGTCTGAAGGCGGTGCAGCAGCTGCAGCAAGCCTAACTGAAGCAAAGAGCCACACACCTCCTGAGAGCGAACCGGCCCAACCGGCCGAGCAGATCGTGACCGCTGGTGGCTCCATCAAAGATGCCTTGCCTAAGATCCTCCGAACCACCAAGATGATTTTGACATCGGGCAGCTTTTTCTTCTCATACGATTTCGACCTCACGAGACGACTAGCACTCATGACGGGAACAACAAAGGCGCCGTCGCCGGACTCTCTCGACCCATTGGTAAGAGGACTCCCGTCATTGACTTGATTCAGACCCAGGCTAACTGGTCTAGTACTTTTGGAATAGACGACTGGCAACACCCTTCCTGGAATCGCGACAAGACTCGTTACTTGTGCCGATTTTGCAAGGGTTTGTAGGGCAAAGATCGTTCGTTGTTAGAAAATCTAGCCATGGCGACGAAGAGTCAGCAGGTGTGGTGTCAGTCGAGGATGGCAAAGACTCTACAGGACTGGCACATGCCACCACCCAAGCTAAGCAGAGCCTCGCGACCATGGGCGAGGAAACCCAAGAGTATATCCTAACTTTGATCTCTCGTCGATCAGTCAAACGATCGGGGTTACGATATCTACGACGAGGCATTGACGACGAAGGCAACTGCGCAAACGCCGTGGAAACCGAGCAGATCTTATCAGCCCCGGACTGGTCTCCCGCTCGAGGGATTCGATCTTTCGTGCAGATCCGCGGCTCGATCCCGCTGTACTTTTCTCAGTCGCCCTACGCGCTCAAACCGATTCCAATGCTCCATCAATCGGCAGTCAAGAATGAAACGGCGATGAAAAGACACTTCCACGACCTCAAGAGACGGTATGGAGGTGTCCAGATTGTAGCATTAGTGGACAAACACGGAAACGAGGTGGTCATTGGTGATGCATTCGAAAAGACGGTCCGCTCTTTGCAGGAATCCCACCAACTTGAGGACGTGCAATTCGAATGGTTCGACTTTCATTCTGAATGTCGCGGCATGAAGTTCGAGAATGTGTCGAAACTGGTGCAGAAAATTGAGGATGTCATCGCTAGGTATGGCGAGACAGTCATTTCAGGGAGGGGGGTCGAGGTGATGCAATCAGGGACTATTCGCACCAACTGCATGGACTGTTTGGACAGGACCAATGTGGCCCAGAGTGCCTTTGGACAGTATATGTTGCAGAAAGACCTGGGCCAGGAGGGGTTTGAGATCGATCTCCTCCACGACGAGAGCACAACTTGGTTTAACACTCTTTGGGCTGACAATGGCGATGCCATATCTCGCCAGTATGCTTCGACCGCGGCGTTGAAAGGTGACTTTACCCGGACACGACGGCGCAATTACCGGGGGGCTCTGAACGACTTCAGTTTGACCTTGACGCGGTATTACAACAACATGGTCAACGATTATTTTTCTCAGGCTGTTATCGATGTGCTGCTGGGCAACATCTCGTGGAAGATCTTCGAGGACTTTGAGAGTACGATGATGGCGGCTGATCCCGGCATATCGATCGCCCAGGTGAGGGAGACCGCCATTGAGAATTGCGCCAAACAGGTCATACAAGACGAAGACGAGGACCTCATCCAGGGGTGGACGATGTTGACACCGGCGCACGACAACACCTTGCGCACGCTGCCATTCGAAGAAGCAGTAGTCCTTCTGACGGATGCGGCTGTCTATTGTTGCAGATTCGACTGGACGACCGAGAAACTGGCGTCGTTTGAAAAGATCGACCTGCGATCAGTCTCGAAAATCCAGTGGGGTACGTACATCACGTCCACTTTCAGTGAGCGACAGATGAACGAAGAGCTGAATGCTGGCGTGGTGATCATCTACCATCCGGGCAGGGGGAGTATGATCCGAACCAACACTCGATCTTTACAGAACTATGTTGCCCCGAAGGCAGATGACTCGCCCGAGAGCCGAATTGACGGAGGCACAGGGATTCTCTCCTGGCTCAGCCCAAGCTCGCCGCCGTTGTCCAGGACGCTGGCGCTGAAAGTGATTCCCACCAGTACGCAGCCAGATTCGCCGAAGCAGCAGAGCCGCAGTGAGGTGCCCCTCTTTGTGGCCGAAACCATTGCAGGCGACATCCGGAGGGCGATCGTGGGCGCAGGGGAGCAGAGTGACCGAGCGAACGACGGGCTGGTCGAGAAGCAAGACATCATTTCGCTCGCCGACGCAAAGCAGCGCACGGGATATTTTGAGCAGCTGGGATACTCGATCAAGAAGATGGTGTGGGCGTAGGCGTGGGGGTAGGCATCGGCGTCGGCGTCGATGTAGGCCATGTACGAGGCACACCAACAGGACAGGTCATTAGGCGGCATGTACTGTGTACATTGTAGATGAATGTACAATGATGAGAGAAGACCAGTGACACGGATCCACCGGGGCGACGATGATTGACGATTGATGTGGTGCTTCGTGTGGTGTCGTTCAAGGTGCCCGTCGCCATCGCCGTCCATTCATTCTGCACCCTGGATGGCGGGTGCGGAGCAGAATTTCCATCCCAAGAAACTTGCAACCGGCCACCCACACGCTGCGCAGCCCTCAGCCCTCTGCCCTGGTCTGCCATCTAATATCTATCCGTCCACTACAGTTCCCCATCCATCCGTCGCTTCAATGCTCGATTTCTGTCTCTGTTGCCGCGTATACCCCGGCTGTCATTGTTTCATCTGTCTTTGACCTGCCATTGGCCCCCGGCTGCGCCCTCCTACACCCCTCCTACGCCAGAAAATTCGCAATTTATCGACGACTTTACCAGGGCAGCCTGACTGTCACTCTGTCACTACGACCTTGTGCCCTGGATTGCCACTGTCCTCTCCTCGTCGCCACCGGACCTCACGATCGACAGCAGGCGCCCCAGACCGTCCCACCGTGATCTACGTGCCAACAGCCTGTCTCCGGCTTCGAGGTCTGCCATTTAGTTGGACAAGGCCAGTGGGCGACGGTGCCCGTCATGGCGTGGCAGCCGGCGGAGGATGGATTGAGACAGCTGTCTGAATACCTCAAAAACTCGTTGAGTGGACATGACAGGAACAAACAGAAAGAGGCTGAGCAGGTAGGCTGAAAACAACAAACCTTCTGCGCCGACTGCGCACTGCGTTGAGGCCGATGGCTGACTGTCTTCGTTGTAGATGCTCACGAATGCCCGGAACAACAACGACTATGTCAACTATCTGACCTATATCTTCAGCAACCCGCAATTCGGACAGCAGTTGAGCTTGAACCCACCCAGTTTGTTCCTCATCCGCTATGCCGCCGCCATCAATCTCAAGAACCATTTGAAATTCTTCTACCACAGCATTCCCAAGGATCAATTGGCGTATATCAAGTCCGCCACTCTCAGCGTTCTGCGCGACCCCAACCCTCAGCTGCGAAGTTTTTCCGGCACGGTGATCACGGAGACGGTACAACAGGGAGGGTTGCTGCAATGGCCTGAGATTCTACAAGAGCTATTATCGCTGGTCAGCAATTCCCCTGGGAATGTCCCGCCCGAAACCCAGGAGGGCGCCATGGCTGCACTGGCCAAAGTCTGTGAGGATAACAGAAAACTGCTGGACAAGGAATACCAGGGTCAGAGACCAATGTCAGTGATGGTTCCCAAGCTGCTGGAATTTGCAAGCCATCAGAACCCCAAAATCAGGGTGTTAGCGTTGAGCACCTTGAAATCCTTCATCCCGCAGAAGTCCCAAGTACTGTTCTCGGCTCTGGATGTCTATCTGCAAACAATCTTCCAGCTCGCCACCGATCCGGACGTGCAAGTGAGAAGGATTGTTTGCCAGTCACTCGTTCAGCTGGTCGACTCACGGCCTGATATGCTTGCCCCCCACATCGATGGTCTGGTAAACTACATCCTGGCACAACAGCAGACACCAGGGAGTCCCGACCTGGCCCTGGATGCTGCAGAATTTTGGTTGAGCGTGGGTGAACAAGAGCAGCTCCGCGACCAAATGGGCCCATACCTGGAGCGAATCATCCCTGTGCTTTTAGCAGGCATGGTATATGGAGAGGATGAAGTATCTAGGCTCGGCGGGGACGAAAATAATGCCGATGTCGAAGACCGCGTAGAGGACATCAAGCCACAGTTTGCCCAATCCAAAGCCGGGCGAGGTGTCACCTCAGAAAAGGAGGAAGCCCCAGGCACGCCGCAAGCAAACGGGACTTCGTCCAAGGATGCAGATCTCAGTGAAGGAGAGGTTGAAGACGAGGACGAAGACGACGAGGAGTGGGATGACGAGGATCCGGAAAATGCCTGGAGTCTACGTAAGTGCTCGGCGGCGGCATTGGACGTCTTTGCGGTGAACTATCATTCCGCCGTCTTCAACATCATCCTCCCCTATCTCAAGGAGAATTTGTCCCATAACCTGTGGCCGAAGAGAGAAGCAGCCGTGCTCGCCTTGGGAGCCATTGCCGAAGGGTGCATGGAAGTCGTCTCACCGCATTTGCCGGAACTGGTTCCGTTCCTGATTTCTCTTCTCAACGATGAAGAGCCAGTTGTCAGACAGATCACCTGCTGGTGTCTGTCCCGATATTCGGAATGGGCGTCGAGGCTGGAGTCTCCGGCCGACAAACAACGGTATTTCGAGCCGATGATGGAGGGCCTCCTAAAACGAATGCTTGACCAGAACAAAAAGGTGCAGGAGGCCGGGGCTAGTTCCTTTGCGAGCCTCGAGGAGAAGTCCGGGGACAAGCTCAAACCCTACGTCGAGCCGATTCTTCGCCAGTTCACAGAATGCTTCCGAAGGTACAAGGACAAAAACATGTACATTCTCTACGACTGCCTGCAGACTCTTGCCGACAATGTGGGATCCGAAATGGCCAAACCGGAATTGGTCAACCTTTTGATGCCGGTTTTGATCGAACGCTGGAATAAGATTCAAGACGACTCGAGGGAAATGTTCCCTCTTCTTGGCTGCCTGGGCTATATCGCCATGGCCTACGGGGACAACTTTGCACAATTCGCCCCTCCCATCTTCGACCGGTGCATCAAAGTCATCTATTCCAACCTCCAGCATCACATGGCCTTCATGTCCGGGGCGACAGTGGACCAGCCGGACAAAGACTTCATCGTGACGGCGTTGGATCTCTTGTCCGCCATCATCCAAGCAATCTCGGCTGAAAAATCCGCACCGTTGGTCCAGAACTCCCAGCCTCAATTCTTCGACCTGCTCTCCTTTTGCATGGAAGACCCGACCACGGACGTTCGACAGTCAGCCTACGCCGTGCTTGGTGACTGCGCGATCGCTCTCTCCAGCTCCTTGGATCCATACCTGCCCAAACTTCTTTCCATTGCTATCCGCCAGCTGGACCTGGACGCCATGCCAGATGACGATTCGGAGAACGGGTTCAACGTGCTCGCCAACGTATGCTGGTCGATCGGCGAGATCGCCGCTCGCGCCCCGACATCGCGGATCTCGCCGTTCATCGAGCCGCTGTATCAAGGGTTGATCGCGATCATCAAGAATGAAGAAGTTCCCGACCCGGCCTGCGAGAATGCCGCGACCGCTCTTGGCCGATTAGGGATCCCTTGCCCGATCCACCTTGCTGCGTTTCTGAAAGACTACGCGGAACCGTTCTTACAATCCATGTCGAAGATTTCCACATCGCACGAAAAGGCGTCAGCTTTTCTGGGCTTCAACAATGTCATTGAACGTAACCCGCAGGCCATGGAGAGCAGCCTGGCCCTATATTTTGCTGCGATCGCGCAATTCCCTCAAAAGGGCAAGCAGGGCGCGGAATATAGTGAAGTCCGAGCCAGCTTCGCCCGAGTCATCCAGGGATACATCGGCTTGATCGGGGCCGAAGGATTCAACGCCTTCTTATCCGGGTTGAGTCCGCCGGTCAGAGCGAAGTTGAGAGATGGATACGGTGTGGGGATGGGTTGAGTTGAAGTTGACGTTGACGTTGACACAGCAAGACAATCGGCATAGAGGGCGACAAGAAAAGAGCGCGGGGCAGGGAAGAGAGCAAAAAGGGAAGAGAGCAAAAAGGGAAGAGACAGAAAGAAAAGGGATTTGGACCACCACAGCGGGGGAGCAGCGTCACTACATGGTAGAAGGCAGCGTCGAGCGGAATCGAGATCGAGGTCGAGGTCGAAGTCGAGGTTGAGCTTGATCCCTTTTGACTTTTGAAGTTGAACGAGGGGATACGAAGGGATAGGTATCTCAGGTAGATAGGGGCAGCACAGTTTTTTGAGAGTTACGAAACGATACATAGCTAGGTACCAGGTAGCTTCTGGCTCGTCTAAAGGCCTCGATCTCGATCCTACATTAACAACACCGACACCAACATCAATGTGTCCTCAGCCCTCCCACAAGGGTTAGGGCTGTCTTGTCTGTCTGTGCGTCGGCATCGTCATATGCACCAAGAGCTGCTGCGATTTCTGACTCCTGACTCCTGACTCCGCGGAAGGACCCGAATCCTTCAATCCGGATGCCAGAGCTTGCCAGTCCTTCGTCGGGCTTCTCATCTGTGTAAAACACTTGCATCAACAATAGACCGTTTCACCCACATCAGCCGTTCTCGAATGTCGGCCAATCTCTTTGTATCTGCCAACATGCACTTCACAATCTCGTCCATGATGGGTCCTTGTTGGTCTCGGTCTCCATCCCCCTGGCGTAGATGGCTGGCATAAAGCTCCTCTTCCCAACGGCTTCTCTCCAAGATATCGGCTCCACGGGCCTTTCGGCCTTCAAAAATCAAGGAGGGCGGTGAAGAATGCATCCACACCACACTTGCGATTTCGGGTGCCTGCATGACGCCCATGTTCTGGGTTAGGATATGTCCAAGGTGGATTGCGGTTTCCTTCAACTCAGCCTTGGTGGGCGGGAATTTTTGTATCCGCCACAAATAGAGGCTGGTCATCTTGTCAACTAGAAAGAACTGGCTGCTCCCTGCAGGAGACCATCGGACAAACTCATATACCCAGTCCTTCGGGGGGGGGTGGCGTCCTGTATCTCCGAAAAGACTTCAAATATGTCCCATTCCTTCAACGCCTGATGGGGTATGAGTGATGCCGTGCTTGGTGGTGGAAGAAAAGAGTAGCTGGTCCTCAGACCGATCATCCAGGCTTCGACTTTGCAACTTTCCTTGCCTCCCCCAGCAAGGCTGAGATATCGGGAAATGAGCGAAGTCGATAGAGAACCGTCGTCTTGATAACCACAGGGATTTACGCGAGCAACTGCACACATAAGTGTTACGTAGACCAGGTTCCTCAGGGAGCGCTTGGATGGGAAAAGAGGAAAAACCGGAAAACCCGAATTAAGGTTTTGACACTGCCAGTGGAGGCTGATCTCTTGACTTGTATCAAGGTACAGTTTCAGCATAGATATCACGTCATTGCTGAAATGATGCAAGAACGGAATAGCCTGGCAGAGCATAACTGCTGCGGCATGCGCTGCTTTCGCTGGATCCAGGTCGCGCAACTTGGCTCGCACATAAGGTAACATGTCCAGTGCCGCGGCATGAGAAAACATCGTATTTTCCACAGGAGAAAGTTCTGGTGAGATGACTGTTACCAATGGAGCGCTTGGAGGGCGGATCAGTGCTCTCCATGACGTGGTCCGGCGGCAGATTTCGGTATGCAGCAACTTGTAAATGATATCCACAACATATGTAGTGGTGCTTGTCCATGACTCTGCTGGTATCGCCCCTAACAACCGTATCTTTTTTTCATATGACCACGGGCGAGTCAAACATCCAGGTACAGGGCCGAGGGCCAAGCGCACAGCAGCATCATGGTCTGAAATATTGCACGATTCCAGAAGCTTGCGTGCACGCTCGTTGTCTTGCAAGAAGTCCTGGGCGCTTCGGTGGATGAAGGACACTTTCACGAGGCTGGCATCTTTGACGGCATCGGGGACACCATCAAAAACCCAATGGTCGTCCAGGGAAACTTGCGTAAAACGGGTCTTCGGTGATATTGTTGTCGGACTAGAACTCCGTACCACGCTGCGCAACTCGACCAGGTGCGCACATCTTACCACAACGTTGCTTCTAGTCCGACAACCATATCATTCAAAGTCGAGAAATAGTGGTCGCCAGGTTTTTCTGGAACTAGCAGCAGGTCTTCTAGCGGCTGCGAAGCCACGCCCAAGTCAAGTAGAGAGAGGACTAGACCGTTTCTGCAGGCAAAGTCAATGAGTCGAAGATAAGGCTTCGGATGCTTTGCATAATAGTCGTCCTGCCGCTCGAGGAGATGTGTGAACAGGTCGTGCATCTCGCGTGGGGATTGTTGCACCCGCCGGTTGAGGTCCTCTTCGTCATCTCCATGATCTGCGGCATTTCTAAGATCCTCCGCTACCATATGGGCCCACAAGAAGACCCCCTCTGCACGCGTGGCAATCTCGCCTGCAAAACGAATGGCGCGGGTCCCCTGAAGCCTGTGGCGGCAAGCTATCATGATGTCGTTATAGTTCAAGTCCTGCAATTGAAAAGATGGGCATTGCTCGAAGGCCCTTCGAAACGGACCCTCCGGACGACTTGAACAACATATTCTGATCTGAGGAGAGCTTTTAGAAAGCGATTGAATTGCGTCTAGCAACAGCTGGCGGCCTTTGTCGACCTCATCTAGACCATCCACCAAAAGGATATAGTTGAAGTCAGAATGCTGGAGCGCATAATGGAACCAGGATTTCAACTCATTGTCTGTCCAGAATCGAGATTGGGAACCATGTTTGGCAAGAGCTGACCGGAGGCTTTGTGGGGCAGTGCTATCTGTGTTCTCACGAATCTTGACTGCAAGGTTTTGGTCGACATCCAAAATCTGGAAGCACAACGACCGCCAAAATCCCTGGAGAGACTTGAGCAGAGGGCTTGAAGCGGGCCGGAAGAACCAAAAGCTGAGTAATCGGGTGGGCCTCGGTGTAGCCCATCGTATCCGGATTGATTTGTCTATGCATTCCTTCCGCAGATTGTTGTAAATGAAATCCATGAGAGAGGACTTCCCGGATCCTGGCTTTCCATTGACCCAGAAAACACCCACACCACTCTGAAGCCACTCCACAAGCGCCTGTTTTTGAACCGGGTACGTATCAGCTGCGAAAACCCAGCGATAGGTTGTGCCGAAATCCCCCACTCGGCCCTCTATCATATTGCGACGCTCGTTCATTTCAGGGAACGCCAAGGTATCGAGAAGTCGGTTCAGGAGAGCGTCTTGCTCCTCTTCTTGCATATAGTGCAATTGCGCCTGGTGTTGGGCCAAACTCGCCTTCAGCTGCAGATCCTGGGCACTGAGATGCGCCCTTACGTTTGTCTCGGATCGGCCAATGAAGCAAGGGACGTCAGTTGACAGCATATGCATCGTTTGCTTGGATTCAACATCTTGTTGATCCAAGCGGGTCATTATATCTGACGTGGAGACCTTGACTTGTGCAATAGTTTCGTTTGTCAGTAGCCGCTGGCTGGATAAGACTTGGACAACGACAGCCCTCTGGCCGTCTGAGAGTTTTTGGAACTCATCTCTCCGAGTCAGGTCGGCCTCGCCAGATTTTATGCTGAGAGAAATGTTAGCATCGGGGCGGGCCATGGAGCACTTCAGCGGGCTTGGATCCCAAAACTTTCTTTGCCATGAATTCTTTGTGAACTGCAGACATATACAGAGACCCCAACGGACTGGACGAGGGCCGAGGCTTACTAGAGATCTTTCAAGATGCCCGACCGTAGTGCGGTATCATAGCGTCCCAGTCTCCTTTGCAGAGTCCGGATGGTCCCTCTCTTCGCAATGGTATTTATCGCGGCCCTGAAATTCCCACACAACCTTTGTTTGTCCGAGACTTTGAGAGTATTGAGGAATTTCCTGAGCTCATTGGCAGTTGTAGAGACATCGTGAGCGATGGTTTCCAGCTCGGGAAAGCGAGAATACGGAGCCTTCTTCTCGAGGGTTGCTTCAACACTTTGATTCGCAGATGCAATGTTAGTAGCATACTTTTCGATCTCATTGTTCTCATCCAAGGATCCTCGCTTGTGCAGTTGTTTGCATACGAGCACTACCTCGACGCAGTGTTCGACGAGCTGAGCGACATTGCACCCGAGGGACAGTGCAGAGATAGGATCCATGGACGTAGTCAAGGAGGGCCGTCTCAGTGTCGAAGGATAGGAGCATGCTTGATATGATGGGCGCCGATGGTATGCGTGCGGTGCCGACCACGACGGCCGTACTTCTGAGGTGCATGCTGTTGCAACAAGGAGGAGGAGACGAGGGTTTGAAGTGCCGGTCAGGCTGGTGCTCGCGAGGTACCCTGCAGTCAGGCTGCCGCTGGGCTGAACTCTGAATGGCGGTGTACATCAAGGGCAGAGGTCGCCATTCGCCGGTGTCTACAGTACCATGGGAAGAAGATTGCAGTATCACAGCAATCGTATTCGCGGGGAGGGATGTCGTCCAGACAGGGCAGGACTGGTAGGTGACTGGTGCACCCAACCCCGCATGAGCCTGCACCACCTGGCAGCCTGCACCCTCAGATTATGGAGAGACTAGGGAACCACGCCCCGAGCCGCCCCTGATGCCATGATTGCCATCTACTACTGTCTCTACTATTACTAGTAAGATCCTAAGGCTTCCCTAATGCTGTCAAGGAGACTAAGATGGCTCCTCAGAAATCATATGGCGCAGAGAAGAACACGGTTGCTGTCTATTCCAATGCTCTCTGACAACATAGGTGAATATATATGTTACAGGTACCGGGATAAAGACCAGGTCAGTTCTTGATCAAACCCAATTCAAACCCTCTCAGCTAACTAATGCCCCTACGGGCCACTCAGGTGCCCCGAAGCCCGTCCATCATGGTCACTCACCGGTTGCATCAACCCCGCCACAGAGACAAGGGCGCGAGAATTGGCGTACATCCAGCAAGACTGGGACAGGGATGGTTTAAACACCGCCTATCATCTGGTTATCACGGAACATGACACATACTGATCAATTGGTTGCAGAAGAGAAACCCTTATCGCGAATATTTCACCTTTGGCGGTAGCGGCAGACCCTGGGAATCTCAGGCCTCACATACATCTGGGGACTTAGTAGATCAGAGGAAAGTCAATGAAGAGGAACAAAATCTCTATTGAGAGACAAACACTGTACTGGACTCGAAAGGAGACACCGACCGTCTTGCACTTACAAGCAAGCAGCTTGGTATCGAATGCTAATGCTGCCTCGGAGAGGGTGCTCGGAGAGGGACAAAACGATACAACTGGCCCCAATTCCATCAGTTCAAGTAGGGCCGCCTTTTCAAGTGGTGGCAATTTCTCTCGACGGCAGACTCGCTGCCCCTTGTCACTGCCTTCCCCTGTTCAGCCCTTGGGCACTCACCAAGAAATCTCAAGGTTCCAGAACATTCGTCAGTCCAAATGAGAAGTCGCCCACAACCTGTCCGGGTGGATCATGTAGTAACAAGGAAGACTCGCCGAGTCAGCCAAACGCCAATGCAATAGACTTAGCTGAGCTTTAAATCCGCGCTTGGTCGCCGGTCAAAAAAAAGGGCTTCTGTGCTGAAACTGAATGCTTTTTGCGCCACCAAATAACCGACCGCCTCGATTGGTTAGTCCGAAAGCCGACGGGTGCGCTGCTGGTCTAGACCATGATAGTTTTCTGGGCAGGAGTAAATGTGTATCTGGCCAACAAAGCCATCTTCTCTTCCGGACTTGTCTCGTTATCAGAGTACACCAACCTGGTTGTTTTGGGCTTCTCCTTATCTTTGTCTTTCTTCTCCGCCTTGTCCTCGGTGGTCTCTTCCTTGGCAGGGGCGGAGGTGGGCGGGGGTATTTGCGGTGGTGCTGTTGCTGTTGCGGCTGTTGCGGCATTGGCATCCGCTCGCTTCGAGGCACTCGCAATCAAATCATCTAGAGATGAAGCATTTTGGCCATCATCGGCAGATGAGGGGGTTGGCAGGCTGGCAGGTGGCGGATGTTGCGCCACAGGATTCGGCGAGGCTTCGTGCGAGCGATGCTGAAGTACAGTATGCGTTTGAGGAGCAGGAATCTGGCCTTGATGCATCTGCTGGAATTGGAAAGCATTGACAGACGGAGCACCAAATGCTGGTCTCTGCGGCAATCCTGGAGCACTAGGTAGACTTACACTGCCAGTACGAACTGGTGCAGGGAAACTGCCATTGGTAGTGGGAGAATGAGCTCGTTGTGCCAAATGCATGGGTGGAGACTGTTGATGAAACCCTGGTGCTGGCGACACTGTGCCATATGGACGAGGGGGCAGGCCAGCCTGGCCATGATAAGACTGTCCTGCATATGTCGGCTGATATGGGGGAGGTGAAAAGCCAGGTTGTGGTGGGTAGCCCATTGGCGGCTGTTGTTGCTGGAATAATGGCTGCGGTGGCTGGGCATACGGTTGGTGCGGATATGCCACAGGTGGAACTTGACCATAGGCTGGTTGTCCGGGCTGTGGCGTTGAGGCCTGCGCGTAACCTACAACAGGAGGCGACCCAGCAACTTGGAAAGTATTTGGTGCTTGATAGGGAGCAGCAACTGCAGCTGGAGCTTGGGTGAAAGAAGGAGGCTGACTGTACGAACCGTTTGTAGTTGGTGCAGTGTATGGTTGCTGGTAAATGGGATACGCTGGAGAGGCGGCCTGGACGCGAGGTTAGCTTTATTGACCCGACCTAGGTTTCTTGGGGACTTACCGAAGCTGGTTGAGGTTGGCTTTGCCCTAGAGTCGGAGGGTTCGGAGTGTCGCCTCCACTGCTTCCTCCATGCTGCTGCTCAGCGGCCATTTTCGCGGCTTTGTGCTCCGCTAAACGCTTCTTGAGCTCCGAGACCGACTCGAGTTTTGGTTTCTTGGGCGCATTAGGACCCAGGCTGCCTTGGGCGAGCTTACTACCACCTGCCTGCCGCTCAGCTTGCTCTTGGTGATAGGCAGTCAGGACGCGCTGCGCGTGTTGTTGAACGATATCCTCTGGAATGCCTTCCATGCCAAATATCTCAATATCCAGACCAGCCCGGTTCGGGAGAGCGTTGTCCACTGCCGTCAGGTTTTCTTTATGGACTTGACTCATGTGCACACTCAACCCTGTCATTTCGTTAAGCGCTGCCAGGTGAGAAAGGAAGACGGGGTTGACATACCTCCCGCAGTGTTCAAGCGACGCCCACATCTTTCGCACTTGAAATGTTTCGCCTTCTGATGGTTAATCAGGATTTTAAGATCATCGAAGTCGCGTTCACAGTAATAACACCATGGCCGGGAGAGGATCTCTTCGACATCGGGATGATGACGCTTCTTTTTGGTCATGATGAGCCGAGACGTGGACTATTCAGAGAGGATACTGATGCGAATGTGGGGAAACGCTAATCACCCGCGAGGATGGACGAAGGGAGATAGATATAGCACAAACAATTGCACCGTGGCGAGTGGCAAGAAAGTGTTGAGCGTGAAGTGAGAAGTGTCAAGTCGAGGTCAAGCAGCGCAGCCTGTGGAAAAAGTGGCTGGCCGGACGTCCTCCTTGCCAAGGCCGGGAAAAGGTAATGCCGGCACCGAAGGGGTAGCCTTGCTACAGCCTCATTAACCACCACGGCATACAGGAGTACGGATAATACCCAATGTATCCGTACTGCCTACAGGAGTATTCTGGACAACCAATGGTTCGAAGAACAACCACAACTGGAGGTTGCCTTATTTATAGGTAGTTATCAACAGAATTTTAGCGACCGCGCATCACCTGCCTGAAAGACGTGGGTTTCTCGACTCCGGCTGTCCCAATTCCGGGTCCCTGCATCATATCAAAACAGCCAACCTTTCCCCTTCAGGTGCTTGTCCGCCTCGTTTTCCGTAGAGACCGCCTCTTTGGAGGCGTGATGTCATCCACAGTGATTGAATCGCTTTCCTCCTGTTTCAAACTTGCTCTCGAGCACAAGCTGTCATTCAACTCGGTATCGTTTTGCCACGAGACATCAGCTTGTGTTCTCGATCCCTGTATCATCTCCATATCGGAACGGAGAGGTTGATGATCATCATCTTTTCCTTTTTCTTCCTCTTCTTCCTCCTGGTCCTCCTCCGCCTCATCATGATTCAATGGGTGTTTGACTTCCAGCTGCCCTGATCTATTCCATTCTTTCTTTGTTCCAACAGCTCGCTTCACTGTCTCCCGAGCTCCTAGCACCTCGATTGTCCCGTCAATTGGTGCAGTGGGAAGTATAATTCGGCCATTAGCCGACCGTGCCTTGGGCTTCGTCGGTGCTCGTTTCGGCTTTGAAGTTTCGTCGGGCTGGTTGTCCGGTAGATTTTTTTTACCTCGAGGTCTCTTGTCCTTATTCGCCGCCTTCCAGTATGCCCACTTTTTGAACATGCTGAAGCTTCGGACTGGATTGACCCCATTGATGATCTTTTCTTTCCAATCTTCAGCCTGGTCTGGATCGTCGTGTAGCCACAAGTGGTCATGCTTGACTGCCTCGACTAATTCTTCATCTGTCCATTTACGAGCGCGTAATGAAGCCGGTGACAGCCCTTCCCAGGATGTCTTGGCCGTTCCAGAAGCCGGACCATCTTCAGTTGCGGACGTGCTCATCGCCGACTCTTGTGCCTCTCTTGCCTTGGTGTACTGGTTTGGGTGTGGTTGTTTTGGTTTGCTTTGAGTATTGAGTCTCTGGCGTTTCGCATTTGGTGTGTCTTCACCGCCGTCGACTGCAGGGGTATTCGCTCGCTTCTGGCCAGGGGTTGACGGGCTCGATGGAACTTCCGACACCTCCCGCGTGGGCGGATGCTTCTTCCCGTCAAACCGGGTTCGGGTCAGACGCTTGTCCACAGGCTTGGATGGCGCTTCGCCCGAAACCTCGCTCGTTGGAGTCTGAGGTCGAATGATTTCACCATTCTCATCGACGTTTCGCCTGACATATGTAATGTTGTACTCGTCATGGTGAGTCTGCAGCTTAGGAATGAGGGATTTGCCGTCTTTGACGACGGGAACCCAGCCATCGATGTTCTTTGGGTTTCGGGCATTGGCCAACTTGGCTTTGTACTCCCGCTCCTTGGGGACAAAGCCACCTTGTTCGAACGGTTCCTGGAACAGTCGCACCTCATGCTTTTCGCGTTCAGTGAGATCGTCGGCATGCCTCAGGCCCGGGATGCCGGCATGGAGCAATGCCGGCCGGTTCGGATCGTACTTGTAGTTGTACAAGGCGGCCTCCTTGCGTTCATTGAAAACGTCTTGCTCCGGTAGCGCCTGAGGGTTCTTCGCATGATTCTTCCCTTTGAGGTTTGCGATTTGTCGTTCCAAATCCAGGTATTCGTCCTGGGCCTGTTGCATGGCGATCTGGTTGTTGGCACTGGCGGCGTACAGCTGTTTTCTGCCAAGGGTAGTGATATTTAAGAGAAATGCTTGCGGGTCATTCAGCGGTTGGAAGCCATCCTCATTCAGCTCTTCAGAAGTGTAAAGCTCGGGCCGGGTAGAGTCGCCAAAGGCGGATTGCCAGATGGAGTCGATATCCATGACAGACATGGTAAAGAGAAATAGAAACAGCGGCTTGCTAGCTGATTGTCCCCTCCATACAGCCGATGGGCAAATGATGATACAGTGGTGCACAGGGTACTTGTTCAAAATCAAAAAGACCGAGGGTTGGCAGAAGCACTAAGGATAAAGGTTAAAAGACCAGGAGGAGCCAGGGGAGAAGCTGTGGGTGTGGCGGGAACACCTGCTTTTGTGTCGAGGCCAGACAATAGAAATGCCCCGGATGCGACTCCAGACAGTCAACAATATGAGTGAATTGATTGTCAATGCAAAGGGTCTGGCAGAATGGTTTGAAGCCAGCGGCCCGATGGTGCTGGCTGAGCGAACGCCATCCTCAGCACCGCATTAACATAATACTACATACGACAGCCGGCCTCGGCCAATCAGCGTCGCCACGTCCGCACTAACCCAAGGGGGAAATATTTCTTGGCTGGAAATTTTCAGTGGGACGCAGAGTACGGAGTACGGAGAATACCTAGTAGGTACCTACCTAGGGGTACGTAGTATTTACTCCGTCCTATGTTGAGATATGGATAGACCTCTAGCTGCTGGCTATGTAGTACCCTGCCCTGGAGTAGGCGGGATGATGCTATACCATGCCACCGCATGGAGACAGACGTAGACGCTTTCTGTACAACCACAGTATCTGAGCATCTCGGAATGCCGGCACACGCTCGATCGGAGGCGGACGCGGAGGGTCATTGGACAGTCCATGTCCTGACCACTAGGTACTTGGTGTATCCTCTACTCTGTACACATAGTGCATGATCCGCTCGGTCTGTTCATGCTGTCGCTGTCGCTTCCTGGCCTTTTGCCGCCCGTTCCCTCAATCTCTTCTTCGTCTCCTTCTTTGCATCCTCCACCCAGGCATCATAGCTGCCGTCCTTGAGCTTCAACCCGACCACGCCCTTGAGGACCTCGCCCGTGAAGCCGACGAAATTGTGTCGGCGCAGAGCATTTTCCCAATCCCACTGCGCTCGTTTCCGTCTCTCTCTCGCTAGGCCCTCGTAGTCCTGAAACTCCTGAGCCTTGATTCTCAAATCCTGACAGACAACCATCAGATTAAACCGCACCTCGCCCGGAGGATACCTCTCGATCCGTCTGTGGAGCACAGGAATGATCTTCTCGGGGAACTCGTCGGGGGTGCATTTGCCGTGCGTGATGGGGTAGGGTTGTAGTCCGTCCAGCTCATACAGTTCGCCATGATGGCATGTATAGGCGATGAAATGGAAGACATCCTCTGTCCCCGCACTGGCGTCGCGCTGGGTCTCGTCCGCAAAGGGACTCGACCGTGCAAAGCTATTGTGTGTCTCTCGAATCAGGTCCGAATTGGACAGCGAGTCGCCTATCAGACCTGCCGGGAAGCCGGTTGTAAAGTCCTTGAACTCTTGTAGCGCAGGCCCTATCTCTATTCCTGTCCTCGTCGCGTCTGCACCGGGGGACGAAGCATTGGTAGACTTGTCGTTGTTGAGGATCACCGACAGGATGGCTTGTGTGCCGCAGGCGTTCTGGATGATCTGGGCTGCAAAGAATAGTCCTTCTTTGTCAGCCGCCACAGTGTCGTACGAGCCGTCCAGTGGAGCATCCTGGTTCTCAGAAGATGAACCAATCCATTTGAAGAGAAAGATGACGCCGTAAACGGGGCTGCAAGCAGGAAGCGGCACGTCAGCATCGATCGTAACTGGAGCGTGGTCTGGAAAAGCGCTCACGGCAGAATAAGGCCACGCACGACATTCACGTTACCTCAAAGCCCGAATGGAATCGGCATCTAATGATACCAGCTCTTCGAACTGCACCCCCTTGACTCCCAGCTGCTCGATCAACGATGTGAAGACGCCCTGGCGGGAAGAGTGCACAGTCAGCTCCCGTTTCTCTTTTCCCTTGCGGCACCCCAAAGCAGGAAAGCTCACGTACTTCGTCTGATTCGATGGTGCTCCAGCCACCGGCAGAGCCGCCTTCCGCCATTGTCGATGGGCGGAGAAGAGCACGAGAGAGGGAGAGGTATTGGCCGGAATGAGTGGAATTCTGAAGGGTAAAGGGTACGAGTAGGGTGCGCACAGATCGGTTAAACTGCGCCCGGGTTGGAGTGCTGGTCTGGCGTCCGCAAAGTCGGGACCAAGCTAAAGAACCTGGAGGTTGACACAGTTCGGATTCAGATCAAGATGATTCGTCTGCGTCCGAATGGGTGCATGAGAGAGGAGAGAGGCGAAAGGCGTGCGTTGTCAATGCCGCCCTGGAGGTTCCTGGCGTACAGTAACTCCGTAAGTTCCACCCTGGCAGGCAGGTGAAAGTTAGGTAAGGTACCTTAACTAATTAGTAGGCGTACTAGTATATGTACTCCGTATATGACGTTGATCAAGGACTTGGCTCCCTCCACTCTCCATCACCCAAGTAGGTCAGGTAGGTATACCGGTGTACGGAGTACACAGGACATGCTGTAGGTATAATACTAGGTGACTATGTAGTACCAAATACTCTGTACTTCATATTTCATACTTCATACCCGAACCCTGACTTGACTCTGGAGTTCCCTCGGCCATGTACATCCAACTGCTGCTTGAAAGACTGCATTGAGGAGCAAGAATGGGATAAGTGAGTGCTCATCAATCATTAGTACGGAGTACAGAATAAACCTAACCTCCTCCAATGCCTATACCATCGTATGGCACGGAACTGGTCAGCATCAGCAATCCCGACATCGACCAGCCCGTACGTCTTTCATATTGCAAGTAAGCCTCTTGAATCACCATCCTAAACGTAGCCAACGGGAGATTTCGACTCTCTTACCGGATTGTGCCCGCCCGATGGTCTCCTCTGGCTCCCAGCTGGCACTCCCAAGTCAACGCTTCGCTAATCCGTTGCTGGGGGTGTCCTGTCCATGAATATTCAGTCGCGAGGTTCATCAAGCTAAGAGCTGTCAAGGGGTGACGAACCGAACATTCGTGTCTACACGGCCGTATGCGTTGTACGGTGCTGCAATCTCTCCGAAGTAGTCCGTTTTCGAGCCTGACAGCTCGTGACTACTTCGCGGCTGTTGCAATGCTGTAGATCCGTACATCATGCCCATGGCCTGCGGACTGCCGGAGTCTAGCCTCGTCTCGCTCCACGAATGCGCGCGTCCGATGGAAGGAAAGGATGATTGTCGTCGTAGTCCACTCGGCCCAAGAGCTGCTTGGAAATAGGTCGAGCTTGGAATCGAGAGCCCACTACTGGGCCCATGGAGCAGCGAATTGGTGCAGAGCGATGGGGTGGGAGAGTCGCTGGTGGAAGATGGGAGCAGTACGAGCGGCGCTATGAAGGGACTTCCTTGCGGCGAGTAACGATACAGGCCGACAGCTGGATCACTGTCGTTGTTTGGCCACTGTCTTAGCCGGTACGAGACCATGATTTGGAGTGGTACATCCATCAGAGACAGAGCCACCTGAACGCCTGTATCGTGTGGCTGCGTGAGTCTTCTCGCTCTCAGAGTTTCATGGATGTTCTCGAGGGGGGCCACAGCCAAGCTCCCCAGATATGTCCCGCCGACCTCTGGGAATAGAGGCTCGGTTGCGAGGGCACTTGCGTATAGATGTGACAGCAGAGCCAGAGGGGCCAGATCAGACTCGGCTGACCGGAGGATATGTGTCGGCAGCCAGAAAACAAGATGCCTCAATGGTTGCAGCCGTGCGAAAGCCTCTGCGGATGCTTGCAAGTGCAAATTCTGTTGCAGGTCCTGCAGGTGGTCAGAAAGATGTCCGGCATGTTCCACCAGCTCCCCACTCTTGGGTAGCCGGAGGCGCAACTTGTGAACAGCCGTCATGACCTGCTCCAGTCGGCGCCGGTCCTCATGTGGGATGACGCCTTCTGAAGGCGATAGCGTCGTGTTCGCCGGCCGCCGAGATCTTGCGCCTGCGCGTTGTTCTTCAATATATCCTGCCAGTACAGACTCGCGCAGCCACGGTCTCATTGCGCTCAAGACCTGCAGCTCGTGAGCAAAGAGTAAGGATTTCTTCGCAGACCAAACATACGGTGGAGATGCCTTGCTGTAACGACGCCCAGCCTCGCCTGTTTGTTGTTAGAAGTGGTCATCCTCTCAAGGCTTTGGTCGTACCATTCGGTTGATTGCCACGACAACATGATAGAGGCTGCCAGAATTGGCTCAGAATTGTCTCGGGAGAACCGCCCGATCGCTTCATGGAGTCCTTTTAAAGCCACTCCTCGGTGGTATTGTGCCAGGTTGTCTGTATCCCTATTGTTCGTCTGCCATGCGAGATGAGACGCCGACAAAGCTAGCAAAGCACTCATGGTGAAGTCGTGCGACAGGGCCACGGAGATCAGCCTAGATTCAATATCACTATTAGTCACTTTGGAGAGCCCGGGTGCCCCTTACGTGTCCATTTTCTGCCCCCAGACCGTACAGGTACTGTATCCTCGACGATACATATCGGTCGACATCGTCACAATGTGGTGTATCAGACGCAGGTCAATGGCTGAAAAGCGTGTCCAGTACACTCTGTCTGCTACCTGAAGCTCGGCCAAAGGGGATTTGCCTGTGATACGCCACTTGTCGAGTTGATGTTGAAGGTGCGGGGATATAAGAAGGTCTGCTGACTGCGATCCGTCCAGTTGGTCTTCCCCTGCGGCTGGCATGTCCAAATAGTCACATCGGCACTGGTGCTTAATGCATTTTCCACATTGTGGAAACTGTTCATCGCAGCGGATGTGACGCTTCTTGCAAGTCTTGCATCCTCTCTTTGACTTTGTATGAGTTCTTCGTGGCGGACCCCCTCCAGGACCAGCCAGGCTTTTTGCCAGAGTCAAACTCCCGCCAGAACTGGCCTTGTGGTGAACAGCTCCGGGGTCTGACATATCCCTTCTGAAGTGGTCGTGCAGTGGGACAGACTAGAAGGTGGAAGTAACAAGGTAAGCGCATTAGACTCTGCTGCTGGCTTCCTCTGACTTCAGCACCGCTTCGTCCTCCAGATAGGAGAGAGGTACAGGTCAGAAGGAGGTGACGGGGTAGGGAAGATGTTCGTATTAATGCTGAGGCTGAATGCGAGAATCGACCCCCACAGGAGATTCGCCGGGCGACCCTAGGATGCCTGCGTGATATCGAGCGTAGCCCGACCAAGTTCCCAGAGACTTGACATGGGGATCGAAAGGTGATATTTCATAGCCACCATCCAAACAGCTGTCGTCAGTAGAAGCACACTGTGAGGGTGCGAAACGATGTCATAAAATCAGGGGGGTTAGGGCTGGTGGGAACGGAAAGATTAATTCGGGCTGCCACGAGGAATTGCATAGCCAGAAGGACGAATACAAGAGCTCGCAATAAAAGACTAAGGTTCATGCGGCTGGAAACAATTCAGTCCTCAAGCTACTGCCATCACCGCAGAAGGGCATTCATACAAATCTCATTGTGCAATGGGATGGCAAGGACTCATCCTCGATTTGCTAGGGCTGCATGCCCAGGAGCGATTTGCCTTTTCGATTCCCGGAAACGGACATCTGCCATGTAGGGGCATGGAGCATCCCCAGCTGAAGGAAGCAAGCCACAAGCCGGTCGTGACAGCCCTGACTGGATTCACAGGGCCAGGATAAAGCAGACTAGCAGCCGACGTTAGATATTTGGTGGCAGATGTGTTTTAATCAGAGTGGAGGGCCGTCAAAGGCCGTGCAGCTGGCACATCATTAGCCTTGGCTTGAGGTGAGTCAGGGTGAGTCTTCTGAGAGGGATTTTCTCCTCTTCGTAACTACACCCTGGCTGTGAATATGTATGTCCTTTGGAGGCTGAAGAGTAGGGAGGGGAGGTGATCGAATCATGTTTAGCGAGCCCGTTTCACGGTGTCCACCGTCACCGAGGCCTAGCTTCTCTGGAGCTAGTCCAGAGACGTCTCCAAGCACATCGGTTCCTACCGAGCCAGTGCAAGAAGCACCAATGGACTGGAACCAAATGCGGATGCAGATGAGAACTTCAAGAAGTTGCATGCGGCGACCTGGGGTTCCCAGATTGAACACGTCTTTTGTTTGGCCTCCTGTAAATGCCAGAAAGGCATAGTACTCTCGCCTGTGGCAAGCAGTGCAGTGCACCAAACACTGATCGGACTACCTTGAGCCCCGGGCTCGGATCAGATGAGAGAATCGGCATCAGCCTGACAGCAGTGCAAGACCATCCGCCGCGACCTAAAGCAACAGCCAGGATAGTGGAGTGTTGCTCCCAGCGTAAGATTCGAGACCGCCCGGACCAATTGCAGCCCTGTCAAGCGTAGTGGGACGGTGATTGATAGAAGGAGCTGCGCACGACAGTGGTTTTGCCATCGGTTTCCATGCACGATGGTAAAGATGGTGGCACCAGGCTTTGCCCAGCTGCAGCCCGGGAAAGGCAGTTGCAGAAGATGTCTCCGTCGAATCGTGAAATATATCTGATTGGCCTGTTTATAACACTCGACTACAGACCGCCTTCTAATCGCTGAACTAGGGGCCCCTGCAGCAGCCGAATGAACATTTGGGACGCCCTGAAAAGCTCCGTCTGGATGATCGTGTCGTCAAGCGTGAGCGCAGGTCCGAAGTCACGTCGTGACGCAACGGTCGTTGATATTACGGAGGCCCATCTTCGGTTCCCTCGCAAAGATTCCACAAGATCATCACTGGGGCTTCGGAGAGTAAGCTGCCAGTGGTGCATTCTGCATTGTTCAACCCTGGAATCTGACAGTGATCGTGACATGTGGTTGGTAGTCTTCAAGGGCAGACCGGAGCTCTGGAGGAGCCTGCAAGCCCGAACTTGGCTTGATCCCTAACGAAAATATGGGAGGGAGTGAACCGGTCCACAGTCCTTTATGTCAAATAGGACTGCTTTCTTAGGAACACTTCACCCAAAGCAATGCTGCGAGTGGTCGCATCAGACATGCTTCAGCTAGGGATGAGCCCTTCACGGTGGACTGGGACTCGAGGATGCAGTGAGGTGGTCTGTGGCATCCTAGCCTCGACAGCCGACGCCTTGAGCTTTCAATTTTCAGGCTTTGACGTTGAAGGGGTGGAGCCTATTGCAAGGCTCCTAAGGCTCACTCCCGTTGAAGCATCAGGCAGGTATCCACTATTCCCCAGCTGTCATTGTACTTTTCTGTTGTTGGCATAGACGCCGGACGGAGACCAACGCTGCACTTGCGGGGGCGTAAAATCGTAAAGGAGCCAACAGGACAGGATTCATTCCTAGGTCCCTTGGCTTTGTTACAATCCCTCTTAGCTGGATTCGGGGCAAATCATCCCTGAACATTTGCTTTGCGAGAAATTTGGACATGTCGGTGGCGTGTGAGCCAGTCAGTGCGGGTCGCCATGTTGTCTTGTTCCTCGCTTAACCTTAGATATCGCTGCCGATCGTGGGCTCGATTCAGATCAAAGCTCTAATAGACTGTAGATACGTACATGGGTCGTGTCAATACTGGTAGTACTCTGTTCATATGCAGTCACCTGTACGGATATTGGCTCCAATTGCGAGGTGCCAACTTCTGAGTGTCGGCCTAGGGGAGCGTGTCAAGAGTGAGGAGAGTCTGCAGGGGTGCCCAGGGAGAGAAAAAGCATGTCTTCTGACCGGGGCAGACATCTCAACCCTGGCTAGGGGTGTAGCGGTCAGCGTGGCTGGCGGACGAATCCTTGTTCGACAGGTGCAGCTTTCATCATTTTTCCAGGGTCTGCATTTGGTTTTGTTGCCCCTGAACAGTCCTTTCAGCCCAGCAACTGTGATTGTTGACGGAGGTCGCAGGAGATCTGCCTGCCAAGAGAGGCTGGGCTTGCCTCATGCTGCAGCGTCAGTCTCTCAGCAAGTTCTGCCTGCCAGACCGGCTTTAGGAATACCAATCACGTAACACAAACAGGGAAGTTCCAGAGCTTCCGGGGCCTGTGAGGTTTGACCGGCTTGAAGAGCATCGGAAGGCATCTTGTGACCTCGAGGCGCCAATGCTCTATTGCATCGCGTAGATTCCGGATCAGTGGACGCTCGTTGGATGCCCTTACGCGATCGTTACCTAGGATTGACAGTGGAGTTCCTGAACGGGAGTGGAAAGTACAAAACTAAAAGCGTGGAGATGTCTGCTAGGTAAATAAGGTGCCAAACACAGATGGTCACAGAAGACAGGCCCGAGAAATGGGCCAACAGGCTTGTGGACAGAAGGATGAGATGACCAGAGGCAGCAGCCTGCGCTATACGAAAGCTTGCATGTTGAATGAATACGTTCAAGCACTTGCCTCGAAATTCAAGAGCATCCCCTGCGGGCTGCGGCTGGAATAGGCGGTAAGCACAGTTCAAGGTCTGGGGTCCAAGTGCTGTGAATCCACGGGGTGCCGGGCAATCATCTGTCTTCAATTGAAAGTGGACATGGACCATATAGACATAAGACTCTTTAAGTTCTGGCCAGCCGATAGAAAATCACCCGAGGTATGAGAACGCAATGATCTCAGCTCCAGTACCAGAGATGGATTGGTTCATGGTATCATTGGAACTTCAGCGACGTACGACAGCTTCTTGCTCTCGTTTTCGCCGCGCAAAATGCGCCCAGAGGCTTTCTTGGACACGTTTTCTGCTCTCTTGAAATCACTCCACGTGTTTTTCCTTTTTTACATCACCACGCCACTGTTGCTGGCTATTCTGGGCCACAGTTCAGCGGCCTCCTTGCCCACTGGCCCTGTAATAGCACTGCCTTTCATTTCACCCTTGGGGTTCACGATAACACCGGCGTTGTCCTCGAAGTAGAGGAAGATACCGTCTGGCCGTCTCCAGGGCTTTGATTGTCGGACGACCACGGCAGGCATGACTGGACACAAATTGTGAGCCTTTCTCCACTATTGCTTTCCAATCTAGAATCCTCATACCTTTCTTTCTCAACTCTGGCTTTCCCTTCTTCACGGTTGCCATCACCATATCACCCACACCGGCAGCAGGAAGTCTGTTCAAGCGAGCGCCAATACCCTTGACGGAGATGATGTAGAGATTTCGGGCGCCCGAGTTGTCGGCGCATGACATAACGGCTCCTCTGTTGTTATCCATTAGCCTTCCACTTCCAGTTTGGTTTTTTGGTCTCCATGAGTCCTGGGTCCTTCTGTGCTGAAATCGCAAAGTATAGGTGTTTTCTCCTCATCTGTGGGTTCACTGGGTATTTGGACTTTGGCGGTTGCAGGAAACATGCGCTGATGTTGGAGAGGATGGGACTGCTATTCTGGGCGGAACGTACACAGGAAGACCGAGAGTCATCTTCAGCTTGTTGCCAGAGGCACCTCCGCGACTGCAGGTGAGAAATATCAGTATCAATCCTTGTTCGACAAAACCCAACTTCCCAACCGGGGGGACGGGTCCAGAACAGGGCAACCACAGAAGTTGAAGACTTACCCTCGTTTCGACATCTTGACGGTGACGGATCGGATGAATTGGTGTCTAGGAGTTTCGTGAAGAGAGAGGTGGAAGTTCACACAGATCAGCGAACGATGCCAAACCTTGCAAAATCGTAAGGTGTGAGTGCCAAGGCTACAAAATCTTGGCGTCACGTGTACTAGCCCATCATGATCACGTGCAGTCGTCTCTTGGCGGGGTTGAAAGTTGAACTTGGAGTCCTTCGAGTCGAACTTCAATGCCCTTTTTACGTACTGATATGTCGCTGAATGTATACCATAGCCTGCATAGGGTGAAGAGAATAACGCCAGGATACCAATTGTTACGTTGAAGTCAAAAGCAGTTCAAGCAAGCAGGTCGAAGAGGGCTTACAGCTACCAGGCCGCTGTTTCGCTCCCACTCACCAATCTGACAGCATCTGAACTTTTCTCGGGCGATATGCATACAACTTCCCTCGGAGTGCGCTGCTTTCAATCGATACCAGAGTTCGCCGGGCTCTCTGGCGCTCAACGTCCGTCACAGGCTCGAACTGCATTCAGGTGTCGAGGGCTGATCTATCCGTACGGAGTACGGATATCTTCATACTAGTAGCATCCTCCATTCCTCCTCCAAGCCTGCGAAAGATGCCACATGTGTCTTGCTTAGCCTGACTACTACGGTGTGGTGGATGATGCTTTTAGGGCAGGAGGCGAGCGCTTTAAGTCGAGCTCGAACCAACCCTCCAAACACGGGGATGCATCGAGTACGGAATACGTACGGATACTCCGTACACATCCCAGGAATCAGGAGGCTCCTTAGGCCTACAGCAAATTGCCTCCTTTGTCAAATTGGAAGCGGCGTCGCTCTGTCTCAGCTCATTTCCACATACATATCTAGTCGGCCCAATGAAGTAAATCTGCCGACATCAGAGTCCATCATCGGGTGGTGCTCCCTCCCACCTACCTCCCTGCAATAGTGGTCAAAGAGGTTTCCCCATTGTCGTACTGCAAAGGGACTGGGGTGCCGGATCGCTGCCGACGGAGGCGTTATGAGACCTGCAGTATGCGGCTGAAGACCCTTGTTAGGGGCCTTATTAGGGCGTGGGTCTAGACCATTGTTCTTGGAGAGGAGAGCATCACAGGCCCCTTGTCCGCTACTCTGTATGGCGTACGGAGCACCTTGTACTCGTACACTCACTGAGGAGGACGGTCCCCTCGTACGCGGTCGACGAGATCATCAAGGCAAACCCGCGACAAAGAACACCTCCTCAACTTGCTATAATTATTGGAATTGCCGATCGCACAGAAGAGGGATCAGCATTCTGTCCAGCCACGGAAGATGCCAGTCCCGGGCGTCTGCTGCATCACATCACCCGTTCAGGGGGCGCTTTTTAGTCTGGATGCGCCCCGTACAGGCTTACTTCCACTAACATGTGCTCGTCCGAACCATGCTTATCGCTACGCGGAGTAAGCAACACTACACTGAAACCAGCAAAGAGGAGGCCGATGGAAAATTCAAGCGGTGGTTCAGGGCCCAGGTAGGTACTGTACGGGTACTGTATGCTTTCAACACTCGGCCATGATCAGATAGGTGACCGCCATCATCTTGAACAATGCACCCAGACGCGTGCTTCCGGCTTACAGCTGCTGACTGTCCCCCAGAAGCGAGCGTCTTGTATCACCGCTCCTGGTCCCACTCCCACAAGCCCACCCTGTATCCCCCATGCTTTGCCTAGCGGTGGAACGTTGTTCATCAGGCTGACGAAGACTAGAGGCGGCGAGCTGAAAAGGCGACAATGCACGTCTTCAGGTGGCCATCGCCAATCATGTTGCCGATGTTAACAACTAACATCTCACAGGCCTTAGGCCCCCAATGGCCAGTCAACCCTGGTCATCATGCATTGGCCGGTGAGCCTCAGCTCGATGCTCAGCCCTGGGCCGGAACGCCAACATTGCCTTTTACCACAGGTCTGTGTATTCTTTGTCCCCTGTTGCCTGACCTCTGGCCTGTAGCTATCCTTGAACGACGTTCATCTTCGTCCTGCGCCGCCACCTTGCGCGCTTTCTAGCATACCTTACCCGCACTCCCCACCCTCGTTGCTCTGCTCGACCTCTCCTACACAGTATATAGCTTTGCTCTCTCTCGAACTCGATGGCACGGAAGAGAAAACTTTCAGTCACTTCCATCACCGCTATGGACGGCCCTCGCGACGTACAGTTCGGCTCCGATGACGAGGCCTCTGGCTCCAAGTTTACCAGTACCATCAAGAGCTTCTTCGAAAGGATTGCTGGCTCGGGGTCTGATCCCACCAACCCAGTCATCAATGGAGCATCCATCCAGTCAAGGCCTCTCCTGGCCAGGCTGTTCGCCGACATTGCTTCTCAAGCACCTCGGATAAGCGAGAACATTGGGCTCATTCATTCGTTGGTCGACACGACGCTTTTCGATGGCGGCATCGTCGACGATCGCCAATATCAGGTATGCAATTCCGGTCTGTGGGCTTTCTGTTGTCGAGACGGATTCGCAGCACAAACTGACTTGTTGCTGTCGTGATGCAGATGGAGAAGATTCTCCAGCTGGCTGCCTCGCTGCCGGTGGGATCACAAGCACTCGATTCTCTGACCGCGCAGTTCATCAAGTTGCTCTGGGGGACTCTGGAGCATCCTCCATTGTCCTACCAGGGGGACGAATACAAGTACCGCACTGCCGATGGCTCCAACAACAACATCATGTATCCGCACCTCGGCAAGGCCGGCTCTTCCTACGCCAGGACGGTCACGCCGCAGACGCTGAAGCCAGGGGTTCTTCCCGATCCCGGAGTCATCTTCGATGCCGTCTTTGCACGTGGTGACACGGCCCGGGAGCATCCAAACAAGCTCTCCAGCATGCTGTTTTACCTTGCCACCATCATCATCCACGACTGCTTCCACACGGACGAACGCGATTACTCGACGGTCAAGACGTCCTCTTATCTGGACTTGGCGCCTCTGTACGGGAGCAGTGAAGAGGCCCAGAGCAAGATCCGGACGTTCAAGGACGGCCTTCTCAAGCCAGACACGTTTGCCGAAAACCGCATTCTCGGGTTTCCGCCGGGTGTCTGTGCCATCGTGGTCTGCTTCAATCGGTTCCACAACTACGTGGCGTTGCAGCTGAAGGAAATCAACGAAGGCGGCCGGTTCAAGATCCCGACAGACGAGAACGACGTCAAAGGCATTGCCAAACTGGACAACGATCTCTTCCAGACCGCTCGCCTTGTCACCTGCGGCTTATACGTCAACATCATCCTCACCGACTATGTGCGGACGATCCTCAATCTCAATCGGTCCAACAGCACGTGGACTCTCGACCCGCGCAAGAACTTTGGAGACGTCTTCGACGACACTGGCGTGCCTAGCGGCGTGGGGAACCAGGTCAGCGTCGAGTTCAACCTGGTCTACCGATGGCACTCGGCCATCAGCGTCAAGGATGAGCAATGGACCAACGCCTTGTACCAGTCGCTGTTCCCGGGCAAAGACGTGTCCACCGTGACCGAGACCGAACTCTTCCAGGCCCTCAGAAAGTGGCTCTCGAAGATCGACCCTGACCCGTCCAAATGGGAGCTCGACGCGGGCAAGTATAAGCGGACTGAGCGAGGCACTTTCCGCGACGAAGACCTGATCAACATCCTCAGCGACGCCACCGAGGACGTGGCTTGCGCCTTTGGGCCCAGGAACGTGCCTGTGGTGATGAAACTGATTGAGACGCTGGGCATGAAGCAAGCTCGCGCCTGGAACGTGGCGACGCTGAACGAATTCCGCAAGTTCTTCAAGCTCGCCCCTCACCAGGACTTTTCGGACATCACCAAGGACAAGGACGTGGCCCGCTCGTTGAAGGCGCTGTACCAGCATCCCGACTACGTCGAGCTCTACCCGGGCCTGGTGGCAGAAGACGCGAAAGATCCACTGGAGCCTGGCTCGGGCCTGTGTCCCGGATATTCGATTTCGCGCACCATCCTCGCCGACGCCGTGGCCCTGACCCGCGGCGACCGCTTCTACACCGTCGACTACACCCCCGCCAACCTGACCAACTGGGGCTGGTCGGCGGTCAGGTCCGACCCGGACGTCGCCCAGGGCGGCTGCTTCTACAAGTTGCTCATGCGAGCCCTGCCGTTCTACTACCGCGGGAACTCGGTCTACGCCATGTATCCGTTCACCGTGCCGGAGGAGAACCGCAAGATCTTGAAGAAGCTGGGCAAAGACGAGGAGTACAATTTCGACCGGCCGTCGTACGTCGGCGTGCCCACCTCGGTCAGGTCGTGGCAGGCCGTCACTCAGGTTCTGAAAGACCAAGGCTCCTTCAGTGTCCCCTGGGGCCCGCACACGGAGTACCTCACGCACCATGACTACATGTTGAGCGGAGACAGCGTGGCCAACGCCACCCAGCGCCGCGAAGTCGAGCACGCCCTGTACTGCCCGGTCAACGGACTTGAGCAGGTGCGGCAGTTCTACGAAGACGTCACCACCCAGCTCGTGGTTGCACGCTCCGAACGACTCCGGGGCGAGTGGTATCAGCTGGATGCCTGCCGGGACGTTGGCAACCCATCGCACGCCATCTTCGTCGCGCGCCTGTTCCACCTGCCGCTCAAGAAGCACGGCGATTTGAACCCCGTGGGCGTCGAGGTCGACCAACTGTACCTGGCGCTGTCGGTGCTTTTCGCCTACGTCTTCTTGGACGGCGACACGGCGAGCTCGTTTAAACTGCGCGCGTCGGCCAAAACCGCCACCGAGCAACTGGCCAAGCTCGTCAAGACCGTGTGTGAAGCGGTCCAGGTCGGCAGCAGCTTGCACATCGGCGACCTCTTCCCGACGGGCGCCGCGGGCCAGCTCCTCGCCGACTACGGCACGCACTTCCTGAAACGGCTTCTCGAGGGCGGCAAGAAGGTGGATGACATTGTGTGGGCCATCATCCCCACGGCCGCGGCCGCCGTGGCCACGCAGGCCCAGCACTTCACCCAGATGCTGGATGTGTACTTGACGGATGAGTACTACAATGCCCACTGGCCCGAGATCCAACGGTGTGCCTGGTCCAACGACCCGGCCGACTTCGAGAAGCTCAAAGGCTACGCTCTCGAAGCCAACCGGCTGGCCCCGGCGGCGTTCGGGCTGCTCCGCAAAGCCAACACCGACACTGTCATTGACGACAATGGCACCCAGGTCAAGGTCAAGGCCGGCGACATGGTCTACACCGACTTTATCACGGCCGGCTTGGACGAGAAGGTGTTCCCGGACCCCAAGACCATCGATCCGACCCGCGATCGGGCATTGTATATCCATCACGGATACGGGCCGCACGCGTGCCTGGGCCGCCCCATCGTCGAGGTCGCCATGGCCTCTCAGTTGAAGGTCCTGGCCAAGTTGAAGAATCTCCGCCGCGCCCCTGGACCTCAGGGAGAATTGAAGAGGACGATTCCGGCTCCCAATCCCACCAGCAGCGACCCCAAAGCCAGCCCTGGCAGCATCGAGGTGTATATGCTGGAAGATTGGAGTTCATGGTATCCTTTCCCGACCAGTAAGTGGTGATGCCCTGGCCTTGCCCCTGCCCCTTCTCCTGCCCCTGCTACTACCCCTGCTCCTACCCCTGCAATCCGGTTCCTCTACCTTTCCCTAACCTAGAATGACCTCGATTCCGTTCCGGATTCCGGTTCAAGTGTTGCATATCGTGCCGTAGCCCCTGCAAGGTGCGGTAGCGATCGCAATTGAAAGTCGGTTCGGTTGCTAAGCAAGCTAACAACCCTTCGCCATGTGCAGGTCTCAAAGTCCACCATGAAGGTTTGTGGAAGGACCAATCCGAGCAACTCGCCGCCGACACCGGGATCCCCGGCATCGAGGAGCAGATCAAGGACAGCGACATGGGGGTGGCCAGCAACGGGGTCGGGGTGAATGGAAACCACCATCCAGACGAGACGGCTTAATTTTAACAACTTTGACCACGTCAGGTCATGTCGTCGCCGAGGATGCTGGCCCGTCGATCTTTGATTCAATGTCTGATGGAAAGTAAAGCAACCAAGCAAGGAAAAGGGTTCCGAACCCTCTGAGGCCAGATTGACACAACAAACAACACCGTGGCGTTCGAGTTGTCATGACACGGGTCCGCGACGAATGTAATATGAGGCCTAAGCCATGGGCCAACAGCCCGGCTCTGGAAATGGAACCGAAATGAATCCAATCCAATCCTGTCGGCGAGGTGTTTGGGGTTGCGGTTGGACCCGTATTGTTTGTTGTTTGTTGTTGATGTTGTTATATTGTATTCTTGGGATCTTCAACCAGCTACAGCTAGCTAGCTACCCTACAGCTACACTCATTAGCATATTAGCATGACTGAGTACCTAAGGTACTCCCTATTCCGTACTGTATCTTAGTCCTTAGCCTACCTTGGCTTCTTCGGCAGGCTTAGGCAACGCAATCACTGCCAAACCAGTAGGTATAGGTATTCAATTGGGATTGGGGTTGGGGTTGGGGTCTTCTTTGGGTCCTAAGGTCCTCAGTCTCTCTACAGTATTAAGCGAACCCCTCCTTACCCCGTCCCCACAGGATCCAGTCCCAGTCTCCAAACTTAAAGTGTCCAGGCTGCGGCCACGACCTCGGCCACGGCCAGCCGGAACGGGGCATAGACATGACAGAGGCCCAGGTAGTGACTAAGCGCCCTGCATAAGGTATGTACACTGTACAGTAGGTAATGATACGGTACCTGAGGTATGTGTGTACATTGTACATTGTATGTAGGGGGCTTTAGGGGCCCTGAGGCCTTAGGAGCCCTTACCACAGGTACTATTAGTAGTAGGTAGTACCATGGCACTGCCGAGGATGTACGGAGTACGGAGTACAGTACGTACAATGCCAGGGCATTACCCAGACCTGCAGCTGGCCAAGAGGCCTAATGCATTCTAATTACAGTACATATATATATAGTAAGGTAGGTACGGTACACTGAAACTCAACTCAAGTTCGGGAGTTTCGCTGTGGCGATGCATTGACGATTGACTGACTGCCCCACGCCTGCTTTGTGTCTTCAAACGGCCGTGAAATACTTGGAATAAGCAGGACTGGAACCAGACCCAGACTCCGAATTGTCGTTGTCGTGCGATATTGCGGTATTGCGATATTGTCTATTCCCCAGCGTCGGCTCGTGGTCTAATCTCTAATCTGGCGAGTCTTGGAACAGCCACAATTTCACGAATTGCCAGCGTTGGGTGCCGGCGACCCATCACAATGACGACGCCACATCATTACGACGCCATCGTCATCGGTTCCGGCCAGGGCGGCGGACCGCTGGCACAGGCCCTCGCCAAAGCCGGCCGGCGAACCGCTCTGATAGAGGCCAAGCATGTCGGAGGGACATGTGTGAATGAAGGGTGCACGCCGACCAAGACGATGGTTGCCAGCGCCCGGGTCGCCCACCTGGCCTGCCGGGGGGAAAGCTATGGTGTGCAGATCAAGAAGAACAGCCTGGTGTTGAAGATGGAGAAGGTGCGGCAGCGGAAGCGCAACATTGTGGAGAGCTTCCGCACGGGAAGCGAAAATCGAATCCGCGCGACAGAAGGCCTGGATTTGATCATGGGTACGGCGCGGTTCACGGGGCCCAAGGCCGTCGAGGTGGTGCTTACATCGCCGAAGAAGGCGAATAGCAGTGCCAGCGATGCAGCGGAGACGACGACGGAGAACCAACATCCCCAAGAAGACCATGCCGCTTCCACCACCACGCTGGCGCTCACGGGCGACCAGATCTTCATCAACGCAGGCTGCTCGCCAGCAACGCTGCAGGCAAAGAATGTCGATGTCGTCAGGCGCATCGGCCACGCCAACGTGCTCGACTCGACCAGCATCATGGAACTCGCCGAGGTGCCGCGCCACCTGGTCGTGCTCGGCGGCGGCGCTATCGGCTGCGAATTTGCCCAGATGATGCGCCGGTTTGGGGCCCGAGTCAGCCTGGTCCAGCGCGCCTCGCAACTGCTGCCCAATGAAGACCCCGACGTCGCGGCGGAGATGCTCAAGATCTTGGTCGACGCTGGCATTGACGTGTACTTGGGCGCCCAGACCCGCGAGCTCTCCACCATCACGCTTGGCCAGATCGTGGTACAGTTGGAGCTCGGCCAGAACGGTAATCACGGAGGCGACAGGAACGATGGCCATGGCCATGGCCAAACGGGCGGTGATGGTAGCAGGGATGACTTCAACGACAGAGCTGGAGGGATCAAGACGCTGCTAGCTTCGCATGTGTTGGTCGCGATAGGTCGGAACCCCAATACCGAACCGTTGAATCTGCAGGCCGCCGGCGTCGAGGTCGACGCCCGAGGATTCATCAAGGTCGACGAGCACCTGCGCACCACGGCTGCAGACGTCTACGCCCTGGGAGACATCAAAGGCGGACCGGCGCAGACGCATGTGGCCTACGACGATTACCGCGTGTTGAGGGACAATTTGATCCCAATCCCCATCCCCGGCACTCCTGCTGCGACTGCTGCTGCTGCTACCGGCGGTAAGCAAGCATCCATCGCCGACCGACTGATCCCATACACAATCTTCACAGACCCGCAGCTGGGGCGGGTCGGACTGACGGAGAAGGCGGCTCGGGAGCAGGGCAGGCGGATCAAGGTGGCCAAAATGCCCATGAAATACGTGGCGCGGGCGCTCGAGATGGACGAGACGCTGGGGTTCATGAAGGCCGTGGTTGACACCGAGTCCAAGCAGATCCTGGGGTTCGCGTGCCTGGGCATCGAGGGCGGCGAGATCATGACCATGGTCCAGCTCGCCATGCTGGGCGGCTTGACTTACGACAAGCTGGAGAATGCCATGTTCGCACATCCATCATTGTCGGAGAGCTTGAACAATCTCTGGGGCTTCCTGGAGTGAGGTGGTGTGATTTAGGTATCAAGACTGCGGACGGGTAGAGGGAGGGCAGTAACAACAGGCACCTACTCGTATAGTAACAGGCAGCAGGTTTATAAGCGTAAATTAAAGTTGTGCTAGTGCCCATGTTTATGGTCGAGCTTATTCCGAAGAAAGCGAATTAACACAAAAACATTGCAAAGATGCTCACCCCATCGTACAGTATATACATATAGTATCCCTAAGTCCCTGATATATACTGGTATTTACCCTTGCAAGTTTATTTTGTATGCCACCCACGACCCAAGAACAAGCCGCCGGTCAAAAGAAACACCTTGGCCTGGGCCTGGGCCTATGCCGAACCGTGGTCCCCATTCACCTGTACTGGCTCTTTCTCGGTCGGCAGAGTCAGAGACTTCTGGGGCTTCATGCCCAGTAGACCAGTGGCGTCAACCAGTCTCGCATTGGGGTTCAACTCGAGTCCAAAGCCCGGTTTGTCCAATACACTGACATCCAGGTAGCCGTTTGTCGGGATGGGCTCGTTCAAGAACAGATCTCCAAACACGGGCAGCACACTCTTCCCATCTGGACTGTTGGCCAAATACTCTTGGAAAGGCGAGTTGTGCTGGCTGGCAACGAAGTGGTATGAATAGGGCCCAGAGGCGTGCGGAATCACAGGGAGGTCGTATGCGGAGGCCATGGCCGAGACTTTGAGAAGCTCGGTCAGCCCTCCAAGCCACATGACATCGGGTTGGAGGATGTCGACATTTCGGCCTTCGATCAATTTGCGGAATCCATATCGAGAGTACTCGTGCTCCTACCAATGTCGGTTAGTGAGGGATCATGGGCGTGCAGGAGTGCGAGGCACCCCAAACTTACTCCTGTTGTGAACTTGGTGTCCGGATGTGCCCTCTTCAGCAATTGGAACCCGTCAACGTCATCTGGCGAAAGCACTTCTTCCCACCAATCAATGTTGATGTTTTGCCTCTTCGCCTCGCTCACCAGCTCGATGGTGTACGGGACGTTCAAAGACATCCAGCAATCTACCCGCAGGGGGAACTCGGGGCCGATCTCCTCCCGGTGTTTCTTCAGGAAGGCAATGTTCTTCCTTAAACTGTCATGTTCGTCGGCACTGTAAGGCAATGGCACCTTGCCCGCGATGAATCCCATGTCTTTGGCAGCGGCCGGCGCAGGTCCTGTGCAGTAAAAGTTGATTCTCTCCTTGGTAGCACCGCCAATCAGCTTGTAGACGGGCTCATTCCTGATCTTGCCCAGAAGATCCCACAAAGCCAGATCGATGACCGAGATCACGGCGACCGGCAGTCCCTTTCGCCCATAGAACATGGAGCCTCTGTACATGAGCTCAAACAGATCATTGACGTCTCGAGGGTCTCGGCCGAGGAGGAAGCGTTCGAAGTGTTGTTGAACCAGCCAACATCCAGGAGGGCCTCCAAAGCCCGTGGCGAAGCCCTTTGTTCCATCGGTGGCCTCGATCTCAACACAGAGAGAGCCCAGGACATTGATACCGAAGGACGTCCGAGACTTTCGGTATTTCTCCCATTTGGACATGGGCGTCGCGATCTTGTTGTCGATGAGCCAGTGACCGCCCTTGACGTTGTGGTAGTCACCGCCGGAGCCGACGCCTTCGACCACAAAGGTCCGGACGGTTTTGATGGTTGGAAACGGTTTGACGGAAGCCATGGTGAAGGTTTACAAGTACCGAAGGATCGTTGGCTCCGTTTCGTTCCTGAGTTGGGCTCTTCCGACCGAAGAACTAGCGCTCAATGGGTATGGGTAGTCGGGGTAAAGAGAGTGATGGCAGGGCTCCGGGACCTGGGACCTGGGATCTGGGGTCTTTGAACAAATGCAAATGCAGAGCACGACGGCAGCGGACGAGGAATGATGAGACGGCATCCTTGTCCGGCGTGCTGTTGCTTCACTATTAAGAGAGAAAGGGACGAAGAGAGCAGCGTTCGCTCATCGGCACAGTTGCAGCCGGGCGGCGGAGAAATGATCGGAGGGAAAGGCTAAGGCTTGTAACAGCCGGCAGCAGCGAATGGGAGGCTGGCGGCGAGTTATAGCTGGTCACGCTGCTGGTGGCTGGTTGGCTGGCTGGCTCTCTGCCCCGCACCCTGGCAGCGCAGGTGCAAGGTGCAAATGTAGGCGCTGGCGCAGGCGCAGGCAAAGGCAGGCAGCGCAGCGCAGCCATCCTCGCCACCGAAGCCTTAGGCCCGCACATCCTACTACGTACGGAGTAGTCACCCTGAACCCGCCGCCTCCTAAGCCCAGACCTGCTCTGCCAACGCTCGCTCACCCTCTCTTCCCCAGCTTTTTTCTTCGGCGCCTCTTCTCAATCTCGGTCCGAGATCCAGCTTCATCCTTCTCGGTGTAATGTTGGTGCCCTTCCATCGCCAGCAGTGATGAACGTGACAAAGCTGGGACTCTACGACCCTCACCTGTCCGCCCAAGCCCACGGCCACGCCCACGGCCACGCCCATGGGCTGGCTGCAGTCACGGGCGCTCGCCCACACGCCTCTTCCCTCACCTCGTCAGACTCTGACTCCGGCGGAGAAGACGACCGAGATGAGTCTAGGAAACGCAGAAGGCCCATGAATGTCACGTACGTGCCCGGCAGCGCTCCTCTCTCACTCGTCCGCCCCATCTCCCTGCGTTTACTCCGATTCAGATCCATGAACGCCATGCGCCTGCCTACTAATGCCCCGGTTGGATAGTTGCGAGGCCTGTAAGCAGAGAAAGGTCAAGTGTGGTACGTGTCATTGCCTTCCCGATTTGCACCACTTGGACTCAGTCTTTTCCAGATCGTGCCCGGCCTTCCTGTGGGTGGTGTTCTCGCAATGACCATCCATGTGAATACAAAGAGCGGAAGAAGCCTGGGCTTCGAGCAGGCTATGGCCGTGAGCTCGAAGGCAGGCTCGACCGGCTGGAATCACTCCTCCAAGAGCAAGGCCGTCAATTAGCTGCCCACCTGGCCGAGGCCTGTACCATCTCGTCCGCCGTTTCCAGCAACCCCCATATCCCCAAGTCGAGCGCGCAAGGTCAAGGTCTGACGCCTCAGGGTCAAACCGTCGCTTCTTACGAGGCCCAAGCTGTTGCTTTTGACGAAGAGACAGCATTTCAGCAGCCGACTATTGACCCGAACCTGCGCTCATCAGTCTCGGGCCATGCGTCTTCCCAGTATGCCTCAGGCCAACAGAACATCCCCGACCAACAAATGGCTCCGCCGCAGAGTCATTATACGCCCTCTGCGCATTCACATGCCCTCCCATCGCCTCATTCGGCGACGGGATACCAGGGCACGCCAGTCTTCCCTGAGCATTCGACCATCTTGCCTCCATATGACCTGTTGTATTCGCTGGTCGATTTGTTTTTCAAGCACATCAATACCTGGCTTCCATTGCTGGACCGGAAAACCACCCTCGACACCCTGTTTGGATCCTCCTCTCTCGATGAGGCCGACAGGGTGCTGTTGCATGGCATCGTCGCTGCCACCTTGCGCTTCTCCCAGGACCCTCGACTGACCCCCGAAAGCCGCCAGCATTATCATGATACGTCGAAACAACGAGTGCAACTTTTCGGGTTGGAAAACTCCAATATAAGAGCGTTGCAGGCCCTGATCATCTTGGCTTTGGATGTGACTGGTAGCACAAACGGTCCACCCGCGTGGAATCTGTTGGCCCTAATCAGCAGGAGTATGGTACAACTGGGTCTTGCAGCAGAGTCGACTTCGACCCTTGCATCCCCTATGTATCCCTCGATCGCAACCCTGAGAGCGTCGGTCTTGCCAGAACCCAAGAGCTGGATCGAAGACGAAGAACGGCGCCGGTTGTTCTGGTCTGTCTACCTCCTCGATCGTTATGCCACCATCGCAACAGCTTTCGAGTTTGCTCTCGATGAGAAGGAAGTCGACCGCCGACTACCTTGCAGAGACGACCTCTTTGCTGCAAACAAGCCGGTGGAGACCAGGTGGTTTCGACCCCCTGAACGGCCCCGATACACGACAGGCATGGCGGAGACTCACGGTCACTTTTCTTACCACTGTGAACTCGTGGCTATTCTTGGTCACATCCATCAATTCCTCAAGCGACCAATCGACATCGGTTCCTTGACGGACGTGGAACAATGGCAAGGTTCATACCGTTCTCTGGACAGCGACCTGAACGCCTGGCACTTCAGTTTGCCTGACGAATTTGCCAACATCACCCGCCTTCTCAAGTCGAACATGCCTGCTAAAAATACCAGCTGTGGCTGGGTCATGTTGCATGCCGCCTACTGTTTGGCCGTGATTCGACTGAATTCGTCGGCGGCTTACCCCAGCCAGACTTCACCGATATTCTCCTCGTCATACAGCGCCATGCAGCGATGTCTGTCAGCGGTCGAGCATCTACGGCAGTTATGTCATTTCGTCAAGCTCAGTGGCCTCTTGGACCGGTGCGGGCCACCCTTTGCGTTTACTGTCTGGGTGGGTGCTCGGGTTATGCTGGTGCATGGTTCTACTATGGACCATAAGGTGGATCCGGATGTTGATTTTTTTGTGACCACCTTGGCTGAGATGGGCGTGTATTACCCTGTTGCAAAGCGATACAGTGACATTTTGAGCGCGGTGTTGGGAGAGTACCGGCAGTCGCAACGCACGAGCGGCGTGACGGGGGAGATGGTGACGCCGTCCACGGTCAAAATACTCGCCGACATGCGCCGGTAAGTTGGTTTCCAGAGTTTGATTGGCCATATACTAAGTTGATGAAACAGATGCGCCTACGATCTTGACTTTCTGATATCTCACCAGGCGCACACGGCCGCGGTCAGATCATACCATCCGACACGGGTGAACACACCGGCCCCCAACGAGCTCGAGTACTTGGATGTCTTTGATCTGTTTAACTTTCCTCGTCTACCGATGACCCAGGAAGGGGTTGAGAACGGTCATTCCCAAAGCCTCGACCAAGCTGCACCCCAAGATCTGGCGGCCTTGAATGCTGCCATGATTCCTAATTTTGCCGTTCCCAACCCCGAAGCCGATTGGCTTTTCCACACCAACTAAGTCCAGAGCAGAGCGAGGCCCTCTGCGTACGACCACGATGGAATATCTACCACGACAGAGGTGGCAAATATGTTCCGGATGTTACAGCACATTTCCCAGAAACCGGTGGATATCGAAGAGTCTGAGGATGACTCGAGAGAAATACCGCCAGGATCTAAAGATGGACGCTCGGGAAGAGCAGGAACCCAGTGAAGATACAAGATGGCAAAGAGATGATGCCAAGGGATAGATCTGACGGATGAGGGATATATTGTTCTAGGATTGGATGTAAACGAAGCAGAAGGTGACCGCAAGTTCACGAGGTCGAGTCAGCCTTGCACGATACCTAAATGGGCCAAATGGAGAGTGATGCATGAAATGCCCAAGGGGCCGGGCCCTGGGCCCTGAGTCGAGACAACTATGCTTTGCAGAACGCTACTAGTAATGGGAAAAGTAAGGAAATGTGGAATCATGATCGTTCTAAAAGTGGTCGCCCGGTGCTATTTAGACTCGAGATGCGCGAGGCTATGAATTACGAGCTGACCAATGGGAGTGGATGGCGGGGGTTGTTTGCCAGATGGACGACAAACAAAAGGGACACAGATGGCCCTGTATCCATCTGGCACAAGACTATGACCTTGTTGTCCTAGCAGGACGGAGTAGTTAGGTACCTACTAGGTGCCTAAGGAGCGATACTTATAGTAATACTACCTTAGGTTATGAGAACAGCCATAGCCCCAGCACCGTCAGGTGACTGCCAAGCAAGGGTGAGTCACATGATCGCACAGTCCTGGGGCCTTGAGGTCTGGTGTCTGTCTCTTGCTCTGCCCCTCCTGATCCTCTCCTCCTCCTCCTCCTCTTCAGTGTCTTCCTGTCTTCCTGTCTCCCTGACTCCCTGACTCCCTGACTCCCTCACGCTGTGGTCACTATCGGCCTATGACTAACGTCTCTTCCTAATTGTCATCATCAACAGTCATATCTCGCGTCCGACTGCGTGCTGACAGAAGTCATGTCCCGGTGCCAATGAATGTGGCAAATCTCCCTCGTCGTCGTCACGCGTCACGCTTTGCATTTCCATCTTCTGGCCCCCGACCAGTGACTCTATCCAGGATCCACTGCTTTGGCGTCAGAAGCTTCATCGCGGGATCTGAGCCTTAGGGCTGATACGCCGGCAGGCTTGGGCTCGCTACCCGTCTCTCAGCACCGCCCGCCCTACTCCTAAACGGTCCAAGTGTTTTTCAGCCTCAGACCCTCCCGTCCCCATCCCACATATCCCGCACTACTCTGTACGTTCAACCCGTGTACTCTGGACACTATTACTATACACTGCAGAGTAAGCCTCAAATAACCCAAACGTTAGGCTGCAGTCTACGACAGGGGACCTGATGACGTTGGTTCCACTAGGCGGGCTGGTCGACATGTACAGAGTAACTACTATCTACTAATCTAGTGCTCTGCGTCTCTCGTGCACGATCATCGATCATCATCCACGTTTTGGACCCAACTGTCAGGAACACCAACCACCCTGATCGCACAGCTGTTTGTCACCTGTGACTTCCGGATCACTAGGCTCCGCACTATGCTATCGGGCCAGGCCCCTTGTTCGGTTGATGTTTCTGTCTTGACCCTCTCGATTGGCATGGGTCCAAGTCTCGAAAAGATGCCAGCCGTGGACTATGGATTTCCCGGCCGCCCGCAAAAGTTGTACAGTTTTGTTTCCGGATCATGCACACTGCTTCATTGTGCATATTGTCCTGCTAGGTCCTGCCATTGGACCGACTGCGCCTGCAGTATGTTCAAGCCGTGGGTCTCATTCTTCCTCCTCTCCTCTACTGCCTGACCAGACCTGCTCAGTGATTGGCTGCTTCCCAAGGCTACAGTGGCTACTGCCCATGATATAAGAAATGGTGACTCCAGTTGCCTAGCTCAACTCACAATTGTGTTTTCAACTGTTCTACCACAAGCCTTTCATCTCTTTTACTCTGGTCATTGATTTGAGCTCTTTGCACGTTTCGTCCTCTGTGCCCTATCCCTCACGCCAAAACCAAATTAATTCTACACAACCGCCGGCAGGAAAGATGTGCTACCAGATCGTCGAACGATATGCGGTGTGCCGCTGTCTTTACCACCGGCACTCTGTTGACCCCTGCCAGCGATATGGCCAGCGGGATCATGGCACCACTGAAAAGACCGTCCTGGTAGGATTTGCCTGCCCACAACACTCGGCCAAACGTCGTCAAGAGCAACCATCAACGGACAAGCGACCATCAGGGGGTCGTCCATCGAACGATTCTGGCTATTCCAGTGCCGGATACCGTTCTTCGGGTCGGCGGTGAAGACGTTGAAACTCTCCCGCTGCCACTCCCCTGACGAGCCATCGGTATCTCCGTATATCGCACATCATGTTGGGGACATTCACAACCATCGAGAAGATCTTGGCATGGTTTCCAGAACACCAAGCAAGCCAGCAGGGCTGGCACACTTGGATATTCACTTCTATCAAGTCGCAGGACGATGCAGATGATAATGATTCCCACTGTGATATGGTGCGGGTAGGCAGGGCCACGGTGTGCTCCGTCAGGGATCCCCAAGACATGCTAGATCATGAATCGAATCACTCGCCCTGATAAGAAAGGGACAAAGGCAGCATGCTGTTGTCAATGACTTCTTTGTCGGTCACCAAATCGGAGCCATGAGCCACAAGCCACGAGCGTTGAGCTACTCATGCAGCACGAAGACCGAGTTCAGCGAACTCCCGGGCTTCTGCGAGATCACAACGACGAGGCATGACGATTTCAGCCACCCCTCGATTTCACCTCACATCGGACCATTGTTGACAATGGCGTCTGTTTGCACCACATCGATAAAAGAAGGAAGAAAGAAGAAAGAAGAGCGCAGGCACTCTATGACATCTGGGCGGAATTCAAAGGCATTGTACGGAGTATTCCACCGTCGTTTCATTGATTATGGTTTGGGTCACCAGCATGCTGAGCATGACGGGGCATGTATGCTAGGCTAGGCGCAACGGCCTTGGGCGTCGTCGCTGCAAGCAATGATACTGTGGGTAGCGAGTAATGGTTGATACTAGTATGTTCGTGGTAACGTTTGTATTGTTGGTCGGGTCGGGTCAGAATGCTTGTTCTCTGTGCCGTCTTTCGTTTTGACTCTGTGGATGCCTGATGTATTACTGGACGCCTTTGGGCAGTGTGTCAGATTCTGGACTGGGCCAATGAATGTATGGAGACAGAGATAGGACTGTGCACATGGTGATTCAACTTGGCCTTCAGCGGGTGTTCTAGCACATTCTTGTCTACCTAGGTAGGATGCCGGGTTGCCTGCCTGCTCACCTTCGTCATTGCTCACCAACCTGGTTCTATCAGGTCAGGGTCAGGATCAGTGACCGTACAGTATCAGGCAACCAGGCAACCAGGCAACCAGCTGCGGCATTTGAAAGACACAGTGTGCGGTGTGGCGGGTATAGTAGATGCTGATGTCGTTGTCGATGTTGATGTAGGTGTTAATATAGAGTATCCGTACTATGGAATAGGTGCGTATAGTGTAGTATATATATCACAATGGATAGCTATGTGTGTACGGATGTTGTGTATTGTGTATTCTAGCTTCTACATACATACTACTTACATACGTCTAGTACCTGGGTGTTTGAGTGAGGTTGAGGTGAGGCTTTTAGGAGTGATGAGTGAGTATGAGTGGTGAATGGCCTGACCTGGCCTGACCTTATAGGACGAGTCTTCGAGTCTTCAAGTCTTCGTACATTGCCCGGACTGTCTTGAAATCAGATCAGATCAGATCAGATACGCGCTGCCCGGCTTGAAATCAAATCAGATCACGATGTCGTGCGGCCGAGAACAGGTGTCTGTGTCTAGAGGTGAGATAGAGATGGAGGGCATGACATGACCACCGCCTGTGAACCGTCGAAGTCGAAGTCGAACTCAACCTCGAACTCAAACTCGACTGTTCTCCGTCGAGATCTCTGTCCGTTGTAGTTGTAGTCAGAGGTAGACTTCAGCCTGTGCCCCAGGTGCCCAGGTACCGTCAAGCTGAGGCTGTCATGGTCGCAGGGTCTTGATCCCTTCTCATTCATTTCTCCTCAGGGCTTTCCTTTCTGGCCGTCCTCTCTGGCCTTCCTCCTTGGCTTTCCTCCTTGGCTTTCCTTTTTGGCTCGCAGCGAGACCGGCCTCCGTTCTGCGGCACTGGCACCGGCACGACACGGCACTCCGCTGCTCAGTCTCCTGGCGTCCCACGGAAACGGGAGAATGGCAACGGCAGGGCGGGCAAACATCAACTTGAACTTCCACTTCCTCAATGCCCACCCACAATCTCTTGCCGCGTAGTTGATGAAACGTCCGCTTGCACCAGGAAAAACAAGCCGTCGCGCGCCTCAAAGCGCATCAGTGGCTTCCCATGCTCGCGCACCGTAAGGCCGCCGTCGTTCTCCTCCACCAGCTGCAAATCCAGTCCTTTGGCCCGCTTCAGCTGCGACCAGCTGATAAGGTTGACTCCCGCATCGGGAATGTGCATTACATTCTTGACCGTCAGTCGCGTCAAGGCACGGTAAGGTCCGAGAGGGAGTTCTTTCGACGAGTTGGCGTCGCCACCAGCTCCAGCTCCATCTCCCTCCATTTCTCCAAATCCCAATCCCAATCCCTCACCACTGACACTGCTTCCAGCCACACTATTGCCGGCCCTGCCGCCACTCGCTCCACCCACGCCAAGTAGGCCGGACATGATCGACGACGACCGCGCGTTCCTGGGAGTGGCGGCTGCATCACCGGGGAACAGTGGCAAGATGAATGTGCAATCGCCTGCGCCGACGATGGGGACCGGGTTCGGTCCGAAATAGCCCACCGCCCGCGGGTTCACGCTGTTGCTGTAAGGGTTCAGAGTGTCGTAGCTGTGCAAGAGAGCGCGGTTGGCGCAGACATGTGTTGTCGCGCCGGTGTCGAAGATCCAGTCGTTTGGGCCAAAGGGTTTGCGTCCGCTCGCATGGGTTGATGCGCTTCGAGGTTTCGGCGACGGTGTGATGATCAGGCCCGGGTCGGCTGGGGCCGGAGAGCTGGTCTTGGTCTTGGATTTGAGGTGGTCGTACTTGATGAATGTCGAGTCGTCGGTTCTGGTGATGGATATCCGTGGTGCAATAGTCTATCGTAGAGCAGGAGTCATAAGTAGCTGCGTTCAGAAGGACTTGTCGGAAGGGGGCGACGGGCGGACGGAGAAGGCATGATGGGTTCCAGCTCCTCGCCGTTTAATAGCGGTTTCATCCAAACTCTCCAGAAGGACAAGACACATACATACTGAAGGGAAAGGGGAGGGAGAGGAATCATCAATCACTTACTGCGGCTCCGAGGAACGCCACCATCCCCGAGAGAGTGACGAGCCCTTGAAGCCGTGAGCTGCCTGGTCGCCCGGCCATCGAGGGTCGAGGGATCAGAGCGGCTCAAGCTCAGGAACAATGTACCCTGTACCGGATACTCGGACGGCGACAGCGTAAAGAAGCCTCGCCGGTCGTCTCTGAGCCCCAGTCTACAACCACTTCCTCCGACGGACGGACTAGGAGCCTAGTATCAACCCCTGCGGGACCGGCGATCGACGAGGCTCTCACTGACAAATGCCAATTAATTAATTAGATGATGATATTGATATTGCTGCAACGTCGCGTCCCTCGACGACCTCGAATGACGAGACCTGCGTCATTTGAAATCAGAGTCACGTGATCCACGGGACCCTGAACGCCGTTATCACGTGCGCTGCCCCCAAACGGAATAGTTCCTCTCGCTGGATTTTGTACCGAGAGCGGAGCCTGTCGCCGCCCGTCTCTCCGCGACCGGGAAGTTTCTCCGCTCTACTGAGTATATGTCTAGCAGCGGCAGCGGCAGCGGCAACAGGGTTTGGTTTCTTGGGGGGATTGGGTTGTACACGAATCGAGATTTTCTGTATTTAGACTCTGCTGGATTCGGGATCTGCTGAAGGGTATCATTGGAGCATCTCAAGTTGGACAGTTTTTCATTGTTCCGATCAAAGAGCATCCAATCCTCAAACACTTATCGAGGCACAGCAGAAGGACAACTGGTCAAGAACAGAAAGGAGACATGACCTTACCACCCCTCCTCACAGGCCAGGTCTGCGCCATCACTGGAGGGCTGACGGGCATAGGACGGGCGATCGCCATCACGTTCCTGTCTCATGGGGCAAAGGTGGCCATCAACTATCTCCCGTCGCACAACAAGGGCGAAGAGCAACTGCTGTCGTCGCTCCGCACTGAGGCGTTGGATGCCATCAAGGCACGTCCCGGCAGCAACAGCAGCAGCAACACCGCCTCGACGACCAGCCTCGACGACGTCCCACTGCTCAGCGTGGCCGGCGACATTTCCCAGCCCGAAACAGGCCAGGAGCTCGTCAAGCAGACGGTGGCGCGGTTCGGCAGGCTGGACACGTTCATTTCCAACGCGGGCATCTGCCGGTTCGAAGAGTTCCTCGAGATCTCGCCAGACAGCTTCCAGCGCCACCTGAACACCAACCTGTCGGGCGCCTTCTATGCCGTCCAGGCCGCCGCCCAGCAGATGACCCGGCAGACGCCGCAGGGCGGCTCGATCATCGGAATCTCCAGCATCTCGGCGCTGGTGGGCGGCGCCCAGCAGTGCCACTACACGCCGACCAAGGCCGGCATCTTGAGTCTGATGCAGTCGACCGCCACCGCGCTGGGCAAATCCAACATCCGCTGTAATGCCCTGCTCCCAGGCACCATCCGCACGCAGTTGAACGAAGACGACCTCGCAGAAGGCAGCGACAAGAAGAATTACATGGAGGCCAGGATTCCACTGGGCAGACTGGGCAAGCCGGACGACATGGCTGGCCCAGCCCTGTTTCTGGCTTGCGGCGAGTTGTCATCCTATGTCACGGGTGCCGCTATTTTGGTGGACGGAGGATTGTTTGTAAATCTCCAGTAGGAGTAGCAGGAGCCTAGCAATGATCCTGATCCTAAGTCATGAATTCAAGACTATATAATGTGGATGTTATATGCCTCAATGGCCGTGCCTGACCATACTTGGGCTTTCTGTTCCGGCGTGAGCCCTTGATCGTCGAGGATCGCGGCCACCAAAGAATGCCAATGTCCCCAGGAGGCTTGGACCCCTGGTCCACCGGCGTTGCATACTGGCCAGTCTGAGCCGAACATGGTTCTGCCTGGGCCGAATGATTTGAACACAGCATCTACCCACGGCCGCGTCTGCTCCACCAGGGTCGAAATGGCGGTCGGCTGGGTTTCGTCCTGCTTGGGGAGCTCGGAGAAGAAGCCAGACAGTTTCATATATGCTGACTTGTGCGACGCCATCTGGTAAATGTATTCTTTCCACTTGGTGAAGTCTGGGTTTCCACTGGCCGCCTCGGATGCGGTCAGTCGCAGGTTCGGCTTGCAGAGATGGTTGATGATGATCTTGACATCGTTGTCGCCAACGTAGACTCGCTCCATCATCTCACAGGCCTCCTGTAGTTGATGAAGCCCTCCCATTCGAGCATCTACGCCCAGGTCGAACGCCAGACCCTTCCTCCCCAGCCATTGTAGACCTTCGATGAACTGCGGTTGCAGCATCACCCCGGCAGGCTTGTCTTGAACCAGATAGCGGAATCCCTTGATGAGATCCCATCTGTCGCCGCAATGTTGCTGAACTTCCTGTACAAATTGGGCCAAGACCTTCTCACCAGCAGGGACCGGTGCCCATGGCGCGACCCCGAGCACCAACTTGCTGTCTTCTGGGCGATGGTCCTCGCCGTCTCGCGGGGTTCCTCGGGCGATTCTCATCAAGAAGTCGACTTCGTCAAGAACATCTTGCCACTCGGTGTCCTTCAGCCCGGACTTCCTGTCCGTTTCCAGGAAGACAAAGCCCAGCAGATTCGAGCGGTTTTGTGTCGCTGCCCGGTATTCTTGTGTGGAACATTGTCTGTTCAACGGATGGTTCTGTGACAGGCCCGCTGTCCAGTTCAGCGACGCGATGTGACCGGCCGCATATAGATGGATATGCGAGTCTATGATGGGGAATTCACCGGCGCCATTCTGAGATGCCATGTTGCTTAGAGGGTGTGTGAGGCTCGATATTGGCGATGGTGATCGTCTCCGGGAAATCCTGCAAGTCATCCACAGGGACTTCTCTTGGAGTATTTAAATGGCCTTCAACTTCAATCGGTCAAGCATGAGCGTGTCTCAATGCCATTTATCCACAAGTCTGTGTGGCTCCTGTGCTTCGGTGTTTCGGCATAATATGGGCTCTGCGAGCTGGCGTATGATTAGCCTTAGGATCGCTTCTCAACCTGACCCTGCATTGCGTAAGAAAGAACCTCGAGACATCTTCTTCTTGCTTCTGCTGACTTCAAGGGACGTCCGCCTGTATGTCCTCAGCTTGCGGGCGGGCTGCGGGCGGGCAATTGCAACGAGGATGGAATGGGATGGTGGAGGAGGATGAGCGTGACCTCGTCATTTGAAGACCGCAGGCACCGAGGAGAGGAATTCCCATTTCCCAACTCCCAACTTCCATCATCCATCATCCATCATCTATCTTCCATCTTCCATCTTCCCACTTCTTGACCATCGAACTCTTCCTTTCCGTGTAAATGTCCTTCGGCGCCCCTTAACCGGCCTAGACACTCGATGTCTCTAGTAACAAGAAATAGGCCATGAGCGTCCTTCGAAAGGTGTCCTGTCTCATCCTGCCCCAGATTGTTTAGCGGCATATACTGTCCAGCCTTTCGCAGTCCTTTGCAACCCTGCTGGCACCATGGATTCCTCTGGAAGCCATGGTCTGCTCTCCCCTCCCATGTCTGCCGCATCGCCTGTTGCGAGCACTGCTCCTCTCTGGAGTCGAGCTGCCACTCTACCCCCACCACGATCCCAACCGCTGCGACCCGGATCACAGAAAGAGATTGCCCTTATAAATTACCTCGACGATCGAATCTTGACCATTACAAGGCGATATGCGAAGAAGTTCAGTGATGAAGGACTTGAAAATGATGACACACCGGGCTATACCACGTATGACGAGTTCGTCGCCGACGCAGACCCTTTGGTGGATGTTATTTGGGTCAGCGGAACCCGTAAGTCTATGAACTGCCTTGAAAGTGGAAATGACATTTCTTGCCTTCTCGTTTATCTGGATACTCTAATTGCCGATATGTCCTTGCTCATCCCGTCTCCTCGTTCATTTCGTGAGCCTGTTCACTCGTCTGGGGATGCCTCAATCTGATCTCAACTGAACAGCAACCATACAAATTCCATACCTTCTGACCCTGGCCGGCTTGGTATATTCCTACCTACAAGCATTCCCTTTTTCAGTTTCGTTGTTGTATATCGCCGCCAAAATTGACCAGGGCTTTGCGTCCCTCCTGCAGCCCTCCGAAGAGGGCAACTTTTCGTCGGGTGCTTCTCATCGAGTCTCAATGACGGAGAAGGTCCGCATCAAATCATTGATCGAAGAGACAAGAGTGGCAGCTGTTAGGGCTGCTTCAGCCAGCGGACACGATGCCAGTGTACACGACATTTCTGGAACCGACACCGATGATGAGGAGGATGAGCTGTCGGACGATGTTGATGAGAGCAATGATGACCCGCCCAGTTCTCTACCGATATCCTTGGGAGTGGCAAAAATCTACAAGAGAACCCTGGAGATCCTCGGTGATTCGCTAGTACCGAACACTCTACCCCAGAATCAAGGCGATATCATGGAGACTTCATGAAGTAAGATCACGACAAATGATCCTACTCCAAGCCGGCCTTCAAGGATTATATCTGCGCTGCAGAGTTGCAGCAGAAGAACATCTCTCGCCCCTCCCAAGATATGCGGGCTGTCGCTGCTGGAGCGGAGGCTAGCCAGATCAGTTTCGACTGCACCTCCGTCCCCAGCTTGGTCAAGTTCGGAAGTGAAGAATGATGTGGCATGTCGCAGTGCATCATACATCGCCGAGCGTCTCATCACGCCACTTCGGCCAATGGCTTCTCGAGTTGGACCTTGGTACTGTGCCGATTTTCTTAGTGCGAGGGCCCTCGAGGCACCCAATCAGGAAGCGCCACGCCTGGCTGCCCTCTTCTCACCGACACCAGCGGATAACCAACTCTGCTGTATGGTTTGAAGCACCGTTGATGCCCGAAGAGCTCTAGGTCACACAAATCAAATTTCCAGCTCCGTCATCGCCATGCAGCTTCACATCCTGACCCCATATACAGATCCCTTCAAAAGGCGCCGAGTCTTCTCTGAAAACACACCCGGTGATCACTTTCTTCCTCTTCCTCACAAAGTTCCTACGAAGCTTGAAGAAATGTTGTGGTTCACTCTAATGCTGTTTATTCAGACGGCGGCGAGCTTCGCTATTACGCCGGTGCCAATCCCTACTCACGCAGCAGCAAGAACAGAGCCGCTCTCACTTAGTCCTTACCACGCTGTCACTCATTCGACGACTACTGCGAAAAACACTCAACCACAGAGTCACTTTCCTTTCTCGGCTGTCATGACAATCGCACCTTTGGTTGTTAATCCTCTTGAACGAAGACAGAAATGTTGGGATGACCGCGGTTTCAGCGTCGACTGCGCAACGTGGACAGGCTACTACTACACTTGGGGCCCGCCTGGCAATCCATATGAAGGTGGCCCCGGTGAAGGCGGTGGCAATTCGGGAGGTGGCAATGGAGGGGGCGGGAGCTCTGTGGTTGTCTATCAGAACGACGCAATTCGACTCGACTGGACGAGCTGGCCGGCAATCTTTGGGACTTTTTTTCTGGGTCTTCTCATTTTCATCTAGCCGACCACATGAACAGCCACAGAAGCATGAAGGTGACATTCGGTCTGCAATTCCTTACACATGCACATCAACAAATTCATCCATGACTCACCATCTCAGTGAAGCCTGTATGGACACAATCAGCCGTTTGACTCGCCGGAGCAGATGACAGTGCGTTTACAGCCGTTTGTCTTTCACCGAGTTTCGCATTTTACGTTCCTATTTCTATCGGCGAGCCTGCGTTCTCCCAGCCTACTTTATATTTTATTCAGCTTTATACTCCAGGATTTTTGCAAAGCCGTCTGCTTCCTTCAACGGTCGTTTTGTCAAATATCAAGGCCAGATCTCTCTCCACGATACCTCTCGATACTAGGCTGGAAAACTCTCGTCCTGTTGCCCATCCAAAGGGAATCGATGTAGACATGCAACGAGGCCTTTTACATATTATTAATTGTGTCATCGACATCGGCATCGACATCGACTATCTATCTCAAACGCCTGTGAAGGACAAAGGACTTCAGGATAGTGTTATAATGTTATATTCCCTATTCATGATGAGCCCGGAGATAGAACCAAAGCTACACCGCCGTTCGAGGGATCGGACACGATCAGGACCATCTATACCAGCAATGCTATTCCTCTTGACAATGCTGATTATGTGTGGCCACTGTTCAAGGTCCGACGGCTTCTCCCCCCAGAAGCGTCAGGTTGAACCAGTTTCAGCGGTCACAGGGCCAGGAGTCTCAACATTGACAGACCCAAATACCGTACCGCATGCTGCAACATCCGCATTTACAGGTACAGGGGAGCTGTTAAGCTCTGCGGCCACGTCCTTGATCGGGCTCACGCTGCCATCGCCGACGTCAACTCCTGGGTCAGACCAGACCTGGTATTCCTCGCTATCTGACGCATCGATGGCGAGTACTGCGACATCCCTTAGCGGGAGCAACACCGTCATTACTGCAGACACCAGCGGTTATGTCACCACTGATTCCATCAGCGCTGCAGGATCTTCGGCTATGGCCCGACCCAGTGCTTCCCCAATGTCTGATAGTTCAGCGGTAGCAGAAGCCTCCTCTGTACCAGCTTCCACAACTACGACCGCAGGTTCGGGTTCGGCTTATAGGGACACGGCACTCTCCAGCACAATCTCCCCAGCAAGAAGTTCATCTTCCGGAGGAGCAGCATCCTCTGCAGGCTCATCTTATTCCTCTAGTTTTTCGACACCAGGCCCGGCTTCGACACTGTCTAATTCGACTTCTTCGTCTTCCGCGGGCTTCGATATGTCCCAGACGCCTTCTGCTATCGCCACAGTCAACACGACAACAACATTCTACACGACCGTATCGACCGAAGTCACGGTCACATTGCCTTCTGGAGTGCAAGAGCCGTCGACAGTTGAGCTGACTGGTGAGCCAACTCTCACTGTGAGTCCAATCGGGCCGGTAACCCCTGAACCTCACATGATCAGCTCTCCCTCAAACGAGACCACCCCAGCCGTATTTGTGACGGCTACTGGACCATCTATATCCACCGTGACTGTATACATCACCTTTACTCCATCGGTGCCGACGACGGTCACGACCGTGACTGTTATGGAGTTCACGCCAACAATTTGTTCTGGCAGTGGCTGTTCCTTGACAACCCCGGTCTCAAGTTATTCGCCTCCTCTCTCAAGTGTACCTGGATCGAACTCGACAAGCCCGCCGAGCACGACGACCTATTCATACTCTACATTCTGGCAAAGCTATTCAAGCTACATGGCCGCTCATCACAACACAACTGCCGGCCTATCTGGAGCATATACGTCGAATACAAGCTCGGTTTCTGGTTCTCAAGAGTCAATTGCTACTCCGGGCAGTAGTGCAGTGTCTAGCCCCAGTGTTTCTCGCGCAAAGAGCTCTCTTCCTCCAGGCGTCTTCGTCTTCCCTGACACCAATGGAATCGGCTATTCGTGGTCTGTCATAACCCTGCCCAACGGGCATCTTACACAGACCAGACTGGGCCCCCTCACCACAACTTGCTCGCCTACTGCCACGGGAACCACGGTTGGCCTCGATGGGATAACTACGTTCCATCCCGAGTGTAAATCTGGCCCGGGTCCGATGGTCACTCCCGGCGTGACACCTACACCAACTGCTACCCAGACCGGGAACGGGAATGGCCCGTCGTCCGCAGGGGGAAATATCACATCCGCTACGTCAGCATCAGCATCGGCATCAACGCCGACGACGAAAAAGCGCCGAGATCCCCATGTTCGAGATCCAGGCGCACATCACACAATTCAGCCGCGAGGACCTGTCGATGCTGCACTTAACCCTTCGTCCCAAACCCAAGTCGACGGCTGGATGGCCAGACTGTCCAGGTTCTTCGTCCTCCCCTTTCAGTCTGGAGCCCCGAATCCAACTACTCTAGCCACCGTCGTTCGCGATGCCGCCACCACGACCGTCAAGTCTCGCCTATGAGTGTGAGTGTGAGCACGGTCGGTTGAGGTTCTGGGCCGGTTGTCCAACAACCCTCCAGTGACACCAGCTTCAGAGGCTAGATGGCGAGAAAAGGCGAATCACCCCAGACCAGTCCAGTCCCGTGTTTGAACGAATCCAAGTCAAGACTTGCCTCAAATCTGCCTGCGGCCGCTGTAATCCATCACGGCCCTGGAGAGAATGGAATGACTCTCGGTTTGCTTCAGGGCAGTTCAGGGCAGTTCAATTCAGGGCAGCGCAGCGCAGCGCAGAGCAGAGCGGTACGTGGCCCGTGACTGTCGGATCCCGGTATCGACTTAGTTCGGGGGGGGTTGTCACGCCCGATGAATTAGTTAGGGAGACAGACACCTACGTGCTACCAATGGCGCAGTACTAGTACTGTAGTCGATGAATTGATACCCCGAAATGAGAATCTAGTACTGCACACTGCACAGAATGGGAATCTAGTACAGCGCCAACTGGCGGATAGAACAATTTCTCTCTTTACTTCTGGATATGCAGAGGACGACTGTACGCACGCCGGGAATTAGTTGTACTGTATACGCTCGCAGAAACATGCACGGGCTATGCGGACGTGCATTCCCCTACGCCCAGTGCCATCTCATTGACGATGAATTTCCCTCGCGACCACAGTACAGTAGTACAGTAGTAGTAGCCAAGGCGTCATGTTCTAGCCGCAGTGCTAGTCCTCCTTCTCGGCATCATCCTTTTTCGGCTGGAAATTCAGCTGGTTCCCATTGTAGAACTGTTGATCACGGCCCGCGCTCTCTGCGCGCTGGTCAGCGAGAGTCCGAACCCGAGCGTTCCTGGCCGCAGATGCAGCTGAAGCCGGCGTCGAGCCTCCCCCCAAGCCAGTGTCGCCTGATGGCGCCGCTTCGGAGCTTGGGGGAGTGTTGTAGCCTAACAGGCTCTTCACGCCGCCCAGAACCATTCCCGCCGTCCCACTGACAAGGCTGTATCCACCGCTCACCGCGGCGCCAAGTAAGCCTCCTGCCGTCGAGCCTGTATAAGACTCGACATATCCTCTGACCGGAACCATGACCAGCGTGCAACTTCCCGCGATGCCAAGGTCCGAAAGTGGCAATTCTTCCTCACTGGCTTCGATGTTCCGATTAGGGAGTGGTGTCAGGATGAGTTTGAGATTGTAGGGAACGGTCGTGTTCGAGGTGGTGTCGATCCAGGGCCGAATGTCGGCGGAGAGCGTTGAAGTGGGTTGGAACGTGGAGCGTAGCGTACTGCCGTCGAACGTGCGGACTTGTACTCTGGTTTCGCTATTTCTTGTCTTTGAAGTGGTCGATCCTGATAAGGCTGATGTGGTTGAAGTAGTATGCTCCAGATTGCCGCCGCGCTTTCGCATCTCATCCAACCGGCGTCTTTCCTCGCGGTCTGCCTTGATCTGTGCCTTTATCCGTTCGCGCTCCTCACGTTGCTGCTGTTCTCGCTCGCGCTGCATCTTGATGTATTCCGCTCGTTGAGCCTTTTGCTTCTCGGTCTCGGCTTGACCTGGTGCGGGCGAGGCGGTGTCTCTTTGCTGTGCCGGAGACGCTGTGCCGGAGACTGGAGCCGTTACTGCTGGAGCAGCTGGCCTCGGCGGGGGTTGTTGCGAAGAAGAGGAAGACGAAGTTGTAGGTTGCGCAACGGGCCCCGCCTGGCCTGGTATGCGAAGTCCAACCGCCGGGAGCCGTAGGAGTCTCGACCGTAGGTATTCTGAGACTTCGGGGCGGCCATGTCCTCTCAAACGTTCCACTTCGTCACGGAAGATGGGGATGTTCTTAAGGAGCCTCAACTGCGTCTGGAACACTTCAATAGGAGCTGTGCCGTCGTCCAGCAGTTTCTGAGTATAATTTCGGAGGGCGTCGTACGCATTGTTCGGAAGTCTCATTTGGCCTGGAGCGGTCGGCTGAAGGTCGAGATATTCAGCCGCAGCTTGTTCAGCGTCTTGAGCAGGTACTGCAAGCCTTGAGCCATATCAGCCATAGTTGTTCTCAGATGGGTTGCAGTACATACTCCGATTCCGAAGGCACATGTATTCCAACATCTCGGACGCGGAAGATGCTAATGAGTCGGTCCTTCAATTCGTGGACAGACATCTCGCCAGATTGAAGATTCGCTTGCAATTGTGCATTCCTGGCTTAGTTATTATATGCATCTAGCTCCATCACCGAGTTCTCTTACTTGATCACAACGATTGCTGGCGTGCTGCTAATCGGACAGATGGGAGAGAGGAAGTTGGCTTCATGAGACCCGGCTTGAAGTCGTAAGGCTACCGTCTGAGCGGTAATCGCGGGGGATACCTGAACAGAGTCAGAAAATAGGTCGATCCTCGGCGGCGATTCCTCCCACCGATGCATCCCTTAAGACATTCTCCCATTGCCTGCTGCGGTCGCTGTCATCTGGGATTCGGTCAGCACCTCTTGCGCGGGGGGTGGAAGCAGACTCTACTCTACCGTGCACGAAACACAAGACAGCTTTGGATTGGTCAAGGGCCAATGCAATCCCGCTCTGAATATCTCCATCATGGAACATGGTGAGCTGGTGCCTAGGTAGTTGTAGCTCTTCTCTGTAAAGTTGGTCGTTGATCGAGGCCGGAGCCGCAGTTGGTGTACGCTCTGGCATTGGCAGGCAGCGTCATGTGGACCCCGGTTAGGTGCCCGGCAGCAGTTCTGCAAAACGACTCTCAGACACCTTCACACCTTCACACCTGTTTCACTCCTCTCTATGCGTCCTATCTGGTCCAGTCACGCAGCATGGCCAAGCATGGTCTGAAGGCTCTTCGAGCGGCATTGATCCAGTCTCGAAAACCTTTCCATGCACAGCGGACAGGGCAGTCTCGTCATGTCCTCACCAGACAGCCACCACCCAGTCACGAAAACCCAGACTTTGTCTCGGTAGTGGACGCGCCTCCTCGAATAGTGTCGGTGGGACAGAGGCAGTCAAAACTGGGCCTTGCACTGCTTGCTGTAATCCCATTTACTGCGTTCTGCTTAGGCACCTGGCAGATCCAGCGTCTGGACTGGAAAACGAAGCTCATAGCCAAGTTTGAAGACCGACTGGTCCGGCCGCCATTACCTCTGCCTCCTCGAATCGATCCCGATGCCATCCACGAGTTTGACTACAGAAGGGTCTATGCTACAGGAAAGCTGCGACATGATCAAGAGATGCTTATCGGGCCACGCACGCAGGATGGCAAGGACGGATTTATGGTCATTACACCGTTAGAGCGTGAAGGTGGTAGCACTATACTGGTCAACCGTGGCTGGATTAGTCGGGAGAAAAAATACCAACAGGACAGAGATCCGTCTGCTTTGCCCGAAGGTGAAGTGACCATCTCAGGCCTGTTACGCGAACCTTGGAAGAAGAACCTTTTCACGCCGAACAATGATCCAGACAAGGGTAAATTTTATTTCCCCGACGTTGAAGAGATGGCCAGAGTCTCTGGAGCCGAGCCTGTCTGGGTGGAAGAGACCATGACGCCGGATATGCTGGTCAGCTTTGATCGAGAATCCAAGGGCATCCCCATTGGGAGGGCGCCCGAGGTCAACTTGAGGAATAATCATGTACAGTACATATTCACGTGGTAAGCAAGCTTGTCCTGCCGTCTCAGATTGCATGTCTCATCAGTCATCAGGTATTCGTTATGTGCGGCCACAACGCTCATGACGTGGATGGTCTTCCGCAAGAAACCCGTAGACAGATCTCGACGGATACGTCATGTCACGAATTGGTGATAGCGATATTCAATTAATCGCGTCATTCAGCTCCGCCGCCGCCTCTTTGGGAAGCAGTTCCCGAACAGCTTTCTGAAGCTCGCCGTCACCTTGAAGCACCCGTTGTCGCCGCATCAGCATGAGCACATCGCTGCGGTCGATTCGCTTCTTTCGCCGAGCGTGATCGGAATAGGCAGCGAGGTCCTCACCGACCTGCTCGAAAAACCACTCGGTTGCTTGTTCGAGGGCTTCCATATGATCTCGGCCAAGTTTCGGTTTGCGGTTGCCGAGTCTGGCATGTGCTTCGATCGCAACCCGCTTGATCACACTGGAGGGTAGGGAGGGTACGAGCTCTCCGTGACGGGTCAATTTGACCTTTTTTCGGCGAGGTCGTGAAGAAGACGGCACAACTTCACCAACCGGCGAGCCTTCCCGGCTAGAGTGTGCCACCGACGAAGAGGCATGCTGCATACGCTGCGGCTCGGCTGGAGTTGTTTCTCCTTCAAGTACCTCTTCCGCCGAGGCAGTTTGGGCATGGCTTGAAACTGCTTCTCTGTCCAACATTTCCAATTGGAAGCTCTCTTCCAGAGGCAGGATGTTCATAGTGCTTTCTTCTGGCGGCGGCGGCGGCGGCGAAGGAGATGGTCGGCCAAGATTCTCTAGATGTTCAGTCTCCCCACCTAAATCCAAGGGCTCATAGTTGAACCCGACTCCGCTGTATTCATTCTGCAACCTGAAAGTCTTTGGCTGTTCTCGCTGAGTAGATTCCCTCCTGATCTCCAACTCGGATCCAAAGTCGCTCATTCGAATGCTGCCAAAACTATAGCGCGACAGTCGCCCGGTAGGTTCCTCGCTTATGGCTCTCCGTCCCATCTCGGTCAGGATGGTTGGATCCTCCTCTATCTCGTCGCCTTGCAGCTGGTCAGAAGCTTTGGACCAGCGTCTGCTGAAGCGAGTGGCGGACGTGCGCGCACTGGCAGCGTCTCGTGCAAAATCGATCGATTTAAACGTCATGGTCGGATCGTTTCTTTGAATCCTCCTCCTGCCTTGTTCGCCGGTGTGGTTGTCATCATCCTCATCGGGCAGTATAGAAGGGGTCGGGGCCAGCGGCAACTCGCTATCCTCGTCATCCTCGACGGCTGGCGGTTCGACATCGTCCAGGCTGTCGTCGAGTTCCAGAGCCAGCCGTGGTCGCTTGGGGTTATCTGTATCGGTATCTGTATCTTCGTCTGCGGCATCTTCGTCGCCCCCATTGTGGGCACTTCGCGGTGTCTGATTCTCCTTTCCTCTCCCCTTCCCGCGCGCAGTCGCAGTCGCCGGAGTCGAGATCGCCTTTCTGGTCAGGGGCGCAGTGATCTTCGCCAGTCGTCTCAAAATCCCTCTTGCGGAGTCCGGTCGCACGGTATCGCTGAAAGCCCTGGGTCTGCGTACCGACCGCGTCTTCGCACCGCTGCGCTGCTGGAGAGCGTGGATCGCGTGCGGTGTGGATGGCGCATATCTGGAGGGGGTCTGAGTATTGCGCAGCTCCGACAAAGGCCGCTTGCGCGATGACATGATGGGCTCAGCAGGTAACGGAGGTGTTTTGTTGCGCTTAGCTACGGGTCTGGTTAAGCATAGCTAGTAGCTCATCAATAGTCATCTATACCTGCGTTTCTTGCGCGGTTGGGTTGTTGTTGGCGGAGCTGAGGGCCACAAACCGCGTTGAGGCGGCGCGCGGGATCGCGAAAGCACGTGACATGGCATCTCAGCCTCGTGGGGTTGGTTTACGGAGGACTGGATGGAGCCTTGCTCGACAATAACAATAACTTGAACATTATGTGGTAGTGGTAGTGATAAGCTGAGAGCGGTCGAACCCTCCTGCTACGTCGAATGCCGTAATCTAGCCCTAACCACCAGCGAGTCTATCAGCCGGGCTAAGGCTGGGTGCCAAAATACATAGCGGATTATACGGCGGTCCTTCTATTAAGGAGAGAGCTACTATCTCTAGATATAGACGTTTAATACGAGAAATAGAAGAGTTACTGTAGGGAGGCCGTAGATTATATCTAGTATCTTAGAAAGATAATTATTCGGTAGAGCTAAAGGTTTCCCTAATCTTATCGAAGTAGTAGTTGGACAAACCGCCTTTAATTCTGGCACCCACCCTAAGGCCTCAGCTCCCCATGACCGAAGCATCGCCCTGCTTCCAAATAACATCCAACACCCACTTCTTGGCCTTCCATGGGCCGTCGGTCGCATCCCTTACAAAATCAATCGAATACTCTCCGCCTACCAAGAACTTCGGCCCATCTGTTTGCCCTCCCAATCCCGGTGGACAATGCTGTGCTAACGCATAAGCCGTGACAGAGGCGGTATCAGCTCCATCCTTCAGATCCACGCGGATGTTGCTAAGCATATGGGTCGAATCCATAGGGCCGACACCATGGACCAAAAGGTTGCGGATATTGGAGATGCCCTGGTACTCCCGGTTCCCATCGCGGTCTAGTATGAGAAAGGAGACATCTTCTCCGGCAAATGCGGAATTGAGGAGGGAGACGTCGTTGCGGTCGAAGGCTATGACCGCGCGATACATGACGTCGATGATGGCTTCGCGTGTGCTGAGGGAGGGAAGGGTTTCTGGGTGTGGGACCGACATTTTTGGGTCGATGGAAGGAGATGCAGTGGCGGGAAATGAGTGCTAGTGTGTAGGTATTGCGGTTCAAGTTGCTTTTGTATGCTGAGCTCTTATTATGGTAGGGTTACTTCTTACCGTCGATGATGGGCATATTTATACATGTAGCCGTACCTATGTCTGTAGTACGTCTCGTCCTTCTCTTAGGTAGACTTGAGGTACTGCACAGTGTGATGGAGATAAGGCGCGGAATGCGAGAACATCTCCGGAGATATCAAATATCAAACCCTTGGCTTACTCTCCTGCCGCCAATCACATGCAGAGCAGATGAGGCTGCGAAGGATCTGCGTGATCCCATTGGCAGGCAGACTGTAAGCCACCACAACTGCCCAACCCCGACTTGACTGAAAAGGTGTCGCTCGTTCCTCGCCTGGGAACTTGATTACCACCTCACACCCAATGTCTGGTGCTCATACTGCATGTTTCGTTCGTACTCATCCCACGGCCCCAGGGATGACGAATCTGGGCTGTACGACCGTGCAGAGTCTCCACGAGACTGATAGACCAAAGAATCCCACGGAAGGCCGCGATTGGCGCCACTAGGAGTTCGATAAGAATGGATGGGTCAGAGGAACGTACGGAGACAAGCACGGCAGCGGGCAAAGCCCCAGACAAGAAGTGCGGTGGGCGAGTCATGACCGAGGCGCGAAGACAACAAAACCGCACCTCGCAGAAAGCGTACCGTGGGTTGTTCCCCTTCCTACACACATGGCCCTCCCTGTGTGGACAACTGAGCAGTGAACACTGGTAATCTAATCGGCTCAAGTACAGGCCAGAGAAACAAAGAACGCCGAGAGGAGTTACAACGGAGGAAAAAGGCCATGTCCGGTGCCCTGGCCCGTGGTGAACCAAGGCCCATTGCTCCGTTTGTGGCAGGTGAGAATGGCTCAAACCACACTGCGGCGGGCGTGGTCCTGGACAGCCAACGAGAAAGCACCACTGCTGTTGGTGGCGAACTACAGGGAGCTGAGTTGGATTCCCTGCAGCATAGCGGCTTACCGCAACTATCTCTCACTACTGCTAGCGTGTCAGAGTCCCTGCCTTTCGCCTGTGACGACCCCAGTCTCAGTCTCAGTCCCAGGGGATATGTCGATCAACTCGCAGCCTCACATATCTCTGCTACTAGCGGTGATTTTATGGACATGACCGATCCCAGTACGGGCTTGAATCTTGGGAGAGCAGTCGGATCTGGCATGGATTCGCCTGCGTTGGAGACCGAACTTGAACTTGACCTTTCGATGCCACAAGAATCGTTTCCACATCTGGCCCAGCATGGTACGATGACACAACCCCTCGTTCTAGACGGGACATGTTTCATCGACACTGCTCTTCAACAAGAACAAGGGATAGCAGACACCTCATGGACGTGGTCGCTTCCCTGCTTTCCCCCTGGGGAAATTCCCCCGTCTCATGCACAGCTTCAGCGACAGCTCCACCTACAGGGTGAAACTCTGACTTCCCGTACTTCATTGGCAAGCGACACAAAGGACCTTCTCGGCGGTCTGATGGAAGTTCTACAAGACCGAGGAATGGAAGAAGTGATATCAGCCGGGTTCAGTTCCATGTTCAAAAGTGCCAAAAGGCAAACGCAAAGGCATCGGCAGGAGACGGCTCGCACCCTGTTTTCCGGCTTAGATCCGTATCTGAGCAGCAGCATGCAGCCGCCCGGAACCACCATCTTCTCCGGGTTGATCTACAACGCATATTGTCTAGGGTTCAGCCTCCGAGACCTTTTTCTCGTCCCGAAACATCCCTCCCCATTGTACAAGCCGGACCAGGCTCATGTAGATCCTCAATCTCTTGTGGCGGCGGCGGGGACCAACCCGTCGATGCCGGCGAACCTCAGGCCAACGCTGCCCCAGGTGATATATCCCCACTCGACATTCCTCGACCTCTTGCCGTTCCCCGAGATGCGGTCGCGCGCAATCACCCTAGCTGCTACCGTGCCTCATATTTTCGATTGGTTTGATCTGAAATGGGACCTTGAGTACGGACTCATCTACCACCGCGTCAGGACCTCGAGTAGCGGCGATCCCGGACAGCCGTGGGATCCGCGGAACTGGAAGGCGACGCCTTGGTTCCTCCAGAAGTGGCATATCTTGATGGACGACAAAACTAGAGAAATGCTGAAGCAGACCACGGTGCGGCAGAGGACGAGGAGAGATGTTTGGGGCATCTGAATGCGCTGGAGCTGAAGCCGCATTGACTCTGAGTACCCGACCTGGATCTGGCCCATACATGGTATGGAAGTCTGAATCCTCGATTTCGACACCAGTCTTATCCGGCGGGGAGGATGGTGAAGCAATTGTAGACTGGTATAGTCCACATACTAGGTACTCTGCTGATATATACTGCACAGGAGCGTACAGATGTATGTCGTGAATAGTAGTCCGTAGTGGTGGTCTACTCTGTACCTAGGTAGTGACTAGTCCGAGTCAGACAGCAAGCCTGCGCAGATGCACCTGACTCACGACTCACACCACAACTACAGAGTATCCTAGTACTATCCCTACACTACATCCCTCCTCCTCTTCCTTCCCGCCAGGCCGCTGCTCTCCATCTCCCATGTTCATGGCCACCTTTGGCTGACTTCCAAATCAAATCTGCATTCACGACCATAGCGTCTCATCTCCTTCACTCTCAGCCATGACCCCCATGCAGGTCCAGCGGGCAGGTAAAGGCATCGCTCGAACTCGGCGGTTGCGGTGTCGCCCACCGACATCAACGCCAACCCCGACACGCTGTCTCGGCAGTAGATACGGATACACATGCAGGTACATGGCTACGCAACCAAGCTTGAACAGCTCGACGAGAAGGTTGGAGTACGAGATGAAAGCCCGTCAGCTGCCGACCCAGTCTGGGCCGTGGACAGTGTCCCACGTCCGAGATCTCCGCCAGGCACTCCGGCAGCATCTGTCGCTGGCGCATCAAGGCAGCCTGATCCCGCCGGGTTTCCACCATGTGTCATTCAACAGGATCGTCGAGGAAAACCAGCTTTGCGAGGACGGGGCGGAGAGGAGCCACGCGCCCAGCGATGCCTGGAAGTTCCGCGTCTGGGCCGGCGGCCACATGGGGTTTGACATGCCGCGCGTACACGTTAACACCACCAAGTTCGTCAAGGTCTCGGAAAGGATCACGGATGTACGCGTGGTCGGCGACCCGGCGCGTGACGACTCGAAGATCTTTGTCACGTTGACAAAGTGGTTGAGAGCTTCCCTTCACAAAAAGAACGACGACACCGACATTGATACCGATACCAGCGGTGGCAGCAGCGCATTCGCCTCGATGATCCGAGAGCAGAAACACCTGTGTTTCATGCGCGACGTGCCTCCCAGCCTCAAGGCCGCGGGCAGCACTCCGCGCAGGCTGCCGCCTCCGACCGAGCCTTTCCACTCTCAGACCATGACGCCGTCACGCACGCTGTTGTTCCGCTTCAGTGCGCTCAGCCAGAACGCCCACGCCATCCATCTCGACGCCGACTTCACCCGACGCGTCTACGGCATTCCCGACCTTCTGGTCCAGGGCCCGCTCACGTCCGTCTTGATGCTGGAAGTGTTGAGGAAGGCTTTGAGAATGGCTTCACGCGTTGAAGATGGCCGATTTTCTCAAGATGGCCGGTTCCAGCTCTATAGCTCTGAGTCTGACCCCGACCACAATCACGTCCTCGCCGTCCGAGAGTTCGAGTACAGAAACCTCCTACCCCTATTCGTCGACGAACCCATCACCATTGCGTGCAAGCGAGCTGTGACAAATGACAGCCCCTCGGCGTACAACAGCCACGTCGGCGGCTCCGAAGGCGAAGGAGGATGGCCGGCCTCCCCGGGCGAGAAATGGGACGTCTGGATCCAGAAGGGCCAGGGCGACAATGCCATGCTGGCTGTTAAGGGAAAGGCCTTGGTCCAACCTGTCCGAGTGGCCCGAAGACCTGGGAAACGAATGGCATGATTACACTTAGTAATACTATTCGGCCCAGCCAACTCGGCTTCCCGTCACTAGCTCGACGCTCGACGCCAAATGGGAGTTCTGACCGTCCCAGCTTGCTCCTGGGTGACAAAAGAACCATATGCTGACTTGCCCATGTTGGACCATGTCACGCTGGCGGGCCTCTCTGATTCAGGGACGGAGGACACCTTCGGCCCACCCTATAGCGACATATCCACAAAAGACGATACTGAGCTATTCACTTTCAGGCTTGGACTCGACTCTATGTCGTTGGACAGATCTATTGCCTTCATCCCGAGCCATGGGTGAATCCTAGTCTAGTTGTCTAGGTCGCGTGTCCGGGACCTCGGTTTTGTCAAGGTTGCATAAAAAACGACGTTATATCCATCGGGCGGAGTGTCCGACTCGATCCCCCAAACTGCAGGATACATTTTAAATATCAGCCTGTCAAGTATGCTTCCACCCATTCCAGATCAAAATGTGCTGTTCGGGTATGATGCACAGTTGGCCGTTCTCCTCGCGCTTTTCGAGTGAGTCTTTGCTCTCTCTGGTCCAGCGCTCCATTCTCTTTGCCACTTCCTTGGCTTGCTTCGTCACTCGAGGGGCCAGGATGCGCTTGATGCGGTTCGACCATACGCCGCTGACGTACTGCGTGGATGAGACGAAGGTCCCATCTGGATCGGTGTGGGTTGAGTTGTATGCCTCGACAGTGTAGCCGACGCGGACGGCGGGGTTCAGGTAGACGCCGCTGCCTGCCATGTTCATGGCCGCCATGTCCGTGTGAATCAAACAGCATTCGCTGGCTTCGACATGTTTGGACGCCAGACTGTCCGGCAAAGCACGGAACCGGAGACCTTCGTAGAAGGGGCTCGAGTCCATTGCAACCATACCGTTCCAGCACGAGCGGACTTTGACCGCACGGCCTTGAAGCATCGCCTCTCTCGAGTCAGGAGACTCAAAGTATGGGAAGGACGTCATGATGGTTCCATTGCCTTGGCTATCCCGAAGAACAAAGGTGTCGTAATATGCGGGAGGATAGTGAAAGTCCAGAGCACAGGCGGCAGAAAAGGAGCCTTGATTGGTGGCCAGGAGGGACAGCACGTCGCTAGGACGGAAGACGACGTCGTTCAAGAAGAGGATCTTATCGTAGGTCTGGCCCTTGGAGTGTAGATTGAACAGAGGTTGGAGAACTCTGTTCCGCAGCCTCGCCAGATAGGGGATGCGACGCATCTCCTTGCCCGCGCCCACCGTCGTGGTCTGGATCCAACCTGGGCGCGGGTTGCCCTGCTCGTCAAGCGGGCCGGCATTGATTTCGTCGGCGTGGGTGGTGGGATCGAGAATGACGGTGCGTGGGATATTGTTGTCAGCCAGGACTTTGTCCAGGAACTGGAGAATGGCTTTGGTGTCGTCGAGGCTTCCACTTTCGTAGATGCTCACGTAGACATTGTCCTTGCCCAGCACGCCGATGAGGTCGAGCAGGGCCTGGCCCCAGCGGTCCTGTATGATTTTGGCACTGGTCCAGAACTGAGCACAGATGAATATCTTCTGGTTTTGCAGCGGGGAGGGCAAGGTCGACAGCTCCGGGTAGGAGTGGGCAACGAGGTTTCTGGAGAACTCGCGGTGGTGTTTGAGGAGGGTGAGCAGGTCAAGCAGGAACAAGGCTCCGAGAATGAAGACGACCGCCCTCAGCAGCCGCCGTTGGGGCGACCGGCGGTACGTACGCAGGAACATGGGGAGGGTTTGTAGGGCGCGGGCGCAGGCGCAGGCTGACTGTCTCCATCTGCTAGCAGCGGGATCATGGCTGGAGGGAGTTCGAAAGGGATGAGGGTGAGGGAGGAAGGAGGATGATAAAGGGAGCCGCGTAGGCAGGACACCGGCACAAGGCGCCGTCTGACATGTCTTGGTCGAGCACCAAGGACGCCAGGGACACCAAAAGGGACGAAGGGGAGTCGGAATCTGAATTTATTATTAGTGAGGGAGCGTCGAGGTCGGTGGTCGAAGCGTTGGGGGATTTTACCCCTGAAGCGATTATGTCAGCTGGCCGACTTCATTTCATCCCTTGTCGTGTGTCGTCCTAGATCAGTTGCATTCTATACGTACCGTAGTATAGGTAGGTATGTATACTATACCACAGAGGGAGTACCCCGTATACTTCTGTTGTTCCTGTTCTTGTTCCTGTTCTTGTTCTTGTCCCCCACCTACCTCGATCCTTGAGCCGGACGGACCAGGAGCTCGAGAGAAGGCCGTCGAGGGAGCTGCAGAAGAGATGCATGTCTTGCACACGCACGGCTCGACCATTTCTTAACCAGCTGCGCCCTAATATCCCGGATGTTCGTCCAGCGTGACGGTCCTTGTGATTGCACATGCCAGTGGAGAGCAATATCTTATCAAGGAATGTCGGAGGAAACCAGAAACCATTCAATGGGAAGCCCTGAGCCCTCACACGGGAGGAGGGAGGGGAAGCAGTCCATTCACCGCAGCCCAAGGGTTCTGCAGCACCCGCAATAAATCCACGGTGATATATTGGACCTGCAAGAAATTCATCTCAATCTTCACCGGCTCAGGACAAACTGGCACCGGGCCAGCAGGCGTGACGGTGACGAGACCCGACAATCCGACGACACAAGAACTCCGTTCGATTCACCCTCGACCACCACCTCGACTATTTAATTCGACGACAACCTCGCCTTCTCGATTGTGCGACCCGACAAGTCACCAAAACACAACACGACACGACACAGCTGGAAGGGTTATTGGACTAGGAAGGACTACTACACGACCATAAATTACTACACGACCATAAATTACTACACGACCATAAATTAGTTAAAACGAAAGAAAAACTCCATATGGCATAAAACACCGGAGTTTTCGCTTCCTCACACCCTCCCGCGAAGGAGCATGTGAACCGAGGTTTTTTTGCCTTTTGCCTTTTGCCTTTAGTCTTTTGTCTTGTCGGATGCCTGGTCTCAAGGTATGATTGCTTATTGCTCTGGTTTTGATTTTGACTCTTTACGATCTCGTACTACCAGTACCCTGACTCACGTCCATCCTTACTATCGTAGCATGTGCCAACGTCATACTGCCAGTAAGCGAGTTGATCTAGCTACTACTAGGCGATCAGCATATGTTGAATGAAATGCAGACTCTGATGACCATGGCTACACACATGCGTAATGGGTTGGCTGTTCATGCAGTTTCACAGGCGACCTGCAGCTGCCTAGCTATGTAGGTAGCCAGCGACAGACTGTAGAAGAACAATACTACACGCAGACAGGCAGACGAGTAGAACCAAGCATATGAAGCCGGCCACCACCCAATGTTCATCGGTCGACACAACCACAACCATAACTATGGCCACGATAGGCTGTAGACTGTAGGCTTTATATAGGCTATGGGCTATGCCTATGGCCTTGTACTATGGCATCGAGCTCGACACTTACATACATACATACCTAAAGTCAAGTTGCACTGTACAACACCGACCCATCCTCGCTTGACGGCACGAGTCTCTATATCTGCATACAGAACACTCCGTACACCGCTGTCTCTGTCCCTGTCCGACGCGGCCTAGACAACAGACACAATCGGCTCGAGCCAATCCAGCCTCTTTCGGACTTGGCCGATTTCATCATCCATCGTACCGGGCTGTGACGTCTCGTCTCACTGCAAGTGCGAAGCTGAGTTCGTTCTAGAAGACAATCTGATACGGAGTACAGAGACGTGGATTCAGATGGATAGAAAACACCTGATTTGAGCTAGGTATTCAGATATACAGATAGGCACAGATACAGATACAGATACAGATACAGAGTCCGAATGTATGATGACGACGGTGACGACGAGGTAGGCTGGCTTCTACAATAGGCAGGTACGTAGGTAGGTTGCACCTTCTGCCTCTGCCTCTGCCTCTGCCTCTGCCTCTGCCTCTGCCTCTGCCTCTGCCTCTGCCTCTGCCTCTGCCTCTGCCTCTGCTCCTGCCTCTGCTCGTCGACTCGCAGTGTAATGCAGAGTGTAACGTCCCTTGTCCCCAGTTCTAACTACCAGAGCAAACCCGCAATCGCAATCGGAATCATCACACCCGCTCATGCAACCTGGCTGCCTACATCACGCTCCCATCCATTCGAGCGAACGAACAGACGGGCCCGGGTCCTCTTGTCCCTCATGATCCTCACCGCCTTCTGGTGAAACACTTATCATCCGACCAAGAGACGCTCGTTGTATCTGAAAATCCGAAAAGCAAAACGAACCGAGCCGAACCGAACCGCAGGGCGAAACTCCCTCCACACGGCCGACCTCCAGCAGCGGCTGATTTGAAATTGTCCAAGCATGGCCACTACCACCGCTATCACGATCACTGCTTTTCTCGCCCTGATCCTCGTGGGCATGATAAATGCTTTGGCGGTCCCACGTCCGGATAAAAGCCTCGAGATCCACAAACTAGGAGCACAGGATCTGGTCAAGCGCAACATCACCGTCGGCACACAACAGCTCGACCTCAATATCGACCCAGACATTGTCAACCCGAACTGCGGCGGAGTCTACCTTGCCAACATCAACGTGCAGTTTGCACCTGACCCGTTCTACCTCACGGCAGCCTGCAACAAGGTGCTCAGCTACATTGGAGGACCGAAGGGGAACAAAGATGTCGACGTCGTCTTTGCTTGTCTCGCCCAACCCACAAGTGGCAGTGGAGACCGAGACATAAAGGTCATCTTGAACACGCAGGCCAATTTCGTCCTGGATGGCAGCCAGAGTGGCACCCAAAACATCCCAGCAAACATGGAGATCACATCCGAGAATGACAACTTTTTCCTATCGACAAGCGTCGATATCGGCGTCAAAGTCAACAGTGGTGCTGGCAAGGTGACTTTCCAGTACATCTACTGTTGAAACAATAACGTAGTGTCCAAGCACCTGATTCGACCTTGAAGGAGGAGGGAGAAATGAGAATATCCTGAACCTGAGTGGACGTCAGGTCCTTTGGTCATCCCGCGGTGGAAAAGTATGGCGTAGTAGAGGTGCAATTGAGGTCGCCAATGTGTATGAGACGAGCTGCGGTTTATCAAGTTGTTCTCGGAAAAAATCATGCGTCGTACCGATGGGTCGTGGTCTGGCGAATTGCCGATATTGCTCATGTGTGAACAATCAGTAGTGTTACCAAAGGACTGGCAGGCCTCTGGAGCCTGGAAAACCAGTGCTATCTTGCCCAAGTCCCATCTTTCTGTCTGAGCTTCGTTCACTGAACAAGATGACTGCCCATGAAGGTAAAGAAACATCATCGAGAGATAGTTTTTCATGTCTAGGCTCGGCCTATGAGGCCAACCACGCTTCCCGTAGCATGTTGTACGGCAGGCTTCTAGGATGAAGTGTGAAATGGCCTCAGAAATCCCTATCGTTCAGGCCATCAGCCAAGGTAGTCCTCAGATCAATCTGTCGAGCAATTGTCTGCGCCGTCGGTCGACGAGCTCTTCCTGGACTTCTTGAAGAGTGGGCAGCCGCCATCTCACGCCGTCACCAGCGTCGCCAGGCAGCGGATCCCAGTCAGGGTCGTCTTCGTCGCTCTCGGCCAGCTTCGCGAGCCTCTCGACGGCCTCTTTCTCCTTCCTCCGCTCGTACTTTAGAAGGGAGCCATCTTCCTCGTCAGGCCCGAAGCCGAAATACCTGGCGTCGAGATTCTTGCGATAGATGTCCTGCCCCGGTTTAACTTTGCCGGCTTCCTCCTCCTCGTCTCCGTGCACCCTTCTCTTGGCCGCGCGCTCAAACATTTCCTTGACCCCGGGCAGCTCCCTCGCCCGGCCGAAGTATCTGTATCCTTTGCCTCCGCCGGGAACCTCGCGTCCCTGATCATCGAACACGGTGCTACCGCCGCGCATGTAGTTCGGGCCGCCCAGTTCCCTGATTCTTCGCTCCCAGCCCCATTTCTCTTTCATCAACTTGTTGATTTCGTCATTGAGGTCGCGGACCTGGAAGTCCGACAGGCTATCGTCTTGGATCTTGGTCACCTTGCGCGAGATCTCCTTGAGGACCTGGCCGCGCCATTTCTCGCAGAGTGGGATCGTGCTGACCGTGCTCGGGGCTTTTGGTCGACGTAGCGAAGAGCTGGGTAGCAGGCCTGATTCTGCAGCCTGCGCCGCCCGGAAGCGGAACAGCATAGACTGCGCCTTTTCGGAATTCCGCGCCATGGTGTTAGCTTGATGGAAGGTTTGGCTGGTGGTGATGTGGTGGTGAGGGAGTCGGGAGGCTGGTGTGTAGCAAGATCCGACAGGGGTCGTTGCGTTCGGACGCGGCTTTTTACTCGACCTGTGCCTCTTTCCTCAAAAGATCGAGGCAATGTCCTTGTGCTTGTAATAGTGGCCGTGGATGCCGTAGAGGACGCGAAAGGTCTTTACAGAAATGTGGCTGGCGCCGTCAAGTGGGCTGGACGGCGGAAAAATTACGGAGGACGGATAATACTGTGGAGGAAAATTGGAGAGACTGTCAGGACAGTACTAAGTAGTCGTAGTACATAGTATCCAGCACCCGGCTTCCACCAATGTTCACCGGCTTCACTCGGCTGCGCACAGAGGAGGAACAGGAGCAGACAGACCAGCTCGGGAATTTGAAATTGAAGTTGATACAGACAGCCGCAGCGATGCGATAATGACAGTGATCGGCCGTCAGGGCTCTGTGTGAAGCATTACGGACACGAAAGTAGAGAGCTTCGACACCACACGCCCCTCCTCACCATGTCCCAGTGGCTACAGCGCCATGCTTCCACCAGAGTCCAGCTCGGGCTGGCAGCGGCGGCTGGCGCGGTGGTGGCAAGCTCGATCATCTTCACGGCGACCGCCATCCACCGGCGACGGGCGACGGAAGCGCTCAAAGCCTCGATCCCCGATATCTCTGCCGAGCACCATGCGATCCCTCTGACCGAATATGGCGGCCCCGTTCGGGAGACCATCACCACGAAGGAAGATGAAAGAGCAGCAGTGATAGCGGCGCGGGCGCGAAAGGGAGACTACGATGAGGAGCTGATCCTCGAACAACTGGCCCGCAACCGGGTGTTCTTAAAAGATGACGGGCTGGCCAAAGTGCGCAACGCCTTCGTGGTCGTTGTTGGCCTTGGAGGCGTGGGCAGCCACTGTGTTGCGGCACTGGCCCGAAGCGGCGTGTCGAGGATACGAATCATCGACTTTGACCAGGTCACCCTGAGCAGTCTGAATCGACATGCGTTGGCTACTCTCGCGGACGTCGGCACGCCAAAGGTGCATTGCGTGAGGAGACGGCTCGAGCAGATCTGTCCTTGGGCCAGAATCGATTGCCGGAACGAGCTGCTGAGTTCTGAGTCGACCGAGGCACTGTTGAGTAGTTGGGACTATGAATTGAAACACGACGAAGATGGAAGAGAGCCCGACTGGGTCGTGGATGCCATCGACAATATCGACTCGAAAGTCGCACTGTTGCAATACTGTGCTGTCAATGGCATCAAAGTCATCAGCGCCATGGGAGCAGGATGTAAGAGTGATCCGACACGCATCCATGTGGGCGACATTTCTACCAGTGTCGAAGATCCCTTGTGCAAGGCCACGAGGCGCCGACTGAGGGTCAAGGGGATCAAGGATGGGATTCCTGTGGTCTTTTCGACCGAGAAACCCGGTGAAGGCAAAGCCGAGCTGCTGCCCATCGCGGACGAGGAGGTGGAGAAGGGCGGCGTCGACAAGCTCGGTGTCCTTCCCGAGTTCAGGGTCAGGATTCTGCCTGTGCTCGGGACGATGCCTGCAGTGTTCGGGTACACGGTCGCCAACCATGTCATCTGCAGCATCGCTGGTTACCCCATGGACTATCGGCTGGGAGAAAAAGGCCGGGAGAAGCTGTATGATGGCGTCCTAGCTACCCTGCAAGCCTTGGAGGAACGGCTGGTGCGCTCGACTGACGGACAAGATGCTGTTGGTCTACGCATCCCCGTCACCAGAGATGATGTAGCATACCTTCTGGACGAAGTGTTCCGCGGCAAGAGTGTCATCAGCGGTCTCGGCACCAGGCTGGCTCTTATTCGATGGCGCAAGCCTGCTGGCGGATTTCAAGTCGACCCCGAATACCTCCCTGAAGGCCAGAAGATGATCAAGCTCCCACTGACGGACCTGGTGGTAATGACCAAGGAAGAAGCCCAGAGGCACGAGAAGCAGGTGCTCAGAGGGGGCGCCGAACCGGAAGACCTCTACGACTCCGGTGTGCTGCTCCAGGTCAAGAAGCGCCATGACGAAGAGGAAGCATACGAAAAATACAGGTAGTGTGGTCTCGACCCGGACATTGAGGTTCAGACCTGGGTCCGAACCGGCCTCGATGGTCCCGCCGACAACGGATCTGGCGACTTCGTGCTCGCCCAGGAACCCTTTTCGACTCATCGGCTACTCCAGGCAACGGTGTAAGCTTACTCGGAGCGGAATCACACCAGAGCGCTGGCCAGATTCATGGGTTCTTCAAGACGAACATTCTGAATACCAAGCCGAGCCAGAGCGATAAAGGGCAAACCCGATTAGATGACCAAGGCCAATGAACAAAGGAGGCGCATGCAGAGAGAGAAGGTCGAACCAGATCTGATCCCACACTTTGATGCGTGGGAGCAGATTAGCTGAAGCCATTGACAGCCTCGAGCGATGGCCAGTTCAGTGACCAGTCAGTCGAAGAAGACATGTAGCAAGCCAGCTTGGACAAGAGTCAGGCATCTTGGGACGATGATGTGGCGAGCAGGCGCCATTTAGAGGGGGCCTAGGGCACAGTCTCGGAACATTTGTATATAGAGAGAATGCTCGATCCATTGCCATGCCATCCTGTTGCCGCATTTGTGTCAAACCACCATTGTCCTTGTCCATTTGTGGGTGATCTTCCTTCTTTCGAAATCACAAGATGCCCATGCCCATGCCCCTCAAGGCCTAGGCCCTACGCCCCCAGTTCGCTCTCATAATGCAGAGTGGCGAACCCGGTTCGCCTGGGTGCGATAAACTCTCTGACCTTCTTGTGCGCCGAGCATTGCTTGTCGTAGTATTCAACATCCTCTCTCGACTTGAACGTGGTCACCGCGACCAGCGTGTAGCCCTGGCTCCGTTCTTCCGCAGTGTTGAGGACGCGATTCGCCTCGTTCGAGACAATGTACGGCCGCCCATCCTGCCATGTCACAGGTCAGTCAGTATTTCACTATTTCACGGTTCCCTGACTCTCGTGGCGGCGGCGGCGGCGGCCTTTGATGGGCAACAGGCAACCGACTTACCTTTTCTGCCGTGGCTCGCAGCACCTCGTACTGGGCGAGAATGGCGTCGATGTCTTCTTCCTTGGGCACCTTGAAGAGCGTGATCCTTTTCACGAGCTTGGGCGCCATGGCTTTGTCCTCCGTCTTATGTGCTTAGCTGTGCTGAGCCGTGCTGGAGCGCAGGCGTCTTTGATGGAGAGAAAAACACAGGACGGATACACCTACAGCATGGATGTACAGTACAGCAGCTCTGAGTGCACGTTCCGGCCACCGGACTCAGGCCCCAGACTGAGGCCTTCAAGCCTCCTCAGCTGAAGGGCTCCTTGGGCCCCTCATTTCGCTGCGATCCGGATCCGGATACGGCACTCTGGGGCTCTTCACACCTTATTCGAACGTCCCGTCTATTGTTCGTGACCGGTCGATGCGAGAGAGCCAGGCGTGATATCACATATTTCAGAAAGAAAGGGGTCGGCTACACAAGAGAATTTCCTGGCACGGAGAATACTGCATGCACCCTTGCCCTGAGCTGCAGAGCTCGACCCTGTCGCCTCGGATGTAACCATCCCTGACGACCTACCAGGCTAGAACACCCCTGCTTCTCTAGACTGTCCGATCATCTCCTCATCAGCACAGATGTTAGGTGGATGTCATTCGAGGATCACAGCGCACCATTTCCATACGGGATGGCGCCATGTTCGTGCGGGCTCAGACGCGACTCCGTTCATATCATATGCCGGACCATCCTGCCGACATTGGACATTGGATTTGAAAGCTCAGCTCTTATAGAGTAACCAGGCCTGGTCTAATTACAGTTCTTGGTTCTTGGTTCACAAGCCTCCATTAAGCCTAAGCCACCATGGGTTCAATCGCTACTGAGACAATTGTGCAACCGCAACAGCCTGATATTGGCTACCACCCGGATTTTGAGAAATATCAGGCTCGAACGAAGTATCGCCTGCAGACCGAGCCGCTTCAAGAGAAGAGCCTGCCAGCGGGCTTTCCAAAACAGTTGGTTTCCGATCTGGTCTGGGAAGGAGAAGGGCTGGCCGACAAGTACGACTGGACCTATGTGCTCAGCGCGGAAGATGTCGAGGAACTGGAGGCAGCATTGACACATTTTAAATGTCGGTCATCTAGATTCTACATCCATGCCCAGATCCATATCCATGACCACGCCTGTTGAACCATACCCCTTCATTCACTGACGCTGCTGGCTCACAGCTCTGAATAAACCTCTTGGGTACATCAGTCAAGAAACCTTCCCCCTGCCCAACCTCCACGGCACGCTTCGGGAGGTGTCTCGAGAATTGCACTCGGGCCATGGCTTCAAGGTGGTCAGAGGCATCCCTGTCGATCGACACTCTCGCGAGGACAACATCATCCTTTACGCCGGTGTCTCGTCCCACGTGGCCCCGATTCGAGGACGGCAGGACAATGCTTACAAGGGACAAGCCGCAGATGTGGTCTTGAACCATATCAAGGATCTAAGCACCACCGCAGAGAAGGCCTCTATTGGAGCCCCGGCATATACGACGGACAAGCAGGTTTTCCACACTGATGCCGGAGACATTGTTTCGCTCTTCGCCTTGAGCACCGCTGCCAAAGGAGGGAAGAGCCGGTTGGCCAGCACCTGGAGAGTGTATAACGAGCTGGCAGCCACTCGACCGGATCTGATCGAGACCTTGTCGCAGGATTGGTTTGCCGACACCTTTGGCAAACCAGGCCTGCCCTACTCGGCGCGACCTCTGCTGTTCTACCAGCCTGCTACCTCCCAGTCGCCCGAGCGTGTCGCTCTCCAGTACGCCCGCAGGGTGTTTACAGGGTTCGGGGCGCTGCCTCGTTCCAAAGACATCCCGCCCATCACCGAGGCCCAGGCCGAGGCCCTCGATGCTCTACACTTTCTCGGCGAGAAATTCAACGTCGGCTTGGACTTCCGAAAAGGCGACATTCAATATGTCAACAATCTGGCCGTCTTCCACGCCAGAGATGGCTTTGAGGATACTCCCGAACAGCAGTAAGTCAACTCATCCGGGAAGTCCTATCCTGCCCTGCCCTGTCCTGCCCTGTTCTCTCCTGCCTACACTCTTACTCTAGCCGGTAGAGCAGAGCTAACATGGATCTCACCTGACATAGACGCCACCTTGTCAGGCTCTGGCTCCGCGACCCCGAGTATGCCTGGGATACGCCAGAGGGTCTCGAGGAGAGATGGGCTTACCTGTACGATGGTGTGACCCCCGAGAAACAAGTCTTCCCGCTAGAGCCGTATGTCAGGAGCTCGAGCAACGGAGAGACACGGGCCAAGAATTAAGGATCACTACTAATCAGTGGTAGCCCAGGTAGAAAGTTGTAGAAAAGGAGTGCTATTAGTAAAGCCTCGCCTCCCAAGAGTTGACGTTCTAAGCGATCCCTTGACGCGTGGGAGCATTCCCAACACCACTGAGCCTCTACGGGTTAGAATTACCTAAAGCCTCATTTCCTGTCGATATCACAGGCTCGCCACGCTCTGTCTAGCTGTGAGACCCTCAGCCTCGATCTGCGTGATCGGTTAGTGATGGGGCTTGCGAGCCGGGGGAATGGCGCCATCTGCAACGCTGAGCACGCTGCAATGTCCATCCCGACCATCCTGATCATCTTGACTATCCATACCCCGGCACCATGTTGGCCCAAAGCTGCCCGTGGACACTCGATTCTGTCCATTGCAACCTGATCGACCAGCTGGGTTGGCAGAAGAAACGCAACCGCCACATTTTCCAACATGGACTCCGTACTCACCAGACTCGATCTCACCATCAAGCCACCAGGTTACATCAAGCACCGGCTTCTCCTTGTGTGTCCCCAGCCCTGCTCATATGCGAGGTCCCGTTCATATAAATTGGCCCAGCCCGTCGGCGTAAATGCTGTGTAGAGTGTGACGGCGAAGCGTGTCCCGTACAGCCAACCTCGTTCCTCGACCACATTTTGAGACGGTGACTGGATTTCTGTCCTGTTGCCTGCCACATTCACCCACCATGGTGTCCCTTCGCTGGAGACGTCCCGAGACGGCCAGCTATCCTCCCACCACCGAGGCGGCCGCGAGCGGAAGCGAGACTTCAGTCGCCTTCGTGACCGAGGGCAACCTCCAATATGCCGTTGAGAAAGGCCAGAACAACAGCGGGGTGTCGTATCAAGAAGTCTCCGGAGCGCCTGTCGAAACACGGTCAACTCTCGGCTACCATGTCGGTCCCATCACCATCATTTTTCTCAACCTGTCCAAGATGGTCGGCACCGGGGTATACTCGACCCCGGCATCCGTCCTCAAAGGCACCGGAAGCGTCGGGTTGGCGCTCATCTATTGGTTCATCGGCTTCCTGATGGCTGCCTCTGGTCTCGCCGTCTACCTCGAATACGCAGCGTACTTCCCCAATCGGTCTGGTAGCGAGGTCGTATACCTGGAGCAGGCATACCCCCGGCCTCGATACCTCTTCCCAATCACCTTTGCCATCCAAACTGTCATCCTGTCTTTCAGCTCGTCCAACGCCATCGTCCTGGCCCAGTATCTGTACCGCATCAATGGCCACAGCCCGACCGCCTGGGAGCTCAAAGGCGTCGCTGTCGCGGGTTACACGGTGGCATATCTCATGGTGGCCTTCAACACGCGCATCTCCTTCCACATTTCGAACGGCATCGGTATCGTCAAACTGCTGACGCTGATATTTGTCGCCATCACCGGCCTCGTGGTGTTGGGTGGCCACACGCGCGTTGAGCATCCCACCGCAAACTTCCACAATGCGTTTGAATCAACTACTACCACCCCCTATGGCATCACCAACGCCCTCGTCAAGATTGTTTTCTCGTACGCCGGGTATGAGAATGCTTTCAACGTGGTCAATGAAGTCAAGAATCCCGTCCGGGCCATCCGAACCTCCGGCGCTATCTCGCTGTTCATCGTCGCGGTGCTCTACATGCTTGCAAACATTGCATATTTTGCGGCAGTGCCCAAGGATCAGCTGGTCAAGTCGAGCCAGATTGCAGCCAGCCTGTTCTTTGAGCGCGTCTTCGGGTCAAGCGGCGCGGTGAGGGGGCTGAACTTCCTCATCGCCCTGAGCGCTTTCGGAAATCTCATCGCTGTACTTTTGGGTCAGAGTAGGTTGATCAGGGAATGCGGCCGGTAAGTCTTAACTCCATTTCGTTTTCTGCATGCAATCAGCCATATCGTTACGGAGTCCTTGCCTTGCCATCGCCCACCCTTCACTCCAGCTTCATGATGCCCCTGCGCACCTTCTGAGTGCCGTCTCTCGTTCGCTTGCTTCGGCCGCAGGCTAACGTTCTCTGCGTCAATAGTCAGGGAACTCTCCCATTCGCATCTTTCTGGGTTTCGACGCGGCCATTCGGAACTCCCCTGGGACCATACACCCTCAAATGGGCGCTGACGCTTGTAATGATCCTGGCACCGCCAGCAGGAGACGCTTTCAACTTTGTTGTTGACCTGGGAAACTACCCAAGTTCCTTCTTCATTTTCTTGATGGCTCTAGGCATCTATTTCGTCCGTTACCGCCGCAGGAAGCTCGGGGTACCAGACTTGTCGTCCAAGGAAGGCGGCTTCAAGGCCTGGCACATAGCCGTCCTCTTCACGATCGCCGTCAACCTCTTCACGCTTATCATGCCATGGTACCCGCCGGCGAGTGGAGCGACGGGCGGCGACGTCAGCTTTTGGTATGCGACATACGTCGTTACCGGCATTGGAATGTGAGTGTCCCCTTGCATTTTTCTTTGTTTGAAATCGACGACACACGTATACTGACATTACCGTCCACTGACAGTCTCGTTGCTTGCTTCATCTACTACGCCGCATGGGTCTGGATCTTACCCCATTTCGGCCAGTATAGGATTCGACATGAGAAGCTGGTCCTGGAGGGCGGCGAGGTCACGCATGTGTTGGTCAAGGTCCCCTTGCATGAGCTGGAGATTTGGGATCAGACGCATGACGCATACGGTCGCCAGGTCAACCACCAACATACTGCTTCAAGTGATGAAGAAGGCCACTCATCAGAGAAACTGGCCCATGTGGGGGAGAAGTGAACGCCATCAGTCGAGGCTGATGCCCCATCAAGCAGTAAGTAGTAGCATCGACGACAAGTATAACTGCCGGACGGCGTATGCTTAAAACCAAGGTAGCGGAGATGCGATGCTTCCTCAGACCTACTCTGTACTCTCTGTACGTTGCAAGGCTGCGCTGCAGTCGAATATGAAAAGTGCACTTGCTTGTACCCTCGCTTGACCATAGCCGTGGTACCTCTGTATACTGCGGAGTACTGCCTATAGTGTTGGTAACTCAGGTAGGTAGTTTGAGTGTATCTTGGCGTGATTGCCCTGTTTGCGCGGCGGGCTAAGGCTCGGGACCTCGTGCGTGCAGGTGGGTTTGCCGCCCTTCTGCCAACTCCGATTTCGAACGCTTTATCAGCTCCGATCCCATCGAGCCTGCACCGCTGGCATCGTAGAGATAGCCCCCCATATCCCAGGACTTCGAGTCCCGTTCTCCTGCTGTTCTCTTCGATATCGAGGACAGGACACATGTTCAACACCTCGCTGCGCCGAGTGGCGCGGACTTGCTCCCATGCCTCGCCGGCCTCCTCCCGCCAGACCACACCGTCTGTCAGTGTAGCGTCTTTCACCTCCCACGCCCATCAGCGGCGACATTCCTCCTCGAAGCCTCCGGTGCCGCCCAACAATGGCTCCTCCGCCATCCCAGCCGCCTCGGTCAAGCAAGTAGGAGCACCGAGATCGGACACGAAGCGGCCGGCGGCCGAGTCACGCTCGTCGAAGAAACGGGCTTCCAAAGACAAGCTGGAGGCAAAGCAAGAATCTCAGGCTGACTGGACCTGGAACCTTCCCTCGGTCCCCAGTCTGCAACATTTGAATCCGAAAGGTAGGCTACTACGCCTCGAAAGAAACCGCTGTTCTCCCTTGTGCTTCCGGGCTAATTGAGTTGCTAGATATCTACGTCGCCTCTTTCTTCTCGACTCACCGCCCCATGTCCATCACGGGCCCAGTCCCACCAGAGACCGCCATCGAAGCAATCGACAAGATGTTCCAACCGAAACCAAAGTCCAAGGCCCGCCCTGCGCCTCACGAGGTCATCTATACACTGGCTTCAGCGGTTGAGCATCTAGACGACCAGATAGCGAGCAAGCAAGGAGACCAACAGATGCAGAGTGCCGAGCAAAAGGCCGCAATCATCAAAGCCCTTATGCAGCGCAATGAGAACCCTGCGGATCCAAATCGGACAGTGCATTTGGATGGCGTTTCAAATGGAGGAAATGTTAGACTTGTCATCCAAGAAATTGCACGACGCTTCAGGCCGTTCAACGTCCCTCCTCCCCCCACTCCAATCACCGACGCCGAGATTGACGCCGCTGAGGCTGCTGCTGCAACTGCCGAGGCCAACGAGGAAATGCAGGCCAGAACTCTGCAGCTGGAAATCGAACAGCAGGATCAGGATCCGTACATCCAACAGGTCGTTTTCAATACTCCGCAGGAGTCAGATCTGCAGAACAGCGGGTTCTTCACCAGCCATGGTGCTACCACGTTGGAGATGGAAGACACACGTGGTGTGCAAGAAATCCAAGATCCGACCTTTGGAGGGCGCCTTGGTGGACGAAGAAATGTCATTCGGAGGAGTCCTGGAATGTACGCCATCAGCGTCAAGAGACAGAGGCGACTGAAGATGAAGAAGCACAAGTACAAGAAGCTGATGCGTAAGACAAGGAATCTGAGGAGGAAACTCGGACAGATATAATGCTGGACAGGATGCGACAGGATGTGACAGTGGTGTGATGTGTTTGTTTGTGGCATTTCATGCATATTAAGCAGACCAGAGCGGACGATGAGCGAAAGAAGCAAAGACGAGGAGACATATGATGCTTATGCTTCTTCCTCGGCCTGCATTTTCCACGGCGTTCTGAAGCGGCAAACGCAGGTGTATGCGCCTGCACAAGGGGAGAAAGTCCATCCATTCTGTGTGATGCAGAAGTGTCAATCACTGGCATGGGATAATAGATGAATCATTTTCATTTTGGGATATTTCTTCGTCAAATTCTTTCTGGGTCGTCACAGCTACCTACCTATCTATGCACACATTATACGGCATAACGGGAACAATTTCTTCACTCTGCTTTTCTTTCTCTCTTTCCCTTTTGTTCTCCTATTCCGGTCCCCGAATCCTACTCTAAGCCTACCTAAGCTAGCACTCTTGACGAGGATGGCAGGATACAGGATAGCCTATTCATCTTCAGTACTCTATAGAGAGGAGAGAATATCGAGGATAGAGGATAGAATATCGAGGACAACAATATGTCGCCTGTTCGCTGTAGGGAGGTCCTGGAGATGGAGATGGAGATGATTTCGTCAAACGCAGACATCGAACAGCAAACAGCAAGCGGCACTGAAAGAGCCATTATCTATCTGTGCCAAACTTCGAATGTGTACATACAGAATCGCAAATGTAACGGCAAAGCCTAGCAAAGGAGAATGGCAATCAGGGCGGCATGGCATCAATCAGTACAAAGTCCAGCTGTGCCTGTCCGTCCATACTGGCACTGGACTCGCTTGATTCGCCTTGCAACTGCGCCATTCTCACTCTCACCCGTGGCCGCTGTTCCGCTTATAGCTCTAACATCTCATACATGATGGTGTGCGGGAACTCCCTGTAAAAGTTGCCCGCGGTAATGTGTTCCGTTGCTGACTTGATAAAAGTCGGTTTGTGCTGGCGTGGGTGTCAATTATCATCCGCCAGGTTTTAATCATTTCTTCCCCTTCAGGCATCTCTCTCTCGGTTTGTCTGGTATGCCCTTTCTTCCTGCACCTCTCCCAAATGTTCCCTTGATGACGCTTCCGCGCAGCCGTCGGAATACGGTTCCTCCTAGTCTCAGTCCCGTTTAACAGTGAACATCGGTCTGGGCCTTGGAGTTCATGAGCAATGCGACAATGAGTCCGTAAAGACCCAAGACTTCGGCGAAAATGAGGATGAGAATCATGCCGACGAAGAGGCGAGGCTGCTGGGCACTGCCTCGAACACCGGCGTCACCAACAATGCCGATTGCAAAGCCGGCAGCCAAACCTGAAAGGCCGACGGAGAGACCAGCACCTAATTGGATGAAGCTGGTGAAAAGAGCTTCTTGTTGAGAGAGATTGTCGGAGATCAACACCGAGACGACCAACCCGTAGATACCAATGATACCAGCCATGATGACGGGGACAATGTCTATGGAAAGAAAAGAAGTTAGACGCCCGGACTTTCTTCAGAAAATATAGCGGAGGCATACTCTTGACGATGAGGTCAGGTCGGAGGACACCCATGGCTGAGATACCGACACCTGACTTTGCAGTCCCATAGGCTGCACCAAAGCAGGTAAAGACAATGGCGGACGTGCAGCCCATGGCACCAAAGAAGGGCTATTCGGTGCAAATGTCAGTTGCTGTTGCTTGAATAGAGAGCTCCCGGGCAGTTGAAGGGGTATGGTACTGCGTCATTGCATCGAGTGTGTGAGATAAGGGAGGGCGAGAAGAGCATACCGCATATACGGGACTATAGACAAGTAGAAGTTAGTCAAAGAGCTTTTCGTCATGAATCACCACGAGGACATTGATGTTGAAGTCCTGACGCCTAGAGCGCAGGCTAGGACCATGGGGGGCAAACTGACCAGAGATCTGAAGACATCTTGGAGGAGTGTTTCGGCTTTGCGGTCGCCTGTGTTGACTCCTTATTGACAGTGGAAGGATTGTGGTGATGTTGCGAAGCGCGGGTGCGTGATGGAGAGATGGACACGACCAAGACGGATGCTTTGTGCTGAACTTGAAGTGCTAGGATGGACAGGTGTTGACGATGGCTTCGCAGCGCAGCTCGAGCTTCCACCGATCTTGCCAAGGCGAGCGCGAAGTCAACGCTCCTTTTGGACGAAGGGTCATGCCGCCCTATACTCACCAGTCTGCACATACAGACCTCGCCACTGACCTTACACAATCTTCTTCGCGACGGTTACAGTCCTTTTACAACTTCATGAAGCCGATTTTTCTTGCGTCCCCGAAAGTCAAAGACGTGGTAATGATCCCTCGCCGTGGAATATTCTGCCCCTATAAGAGCATAAGCCGCGCAGATGGATCACAAGAGATAGCATGGTCCAGGATTTGGGGACCTCTGCCCGGAATATCAGAGTAAGAATTCTGAGATGATGGGCACGGTATATCTCATGGGCGCAAAATTCTTGTTTGGCAACAGCTCGGGTGACGCAGTGATAAGAAGTACATATTGGATCGGTAAGCTCTCTCTCAAATTGTTATAGAAGATCATATCCCCATGTTCCAGAAGCACATCCGAGCAAATCGTTACAATGACTCATCCAAAGAAACTCTTCTTGGTGTAAACCGATCCGTTTGATCTATGGCTTGAATGATCCGGCACATTCCAGCGCAAATCCGAAGGCTTTCACATACCACGCTATTCCCTGATAACCTAATTCAGCACAGTGAGGAGCATTTAGGAGGACTCCCCCCTCAACCTTGGGGCTGTTAGGAAAGCTCGATTCACATGCGTGCGGTTCTTGTTCTGAAGGCGGCCACAACAAGTCGTACTGTCCTAGTGCGTAGAAAATCGGTAAAGCGATTTGTTCCGTGAAACCTTTGGCCTTGTTAAACCACAGCCTTCTACCGTGGTCTACCTCATCAAATGCCATGTCCGTTCCAAGAGACTGATTCAAGCTATAAATATGCGGATCGCATAGATTGTCTTCGGGGCGGCCAAGCATCGCTATATCCTTCTGAGGGATATTGAACCGAGTAGGCCTCGAAGGAGCGGCTCCCGAGGGCGGATTTTCATCTGTCTGAGGCGGAGGAGTGAAGCCCCAACCAGACAAGATAACACCCCCAGCAATGTACCTTTTTCCTTGGCCTCCTTTAACTTCCACTGATTGCCTAGCCATGGCGACAATACCAGGAGGAGTTCCCATCGAATGAGTCAGCAGTACAAGGCACGTGAGTCGATGTGGCACAGCGTATGACTCCCACAGCGCTGGCAGGACGAGGTCGTGAAGCCAATTGCCCTCTTCTTCAAAATAGGTCGAACCCTCAGGTACAACACCATTGATGCCAAAAAGGCTACTGCCACCGTAGCCAGCACGATCAATCGCCACGACCGGCACTCCAAGTGCATCGCTAACACCTTTGATACTTTGGCCTGGTGGATCAAAGTAAGAAGAGCTGTAAGTTCCGCCATGGAGGCACACCAGGAATGGACGATGTTTCGGTGTTGCGGGTGTTAGAGAAGGAAGGTTGATCAGTCCAGTGACTGCTGCACCATTAGGAAGTGCCAGTACAAGAGAGTCCATCTCTCTGTGCGTTGATATAGAAAGTGTTGCAAGGAAAAGGTTTAGGGGATACGAATCTGCTTAATTAATACTGCATTCATAAGCCCATACTGATAGTCCACTTGGATACAAAGGTGGCGGGGTATGAGGAGCTTCGAGCTCCTTCACGAATCGACTCTGTGCCTGCTCCCATGTCGTTCCGAGGCTTTGAAAGTCGGAAAAGGAATTGAGGACCGAGGCTACGGCGAAGCAACGGTCCTTTTGGATGAAGGGTCTGCCGCCTTACGAAGTACACATATCTTCCAGGCGACATGTTAGTAGAAGACTACGGAGGACAATCAACAGGCTTGATGGGAGAGTGTGGGCCTTAGGCCTCCAGGGCTTAGGGGGTCCTAAGCCTTGCGCTATCCAATAAAGGAGCCACCCTCCTTACTTCTACCCCGTACACCCATCTCGAGCCGTCCCTCCCAGATAGATGCCTCCTTTCTCATCCCACGCGATACGCCACTATTTACACAGACACAGGGAGTCCCAGTCTCCAATGCAAGCCCGAGGCAGATCGATCAGGCGCACAAATGATTGACTGGTTCAACGCCTTACTCCATGCCAGATTTTTTTAGTCGAGATTGTGATGAAGATCTACCTTGTCAAACCTTCTCCAGTTGGCATTCTGCCAGGGGACGTCACTTGCATATGGATTCCGTACTCCGTACAAATGGTGGCTTGGGAAGAGTCACACAGCCGGATTTGACCTGCGACAGGCAGCACCGGTCTTCGTGATCCTTGCATGCCTTTGTTTGATTGGTGTATCTTTCATGGCTGATAGCGCTCAGTCTGTCCGGTGAGGGGCAAGCCGCCAACTTGCCAGACCGCGAGGGCGGCCAGCCAGGGTTTGGCTAGCGACAAGAGCCTGGAGTCACAAACAACATGCAGCTGCAGCTGCGGCTGAAGCTGGGGCCTGGGCCTCTTAGCCGCCACCTTGGCTGAAAGGTGTGTTGGAGATGGAGGCTCTTGACGGCTGCTCGCTGGTGGCACGAGACACGAGAAAGCCTCTTTGCATTTAAGGGCGACGTGTCCGCCTGATGGCCTGGAGGGCCTGTCTCTCCTGCACAAGCCTTGTGACGGATCACTGCGATCTATAGCTGTCTGTTTCATCCTCCCAAATCCACAGCTCACCATGCCCGATCCTGCAACTTCTCACTGGCGCTGGAATGAAATCCCCGACTACTATGCACTGACCAAAGAAGTCTTGGAGAAGAGGCTGAGGACCAAGTTTGGCAACTTCAAGTTTATTGTCGACGTGAGTGGCGAACGCTCGTATCCGGTTTCTGACTGACTGTCACAGCGCCGTCCCTTTGAATGGCGGGTCTGGGTGCCTTGGGACCTTACTGAGGTGAGCTGAAGACCAAGACCACTTCGCTCCGGATGAGCCATTGGGTAACCTGGGACTTGAACAACGCTATAGCAAGATAAGATCTGGTTGCAGAGAGGACGAGTTTGACTCCCCCAAGCAGAACTCCAACCATCAGTTGGACATGGACCTAGGGGCTTGGGGCATGGGGCTAAATCAAAGGGCAGGGGAAGCTGGGAAGAGGCCAGGTGGAGGGGCAAGGAGGACACGGGGTAGCGCCTCGAAGCCATAGTTCGGCTCGCCTGTTCAAGGCTGTTTTGGTGGGCGCAGGACGGATTTGTGGCTTAGCCCCCCTGGAAGGTGTTGTGACCAGTTTTAGTAGGACGTCCGGATACCGATTGTGAACTTGTCTGCCAGGAAAGTCTTGTCCGCGGCTGTGCTCGTCTTTTATCGTGGTCTATCCTCGCGATATATATTATAGCATGAGTAGGACACTTCCTGTGGCATCATCCAGATCCCTAGTCTAGACTCATTCCTCTCACGCCATCATGTCAGCATTGCTTCCTCTTTTCATTGATTCTTGCCGCCGGGCTCATGAGTTCCCCAACAACCTGATTGATCATGGGTCTACCCCGTCGTCGGTGCGTCGAGAATACCAACAACGTCTAAGGGCGAGGGCACCGTCGCTGTTCTGTTCCCAGCAATGTGCCAGGGTTGAGCTGTTCCGCCACGACGCAACCCGGGGCTCCTTCACGAGCGAAATCTCAACCAACGTGCATCATCTTCGACAACTGTTGCCTGGCTCTTTGGGCCAGATCCAGAGCGACAGGAAGTGTAGTTTCGTGTTTGTTGGGGCCGACAGTTCACGCGACCCTCTGCATATCAGTCCCGACATGGCCTTCTGGATCATCTCGTTCTTTCAAGTTCTACCTCCGTTTCTCGAGTTCTTGTTCGCGTTTGGCATGCAGCTTCGTGCTGTAGACTTTCAATTCAGCGGCTTTAGGGAAGACAATCGGATCGAGGCATCCCTCAACAGAGGACGCCTGCCTGAACTTGGACGGTCGGGGAAAGACTTCCAGATCTGCTACAACTTGAAGACTTTCGAGTACAAAGCAGGCATCGCCTGGCCTTGGTCCAGTCGACAGACTGTGATTTGGCACTCGTTTGACGTGGAAAACGGTCACGCTTCATGGATGGCCATCAAGGCAAACGACATTATCCGGGACCGACTGAAGGAAGTTTCAGACATGTCTCTTTCACAAGACAAGGATATCTACACCAGCATCCCCAAGATGTTTGTCAATACGCTCACATGTCACACCGCCGTCATAGAGTGGTCCGGAGAGGGTTGGCGGAGATATATCAGCTTTCTGGAGGAGCAGTTGCAGTCGCTCAAGCGCCGTGCCGTCGTCGATAGGGTCACTCGTGTTGCCGCTCCCGTCCCTTGTGCGGAGAGTCCTCCTTCTACCGGTATTCCAATGGCAAACTTGGCACCTAATCGGACGTGGACATTGTTGAGTGCGGCAACTGACGCGAGCACGGCAAATGTGCATGCTACAGTGCCTACCGGCCCTCAACAACCCCAGGAGCCTCTTCCGGAGAGCATCGCCATTGACATTCCTGAAGAGCTTCAGGAGCCAGCCAATCTCCCTCCGGATTTCGACCCCAAACATCAAGGTGCTGAGCTCGAGGAAGATCAGACAGTATACCGGATTGAAGAGCTCCAGGACGCACAGGCCTTCGAAGGGATGGTTAACGAGACATGTCTTGTTCTGAAGAGCAACTTTCCCGTTCTGGCGCAGATTGAAGCTTTCTTCCGGGACCTCCCCGAGTCTACCGACCTGGAGCCGGCGCTCAGGAACTGCATGAGAGCAAACATGCCTCGTTTCCTGAAGCGGATCCAGGCGGTAAGGAGCGATCTGCAGATGCACCTGGATAGAATCGAGACCATTTCCAAAGCGATTACTGAATGCAAAAACCTGCTGTATGGGATAGTCGAATATCAGAGCATGCAGGCAAACAAGATGTTCGCTGCTGAAGCCCGATGCTCCGCGCTGCGAATGGAACAGATGACCAAAGAAATGAAGGCTCTGACCCTGAAAACGACACTTGAGACTGTGCTGATGAGGATCATCACGGTCGTGACTGTCTTCTTCTTACCTGCCACCTTTGTTTCGACGCTCATGTCCACCGACATAGTCAATTTCAAGACGACAGATTCAAACATCAACTCGGGCAGCACCTCCCTCGGAGCGGTCAAGCTATTCCTCTGTTTGAGCTTTTCTTTGATGGTGGCAACCTTCTCATCCGGCTTTGGCCTCTACTGGTGGGCCAGTCGCTATAGCGATAACGCATAGATTGCATACTGGTGGTGGGTTTCCTTTCGAATCATGTTTGGAGGTGGCGGGATTGAATCGCAAATCGTGTACGAACATGTGTTTCCAGAGCGGGTGTTTCACTTCAAGTCCTTGAAGTGAGTGGTGGTTAGTACCTTACCTGGTAGGTATAGTAGGTACTTAGGTACTGTCTGTGTGGAGTATACCTACGGATACGGCCCGTACAGTAATTACAGTACCTAGTAATTACTTACATACCAGGTATCTTCCATAGTACTTCTCCGTACTTGTGATTCAACGGGGGACAGGTTCGGCCCTGGCCGGGGAGCTTGTTCCCTCAGCCCCCCCCCCTAAGCCCTAAGCCCCTAAGCCCAATGCCCACTGCCCCGGGGTTTGGGATAAGGAGGACCCATAGGTTGGAGCTACTGGTACTAGTACTTTCCTAGTGGATGAGGCTGGGTAACGGCAGCGCCTCCCACTATGACGGTACAGTACTGCAATGCTGGCCTGCCTCGACAAGCGAACACGTTTTGGTTGGCAAGCTTGATGGAGGGGTCGCTAGGGGGGTTGCCCCTCAGGCGTGCGAGCGGCTAGGCTTAAAGCTCTGGGGCGTAGAGGCCTTTTATTGTGTAGTGTCCGTACTGTAACTGTATCTGTCGGTCCTGGGTCGCACACCTCTGGACAAGGCAAAAGCCCGCAGTCTGCAGCAGCCCGCCAGCCTGCGCCGAACTCGACAGCATCAGCAGTCTGCAACTGCGCTCTCTGATGTTTCCCTGTCAATTGGTTATCTCTATGATTGTGCCATCTACCATCATCCATCTGAAGCGGTGGGCTGCAGTCGTACTTCGTGCCCCGTAGTGAGATTCCACACGGCTGTCAACCAACACTATGTCTCCGCCAGGCTCGTCACATACGAACCCCTTCACTGACTCGACCATCCAAGAGTTCCTCGACACGATTGACGAGAACAGTGTCCCCGGCGTCATTTTCGGCGTCGATTCCTCTCAGGAGCGCCCATGGGTCCCTCACCGAGCAATCGACGAGTACTTCGACTGCCTGTTCGAGCGTGGCCGTGCGAGGGTTGAGAAACTGGTTGCGAGAGCGACAGCATCCTCTGCCTCAAAGCCCATCCCCAAATCAGTCGCCCAAAAGTGTCGACGTGTGTTCACCATCTTACTGATCATTGGTCATTCAAACCATATCAGTTCCTTCGTCGGGAACCATAATCTGTGGGATAGTCGGCTCCCATTCCGACCTGACGACCGCAAACTGTTCCCCAAGCTTAATGGAGGCGAGGATTTCTTCGAGCAGTTCTACAAAGAACAATGGAGATTCTGCGTGGAGCCTATGAGCCATAATCTTCACCCAGTGACTATGGATGATATGAGGATCTTGCCAATAATCAAGATGGAACAGTTGGACAAGCATCGGGGTGTCAGCGCAGTTGTACGAAAGATTACAATCCATCCAGACTACGATGAGCTAGACGAAACACCGCCAGATGAGCAGGTATGACATGGTTACCCAGAACTCGGAAGCGAAGCACTGACACGGACTCAGACCAACAGGCAAAGCTTACATGAGTATGTCATTAAGTCGTACCATCATCTAGAGGCAGAAAAGTACTACGACGCCGAAGTCGACGCTTTCCAGAAACTTCACGGGTCCGTTGATCCGATACCGAACCTCGTCGGGTTCCACGGCGCTTTTCGGCAAAACAAGAGCTTTCATATTATCCTTGACTACGCGACCGTTGGGACCCTGGAGGATTACCTCGAGGCTGTCAACCCTCCCAGGCGTGGGCATGACATTGTGACCATGTGGGAGAACCTCTTTAAGCTGAACGACGCCCTGGCGCAAATACACGGTCTTTCCCAGAGCAGCGATAGTGAAAACCCACGAATTTTCCAAGGGTGAGCGAGAGCACGAATAACCCTGCATTGAATTTACAATCTGACCTTTCAAAGATGGCACCAGGACATTAAGCCGAACAATATCTTGGTGTCTGGAGACATTGTAAATAAGCCGTACGAGGTTCGATTCATGCTGGCAGACCTGGGCTTGAGCCACTTCACCGCCGTAGTCGAGGACAAGACAGGCTCGACTGGTGAAGATCGAGGCGGGTCCCAGGCTTACAGTATGCACCCTTGTCCCCTTGCTGGCCGGGACTGCTTAAGCTGACACCAGGACAGGCGCTCCAGAACGCAACCGCGTGAGAGGGTTTGTCAACAACGTCCCGCATCTCGAGAAGCAAAAGAGCGATACTTGGTCACTTGGATGCGTCTACAGCGAGGTCAATGCATGGGTCGTGGATGGAATTAATGGCGACTTTGGAGTAACCAAGTATCGAAACACACGCCAGCTGAAGTCGGGTCAGCTCGATGATTCCATGGGCGCCTGTTTCCACAACAGCAAAGGAGAACTGCTAACTACAGTCCCGGAATGGCATGGCGAACTGGTGGACCGGTGTGCGAAGCAGGATCATATCACGCCTATCCTCTGGGATGACCTGCTGGAACGCATGTTTTACACCTCAAAAGATCGACTCGACGCCCAGCAGGTGAGGACTTGGTCCAATGCTGTCGTACAGAAAGCACGGCACAAGCTCTCGACTACACCAAACCCTCTGGATAGGGCCCAGCCGTATCTGCAGAAGCGTAACAATACAGCACCGGCATCTTCGCCTCAACACTCGGTTATAGAGCCGCCGCGTACCCCACCCAACCTTCCATCCGACATGATGGCCTTCCCGATGACTCCTCCTTCCGGTACTCAAGGCAAGGCGCCGCACTTTCCGGACACAGACAAGAGCCGCGACCTGACCCACAGCCCCGACAGCCTTAAGCCGGGCGCCTCTCCAACTGCTGGACCAACGAACAGAGAGTCGTTTAATTCAATGTCTGCAAGCTACCGGAATTCGGGGACGAACATCACCACGGCCCCAGATTTTCTACAGCGAATGTCGAGTTCTTCTATACAAGAGGACCAATCGGAATTATACTCTGGCACCGACGCAGATTCATCACGACACTTCTCTGAGGCGCCTGCATACTTGGGAGCCACCATCGAAAGGATTCCGGTAGAGGAAGAGCCTCTGGAACTATCCGGGACGTCTCTGCTACCACCGCAGACGTCGACTCACGTCACATTGCCTTCCCGGCCCGCAAGGCCTGATCTACAAGAGGAGCAAGATATAGATCTGAAAGGAAAGGGCAAAGCTCACGTGAAGGCGCAACCCAGGAGCAGGAAGCCCTCGAAATCCCTGAGCGTAGACCAGCTGAAAACATGGGCCGAGTTGACACGTAACCAGTCGATTTTCAGATCCAAAGAGCACAAACTCTCGTACGAGGACGAGTTGATACATCAACTAAAGAGCCGAGACCATGTAAGATTGACTGCGAGATCAGCTGCGCCTCCACTGAACTATACTAACACCAGATCAGATTTTCGTTATCGACGATGGAGAGAGCATGTTGCCGTATTGGGACGGTCTTCTATCACTTTACGCCGACTTGATCTATATGGTGAAGAAGAAGCATCTCGACCCTAACGGCAGCGAGCTCCGTTTTATCACTTCGGACCAACACAAGGAAGCAAAGAACACGACCGACCTTGTTCAAATGGTGGCTAGCATGCAATGTCGTGCCAAGGGCGAATCCAACTTTGCCGCACGGTTGGACAAGATCTTTGTCGAATATCAACAGAAATTGACCAAGAAGGCCTCCACCAGACCTATCAGCATCTATGTTTTCACTGATGGAGTTTGGCAAGGAGGCAGACAAGAGATCATGGTGGGAAGGTCCATACAACGGATGGTGAAATTCCTTGAGCAGCGAAACTACCCCGAGAACATGGTCGGGATCCAGTTCATCCGTTTCGGAAACGACGCCGAAGGAATGGAGAGGCTGAGGTGGCTTGATGAGGACCTACGAATAGCAATGGATTTGAAGAGAGACATTTGTGACACAACGAGTGCAAAGGGGAATGTGTGGAAGATGCTGTTGGGTAGCATTAACGACTATTGGGATGATGACCCTGATCCATGAACAGGTATAAGGTATAAGGCACAGTTGGTTTGGCTCGCCTCAGGCCCAGCCTCGCCTTGACTTTCCGGGTTTCAGAAAGGGTCTCGACCAGGGTTAACCAATGGGGGTACTTCAAGATACTCCCACGTGCAATGAAACCTGGGCGAATCCAGCAAGAAGACATTTCGACTACTCAATTCGTGACATCCCGGAGAGTATCAGAATGTCATGTCAGGCCGAGAACTAGGCTCCCCGAAGATACCGTCTTGTGAAATGGGCACGAAGAAAGCTTTTTCCACACGGAAAGCCTTCCAGCGATGCTCCCCAGCAGTCGCCGTCTCAGCACCATATATGTACATGCTCAAAGCAGTTGACATGTTGGTGCCACAGATACGGCTCGCTGTTCTTCTATTCTGGAAAACAGAGTCTGAAGGCTTCGATGGGTTTATCTCACAAGGGGACCCGGCGAGGCCGGGCCTATGCCGTGGTATCTCAAGCAAAAGGGGCAGGGCAGGAAACACCTAGCATGAACCCTGTCGTTTCATGGGTTCACTGAACCAAAAATGACACGCAAACCCTGCTTGGATCTGATGCAGCACGATACAGTTTTGGCTATACGACTAGGAAAAGGACATGCTGAACGAAGAGGAGGATTTCAGCAGGGAAAAGGGTAATTGGAGCCGCAACAAGACTTGACAGGGTATGTCTATCTACGCCACCGATGCTGGTGTTATTGTCAGAGCACTGCAGGATACAGAGTCTTGTCAACGTCGTCGACACAATCCCGCCGGGACTGGAGAAAGAGCACGTATCAATCAATTTCAACATGACCCAGGAACGAGTGACGAGGCCACGAGTTGATGAAGAGTGGGTACAGCATATGATATGCTACATAGAATACATTGATTGATCTCTCCAAAAGACCACGAGAATATCAAAGGTTGAAATGTTCCATGTTCCCTCTCAAAGGGTCGCAGGGGGAGCGTAGGCTATGTAGTGTATAGTATGCCTAAACCATCCTTCTGGTTAAAGCACAAGGCTGGGAATGCCTAAGTTTGACAGGATAAGGATAATGATTGACAAGTATCACGATACATGTATCTAGATTACGGAAGAAAAGACAGACAGGAGACCAAAGCAAAAGCAAAATCAAAATCAAAATCACATCAACATCCAAAGACATACATATAGCAAGATACTCGTTTCGAATTCATTCAGGGGTCGGTTCCCAGTCATGGCTCATGGCCGGCATTCCATTCCATTCCTCTTCCTCCTCCTCTTCGGCCTGAAACCCTCAAAATAGCTGTGATATCTCTGGTTCTGGTTCATGTCTGTCGCAAGCGTTAGCCGTGCGACCAATCCCATCCCCCTTTTTGCATGACCTGTCCCCCCTCTCCCACCGCCCGCCAACTCAGGTCTTTTCGCGGTCCAGACCAGAGAAGGGGCCCTGACCCTGCTAGTAGCGCAGTCAGCCATAGTGAGTGCCATCTAACTCGGACTGCTCAGCCATAATGAATGCCAGCTAGCTCCGACTGCGAGGGGTGCGGACGCTGCTGCTGCTGCTGTGGTTGTTGGTGTGGAGAAGATTCCTTGGGATACTCCTGGACAGGCACAAACATGCCATCGCCATCGCTGCTAGGTTTGTGCTGGCTTCTCATCAGGGCGAGGATGATAAATGCAGACACGACGGCGAAGAGAACGCTATTAGACAGAAGGAGGTAATCTCGTCAGCACGGCACCGTAAATCGTATACTTTTGATAGATGATGGGATTCAGAAACGAAGTGGACGTCTTCCATGAGTGCAACATACAACCTGCAACATGGAAGATGCAACCTGCAAACCACCAAGACCAGACCTCCCGGAATAAAAAGCAGACTTACAATTCGACGGCGCCAAAGACGGCGCTGGCCTGAGTCAATCCTACAGCAGTCTTTGCGTTGGTAAAGGACGTGTTGAGGATGGAGGCCAGAGAGCTGCTGTTGTCGGCGAGCAGGGCAAATGTGACCAGCCACCAAAGCGTGGTGAGCAGTTCGAGTACCAGGATGATGATGAGAGGCTTCACTCTCGGGTTGAGGTTGGGCAATAGGAGCGTGGCGATGGGGACGTAGACGATGGTCCAGGAAAACTGGCAGTGGTAAAGAGTAGTAAGTATTTGGCAGTGGTAAAGAGGAGTAAGCATTTGATTGAGGGCTTCTTAGGGCCGTCTGCGTCTTGACATAGTCTGACTTTCTGGACATGGAAGGGATTGTACTCACGGCGAACCAGGCGAACCCGAAGCCAGGATAGGGGGTGACCTAGGTCATTGTCGTCAGCATTTGAGTCCACGGCTCACGCAGATCAGACTGTGGGTGTGCAATATGCAGTAACAGTACTTACCAAAAACGAAGTATCGGCGCCTCCGAGTAACTTCGAGGCAGCCACGGCAGTCAGGATCAGGATGAGTAATGCGAGCACGCCCTGAGCAATGCGCAGGAAGGGAATCCAGCCTGGCAAGGCCCAGCCGCGAGGTCGGGCATTGAAGGCCATGGCTGACTGGTTGCTGTTTGGAGAAAGTGATGGACGTTCTCGACAGAAAAAGAAGAAGAATTAGACAAAGCGAAAGGATTCTTCCTACGACAAGGAAGTGGAAGCCGAAAAGAGTGTCAATGAGCGCGAGGATGCAAAAGGAGGTGGAATGGAACCACGCATCGTTGGCAACACGCCGTGTCTTAATACCCGCCCGCCTTCTCCTATATGTCTCCGCGGAGGCGTTTTTATACGAGGTCGAAATTGCACTAGCCTCAAGCCTCAGCGCCAGTTCCTCGCAGAACCAGAGGCGTACTGCAGCTTGGTGAGACGGCCTGCAGCGCGCGATGCGACCAGGCCCCAAACGCCCCCTCCGCGACGTGCAGTGCGGGACGTCGTTGTTCAAACGGGCCCAAGGCACACGTGTGCACTGTGCGGGACCCCTGAGAGCTGAACTTGCATTTGTCGCGCCCTTGAGTCCAGGATAAGGCTGTATCAATGTGCAGGGATTTGGCGCCCTCGCTTAACAGGCCAGTCAGCCTTGTTGGCGGCGGAGTCGGTGGACAGCTAATTTCATGCCGTGCAAGGGCCATCCAGGTTGGTTGGAGATATTGGATCTAAAACTGTCGATCACATCGCGACACGGTTATGTCTGCATCAAGGGTGTTGGTCTCATCACGCCTCAACGCCAACTTGGTGGGCTAAGGCACTCTCTGGGGTTGAGCACACCCGAGGGGGCCAAGTTGGGCCAATTGGAGAGGCAGCGCAGAAACGAGCTCAAATTTTCCCCTGGGCGTGGAGATTTCCAAGGTTTCCAAGACTTCGTATGGTTGGGTTGCTTTCAGCTTGCAGGGAGTCACAAAGGCATTAGTACATTACACCAATGAAACTGGAGCCGGCCACAAGACACTGAGATTGCCGGAAAGATCTCAGCCTTGCCGGATTCCAGTGCGGGTTGCGTGGAGCTTGGAGTACTCCGTATTCATATCGCCTCGGAAAGGTGCCTGCATTCGGCTTCTCAGCCTGCGCGATGACTTGGTGATCTTGGACCCAAGTGACCGCATCCCGAGGCGAGGATTGTTGACTTCCAGCTGCTAAGGGACCCGGGTCAGTCCCATGGCACAGCGCCATCAACGTACTGAGCGAAGCGAAGTACATAGTATACTACTCCGTAGTGCGTAGTTCCCGTCGAAAAGCCGCGATTTTGATTGGATGATAAGGAATACCGCTTATCGATTGGTTAATTCAAAACACGCAATATATGACTGGGTGGTCTTGGCAGTAACTTGGCAGAGGTCTTGGCGGTCGAATCTATCGCCGCTCTAGCGAATGTACGCTGCTTTTGTATGTTGCTTACGTTTTTCTCTCGCTAATGTTTGCTCTTAATACGAGTAGTATGACTAGACCTAATTTAGCTTAGTCGCTCAGTAGGCCGACTGAGGGAGGATTTACGCTTTACAGCATAGTTTTATCCTTTATATGTGTAGGGTACGGAATGACCATCTCAAGACTGCGAGTTAGTTCGTCTGATCGTCTGTTTGATGCTCAAGTGTGATCGCCTCCTGATATGCTGGCAGAGCGGCTTGGCCAGAGAAGTCTAGGCTGGGCTTGCAAGAATGCAGGAAGGTTGTCGAAAGCGAATGCGAAGAGGAGTAGGGATTAGACTCCTAGCTAGCAGGACAGACATTGGGTTTAGCAATTAAGCCTCGAAGACCACGGGAAGGCGAGGAACTCCGTGGTTTCCATGAAGGTTGTGACAGAATCGAGTTGCAGTTCGTATGCGTAATAGGCAAGAGCCCGTGCTCCCGCGGCCATCCGTATTTACTTTGGGATTCATACACAAGTATCCGTACCTCTCTTTGAGTTCCCTATCCGGCGTCATGCACCGCACAAGTCACACCTGCGGGTATGATTGCAGAGTAACCTTTCAGTCTGTCTTTCAGTCTCATTGGCGCAGGACACTCTGGTCTTTTGTGGCGAAGAACGTGGGCGTGGAAGCATTCTCGAACATGCTGGACTGATCATCAGAGTGCAGGAGAGCTTGGTCTTGGGCCAGAGATGGGGACGATCGGACAGGGTGCGACAGATCAGGGAGGAGGCTGACAAGTCTCTGTGATTGACCTAGATGCGCATTAGTTGGGTCTCGAAGCCACCATGGCGACAGCCTGCGGTCCGTCTTCCATAACTCAATGCGGCGGCGAGACCGAAGGAACATGCCTCAGGCAGATCCTGGCCCCTGTAGAATAAAGATGAGGTCGTGAACGAGAGGAGGGAACTGCTCCCATAGAGGAGAGGTTGTGCCCGGGAGATTCCAGCACCATCGTCATCATGGACTGCGTACAGACCTTAGGCTGCGCGGCCGCCTCCTAACGTTCAATCCTACAGAGCCATCTCCGCGTCTAGATCTGTATGACATATGCAAGGACTTCAGTCGGCTGTCAGAATTGCGATTCGACGCGTCGATAGTTTCATTGTTCTCCCCCTTCTCTGGTGGTTTTGGGTCCGTCTCATCGCCTGGCCGGAGTTAAATTAAACGGGGGCGCAGGCCTGGTGATCAATGCACACGCCCGTCAGCGGCCCCTGTTTCAACGCACCCCCCGGGTTTGATGTTTGTTGCCTGTGTTTACTCGAGGACTATGTTAATGAACCAAGCCGCCCTTCACCAAAGAAGCTCAAAGACTTTATTATTCAACATCATTGCTGATTGTACACTCTACTGAGCCTTCCAAAGTGCGCCGCTTGTCTTGCCCTACTGCTCTCGAACCGGAACCCTCTAGGTTTTCTCCGAGCCTGTGAACGCTGTCGGCCTCAAAAGGAAAAAGATGTGGAAACGAGACGAGCATTATGTTAGTTCCTTTCAGACGACTGGTATCCCACTCATCATCGGCTTAAGGTATGGTGATTCCGTTGCGCATCCTGCGACCGCAAATGCTGACGATCCTACTAGCCTTTTCTTCATCCTCTCGATCGTTCTGTTTTTCATTGTCAAAAACAGGCGAAGACGAGCGCACTCTGAGGAAGAAGCAAAGCATCGAGCGATAGACGATGGGATGGAAATGGAATTGGAGTTCACGGCGTCAAAAAATCATCAATTCTACAAGGAGCAGCGAGGACCGGAAGTGGACCATGGATTCCAGGAACCTCCGCCAAAATATGACGGGCAGCTCTAACCTGACTTCGACTTCTCAATCTCGTGGATGATATCCTTCTCAATGCCCTCCGGCTTGGCCACACTCGAATATCGTTGGATAACCTGACCATCGCGACCGATCAAGAACTTCTCAAAATTCCACTTTATCCTCTTCAAGCCCAACAGGCCCGGCTTTTCCGACTTCAGCCATTCAAACACCGGTTCAGCCTTGCTTCCATTCACATCGGTCTTTCCCAAGACTGGGAAAGTCACGCCATAGTTCACCTGGCAAAACTCTTGTATCTGGTCATTCGAGCCAGGATCCTGCCCACCAAACTGATTGCAGGGAAATCCAATGATGACGAATTGATCGGGATATTTCTCAGATATCTTCTTGTTCAACTCTTCGAGCCCGGCGAATTGAGGGGTGAACCCGCACTTGGAGGCGGTGTTGACTGCGAGGATGACTTTGCCCTTGTGCTGCGATAGAGGATAGTCTTGCCCGCGCTTATCCTTGGGTGTAAAGTCGAAGAAGGTTGTTGCGGAAGCCATGAGGGGCGTGTGTGACAACACAGGATAAGAGATCGAGAAATGGCGAGGGCTGCGAGGGCTGCTGACGCTTGGTCTACTGCTGTTGGAGGTGAGGCCGAGATGCTGAGAAGAAACAAACAACAGCGAGGAATTGGCACGGAAGAAGTATGCTTTGGTCACCAAAGATATTTGGAATAACAGAGAACCATAGCCTTGCATGAGTGATCTGACCGAGCGCACAAGTCTCTTGTGCAAGCCAGACGTGGCAAATGTGCCTCCGTCGTCATTGAAAAGCACTGACATCGACGGTGTTCTAGACGCCGCAGGCTGACAAACACAGCGAGATTTCGCACCATTTCGGATCAAGCCGGAAATGCCACTTTCCAGCTTCCGAATCACATGATGCCCATCCCACCAACGTCACATGACAGAGTATCTTATATCACGTGATAAAAATATCGGTCTAAACCTCCCACCTAGGTGCCTCCTAACCATCCTTACAACCAGCGCACCCCTGTCCTGCTTTCAAGTCTCGACCACCTTGTCCCTTTTGAGAGCATCGCAACCCCAGTCCATCGTCCGTGCTTACCCCCTACTCATCAATGGCTTTCCCGAGCATTTCGGCGGTGGTGCTGTTTAATTGGAGCGGACAAACCTTCAGCTGTTGCTCGCTCAAATCCTCAAGCGTTGATTTGACCTAGATCCTCACAGCTGAAGACTCTTCCTGGGCCACACTGCGGGGTTGACCATTGCATCCGGAAAGGACTGGCTCTGAAGCTCATTATGGGGACTCAGGGTTCGAGTGACACCTGTGTACCAGGCGTTGAAGGCATCGTTAGGCGACGGTCGGTATGGAATACTTATATGCGGTGCAGGCGCAGTGTTGAATCATTTTCCTCCTGTTTTGACTTCTTCAGATAGTGTTCTTCTTGTCTCCCGCCGTGACAAGTCCATTCAATCGGCCAGTTTGTTCCGCTGAGGCCAAATCCTTGAAGGATACATTTGTTACCTATATTGCTGACTTATCTCGTCGCCCTACTGATCACCTACCCGGTCAAAAGAATATCGTCCGTGATTTCACAGAGTGGGGCAGTTGGTTGAGAAGACATCTTCTGTACGGAGTACATCCTGCGCCAAGTAACAATTGGTATAGCGTGGGAGTGTCTCGAGACATTTGCATTGCATAACACGAATTTTGTGCCGGGCGATCTGAAAGCGTCCGACTCCCAAGTCAGCCGGGCTCGCTGCACCTTTACCCTGGAAGAGCGGCTAACCGACACTCTCCTCTGTCAAATTCCAGCGGACAATCGCCGAAGGCGCCCATCAACCTACCGGTCTGAGTACAGTAGAGCGACGTGCAAGAGGCTCCTAGTGACCTCTCCAAGATCAGGATCGTGATCGACCGCAGCAAGACCCACGCTAGCTTCAAGTCAGCTCCCTTCGACGACTTGCCGGGGTTGCTTACCATATCGACGATCGAACCGGTTCCAGCCTAACCGGATCCATATTCGACACCGACGCCTGACCTCTCTAAGCCTAAACATCGTACGGAGTACTCCGTTCCAACACCCCCCTCGGGCCTCCAAAGATGTCTGGCGCATTTGCCATGCCGCATGCCCTGACCGGCGGGCCAGGGTACAAGGCCAACCCGACCTACGACGAATTCCTGCGCAAGCACAGTGCCATGTACCGACGACACAGCGCGGCGTCGAACGCGATGGATGTCGACCGACGTGCCTCGCAGGCTGCGTTGGACGAGCACGCCAACGCGGCCGCACAGGCCGTGCAGAACGTGGCTTCGGCCCGTCGAGGCTCGGTCACGCTCGCCGAGGGAGGAGCCGCGACGGCCAATGCGAGAAAGGGTAGCGTCGCGGTCGCCAGCGACGTCACGCGCAAGGACAGCATCTTCGGCCTCGAGGCTACCGCCGGCACCAGGGTGAGCGAAGAGCGTCGGCCGAGCACCTCCCTGGCCAGCGATCTGTATCACAAAATCAAGGGGCGTCAGAATCAGAATACCTGATGTAGTAGTATTAGTGACAGCACATCCTCCGAGGGCAGACGGCCACTTTCCGGTTCCGGCGCTGAGGACGAAGTACACAGTCCTCAGTTACTCTACAGATACAGATACGTGGTGAGTTTTCCACCACGCCGGCGGTGAAGCATGCCTGCTTGCTCTGGGCCTCCGATCGATGGACAGCGTGGCAGACTCGGAACGGATGGCGGGGAAAGAGAATCGAAGAGGACTTGCACATCGGCGCACGCCCCCAAGGTTGTTTTGTTGGTTCGAGCGTCGAATACCTAGGTAGCTACTCTATATTCTATACTGCGTACTGATTAATACTCTGTACTTCATACTGATTGATGCTCTGTACTCCATACTGATTGATACTCTATACCCCGTACTGATTGATACTCTGTACCTCCTCTCCATCTGTTCTGTTCTGTTCATGTGGTGATTTTTCTCCTTGCTACTTCTTTTGGGTCAATGGCTTCTCAGCGTTCTCCTGCGCATCGTCCCACTCCCACCTTCTTGACATGATACCTCTCCACCGTCGATTGACAGCAGTGGTATATCAAGCATATCACCGTCAATCGTTATTGACATTAGTAGTAAATCAAGCACATCATCCAATCGACAGGAGTAGTAACTCAAGCATATCATCGTCAATCGTTATCGACAGTAGTAGCAAATCAAGCATAACGCATATCATCGTTCTATGGTTATTATGGCCGCTCTGGCCTGCTGTACTTGTATAGTAAGTAAATCACCGTGAGATTCCACAGTGATGCCGCTGCAAGGCTACGTACTCGTACTCGTACAGCGATAGATAGGAGTCAAAAGAGCGATCAGGACCTATGATATGATAGATACCCCGTACCCCGTACCCCGTATCCGTACTCGTCGAAGAGAGGAGAGGAGAGGAAGGATCTCGGGAACTAGACTAGGGTCATTCCATTCTCATTCCCATTCACGTATGCGGAACTCCCTACTCCTTAGGACCCGGAATCTGGTCTGTTCAAGTTCCTCTCAAATGAAATTGTTCTTTGTCTGGCCCTTTCTTTCTGTCTCCCTCTCCTCAGCTTGGATCACCCTATTGTCCATTGTCCATTGTCCGGTAGTACAGAGTACTCAGCTAGGTGGGCATTTCCTATTTCCTATTTCCACCCTGCCTGCCAGGTTGGCCTAAGCCGATCAACACCACTGCACCCACACACACGTGCATACTCTAGTGACTGCTCAACGGCTACGGCTGTGGCTCGACACATGACAAACGATCAGCCAGCGGAGAAATGCTGTCAGAGACGCATCTCATAGCACAGACAGAACTGAATCCATCCTGACCCATCAACAATGGAAGGCGGGAGTGAGCCCCGGAGGGCCTAAGGGCCATCGGTCGATCCTACTATAGCTGAAACAGGCGCTTTTGGGACCTTCACTCCGGTTGCGGACCTTTCTCTTGAATCCATTCTTTACTTTCTCCGTTGACGTCTGATCGACTAACTGTCATTTCCTGGAAATGTAACGAAGCACACGCTCCGCCGAAAACATGGACTCCGATCTCGCCGGCGCTGCCTAAGGAATCAAGCAAAGATTGATGGCTCGGTTCCCCCCTGAGGAAAAATGCTTGCTCGATGAAAAATGAAAACATGGTGACTTGAGAAGACCTCGCCGTACTTGGACCTTCGGAAAGCAACACGGCTGATGCCGGCTAATGGGTCGTCTCAATGTGCATTTTAAGCCACACCACAAGTCTCAAAACAAAGCGCTGCCGAGCGACAAGCGCCAACTTTTGGTAAATTCTCATTACAGCACCAGACGTTGAAGATTCTTCTGGATCAAGATATCCTGTACAGCATCCATGGTAGCTTTGAGAAGGTTGGTGTCGGTGGCATTTGTGAAATGGATGTAGATCTCTCGGTGGTTGTTGCGGTTGAGGGATCGGAAGCGGTTGGCAAAGTACTCTCTTGCTGCTACTTCGTCACCATCCTTCCCGGTGTAATCCGCAAAGTGCGCCGACAGAGGTGAAATCCGTAGTTTCTCGCGGAAGAGGTCGATTTTGTTCAGGAACAAGATGATTGGCTTATCCTTGAACCACTCCCCATTGACCAAGGATTCAAAGAGCATGAGAGCCTCGTGCATCTGATTGGCGTTTACATCTTCCACCAGACATTGATCGTAGCCGGAGAGGGCGGCCATAAACAAGAGACATTGAACGCCTTCAAAACAGTGTATCCATTTTTTACGTTCAGATCTCTGGCCTCCAACATCCATCATGCGAAATGTGAGTTCTCGGAGCTCAAAGACAGTCTCGGTGATACCGGTGGTGCGCAGGCGAGCGTGAAGCATATCCTGATCGTTGGGGATCCAGTCCGGTTGAAACATGCGAGAGATGTTCTCGAAATAAAAACTGAGATTGTCGTGGAGCGCAAACTCGTGGCCTTTGGCGACGGCTTTCTGGACACCTGCATCTTTCCACAGTGTGAGCATGGCCTCTTTGACTGCCTGGTCTCTGAACGCTTCGTGAGCATCCACATCGGCATTAATGCTTTCAAGGAATTCGGCGTGAGCTTCATTGCTCTCATCTTCAAAGTCGATCTTTTCATCCTGCATGATCTCGTACAGGACGCGGAAGGCAACCACGACATTGGAATAGATGACCGCCCTGACTTGGACTCTCTCATCCTCTTGGAAGCCACTGGAATGAATGATTCGCATTTGTTTGATGATGGTTGATTTGCCCGACTCGCCCGCACCTGAAACGAATCACTGTGTTAGCTCTGGCAGTCAAAGCGGGCTGCGCGAGTTGGCTTGTCGCATACCTAATAGCAAGATTTTGACTGTCCGAGCTTCGGCCCTTCTTGCCTGTCGTAGCTGGCGTTCAATCTTTGCATTTTGTAGGTAGGCCTCCTTTTCATGAGGGTCTAACTTGGACCCCGTACATCCCATTGTAGCTTTGGCGATGGCTGGCTCGCAGGTACCGGGCGCGAACGTCCGAGGAACTTATCGTGATGCTGGGGCTCGATGATACGGTTGGGGCTTTAGGCCTCTTTCATTCTCTGGGGAATCGTAGGAGGGTCTAAGGAGAGTAAGATCAAGGTCTCGATCGGTACGGCTGCGGAGGAGACAAGCTTGAAGGAAGTTTGTGTTAGAGTCTTGCTGACCAGCTTCTTGGGTCAGGTGGGAAAATACCTAGAGCAGTTCGACGAGCGTTGACGATGCGATGTGGACGTTCCCAATGCAGTGTTGAAGCACCCTAACTCGTCGTGCACAGAGCAAAGTGAAGCACGGCGAGCCGGATCAGGAGATGCTGTGATTTAGGTCGTAGGCAAACGGCACTGTAGAGCGGGTATGGAGTCAAGTTGACTGCTGTAATGCCATTCGACAAGGGTCCTTCGCAGCTAGAGAGACGACTGAGATGAATGGCCGGGGGACTAATGGGCACACAACTCCATTCAACATGGGTTCGTGGGGCCTACAGAGACTCAGCAAGGACAGAAGGGCGACTGACAGGGCGTTCAGGGCACTTGATGGGCCGCAGATGCCTGGAAGCGCAAGTTCTCGGCCCACCGAGTGGAGGCTCTAAAGGGGAAGAACAGGTAGTAGTGGCCAGCCTAGAGGAGCAGAAGCACGGCCAGGCATTATTGTTCGCAAGACAGGGAGGGCGCATGTTTCCGTGGGCTTTAGGGGCCAGGTGGCGCGGGCCAGCCCCAGAGTCCGGAGACAGAGCAATCGTCAGGGGAGGATGCTTTGTTTCCATCCATGTGCAGCAGGCAGAGATACGGATACTGGATCTGAGATTGTGTATTCCAGGGGGGAGCGATTTATTAACTACGTCCCTACTGTCCTCTGTACAACGTAACCGCCTACCAGACAGCTGTGTTTCTGTTCACGTGCCGTGTGGATACTGATACTGGTATGTACCTAACAGGACTCTGTACGTACTCCGTATCTAGTCCATTCAGCGCCTATCTCTTCCTTGTCGCCTTTGACCCACGGCTGACAGATAATAATGGAGACTGGAACGACGGAGCAGCCGGAGCAGCCAGCCTGGGACTGGTAAGGTGGAAGGCTGAGGCGTGGGCTATCACTCCGTCCTAACACAAGGGTCTCAGCCGTGAGAGGGACGATCCGAAGCCGACTGAATAATTGAATGCGTGCCCGTTGTGTGGCAGTCGTAGTGAATGACATTGGGGGCGCGAGGCATCAACGGCTTTATAGTAGCCGCAAGCACAGGTATGCAATAATACCTGGTAGGCAATAGGCAACAGGCAGGTACCGGTGTTCATTGATTCACTCCGGCTCCTGGTGACACTTTACCAATGCGCAGTGCACGTGGATCAATCACGTCTTGTTTCCGGACCGCAGCGCAGACTAACAGTTTGAAGTTTATTGGCACGACTTGGGGTACGCAGCAGTATGCAGTATCCGTAATTAGGCGGTAGGGTGGTAGTATACGAATCCTCCGTCCTCCGTCTTCCGCCCTCCGCACGATACCTCCCCCTTGCACCCCTGCCTAAGACAACTGCGCATTCGTCTACAGAGTATGGTACTGTCTCTATCCCATCATCTCCCGTCTCTTCATCATGAACCGTGGCATCAAGACAAGCTTTTGAAAGCTCCCTACTATACCACGGTACCGTTAGCCAGTCGGCCTACGTCCCAGATGCCTTGACTACGAATCAACCTCCAATCTACTCGTACTCCGTACCAGCATCTGTAACTCGCCATCGTGGGCCTGATTCTGCTGGGCTTCGAGTCAATCGGCAGGCACTGACAGTGGCGACGCAGCCCTAGCGCTGGATACCTTCCTTCGGTTTTCCTCAAAGCATCCGTACTCCGTCCTACACAGTCTGAAGAAAATTGTCGAACTTGTCGGCAGAATACTTTGATCTTATGCTGAGGTACAAAAGAACACCAATACGTGCTATCGCACATGCCCAATGTTCACACTATTGGTCGTCACGTTCGGGGTCCTAAGGGTGCAAGATTAGGTAAAGAGTCCCTCTCCCCCCGGGCTAGCTATTTCTAGTCCACCCCAGCCTTTGCAGAGAAGAAATACTGCTGTTGATTGCCGACGTGCTGGCTGGTGTGCATGAATCCAGCGGCATCTACGGAGTAGTGACAACCTGGAGTACTTGATAATCTCTGAGGGGTTTCAGATGCACCTTTTCCTTTGGCTGCGCCGCATATCCCGTCATACTGATGACGGTACAACTACCACCCGGCCTCCTTCTGGAAGATTTCCCCCGTTCCCCCCAACAACATCTCGGCTAAATGATTTCGCGCGGGTGTACAACTCGCGAGCAACACCGTCTACGTCATGCTAAGCTTTATGGTATTGGAAACTGTCATTGATTTGCCTTGCTGCACCAGCTGCACCCGGAGGATTACGTACTGACTGAGACGCTGCATGTACTCCGTACCTACCTAGGTAGCTACTTTACTGGCCCTGCAGCATGATTCTGTGGCGTGTCTACCTGAGGGTGTCCCTCCCTCGCCACCTGCTTCATGTCAGTCAGCCACATCTACCACGGAGAGCTTCCCGAACTTCGAGATCAGATCGCCAAACTGTGCCCACAGTTTTGTCGATCCAGAGGAGATCCTCCAGATTCCACTCAAAGCCGCAGCCGCCTGTGATCTGCTTGTCGACGACTTCCACGATCGAGTATTGGAGCCTGTGTCAAATTTAGTCCTTGACTGTCTTGAACTACGTCTGACCTGCGAGCGCAAGGCCTTGTCCGATGAGAGCTTGTCCACCGTTGAAACACTCTGGGAGAAGTCATTCCCGCTGTCCGGGTTATTCCTTCAGGCGGACCATCCTCTTTCGGCACCAAGGAGATACAGTGGTGCTATAGTGGTGCTATAGCACAAGCCACATGGCAACTAGGATTAAGTCATGTTAAAATCATTCCCCAGAGAGTTTAGTCGGCGTCTTCGAAGCCGACTTGGGTCTGCCAGACCGGATGATCTCGATCACATGCCCGTTATGATGGCTGTACCAGTGCGAAGTGCCGCAGACGGGATCTGTTAGCTGGGCAGGGAGTCCTGAATCGCGCAAGGGGAAGTCGGAAACACTAATCAGATCCAAAATGTGTTCCGCATATGCTTATGAGACCACATCCGCGCGATAACACTGAGGACTATCAAAGATAAGAAGCTTGAAATCTGGGACTACAACCTGCCCACTGCATACTATCCGGAATGTCAACCGGATCTTTGCTGCATCAGGCAGGTGCCCTCCTTGGCACAAGGCATAACCAACCTGAACTTGAAGTATCCAGCCCTACTCCTCTAGTTCCAAGTAGAACGCGGAACCCAAATTCCTGGCCACGCTGGTGATCCGGACTCATAGAGAAGGCCTGAAAGACACAAGGACGATTATTGGGATAGTAGACCACAGCATTTGATGATCGACACGGTCTACACTGGAGAACGAATGAGGCACAGATATACCCATTACGCTGTGAGGTCAAGCGTGACAGTGGGACGTGGAGCAGGTATTCAGCATGAGATACACGGAGTATACCCGAGGTCACCAAACTCAAAAATACGCCACGAACTTCCGGATGAGGAATGTGCCCTAGGCAGTTGTATTTTTCATCCAACGGTTTTCCGACGGAAGACTCCCAAGCACAGACAGACAGACAGGCTTCGGGTGCCAACGTGTCAAAAGTCAGGGGTCAAAGCTGGAAACCAAACAATAGCTGCAGAAGCGATCTAGAAGCGACGCCGAGACTCCAATCCAAGGATTATTGATCAGCAGAAAACATCTTACATGAGCAGCTTTCTTTTGCCCAAAGGTGTCCAAAGGTTGGAGAGACGAGGCCAGGGAGTGGACGCCTGCATCATGCGCGGGGGGGAGGGACCAGCACAACGTAGTACTACTAAAGAATGAACATACTACCTAGGTACCTTACCTAGATAGGGACTTCAGGTGGACGTATGGTGTAACTGTATGGCAATCAGGCAGTCTTTCATGTGAAATGATTAGACTCCTGGTATCGCGGGGGCGCTGACGTATAGACTATAGAGAGAGATGCGGGCAAAAGACTCTCCGATAACGACAGCGACAGGTGGCAGGTGTGACTGTGGACTGTGGACTGTGCGACTGCTTTCTTGCTCGAAGCTAAAAAAGATGCTAGATGCTTAGGGCACTTTCCCAAACCGGAAATCCAGTTCCCTCTCGAAATGTGCTAATTAACCCTGCCGCTCATCAGACGGATGACTCTTTGACTCTGCTCGTCTTCAAGCTTCAGGCTCCAACCTCCAACCTCCAACCTCCAACCTCCAACCTCCATCTCGTCCAACCGTCGCGCGCTGGCCCCCACGTTCTACCTTCTACCCAGGCCCGTTTTCTCACCGCGGCGCCCGAACCCCTCTTGTCTTCTCCGTCCCGTGCGCTCGCTGCCAGTGGCCACTCCGGTGGCTTGCTGACCTCAGGCTCAACGCTTCTAATGGGCTTCTAAAACGCTTGGGCTTTCCACGCTAATTAGAGCCAAACCTCTTCTGGTTACCGGGGGCATCTCTCCGACTGGTTGCGCCTGGTCCTGGCTCATCCACCTGGCAGGGGTCTCTGATGCCCATTTGTTTTCCCGACGGCCAACAGTGCTCCTGGTCTGCCATATGCCCGCAAAGCCCGACAGACGCCGTATGGTAAGCAGCGCAAATGCGCGGGTTAGTGTCGGTGCTACAACAATAATGGCAGAACAATAATCCTCGTCGGCTCCGCTAGCGCTGCTCGGGTTACAGACAGGCACGGGCAGATCGCCAGGGCGAGTTATATCTTTACCATGCTCCAGGAAGCCACCCTCTTCACCACTTCTGACATTGGTGATATACAGACTCCTTCTCCTCCTAGCCGGTCTGTGTTCCTCGACATTTACTCAAGCTCTCAGCCGCCAGATTACGTCTCGCACTCGGAAATCCTTTTATAGCTGCGCATTAGTACCATCATATCACCATGGACTACGGTTTTGTGGGCTCGCCCTCACAGTCACCAAATCAATCATTTTTCACTACCGGGCATTATTTTGATAGCACCTCGGAGAGCTCGAGTCCAAGTTCTCCTCATGTATGCACAACTCGTCTTGCGGTGGGAAGAACACCTGGACTGATTTGACATCAGCAAATCAATCGAATGATGCTTAATAGTGCGCCTCTGCACTATGACATGTTCCAGTACGGAGCGACGCCTTCTAGCTACTATCCTGCCACACAATCCGCCAAGATCTCCGTCGAATACAACGACCAAACTACGCTCGGCGCGAACGTGCGAAGGAGACGAAGGTCAGGCAGCACGTCAGCTCCTACGAAGGACAAGGATACAATCACCAACATGCATTTGGTGCGTCACCTGCTCTACTTGATGTTCTGTTCGGCAGGTACTAACGCGCAGATTCAGAGACGACGAGCCCAGAATCGAGCTTCTCAAAGAGCATTTCGAGAACGGAAGGAAAAGCACGTCAAAGGTTTAGAGCTTCAACTAGAAGACATCCATGAGAAACACCAGGATCTCTTGCAGACATACACCCGGCAGTCCGACGAGGTCGCAAAACTAAATAACAGGATTGCGGAGCTCACAACCGAGATCAACTCTCTGCGATCATGCCAGGATCAATCCTTTAGTGATATGCTCCTTCCAGACAAGTTCGACAAGTTCGACGCCTTCTCGGGACATGACATGCTTCACGATGGGCCTGACTGCTATTTCGACAAGACGGCAGTAGATCTCAATTCCGAGTTCTCCTTACACTCCTTTGAAGACTCATTATAGCGACCTCTCGACCCAAGGGTTTGGGTTGATCACTGGCAGTTCGGCGTTTTTAAGAAGCAGCGATATACCAACCTTGACAGGAGACATTCTTCTTTTTCAACGTTATTTACCATTTGCGGAGCGGATTCGGTCTTTACCCTCGTTATCCTATTGACGAACATGTGGGATTTTCAAGGTACGCGAGGATTCGGGAGGCAGGCGTCACCGAGACGTAGTCTGGCAAGAAGCACAGTATTGCTGATGATAAACTCTGTATCAAATGGCACCTCCACCGAAGAGCCTCTCAGCCCAGCCAGACAAAGCATGTGAAAAATCGTCTCGAGAACAGATCACTATGAGCCCTGGATCAGGAATCAGAAAGTGTTGATCCTGCTCCCTGCAGCTGATCCACCCCTGGTCGAGCATTGACCCACGGCCTACTCCCATAAAGGAATATGGCCAAGGATGCGGTTGGCTGCATGAAACGGCTGTAGAGTTTCTTAGGAAGAATTCCGAAAGACTAAAGACTAATGTCTGAGCCCCGCTGCCCGCCTTATAAGGCACCCACATGTTCACCTATGGTCATTACTGGGTCCGGCGCAAATGGTGGAGGGCGGCCTGAAGGAAGCATTTGTGGTACAGTAGTTGGTGGGAGGGCAGCAAGGGTCCAAGGCGTGATTTTCCTGGACCAACGCTAGCTCCATCAATCATGCCGGCACGGATGTATGTGTCACATTCGAAGAACGAAGAATAGCACGCACAAAGAAATCGTTCATCAGGCGTCCGGGGACTGACCCTATACTAGTAGTCACTTGGCCAGAACTAACTGACCCCTGGCGTGCAAGCCATACCGCGGAAAATTCCAAGACAGCTTCGAAAGACGGAGTACGGATACATCTCTGTCTGCGGTATGGTAGGCCAAGGTGTTTCAAGATCGCAAAGACCGTAATTATGCCCTGCCCTGCCGAGGGGTTGGTGGCACTGGCGAAGCCTATATAAGCCCACCAGACACCTAGGGTAAGCTAACCCTAACCCTAACCCTAACCCTAGGTGCCAGAGTTCAAACTTGCTGCTGACATCAGCCATTAGTAAGATCTTTTCTCTAGCCACAGGCCAAGGCCCGCGCGCCACCTCTTTCCCTGCCAGCCAGCCTCATGTGGCTGAGCCTGCGGATGTCTGCATTGGTGAGGAATGTAAACACAAAAAGTGGACGTGCGCCAGTCAGTCGCAGAATGAAGGATAGATGAGCCCAATTGCCCATAGCGGAACTGGCTCAATATTGACACTTTCAATCTTCCCCTTCTGATCCTTGCAGAAGAGATGGGATGGGGTTTCCTTGAAAAAACGCCCTCTCACACTCGCGACAGCATGAATGGCCGTTGAACTCTGCCACTGATCTGTGGTTGTATCACGACGCAACACCCGCCTTGCAGAACACCGGCTCCTTTTGGCCCCTGTCACCCCCTTCAAGCCGACAATGTGAATGATGGCCTCGCATTCGTACGCCCTTCGAAGCAGGCTCAACACCCAAAGTCCGTCTCTCCGCACAGCGCCAACTGGCTCTCCCGTCGTGCCAAAGTTCGGCGCCGCATCGCCTCGCAAAGCACGATCCTCCGATATCACACTCCAGTTACAAAAGGTGATTGGAACGACTACAAATAATCCGAGCGGATTGGCATGCTGTCTGGCAACAGGAACCTACGCATATTGTGCAGGAGCTGTTGCGGTGCTGGCCAAAGTCGATCCAAATACCGTACCTTTGCAGCGGTACTTCAAAGCCCGACCCACCGCGCCCTCCATCCATCCTCCCACCGCCTATTATGAAGGCTCTCCAGCGGCGACGCCCTCGAAGAGGAGGACGACAGCATTTATGTCACAAAGGGGACAAGATGATTACACTGGTGGTTCATTCGGACGCGAGTGGCTAGAAGACTCGGCCGGCCAGACCTGGACCGCACGGGAACGCATCAAGTCCACATCCTGTGTCGCACTGAGTTCGGACGGTCGCTGGCTTGCTGTTGGAGAATCAGGTTACAATCCTCGAGTTTTGCTGTATTCGACTGTTGACGATGCCTCCGGCGAGATCCCCACCTCGATTGTGACTGATCATACCTACGGGGTCCGCTGTATAGCCTTCAGCGCCGACATGCGATATCTGGCGACATTGGGGAATCTGAATGACGGATTTCTGTTTGTATGGTCATTGAACTCCAAGACGGGTCAACTGAGCCTGCACTCCGCCAACAAATGTACCGCCAACATCTGCGACATGATGTGGTGCGGCAACAATTTGGTCACCGTTGGAACAAGACATATCAAAACCTGGCATGTCAAAGACCCGACGAAACAATCACCTACAAGGAAGTCGAAATATCGGCCGTCCGAGATTTATCCATGCAGTCCTGGACCTACACCTCTTCAAGGCCGGAATTGTCTGTTAGGATCAATGGTAGACTCAACTTTCACATGTCTGACATCGGTTGATCAAAAGCTTCTTATCTTAGGCACTGAGACCGGACATCTTTGCGCCGTGGACGTCTCTCGAGCAACGCCGGAGTTACAAGTGCTTAAGAAGACCGACTTATCCATAACTTCGATTGCCTACCTTGCTTCTAGCAAGCAGATTCTGGTCGGCACATCGTATGGGATTTATTATGAAGATTTTGAGTCTCTATTGAAACAGGAGAATGAACCATGTGGTAGCACTTCACGGCGGAAGCCTTCTCGACCGTCGTCAATCCGCCGCTCTCTCGGCCTCGTGCGGCAGACAGGAAAGAGTGTGATGGCAGTTGGCATCCTTGAGAATCATACAATCACACTTGACAACGATGGAAGCCTGCAGATACAACGTCGTGACGTGGACGATTATGATCAGCCTCAGCCGACATTCGCCGCCCACAACAGTGTTTTGCAGGGGGTGCAAGCTCTCCCCGCGACATCCCACTTGGGAGATTTCTTTACGTGGTCAAAGAACGGCGAGGTTAAATTCTGGAGTGCCGATGGCGCAATGTTGCATCAAAGACACCTCGATCTCGACGAGATAGGCATGGACGGTGAAAATCTTCAGAATGAGCTCAGTCGGATACGATATTGGCCCGCTCGTGGACATTTCATTGCGGGCGACCGCTTCGGATTGCTCAAACTAATCAAAGACCAAGATTGGGGAGTCGTGCACACCATTCGAGCACACGGTTCAGAGGTCATGAGTATTGCGGTCTCTGATGGGGAATCGTTGATAGCAACGTGCAGCCGAGATCGAACGGTGCAACTCTTCCGGTTGGCCGGAGACAACTTCGAGCTTCTCCAAACGATGGATGATCACGTTGGGTCTGTCAACCAGATCTTGTTTGCCCAGGCCGGGGGTAAACTGCTTTCGTGTTCCGCAGATCGATCGTTGATTATTCGTGAACGCGTATTGAGGGAGCAGGATGGGATTCAAGCTGTTGCATACTTGTCAACCAAAGTCTTGACGCTCAAGAGTGCTCCGTTGTCAATGACCATGTCATCCGCCACTATGCTTGCGGTGGCCACTATGGATCGTCGCATCAGCAAAGTAGACTTCTTGACCGGCACAGTGATGGATTCATTCAAGGTCGGGGATTCCGAAAGCGACGACACGGTGTTTCTGAATTCCATCATCTGCACTCCCATTCCTGACGCTCCAGATACGATCCAAGGACTGCTGATCGGATATTGTTCTTTGGACAAATCCATCCGAGTATACAATGAGCGAAATCTCACTCTACTAGGACGAGAGTCGGGACATACCGAAGGCGTGAGCGACGTTGCCTTGCTCGAGCAGTCCGACGATGCCGTTTCTGGGAGGGAGCCGACTCTTGTCAGTACAGGGCTGGACGGCACGATAATGATCTGGCGAATTGTCAAGACGGCGAGCCTATTGTCAGCGCAGAACACTTCACCAGATCGAACCCAAGGGCAGGGGTTTTTGACAGATGAGACGCAGACGGCCAGTGCCAAACCAAGTCCAGCATCTCTCCCACCCTTGAGAAAAGTGTTGACAAAATTGGACATTGCAGACTTGACCAAAGGAGGCACGGCATCACCGACCACCCCTCGATCATTATCACCGGTCAGACTGAGAAGGAAGACCTCAAGGCTTGCTTTGTCGACAACCATGGAAGATGTTGAAGAAACCCCGACCAAAGTTACCGACGTTCCTGTGGCCACTGACAGCTTAGGCACCAAGGAGAAGTTGAACCTGCGACGTTCTCCGTCACCCAGAGGCCGGGGAGAATCCAGACTGAAGAAGCAGCAGTCGCGCACAGACCTGAGTAGAGATGTCGGATCGAGAAGAACACGAGGTCTCGACAGGTCACGATCACCTCCATCCTTCTTCCCCTTGTCGGTTCCCACCACGCCCAAGCAGCGGCAACAACCGAACAACAGCCGACTTCGACGACCACCATCCGTTCCTACGGATCTACGGTCCCAAGGCCTGACTCAAAGTCGGCGGCAGAGCATGAGCCAAGCGTCCGACTTTGGCAGTCTGGGCATGGCGACAGAACAGGCGGGGCGGATGTTGAGGATGTATAGAAAGAAACTGGTCCACAGCCGAGAGACAGTGGATTTGGACGATCTCGAAGATGAGGTGTGCGGGCTATTGAAGATACTACGAGAACGAAAAGACCGAACGCAACCCACACCAGTACCACCAACTGAGGCCGAGGACCAAGCGCTTCACGAGGCACACCGACGGGGCAAAGCGAAGGCAGCCACCGAGAGCGACGTCGACCAGCTAGCGGTCTTGCTGGGGAAGTCCAGCATGGCAGAGTCTCCGACGGCCGCCCACGGGTCGAAGATTTTGGCCAACGCATGAACTGACGGTTAATATATGTGGGGATTTAATAACGCTACGGAGGAGTTGTTTTCTGCACGGGAGAGTTGATGGGAAGACTGGCCGATGGGAGGACTGGGCGGAGGGAATGGGAACGGTTATGCTTTGTTAAGGGAATTCAACGCTGGACAATATCGGCAGCGCCAAAGGGGGACCAGACGAGTTCAGGGTTGGTCCGGGGAATATAGGCTCCATGTACGACTATTTTTATAGATATCATATATGTATCTTGACTAGATGTATATATTCAGCATATCCAGCGATCTGGACTGTAAACACGATACAATTCCTCGATAGGCTATTGTACCTGTACGGAGTACCTATAGGTCTAGGTAGTACGCCAGGCTTAGACCTCCTGAGTGGTGGTCTAAAAGCAGCGCCCACGACCGCTGTTTTTAGTGGCCATTTCACCCACATCTTGACTTACGGATACATATGGTAACTCCGTACTCTACTCCAGACTTCGTATACTCTGTAGAGAGAGATTGGTTTACATCTCCACCATCCCCATTCGGAACCTCTCTCCAACCCACATACCAAGACAATCTATCTCTCCTTCAGCCTACGTCCGAGTGAGGTGGCAGCTACTGGAGGAATCAAGGCAATGCCCGAGCAGAGCCAGAGTGAGAAGGGGAAGGACAAACAGAGGGCCGAAGACGTCCAGTATCTCGCGGACGCACTGGACCTAGCGCGCCTGTCTCCTCCCAAACCGACAAACTTCCGTGTCGGCTGTGTCCTTGTCGCGGTTCCCTCTCCCATCCCGATCCCGTCGCCATCCCATCAGGCCGACGAGAGCGACGTGCCCAGAAAAGGAAAAGGACAAGGACACGACTCTTCCGACGGGAAAAGAGAAGCCCAGGTGCTCGCCACAGGTTACACCCTCGAACTCGCGGGCAACACGCACGCCGAGCAGAACGCGCTGGCCAAGCTTGCGGCACGCCACAACCTCCCCGAGTCGCGGCTGCACGAGTGTCCGGAGTTCTTGGACCCCGCGGCCAGGGTGACGCTGTACACGACGCTCGAACCGTGCGCGAAACGATTGAGTGGGAACAAGCCTTGCGTCGAGAGGATTTTGGCCACGAGGAGCAGTGGTGGTGGCGGCGTGCACAGGGTTGTCTACGGTGCAAGGGAACCAGACACGTTTGTGCAAAAGTCGGCAGCGGCGCGGATCCTTGAAGAGGCCGGCGTCGAGATCGACTACGTCGGCGATTTGGAGGGAGAGATCCTGCGCATCGCGATGGAGGGCCATGGAAATACGGCTGCTGAGAACAATCCGCGAGTACAAGCCGAAGCGGAACCACAATCGGAACCTCCCACGGGACAAAGTCAGCCTCAATCTCAATCTCAATCTCAATCCCATTCCCAGAGTCAGCCTACAGGCACTAACATAGACAACATTACTGCTGAAGAACGCAGACGGCAGGAAGCCCTGCCGCGAAATCCCAAAAAGAGGATGATGGAGGTAAATATCCCGCGGCAGCCTTGACGCTCTCGTTGCGGTCTGCGGCTGGCGGCTCATGTGTCGTCTGACTGTCCGCATCTTTCACCCTGATCGAGTCTCCCACTGCAGTGGAAGGAAGTATAAGACGGTTGGAGGTGCCGTGTCCGGGACTGTCATTGTGATGCTTATCTCCAAGTCTACACCTTGTCCTAACATGCTCCTCTACTCTGGTCTGGCTCGACATCGGCCTTTCACGTCTAATACCGAAACCGAAAGTCGAAACATCCTCGACAGCTACGAATCAGACTAGGCAAGCTACATGCAATCCGAGCTGGTCCCATCCTCCTGACCTAGGCCGAAAACATCTGGGGCTAAAGCGACTTGGTATCAACATGTATGTATGTGTGCGTGTGGTGAGACAGTGGGTGGCCGGAGACAGTGGGACGGCCACCTTACTCACACAGTAAGGACTGATGAGGCGCCGCGCTGTCATGTTGTGAAGGTAGTCTTCACTTCGAATCCATGCGAGTGCTAGTGCCAGTACCTATGCCTCTATGGCCAGAACAGAAGCATCGATGTAGCCCAAAGCGGGAGAAGGAGAAGGAGAAGGGGTTACCAAGGGCGCAAATGAAGGGGCAAGCAAGAGACGAGAACTCCGAGATGCTTTCCCAAGAAGAGCAGAGGCAGAAGCAGAAGCAGAAGTGAAGCAGGAGAGGATACCTTGATAGACCCTAGACCATAGACCATAGACTGAACCCCAAGCCTAGGCTCGCGAGTATCCTGACATTGCCCGTCAATAGTACGGATACAGATACACAGGTAGGTAGGTAGCTCGGAGCTATGAATCATACCCACAGTATCAGTATCAGTATCAGTACTGTCGTTTACAAACATTGAGAGTTGAGACTGTTGTTCATCATTACTCCGTACCTAGGTACCTAAGGTATCTCAGGTATACAACATTCCACCGAACCATACCTACATACATGGCCCGGCTAAGGCGACTTTGACATTCCATGTTCATACTCATACTCATGCTCGAAATGCATTGATAACACCTCTTGTGACGTGTCAGGCAAGGGGTTCTATCTATCTACCAGATGGGATGGAATCAGATCTGATCTCTTCGGTTCAGAATTCTTGTTTTTTTTTTTAAATTTTCCACCAGCACTAAGCTTCGCTTGGAAGAATAACTGTAAGAGTACAGTAACTGTGACTGTAACTGACGTCGCGCCGATTGATATCATGTCATTCATAACAAGACCATGATGAGCATATTTCATTATGATGAGACGATGGCTCATCTATTTGGCCAGACTGGTGGCTTAAACTCGACTCGACCAATTCCGCTCAAACGCAACTTGCTACTACCAAATGAGTCCCTGAACCAAACTCAGTCGATCCTGGCTTGTGTCAAACTTCTTCTCTTGGTCGGCATATGGCTGGCCGTCAGGTTGTTTGATAGCCGAATCTTGGTACTGCTGACCCGGATCCCTGACCGAGGCTTCTTCAGTCTCTTGCGCGCCACCATCACAGGCACCGACGATTTGGTGACGAGATAGTTCGAGAAAGATCCTAGAAGCACGCCCTTGAGAGAACTGCGGCCACGGGTACCCACGACGCAGAGTGTCGGTTCGAGTTCGTCAATCTGGCCCATCTGAATTAGTTGCGGGTTCCTGCTGTTCACCAATGACCTGGATGGAATCGACTTACCGCACCAAGAATCAAGTGTTTTGGACTCTTACAGTGGATCACTTCGACCATACATCTCACCTGCAAAGTGGTCTTGCGGACAAGTTTCAAAAAGTTCTGGGTGATGTCGTCGACCGCCTTCAATCGCTCCAGTTCTTTTTTGGACAAACTCCTTGTATCCGCCGAGCCAGTCAGACTCTGCATTTCGGTAGCTGGGACGTATTTGTTGGTGCTGCCCGCGCCAAAACTTGTTCCACCGCCTTGGGTCGTTTGCCGAGTGAGAGAATTCATGATGTCAGAAGCGTCTTTACCAGCTTTGGCACCCTCGGCTTGAAGGACCTCTTTGTCCGCCTCGGTTGCTTTCCCGGCACTCTCATCCTCCGTGGCATAGATGGCCAGAATCGTGTCACCGTCTCGTAGCATCGTCCCAACGACCCATTCCATGGCATAGCTGGCCTCGGTACTCAAATCGCTACAGACAAGGTAGAGCCGGTTATTTCTTTCGCCTGCCTTTGCCTCTTGGTCGAATTTGGTCCAATTGCCTCTCAAGATGATTCGAACATGCCGGTCACGTACTGTGGAATCTAGGGGTGATATATTCAGGGCAAGTGTTTTGGCCTTCCTGATGGCTGCAAACTCGTCATCGTCGTCATCTTCGCCAGAAGTCACAGACGATGATCGGGCAAAGCTGGTCGACGACTGCACGCGTGCTTTCCCTTCTGGCACGTTCTCCCCGGAAGGACTGGTGATGGAAATCGAGGGTTCGAGTAGCGATTTGACAGGGTGCTGAACCGGTGGAGACTTCAGCTCTACCTCGGGCGAGGGCGTTCCGTTTGAAGCGGGAGATCTTGTCTTGTCGACCTCAGCATCCGACAGTGCCCGTCGCTCGGACCGACCTCTAGTCTCGTCTTCATCACTACTCGGAGACATGACATCCTCGTCACTGCTGTCGTCTGAACCGTCTTCTTCAGCCGCCTCATCATTGGGAACACGGCCGGCACCCTCTTCCGAATCATCCGTGACCGTGGAGAAGCTACCAGATTTGTTGGATAGTCGCCGATGGGCTTGATCATCAACAACGGTTCCAGCGTTCGTCGTCAATGGAGATGCAGCTTTCGTGGGGCTGAGGAAGCCCGGCTTGGACGATTCGGCAATTCGAATTCTGGACGACGGCGATCTTGAATGTGTGCCCGAGGTCACTGTAGAATTGTGTCTTCCGGCTCCTGCGCCTGGTAATCCAACATGTAGAGAGGCAAAGTCCCCCGACATGGCCGCGGCCATAGCAGTGCTTGATCCTTCCCGTGCTCTTCGAGTCTCGGTCGGTGACCGTGTGGATGTCCCCGCGGTCGAAGGTATAGAAGACATATCGAATTGATAATTGTGTTCAAATCCACGCCTGTCGTCCGGCGGTATTTTAGGCAGGCCGACAGGCTGGTCCACTTCCGAGGAGGTTCGAGGTCGTGTGCTTGCCGGCTGGCTCTTTTGTAGGACAGGCGAGCCGGGTTTGCTCGAATGAGTAGATGTATAAGTCGAGGGATCGGAGGGATCTAGCTTGACAAGTTTTCTGGACTGATCGGGGCTGGTAACTCCCACTCCGATGCCCGCTATGGAGCCGTGTCTGGGTGCAGACGAATCGACATCGAGCATGCTCCGGACCTGTGGAGGGGGTGTAGCTGTCCGGAAACGTCTGACCGGAGGTAGGGGGCTAGCAGTTCTGTCGCGATCGAGAGCAGCTAGAACTTCTCTGTTCTCTTCGTCGAGAGATGCCTCTAGGCTCAGCGGTGCCCGAGTCCGAGAAGGCGGTCGATCCATTCCGGGTTTGGCGTCGCAGGTGGGTAGAGCGGTGGTGCGAAGTGTTAGCAGAAGCAAAAGAACGGTTGAAAGTACGACAATAAGCACTACAAACTTCTGAAAGATGGCTTTATAAGATCCTCGTCACGGAGGAGGAATACAACGAGTCGAGACATGTCGGGAGAAGAGCGCAGATCAAGAGAGAGTGACTGCGGAATCAATGCCCGATTCGACTTGCTCGATTAGTGCCTAAGACGCTCAAGCTCATACTCGCGTGCCAGGTGCTTGCGAGTCACTCTTGGCCGCAGCGGGAGGGCAACTTTCGTTGGCGTTTGTGGGGGGGCGAGGGCCGAGACTGCAAGCACAGCCCGTGCGTGCCCAGGCGCCGGCGAGCTTCTGGAGAGGAGTCGAGCGACAGGTGGTAGAACGGGTCGACGAGTGGCATGCTGGACATTTTAATACTATGACTATTTGGTGGGCACGCCAATGAAAGTGACATGGTGCATATATCATGCCATATACAGCGTCCCTATAGGTAGGTACCTGGCAAGTAGGTTCGGATACTAGTAGCTACCTGTAGGTGCCTGCTAGCTACCTAATGTATGCCATTACAGTGCGCCGTAGTGTTACTAGGTAGTAGGTGCCAGGGTCCAAAATGCGAGGTTGACGGGTGTGATGATGGCGGGGTACCATGCTTATCGGCCTTATCGAGGGCTCGCAGGCTAAGAAGGCTTGCCTGCGCCATCCACCTGCGCTCCTAAAGGCTAAGGTAAGACCCCTCAGCCCTTAGGCCTTGACTACTCTCATTTGAACCCTGCGGTCCTTTCTTCATGCACATCACATCTGCTATATCCTAGCGTCCACCTGCATGATCCCCGAACTGCCCATCTTCTGCACCTCGATTGGCTCTCTGCCGGCCTCCGGCATCAGGCTTAGCCTTGGACTTGATCATGCGCAGGTCGACCCGTACGGTAGAATGGACTGCTGACCTAACATGCCTGCTTCCAAGTTTCCAGGCATGCTCCGAGAATTACAAGATCCCCAGCCTTCCCATTTTCTCGACCTGCTGACTCTACCTTCTAATGTGCCCCAGGGAACTACAGTGGCCACAATGGCCGTTTTTCACATTCCCACGGTGTTGCTGGCCCTTCTGTTCGGTCTCGGGGTACTATCAACTGCTCAGAGTAACTGTGGAACAGACCAGAATCCCTATTGTGCAGGCAACAGTCTACTCGAACAGCTCTGCTGTCCGTATCCAAATGTCTGCTACTGGCAAGATCGCGATGGCGCTCCCGGATGTTGTCCTGCCGGGCAAGCTTGCAATGGTCAAACCTACGTTCCTCCCTCAACCATCCACCCAACTACCGTAACTATCACCTCAACATCCAAATCTACTCCTACACCGACCCTTCGTTCTACAATCACGAGCTATGTGAATGGCGGAGGAGGCGTGATCGTCACTTCTCAGCCTAGCGTTATCACCGTCACAACTGACAACTGGGCCAGTGAAGTTTACTCTACCGTGACTTCAGGAGTGGTCGGCGTATATTCCACGGTTACCTCTGTCGTGGGAGGAGTCTATTCCACAGTGACTTCTGATGTCGGCCAGGGGTTCGCCACCGTTTCAGGAGTCCTAGTGAGCGGGACTCCAAGTTCCCACTTTATCACAATATTGTCTCCGGTGATGGCTGTCCTGTTTTCACTTACCTGGGTCTATGCTGGGTGAGGCAAACAGGCAGAATCCATCTCAAACAGCATGGTTACAAGCGGGGGCGCCCCCATGTGAAATTGACGAGAAAACACGGTGACAACATGGTGATTGAAAATTGCATTTGCCGAATAGGTTTCAATCCAAAGACTTACGAACAGCAACATGTGTCGGTTGGCACGAGCCTTGGTTGTCGAGGACAGCTGGGGCTGTGGACGTTCTTGTTTTCAATCGAACTAACGACATGAATCAACACTGGCACCGAGACTGCATTCAAACTTCTCATGACCTACGGCCCCAGTTCCACGTCAGCCAACACGTCCCCTTCCCCTCTCTTGGGTGCCTACCCATCGATTACTTTGTTACACTCACCTTGGCAAAGAATCCATTGGGAGGCACTTCACCACCCCATCTATCCACGACTTTGGTAACTTTCTCACCATCCAGAGTCAAATAGATGAGGATATGGCTATCGATGAACTGCTCCTTTCCTAGCCCTTTGACCTTATACCGGTCTTAGAGATGCAGCTCTATTGGATTCCCGACAGCGACGATCTCGGCTTGCTCCTGCATGACTTGGCTCATAGTCGCCACCACCCCGTACAACTGGGCCTCGTACTGCTTGCAGCCCTGGGCTATGGTCAAAGGGTCCTGAAACAACGTGTCGTCCGTCCACAGGCTTAGTTTGTGCTTCGAAGGATAGCCTGCGAAGAGGTCCATGACGCTAGCCATGGGTAGTGATTGGCGCGGTGTTAGCTCGCACGGCGCCGGCGGGAGGGGCTTAAATCTTGTATTCGGCGAACCAGGGCGGGTTGTCTTGTGAGGTAGGAGTGGAAATATTAGGAGTCGAAGGGTTTGCCATGAAGTGTCCAACTGAGGACAGGGATAGACAGCCTTGCTTACTTATATTGAATAGGTAGGTTAGGTGTGTGCACTACTAATTAGTGAGACCCTCCTTACCCCCTTGATGTATGTAGCCTGCAACTCCGCTTTGCAACTCCGCTCCGCAACTCCGCTCCGCTCCTTGGGGAGCGGAGGATTGTATAAGTGACGGTTCGGATCCATCAGGTCACCATGCTTGTTCCAACTCAACTCACACTCACACTCCCGGCCTCCCAGCAAAATGAAGGTCGTCCTCTTCGGAAGCACGGGCTTCATAGGCAAAGAAGTCCTCGACCTGTGTCTGAAAAGTCCCGCTGTAACCTCCATCATCGCGCTCTCGCGCCGTCATCTCCCCGTCGACGGAGAAGGAGAAGGCGCCAATCCCAAGCTGACTGTAGTCATGGTTGAGGATTTCAAGGTGTACCCCTCCTCTATTTTAGAGCACCTGAAAGGGGCGGATGCTTGCATATGGTAAGTCTGGGATCCCAGATTGTCAGGATGTGACACAACACAGATGGCATGAGTATGAGTGCTAGTGCTGACACCACCGGTGGATTTGGAACGGCAGGTCAATTGGAACGTACAATTGGGATTCGACAGTCGAGTTGGAATACCCCGAGGCTTTCCAGCAAGCACTGTTGAAGGTTTTGGATGTGCATGTCAACAAACCCTTCACATACGTCTACCTTGGCGGCGCTTTCACCGAGCCGGACCAGGAGAAGACTCTGTGGTTCTATACCAAAGGACGGCGTGTGCGGGTATGGCGTTTCGTTTTATTCTCCCTCATCCTTTTTATTATCAGATCTGCTGACTCGACTCGACTCTTCTTTCTTAGGGGCTTGCCCAGACCAAATTCTTAGAGTTTGGAAGGCAAAATCCCAGCGTGAAGACGTACGTGGTGAGGCCGGGAGGAGTTCTACCAGGAGACGGAAGTGGATATGCTTTGCTGGGTTGGTTGGTCCCAACCGTCTCGGTGCGGAGCCTGGCCGCGGTGATGGTAGATCTGGCCGTGAATGGGGGGAGTGAGCAGCTGGTCAACAATAAGGTCATCGTAGAGAGAGGCAGGGAGTTGTTGATGAACCAAATGTAGTAATGATAAGCTTATGGACAGGACATGTTAACCTCTCAACTCTACGGAAGGTCCAAGGATGATTTGAAGTCTTGATTAGGATATGTCATGCATGACCAGAGAGCAGCAAGCAGAATCTGGAAGGACTATCTGTACATATATGTACCTGCGATCGAAAAGGCGTCCACAGAGATACTGTCGACCCTTTTCCAAAGAAAGTTTCCGAAGAAAAGGTCACCATACTTTGCAAGATGCTTCGACAGGGTCGTCGGTGTGACATCGAAGGCTCGTGGATAGGGAACAGGCAGATTCGCAGCAGACAGCGGTGATTATGCATACATAGTTTATCTCTTGATTTAGCCAATTTGCAGGATAACTCGCTAATAGTTTATCTCTTGATCCAATGCAAATACCCGGATAGCAAAGTATTCTTCGAATTGACCATCCAATACACCTGACACATACTTGGATGGTTCAGGGTGTAAAACAATCGCCCAACGGCTTTGGCTTGGACCGCGACAGTTGCAACAGAGACACGCTGTAGACGTCTACGTCTAGTGGAGAGCGTATGAGCACACAACATGGACCTGGCTCATGCCCTGGTCGGGGGATGGCCTTTTATTGTCTCGGTGGTATACCGCGTCTGTTAGTAATGCTGTCGCTTCCACAGGTTGGCCAAGTAGCTCGCGGCAGGTCCGCATGGAGACGTCCCAAGGTCCGGTAGTGAGATTGCCGGTCCTGGACTGCTGCTCTGGTCCAGGGTTCTCATGATTCCGTGTGTATGTCCTGTCCTCCTGAGCCTCCTGTGTACGCCGTGCGGCGACCATTTAGCCATGGCATGGATCGCTTTAGAACTCGAATCTCAAGTCCAGATGTCAACCCAGGCCTATCCAGTCCCCCTCATCATTGTCGGCATCTATAGCGTCATCATTCATGAGGTCCTGGTTTTCTCCCGACATGATGGCCAGAGGCGTAGCTTTAGTGGGAACATTTTGACAGAGGAACTCGATCTCGAGTGCATTTCGCTCGCTGAGAGACCGCACTGTTTTCCCCATGCTGTCAACGCCTCTGAGGACTGCACGCAGCTCGCTCGCAAAATCACCCGGTCTCTCCTTGATGTAGCGTCCGTGCACACTCAGGACTTCACCCACCCACCGAAGAGTGAATTCAAGATGCGGGCTGTTCTCCATCTGCTGGCCAAGGAGCATCAGCAACCGCCCGAGATATACCCTGGGTAGTTCTCGCACAAGCAGCGGCACGGAGGCGTAAGGGATGGACTCGTAGACTTTGCGTATCAAGGCTTTGTCGTTCAATCTGAATGCCATTACTAGTGCCATGAGATAATCCGGCTCGTTTTGCTTCAGTATGGCCCGTATGTTTTGCGGAGTGACATCCAAATCAAGGTCGAAAGGATCGAAATCGTCCATGCCGGTGTTATCAAGACTGTAGATCAACAAGCCTTCAGTACTTGCTGCACAAAAGCTTCGCCCAGTGGGCGCAAACTCAACGCCGGTCACTCTCACCGCCGGTCGGATCGTTCTGGCGGTCGCATCGCGACCACGCTTTACACCCGGTAAACTGTGATCTATCCGGTCTTCGAGATCACTGGCTTCACCTTCGGTATCGATCATATCCCGTGGGAGTCCGTTGGACATGATGGCAGCGGAGTTCAAAAACTCTTGAGTGCCGTCCAAGCTTAGATTGATCGAAACCGTGAACTTTTTGACCAAGGTCAATGTGGCGACAGAATATAAGCAGATGTACTTGCTATTTCCTGCCGCTAACAAGCAGCTCCCGTCTGCAGAATATGTAATGCTGTTGAAGGACTTTGTTCCAGGAGCCGAGGCTGCAGTTCTCCGGGAGGTGAGAGTGCGACCACCACTTACGTCCCGTCGACCGTCAAGAACAGAGTCTTGGATCGAAGTATTGAGATTCCAGAATGTGAGCTGTCCATCAAGCGTTGATGCCGCAATCTGCGCGGAGTCGGGACGGACAGCGACGCTTAGCAGGTCGGAAGTAAGCTGCAGAGTCTCTGAGGTTTGTGAGCGGTCAAAAACAGACCATACTCGAATGGTGTGGTCCCAGGAGCCTGATACAAGGTAGCGGCCGTCTGGTGTAAACGCCAATGTAGAAATTGGGCCCTCGTGACCTGAAAGCTGGTCTAGCAGAGCACCGGTTTGTACCGACCATAGATGTATGTCGAATGAATCGTGAGAACCAGCACAAACCACCTCGGCGGAGGGATCTACTGCTAGGCAGGAGAAAGATAGACGCGTAGGAGCTGTGAAAGTTCGGAAATTGCGATATCTTAGCATGTCCCACGCCCGTACAGACCCATCCAAGGACGAGGTAAAGAGCACGTTTCCCCGTTTGGAATATGCAGATGCTGTGACTGCGGAACTGTGTTCTGTGAAAGTCGCTATGTGAAAACCAGACGACACCTCCCAGATCTTGATCAGTCCATCATCGGCTCCTGTTATTATGCGGGTTGAGTCCGGGGAGAATGTTAGCGTTGTGAGCGCATCGAGATGGGAGGACTGCTTGAGAATGTTTGATTCCGATGCATGCTCCCATACGAGTAATTGACCAGTTTTCAATGAGCCGAATGCTAACCATTCTCCTGTGGTGTTGGTAGCGACGGCGGAGATCGGAGAAGACGCCATGGAAAGACTGTGAATATTGGAAAACGACGGTAGTTCGTATAAGGAGAAGAGTCCGCTGTCAAAGCATGCAGTCAACAGACCCGTTGAAGGATGGAAGCATGCGCATTTCAGTTTGGCGTTCTGCATGAAAAAGTCTTTTTGCACAATTCTCCATCTCTCATCAAAGGGTTCGGTTGAAGCGTCATCCTCGTCGATTTGACGTGGGACAAATTCCCAGCGAAAGACTGCTCCATCTTCGCTGACGGTGAAGATGGCCTCTTGATCGGCGGAGAACCAGACACCCCTCACTTGTTGTCTGTGGCCTGAAAGGACGGTGGGTTCGAATCCTTCCTCAGGGTCCAAACTCCATATCCGGGCAGTCAAATCCTTGGATGCGCTCAGAAAGAATCGAGAATCACCGGACCAGCTCAGATGCCTGACTTCGTCAAAGTGGCCTCCATATTCTCGATGCAAGACGAACGGTGCAAATTCTAGTTCGCCATTTCCGTCACCGCTGGGTGTCGAAGGCGTCTTCCATGCTTGTATTTTTCGCCCGAGTCCCACAACAAAATATTGGCCATTCGGCGAGAAAGCCAACGAAGTGACGGGCGATTTGAACGTGAAGTGGTAGATTGCTATCCTTCGAGAGAACACTGACAAGATCGCTCGGCCATCTTCGTCAATCGTAAGAAGTAGGTTACCATCCGGTGTCAGGTGGAGATGTATTATGTTCTTGCGGTGGGCGAAGGGAAGGGTATAACTGGTATTTCTGCGGATAAATTGATCAGCAAGGGTCTTGACAGGTATCTAGGCAGCCTTACTTGGTCAGGTTAAACACAGAAACTCGATTGCCTACTGGCGAGAGTAGAGAGTTCCCATCAGGTGTGAAGACAAGGTTTCCCCGGCCATACACGGTGCCCAGGAGGTTGGAGAACTATGGTACCCGTCAGTAGAGATCCTTTTGCATGCCTAGAGACTTACACGCACCTTGAATTCTGTCTTCATCGTCTCATAATGTGACAGCGCAGACTGGCACGGTTTTGCGGTTTTGCGACAGTCAAATACGGCTGCGGCCTCGAAAAAAGTTGTCGGGGAAAAGATGGTTTTCTCCGGCGCTAGCACGGATTTGGCTTGGAGATGATCCGGGGATGCTTTGGCGTTTCAGGGGCCTTGAGCCCGGAATTTTGTAAGGAAGCCACGAACAAACATCTCCGAACCCCCTAACCAGCACATTGACCTACGCACCTGCTCCAACCTTCAGTTTCGTCACTTACTTCTACCATAACCACCGTCTGTCACGCGTATTGGCGTCGTTTGAGTTCTCGTTATACTAGACAGTTCCTCAGTCTGTCGCGATCAAGATGGCACCTGCTGCAGCGGATGCTGCCACGCCAATTGGCATTGCCAATCTGCCCAACCAGCGACACAAGATCGTTGCAAAGAGAGGCGCAGCCTTCACCATCATGGTAATCCGACATCAAATTCAAGGCTTCAGATGGCATTGCTGACTGTGTTTGTTAGGTCGCTGGCGAGTCTGGTTTGGGAAAGACCACCTTTATCAACACCCTCTTCTCAACGACCATCAAAAACTATCAAGACCACAAGAGACGCCATGCCAAACAAGTTGACAAGACCGTCGAAATCGAGATCACAAAGGCTGAGCTGGAGGAAAAGTTCTTCAAAGGTACAGCTACCGTAATGCGAAAATGGACATTAGGCTGACTTTGGCAGTCCGTTTGACGGTCATTGACACCCCTGGCTTTGGCGACTATGTGAATAATCGTGACTCCTGGATGCCCATCATTGAGTTTCTTGACGATCAACACGAATCGTACATGTTGCAAGAGCAGCAGCCCAAGCGACAAGACAAGATTGACCTCCGAGTTCATGTCTGCCTTTACTTCATTCGCCCCACAGGTCACACCTTGAAGCCATTGGATATCGAGGTCATGAAACGTCTATCCACCCGTGTCAATTTGATTCCAGTCGTCGCCAAGGCCGATACACTTACTCCTGTCGACCTCGCACGCTTCAAGCATCGCATTCGCAATGTCATTGAAGCGCAAGGCATCAAGATCTATCAACCTCCTATCGAAGACGATGACGAAGCAGCAGCGCAACACGCTCATGCCTTGATGGCTGCCATGCCGTTCTCTGTGATCGGTAGTGAAAAGGATGTCAAGACCCCTGATGGCCGCGTTACAAAGGGCCGGCAGTATTCCTGGGGTGTTGCAGAGGTGGAGAACGAGGAACACTGCGATTTCAAGAAGCTGCGATCCATTCTGATCCGCACACATATGCTCGATCTCATTCATACCACCGAGGAGAACCATTACGAAGCATATCGAGCCCAACAAATGGAAACACGCAAATTCGGCGAAGCAAGACCCCGAAAATTGGACAACCCCAAGTTCAAAGAGGAAGAAGAAGCTCTTCGGAAGAGATTCACAGAACAGGTCAAGGTGGAGGAGCAGAGATTCAGAGCCTGGGAACAGAAGTTGATTGCAGAAAGAGATCGATTGAACAAGGATCTGGAGTCGACGCATGCCGCCATCAAGCAATTGGAGCAGGATCTGGAGCAGATGCAGGGCAGTGCAGTACGCAGCCATGGTCGTCGCTAGACATTGCCGACAAAGTGCAGGTCAGTGCAGTCGGTGACTTCCCGAAGGATGGCAAGAATTCTGGAAATTCTTCCTTATGGCTCTTGAGCGCGCCGAAGGAGCGAGTGGCTTTTGAATGGTGTACTGGAGTGCGTGGCAGCTGGCTGGGATTAACCAGGGACGAAAATACCTCTCTAATGTCAGACCTTTTCCTTCGCAGATGCCTCTGTCGCTGGGCTGGGCTGGGCTGGACCCTGTGGGTTTCTCCATCTCCTCGTGGCATCCCGCCTGACTCAGAACCGGAGGTTCTTTTTCCTTCTATCTTCACGTCACAGATCGAATATGGCTTTAATATATTGTGGTCTAGACTGCCGTATCCTTCAGCTGTTGCGTGATATGACCATTCGCCCCTCGCCCACCCATAGGGTCATGGAGTTTCTCGCGGGTTTCCTGCTCTGCCACTGCACGATCAACATCAGCGAAGCCCTCATCAACCTCTACACTGTTCCGCTGGTCCTCAGCCAGCCCCATCCAAGCCTTCATTTTATCCCGCTTGAACTCCTCAAAATCCCACTCTTCGGGCTCCAAGGTATCAATTCCCTCCTCCCACACATATGTCCCGGCCTCGACCTCCTCAACGACTTCCGTCTTGCCCTCCTCGGCCGCCTGGTCAAGACCCACGTCCTTCAGCACCTGCACCTTGACCTTCTGCCGACTGTACTGGTCTCCCTCGAAGATGTCCAGCCGGTAGAGGTCGCCCTCCGTGAGGCCGGAGACGACAGAGCCGCGCACGCAGGAACCCTCGTGCGGGAGAACTGCCGGGTAGTCGGCCTTGCGCACCCGGTGGCGGCGGTACGATTGGAGTATAGCTGGCCTGACGGTCAAGAGAGATTTCTGCCACGGTTCAGGGTCGTGAGTGCCGTATATCACGCGGTACAGGACACCGGGGGCCATCAAGGTGCCTGTAACCATTTCTTTTTAGCAAGTGTGACGTGTGACTTTGTAAGTTGGATCTTTGAGAAACGATGACGGAAGAAGAATTAGCAGGGTCGTGTTGAGGAGTGTCGACACGGGAGCTGCGAGGGCAGTGTTACCTACCGTAGAAGAAGGCTGTGTGATCGCCCATGTCGACTCTAGGCAACGCGTCAAATGACAATGATTCAAATTCAAATGGACGGATACTCGTACACAGCTATAAGAAACCGACGAATCTAATCTACGGCTGCTGCATGCTGGGAATGGGTCGTGTGGACTGCCAGTGTAAATGATATCGATGGAGCGCTCATATAAATATGAAGAGCTGGGTCGAGATATCCAAACACAGAAATCCACGGCGAGTCCACGCGACAAGGAGCGAGGCCATGTTGGTTGCAACTTGCCACTGCGGAGCGCTTATCTCCTCGATACTGGGGATCATGCTTCAAGCTGGAGCACGCTTAAAGAGGTAGGTGCGCCGATTTCCTTGATTTGATCCTCCGGCATCGGATGGGTGATGATGACTTCATTACTGCTTAAGAGACACGAGACTTGCGTCTACGAATACTCCCTACCTGGGAGGTCAAGTCGAGAACAATGGGAGTGGACATGGAACCGCGAGTACGATTGAATACAAGAATATCATCATTAGTGAAAAGCCCCCTAGAGTCATACCCGGCTTGCAAAGCGAACGCCAGCCATGGCTGTTCAGCAATAATGATACATCCCGCACCTAATAATGTCATAAAAGTCATCCGAGCCACTGTTTCTTGGCCCCCTTGAGAGCCGGTTCATGTCTGTTGCCGAATTCGCCATGCTTAAAACAGTAAACCTCCGAGAAGCATGCCGCCCAGTAAGCCTCCTGCAATAGGTAAACCGGCACCGCCACCGCTGTATGGGCCATAGGGACGATTGTAGGGGTAGCCAGGTCGGATAACTCTGACGTTGGGATTGGAATAAGGGCCTTGGGCATACGGATTGATACCGTAGCCTCTAGGTCCATATCCACCATATCCGTATCCAGGTCCACCAGGAGGCTCGATGTAGATGTCTTTGCCATCTTTGTCCTTCGCAAAGAATTGGGGCTGGCCAGTCATTTGAGCCTTCTGCATTGCCTGGCGGAGTTTCAGGTGTGCTTCATAGTACTGTCTCTCTTCTTCCTCTCGTTTGGCTCGCTCGAGAACGCGCTCCTCGTGAGTGGTGCCGGTCACCTTATCTTTGAGCTTTTCTCCAAAGGTTTTCTTCTGTGGAGCCTTGGATGTTGAGGGACGTTGTTGATTAGAGGGGCGTGGTGGAAGAGGTGGCTCGTTGGCGTGACCCTCGTCCTCAGAGTGGTCTGCAGAATGGGGGAATTGTTTTCGCAGTTTGTCTTCCTCCTCCTGCAATCTTTCGCGCTCTTCACTGCTCAAGCTCCGCACGACTTCGGGAATGTCGAGCGGATGCTCCCAGTATGACTTTGGAGGATCTTCTTTGGTGTTGACAAAGAACTGGTGGTTCTCTTTTGGGTCGTAAGACCTCACCCAGCCTTGGGGTAGCGGCCGTTGGAGGTCTTCCATCGACCGACGCGCGAGCGCCGGGATTCCATTTCTGTCCTTGGGCACTTGAAGATGTGATGATGCTTTAGGTGCAGCAGATGTGGTGGAGGAACCAGTAGCCACGGCATATGATGGGGGAGGCTCCGAGGGCGTCGACATGGTAGATGGAGTCACGATTTGTGGTTATTCAAGGGACGAAGGAGATACTGAGGTGAGGTTATGTAGACAAAAGATGAAGAGGAACGTTTATCCTTGTCACTGCCACAGAATCATAAAGAGAGGTAGAGAAGGCAGTCGGTCAGGAAATCAAATTGTCAGCGAGGCTCATCGCAGCAGTGACGCAGAGGCACTCCCCAACCTGTTTGGTAGCCTCGGGAGATCTGTGGACTCAGCCACACCTATGAGCCAATTCCATCGAAGCGCCGTTCAACACAGCCACATGTTCACAGCCAATTGCATCGGCTGCTCAGTTCCCCTCATTGCCACAACTCAACCTCATGCTTCCGTCGTGCCCTCACACCAGTCACGGTCTTCTGCTCTCAAGTCAAGGCTGAACATTCAACTTGGCCAGGAAAGGGCAGTCAGACTTGCCTCTATGCTCCACGCTTTACTAGATCTGTCTGCCTCCAATTGGTCGGTTCGAACAGGCTTCCCAATCCGTAAAGATGCTGTATCTTGTCGGATGGGAAAGTGCCATCCTGTCTCTAAGAGCTCCTTCCTTACCCTTGAGCCTCTCGTTCTCTGTAGCTGAAAGAAAGTCGCTTCGTCTTTCTCACGGTCTGCAAAGAAGAGAGTTCCATTGTTCGACAACTGAGTGCCAAATTCCTCGGTGAAGCTGACGAGCACTAGCCGGTGGCCACTGCGGTGACCATGGCCTCGTCCTCGGCCCCAACAAGATGCCTGTCCAGCTACTTGACCACCGTTTCCTACCTACGACAGCCATGAAGTACCGCTTTCTACGTCTATGGAAGTCGTTCACTAGAGCTAGTGAATGGCGCAGCCTTGGTGTCGGCCGGTAGGAAGGCCATGGGTTGGTGATTGATTGGTGAGTTGAGCATAATTTAGATGTGAACAGTAAGGCTGCTATCCTGCCTTCTGATGGCAGCCTGCGCAGCAAAGCCCTTTGGCCTCTTATTGCCCATATTGAATTCACTTGTACATGATATCCCCCTCAAGAACTGCCCCTTTGTTTTCCTGCCAAGAAATCTCTAAGAACAATTCACATAAAGCCTCCTCTCTGCCACTCTAGATTATCTTTCCTATCTTCTTCCTCACCAACCTCTCTACTATTTCTCTCTCTCGCTCTCTCTCTCTCCCTACTGTACATCAACATGAATAAGCCTCTTCTTCAACCACTCTGAGCAATTCCGTCTTGTACGGTCTTTCCAATCTCTCCTCAATCTTCACAATCACCCCTGGCTTGCCCAGTCTACTTCCTCTGAGAGCAATCTTGCTTTGCTCTGCTGCTGATCACTGAGTGGTTCTCGAAGCCACAATGAGGCCCGCAGCTACAAACTTCATTTTCGAACATGCCTTTCTCCCACCTAAGTTACCACAACTCGATCACGAAGAAGCTGCATCCGATGATATCCTCAAAGAGATTTCACAAGCGGCTCGCGAGTTCTCACTCTTGTTGCCTCCCCGGAGCAGTGAGGCACGAGTCTGGTCGCAACTGGCACAGTCTGTTCCGAAATGGGCCAAAATCTACGAGTCAGGCATTCCGTGCAGCTCTACCACCATCCAGACCCTCCAAACCATGAATACTGATGGTAAGAGCAATTCATACCCGTCGACCCACTAAAGCTAATCTCTTCATAGACGTCCTCTTGTTCTACGTTAAGCCTCAAAATGCAGCAATCGTCGTCAGAAACAGATCCACTGGTGCTATCTTTGAGTGTTTTGAGGTTCTGCCTAAGACAGACGCAGTATTGGCTGCTAAAGATGCCCTTGTGAGACAGTTCCCGGCTAGAGCGGTTTTTGTACCGAATCGGATAATGCAGAACGCGTTCTTCATACAAGAGCTCGGGACTGCCATCCACAAACTCTCAGTTGAAGAGGTAAGATTAGCCATGGAAACAACCATAAAAGCACAAAATACGGTGGTTGAAAAGCGTCAGTCTGCACATCCCAGAGCGGTTACCGAATGGTTGTTTGGAGTTCTCAGCAGCTATGGCAAGGCTACTTCAAGCCCAACGATCTGCAAACGTACCCACGATGATGTATGCTGGACCAATACTTCAAAACCGCCCTGGCGACGATCCGGGGTTTGGCTATGCGCTCGCGTGGCCCTTCAACTCGCCTTACACAACGCCGACCTTGCCGGTGAGGAACAGTCACATTATAAGAACTTCATGTTGTTTCTATTGTCGAGGCTCGCCACCGGGATCTCTGCGACAACCACGTCGCCCGATACCCTCCATGTACTTCGTGTCAAATTAGCGAGGCGAAATGCAAAGCTTGGTTCTGAAACGCGTGCATTTGTCCAGGAGTCTGTCCGAACAACCTTGTCACGCCTCAACCAATCTATGCTCCTCCAGTGGAAGGAGGTGAAAGAGAGGGACGAGTTCACTCTTCCACAAGTGGTTACCCAGAATGTCTCTGATAGATTGACTATGAAGAACAGTCGGTCTGCTGTGAAAGCTGTTTGGCTCCGTTCCAGAGAGTCCTTCACATATCCACATACCACATTCAAACCCCAGATATCAAGGAGAATCGTCTTGGCCAAGACTCAGCTGCCCGACTCTGGGATTTTTACCAAGCCTGGCGACTTGCTCTTTGCTCTTGCTGATTTCGAGCAATGGGTCGGTGCTCATCTTGCAGACTGGTTGCGCCTGAACCGTCCACAGCCCTCGTCATGTCAGTCGCTGGCTTTGTTGATGCAAAACTACCACCACGCTGCCGTGTCAAGATACGAGGGACATCCAGTGCGTATCTCACTCATGTTCCTCACACTTCTTGACCTTTGGGCTGCCATTGACAAGCTTGCTACGGAGCTCTGTCCGCTTCTTCTTCAATACCCTCCAGAACTGGACCCAAGTATGTTTGCTCCTCTCCTCCTCAGCAAGCAGTTGGAGTTGGAGCGCCTGCATCAAATCGAATGCCACATATCTTCACGCTTATCGGGTCGCAAGGCGAGTTACCCGTCCCTCTTTAGCGATCCATCAGCCACTAGTTTTGGTGTGAGATATTTCGACCAATCTCCAGCCTTGCAAATGGTGCGGAGAAACATTGAAGCTAACGCGCGTGATGAACGGCAAGAGAAGGTGCAGGAGTGGAATACCAAGAAGGCAAGCTTTGAAAAACTCATGCGAAGCGTCGAATCTATGGAGTGTGGCATCTTCATCCCCCGAGGCCCGGGCTGGGTCGGGCGTCCGCGTCATGATCGAAAATGCCAGAAATGCGCCAAAGAGCAACAGGCAAAAGCAATTCAAGTTACAAAGCATGAATGGCCACTACCCGAACAGGAGACAATGATAAAAGCTGTCATCTTCGAGCTGATGCCTCCGGAAGCCATTGCCCACTGGCGCGATTCGACTTGGCTTCTTGTCCAGGACATTGGTAGGCACGCGAACGCTGGCGGCGATGTCAAGCAAATCTTGCGATCATTTCCACCACTCACAGAGTTCGCTCAAGGTCCAAAGCTCCGTGTGACACTCGCTTCTTCGGTTAAATCCATGCAAAAGGCTCACTACTTCACCTCTGGCTTGGACATGGACGACGTCCTCGTCAAAAACGGCTTGCAGCCGAGGATGTTCGACACTCAGAGCACTCGTATATGGACAGCGAAACAGAACAGCCAACCTTCACTCCTTCGCTACTGCAACGCGCACCTCCCGAAACCACTCAACGAGCACTTGGAGTCCTTTGTGAATAGGACTAGCCATGCACAGAATTCGGTGATAGCCAGGCATGCTAGTTGTCCTCCCGAGATGAGCCCTCATGAGCATGTGCTTTTTGGGTCTCTGCGTTCTGGAGAACGACTACAGTGGATGAATTTGCTGGCAATGCTGACCTCAACAGAGGTTGACCTGAATTCACCGTCCGTAGCAATCCTGTTTACGCATGCAATGTCGCAAGTGGGGACTGCCGGTACACTTGTACCGAAATATCTACGGGAGTCCCAACAGGATCTTGCATCTGAGTCTTTCTGCCAGACTCTCTTGAATACATTGGAGGCAAGCTTTGCAAGAATCGAAGCCAACTGGAAAGAAGCTACTGCTACAAGCATATTGTTGGCAATATGTCTGAAGATATTGTCCTTGGTACCCGATCGAATTGACGTGGACAGATGGAATGATCTCGTACAGAGGATACGCCGGGCCGGCATTGGATGGATCGGTCAGTTGACAGAGCTCCATATGCAGGAGAAATCAGCCTCCGCAAGAGGTCTCACCTTGAAGGACCTTTCCCGCCAAATTGTGAATGCCTGCGTCTTGGTACGACAAACCTTCAACGTCGACTCACACCTGATAATGGCCGTTTTCTCCAACGATCTCGCTATTGCTGATTACATTGAGGCAGCCATACATTTGCACGACCATCGACAGCAAGGTACAGTTGCCGATGACACGAAGCAGAAATCAGACCTCTTGAACGACCATTATCTTGCGCGTCTCTGTGAGAAGCCATTCCTAGCCCAGTTACAACGTCGCAATGCTGCCATCTCAACCGGCATCAGACGCTTCTGGCATTCTGCTGCCTTTACGACTCCATGGAACACAGTTGACCAGACCGACACGTCGTGGATACAGAGCGAGGCCTCGTCGAATGCTGTTCACTTTAACGTTGTTACAGGAAGTCTTCTCGTTTCAGGTCGACCACTAGCTCGTCTGCCCACGACCTATTCATCCGACCCTCTGTATCGCTCTGTGTTTGGCGATCTCGATCTCGATGTCTTTGCGTCTGACATTGATGGCATGGAATATATGTCGAGAGTCCTCTTTGGGGGGCACCGAATTTATTTTGGGATGCGTGGTAAGACCCTCCTGTTGCGTTCAAGCCTCAACGGTCGATTTTTCGAGGCAATTCTACGCGATATTTTCCTTGGAGATATCCCAGACTTCATTGTCAAGAACAACGTACCCTGGATGTCCCTCGATGACGGGAGGGTTTTCTTTCGCCCGAATACTCGGCCATGGGTGTCCCAAGCAGACGACTGGGTTTTATCTCCGGACGTCAATTGGAGACCAACAATTTCCATGCGCACTGATCATGCTGTCCTGATTGATCATGCTAGCCCAGTGGGAAAGGTTGTTTGTGGTATATTCCAGAACTTTGAGCACCGAGATCACATACTCATTACCATGCAAGACCATGTTAGGATCAGCATCAAGCTCGCACGCTATCACTTGAACTTTTTCGTCACATTGAAGGGCGAGGTCCAATGTCAGGAACTTTCTGCAGTTGTCGATACTTCACAAGCCATAGGAACGCTGCATGGCCTGAAATCTCGGCTGGTTCTTCGCGCGGTTAGCAGTGCCAATATCCCCGGCTCGCCTGTTCGCAGCGTCCTCATTCCTAATGGCGACGTTGTTGTATCTACTGCCCCACCTCATGTCAGTGCCAAAGTCCGTCTGGAAGCCGTCGAGGCCTTGTCATTTTCACACTACCGCATCGATGATAGACTGGGCCGGTTGGTCGCAGATGATCTAGAAGGCCATTTGTTCAAGACCTATCTCCACGCTATCACCAGTTTTCCCGAAGATGATGAGCTCACTGGCCGTACTGGCACCGAAGAGAGTCTCCTCTGCCTCTCCGATGGTATCAATCGAACTTCTGTTCCTTTGTCTGCTCGGTCGCAGACGCTATTGCGCCTGATCGCACAACTCTCACCCGCGCGCAAATTCTACCCCCCAGGAATGAGAACAATGCACTCGGACATATTTGATGAGGTTCTCTCATACATTTCCCAGCGTGACGTCTTTTATGGGACGGTGAAGGATATCATTTCACACAATCTCAAAGCCGCGTTCTTGTTTGACTCGGCAAATGTCCAGCAAGTGTCATACTCTGGAGATTTGCCGTTGCTGGATAGATCCTACCATCAGTCCTGCAAGCTTTATCCCTGTGAATCTGCAATAATGACACCAACCGATCCTGAGGACCATCCCTACTCATCTCGAGATCGGGATATGAGTGCGAACCAAGAGGCAGCTGTATCAATGGCTGGCTTGGTCACAGCCTGGCCCTCTGCTTTCAGTGTTCGCCGGGACCTGAGGGACATGGTGTTGGGATGGGGACAGATCAGTGGCTTTGATGAGAACTACTCGGTCTTTTCCTTCTCAAACATGCTAAGCCAGGGTCTTCAGCAACAGTTCGCGAGCTTGTTGCTGTATTGCAAAGCGGATTTGAGATCTCGAGAACACCTCACATTTGTCCTCTCGCTGATTGCCTTTGGGAAGCCGTCGATTGCGCGGGAGCTGAGAACCATCCTCGCCTTCGCTGTCTCACCGTCACTAAGGCATCATTTACCCTTTCCCGATTGCAACACCTATGACCTGCGCGAGGGATACAAGATGAATCGCCAGGAGATCATGACGATTCTTTCACAGTGCGAGAAAGGCTTTACATCTGCGCTATCTTCGGATTCCGATGAAAGTGACAGCGATGACGAGGCCATTGAGGCAGAGCGCGAGCAATATGAACGAGAGCTGAATGCTCAGCGCCAACAAATTATGGATGCCGTCACTTCAGCCTGGCCAGGGAATTCAGTGCAGCTTCCGGCGAGAGGAACCCTCGGATATTACAAATGGGGCCTGCTGAAGGAGCTCTTGAATGGCAAACTGGCAACATGGGACAAGAATCGTCGTTTCTTGTCTCAACTTGACGCCTTTGATCAAGAGTTGAAGACAATCCATCAAACCTACGATGGGCCAGAGTTCTCCAGCAATGTTCTTCGGATCACTCAAGAGACGGCGGTTCGCAGCCCCCAAACTCAATTTTCCCTCCTGGACATCATGCATTCAACCCCTGTTGTAGATGATATCCTGAATGAAAGCAGACCCAGCTATCTAGATCAAGATCTCACCAGTTCGATATGCCGACGCGAACGGCATCAGCACCTGGAGGCGAATGAACTTCGTCGTACATGGGAAGAGCTCGAAGATATGGTTGAAGAACTCGGTGCTAACCCCAGCACCATTGTTCAGGAATACGGTCAATCCTTGAATGAGAGCATTAAGGCTTTCAAAAAGAAGACTGCAGAGGATCGAAGCAGAGTTACCCTCGTCGACCCTGGTGTCTTGGCTGAAAAAGCACTGCAAGTGAAATATTGCATCAAGTTCATCCTCGGACGGAGTCGACTAATTCTTCAACCCCGGCTCGCGTCTCATCGAGCTTTGGTAGAAGCCAGGATTTGGCCTCATGTCTCTGAATTGGCACTACTGCAGCTTCTTACTGCGCGATACAGAGGACATGTGCCGCCTGTCTGGGTCAAGGTAGTCATCCTGCTGGCACGAGAGGTGACAGCCCTGCAACGAGCGGAACGCATGCAGAGATACTTGGTCGCAAAGGACAACTTTGCTCTCCAACGCGAACTTACGAATCCAGCACATGCGGCATGGGAGCCAGAGCAGTGGCCCGACTGGCTACTGCTTGAGATACAGAACAACATTCTGATACGACCAGTGCAGGTACGAGTCGCCCAAGAATTGATCAAGGCGGAGAATGGGCTTGTGCTACTTGGCATGGGCGAAGGCAAAACCAGTGTGATTCTCCCTATGGTGGTAACAGCACTAGCAACTGGCTCACAGCTTGTCCGCGTTGTGGTGCTGAAACCCCTCGCCAACGAGATGCTTCGACTTCTGTCTTCGAGCCTTGCAGGGTTGGTAAACAGAACGGTTTACCATCTTCCCTTCTCGAGGCAAACACGCTTGAGCCACGAAACACCCCAGCTATTGATGGCCCTCTTCGAAGAATGTAGCCAAGGCGCCGGCGTTCTCCTAACTCTACCGGAACATCTGAACTCGTTCCGGCTCATTGGGAGCGATAAATTGGGAACCGATAAAAACCTGGCTATCGAACTGATTCGCGTGCAGAAGTGGCTCGACTGCAACGCTCGAGATATACTAGATGAGAGCGACGAATTGCTAAAGCCTGCATATGAGCTTGTGTATACCAACGGGGAAGCAAATCTTCTGTCCGGTGCTCCAGATCGATGGACTGTTGCGCTGGAGCTCCTCGCCGTGGTGCAGCGAAACGCGCAGAGCCTCCACGAAGCATGCCCTTCCGGGATTGAACTTGAACGCCGGGCCCTCGACTCTTTCCCTCATATACGGGTCTTGAACGATGAAGGTGCTCGACTTGTGAAGAGCCGTCTGACTGAGGAGGTAATTGCAGGGAAGCTGCCAGGGCTTCCTCTGGGTCATTGCAACTCAGAGACGATGAAAGCGCTTTACGCCTTCATCCACGACGTGGAAGTGGATTCTGCAACATTCGAGTTGATATCAAATCACTTCAACGAATCGGCGCAATTCGACCTCCTTTATGTCGTCCGAGGTTTGATATCCCAGCAGATATTGACACATGCACTCCGCAAGCGTTGGCTGGTGAACTATGGCTTGGACCGAAGCCGCTGTTCTTCGGCTGTCCCATACCGCGCCAAATCGATCCCGTCCCCAAGCGCCGAGTTCGCACAGCCAGAGACACTTATTCTTCTCACTGCGCTTTCTTTCTATTATACTGGAATCCAGCGTGAGGACCTCCGACGATGCATTCTGATACTCCTGAAATCACCAGATCCGGGCGAAGATTATCTCAAATGGGTGGCAAACAGCACTCTGCCCGCGAAATACCGAAGTGCAAGCTCGCTCAACCTGGACGACGCATATTGCATTGATGAGCTGTACTCCCATCTCAGATTCAACAAGGCTCTGATAGACTACTTCCTCAGACAGGCCGTGTATCCGAAGGAGGCCAAAGAATTTCGCCACAAGCTGTCGAGCAGCGCCTGGGATCTTTGCGCGAACGACGGTGGTAAAGTGACGTCCGGCTTCAGCGGGACTTGCGACAGCCGCATCCCCTTGACATGTTTTCAGAAGGATATCGAGGACCTACGCCACGGCACAGCGTCGACACTGGCAACGCTGTTAAGACGCGACAACCGCAAGTACATTCGCGCGGCGTCACCTTCGGGTCAGAGACTGTCTCCCGATGAGCTGCTGCAGCTTATCGTCGACCACGAGCCCCACAGCCCATCCGTCATCATCGATGTCGGCGCCTTGTTCCTCGAGGACAATAAGGAGATTGCTTCCAAGTGGTTGCGGCTACGCTCTCAGATGATGGCAGCCGTCTTCTTCAGTGAAGACGACGAGAAGATGGTGCTCAATCGAGATGGTAGTGTCGAACCGTTTGCTTCCTCAATTTTCAAAGATCAGATCGGCAAATGCCTGATCTACCTGGACGAATTCCACACTCGCGGGACGGATTTCCAACTTCCCGATCATTTCAAGGCTGCGGTGTTGCTTGGACCAGGCCTTCTCAAGGACAGTCTAGTACAAGCGTGCATGCGTATGAGGAAGCTGGCAGTATCTCAGTCCGTTGTATTCTTCGCTCCACCGGAAGTTGACAATGGCATCCGCGCCCTCCTCCACGGCGCCCCGGAAGAGATCGACAGTTCTCATGTCATACGTTGGTGCATATCGCAGTCATGTCGTACACTCCTGAGTCAGCAACCCCTCTGGACGATGAAGGGGCTGTCACACTCTCGCCGGCGGTTGGCTTTCACCCGGCACGTCAACGAAAATGGCAGAATCGTCAATAGTGACAAGTATCTTGAGGTAATCAGAGAAAGAGAAAGTCGTCCTGTGTCAGAGATTTACACTGCCGAGAAGCACGACAAGCAAAAGTTATCCTGGAAGCCTTCCAAGGCGGAAAAGACGGACCATATCATGGCTCAACTTCTGGAAGAGTGGGATCGGGCGGAAACGAGAGAGTTCAAAGACTGTGGCATCTCCGAAGAGCAGGAACGTGAAATCTTGCACGAAGTTGAGGAAGAGCGAGAAGTTCAACGTCCAAAATCAGCCACGCCGGCCAAACCATCTGCTTCGGAATCTCTCTTGGGCTTCCTCCGCGATGGCAATCTGCCCGAGAGACTCGACGACCTCCGCCCACCTTTTGACGTTCTTCTCGACACCAGACTCGCCTCTCACTACAGTCGCGCAAAGTGGCCGACGGATATCAAGGTGACACGAGACTTTATGCGGACTATTGTGACCGTGGCCTGCTCTCCTCAGGATGACTTCCTTCGGTCGGTGCAGTGGGTTCTGATTGTGCCCCGTATTAAAGAGCCGGTGATCATCAGTCCCCACGAAGCTCAAATCTTCCTGCCAGAGATTCGGAAACACAAACGCGCCACTCTGGTTCTCTATCAGGCTCGCACCGGGAAAAATATGGCGCCTTTCGACGGCATGAATGTGTACCAGGTTCCAGAGAGCAGTCTGCCAGTCACGATTTCACCTGAGGCAATCTCTGTGCTGAACCTGTTTGCTGGTCAGCTGTATTTCACCACGTTCGCAGACTACAAGCGTCTTTGTTCGTTACTTGGTCTCTGGGATGGCGAGCGGCCACTTCCGGTCCGGAGAGAGGTGGCCAATGACAATTTCGTGTCTCCCGCTTGCCGAGCAGCAAATGGCTGGACGGGGTGTAAGTTTTCAAGGAGCCCCGTGGGGGTGCTGAAGGCTTTCATCGGCATGAGGAGACTTGGGATAGAATGGGGGCATACGCACATGGGCCGTCTCTTGGCAGGAAGGATACTGCGACAAGAGGATTTCAAACAGGAACAGGAAACGGATCTTCTCACACGAGATCTCGGGGAGTTGAGCTTGGACAAGGATGGGAGTGGGAGGGAGGCACGAGCTGCCAATTGAAGGAGAAGGTCAGTCTCGAACGGTACGGAGTACTCTTGTCTGGTTGGGATCTATGGAAACTGGTCAAGGAGTCGAGCTGGGTGGTGGTATTGGATGAACTACAGTTTGGATGAGTCTACGGCTTAAAGCCAGCCATGAAATGAATTATGATTGTATGAGTGGAAAAAGAGTAGAGTATTTACTTCCTCCTGAAATGCAAAGGGCACAGCAGTAGTCCCACGGCAGACTCTTTCCTGGATAGCGGGCATCTTCTAACCAGAGAGCGATATACCGGTATGAGATATCCCTCGTCCGATCTTCAACTTCATCTTCATCTTCATGAATGCCTCTCTGCCCAGTCAGGCGGCAGTCGAAAGTGCGGAGGCACAACATACTGACCCGGACAGCGTTCGGGCGAGGTGCAGCCCTGCAGGTCGCAGCGGCCGTAGAGACGACAGTAGCATTCCCGGGCGGGCGGACAGGCCAAGACATTGAGGCGGTCGAGGTCGATGTCGAGGTCGATGTCAGCACTACCATCACAGAATGGCGATGACGACGACGATGATGATGATGATGAGTCGAGTCCCGAGTTGGAGTTGGGTACTGCGTTGCTGTTGCATGGCCGAATGAACAAAATATGCCAGATATATGACAAGATTCGGCCTGCGACGCGGTCGTTGGGCGGTGCTGCTCCGACATTCGTATTCTTCTCAGTCTCAGTCTTAGTCTCACTCCCGTCCAACAGCCACTGTCGCAGAGCAATATATTCGTCCCTCGAATGGCGCCACACACTGTCGCGCGACACGACGAATTGGGCACAACACTGGGCGCGCACGGCATCGTTCCGACCGAGCATCAGCCGGTCTCCTGGCACGGTAAGCTCAGACTTGGACTTGTCATGACGCACAGAGGCGGAGGTGGAGGTGCCAGCATCTCCAAACAGCGCGACGAGCGCCAAGGGTAGAGCCGCGTCCGACACGACACGCTCGTTCCACGGCTCCAGCATGGCGCGGATCGACGTGGCTAGGCTGGCTTGGCCCGGCCAGACCTTCGAGTCTGTATCCAACGTCGGACATGTACTGGCACTCCAGTCGCAGCGAAGATTATGGTATCCGACCGGCTCCAGCGCAGCAGAGACATTGAGCGCCTGGAGGGCGGCCGCGTTGTCGTAGTCCGGCATGTCGTTATGCCAGGCCCAGCGCGACCCGTGCACGAACACCGCGCCCGCAGCCGGTATGTGTGCGTAGTTGTCGATCAGGAAAGTGAGATATGCCATGGCCTCGTGGCCGCGGTTCGCAGGGACTCGCAGATGGTGAGATGTAGGATCCAAGTCAGCTGGGTCTCGGTCTCGATCTGGATCTGGAGCATCTGCAGTATAGATGCAGACATGGTATTTCTGCGATATCCCAAATGCGTCGTCCTCGAGCCATCGCGTGTCGCCGTCGGCAGTCACACGCGCCACGACCAAGGCTGGTTTTGATGTCTCTGCGTCCGCGAGGCCCGGGCAGATGCCGCGAGAGGCGGGAAGAGTGGTGGCAGGCGTCTTGTAGTGGACGGTCGACCATGCGAAGAATCGGTGACGCCCACCACTACCACGACCACGACCACGATCACGATCGCTACTACTACCACCGCCACCGTTACCGCCACCCGTGCCGTTTAGGTAGAAGATGAAGAATAGGGCGCCGAGGAAAAGAAGAAGATTGAGGAATGCGCCGCGCGTCCGTCGCCTCATTTCTAGAGGCTGAGGCTGAGGCTGAGGCTCAGGATGTTCAGTCAGCCGGGCTCTCAACTCATTTGGGCGGATATGTAGATTCCTGGTAGGTAGGAGGTAGGAGGTAGTAGTAGGTGGCTAACTATCGTGATTTGCTGTCATACTGTTCACCGTTCGCTGTTCACTGTTCACTGTAACGTGGTCTGTAGTTTTGCGACAAAGTAATCAGTCATGAGTTGAATGCCTATAGATGAAAGTATCTCGCATATACTGCGTTACGGATAACGTCGGAAGCGATGGCACAATACTACTACTACCTATAGGGCAGGCTCCTACTAGGTGCTTACTACAGTACTCCGTATAGAGTACTGTACAGAGTAACTAGTATTGCTGCTTTTATCTGTTACAGCAATACAGAAATACAGTAATGTTTCGGAGTGGTATGTCTCAGCGCTTCGTAATTACATTACGCTGTAGGTACTCCGTACTCCGTATAAACTTCGACGTATGGATACTCTGCACAGTACCTTGTACGCAGCTTCGTGGCTTTCAATCATCTCAGTGACTACCTACTACCTAGGTAACCTTGGTCATCAAAACTCGTTACTTACATGTATCGGCTTAGGTATCGAGACCAATACCTATAACCTATCTTCGCTTCGATGGAGAGCGCCACTGCCTCTGCCTCAGCCTCTGCTTCAGCCTCGACTTCACCTTCGCGAGCAACACCCCCCGCCCGGACCAAGGTGGCCTGCAGACTCTGCAACTGGCGACGGGTCAAATGCGATCGCGTTGGTGACGCGCCATGTTCGGCTTGTCGCCGAGCGGCCATCAACTGCGAACTCATTGTCTCACGCCGTGGAAAGTCAGCCACCCTCCCTATCTACTGCCGATGCCTGCTGCCTGATGCCTGCTGCCTGATGCCTGCTGCACTGATTTTCGATCCGACCAAGCTGACGCTGACGCCGTCGGTACCTTAGACACTCGAGAGGATTGCAAAACGCGACTGCGACTCAAGTTCGATCGTCGCACTGGACCGGGAGCGGCGAATTAACATTGCCTGGGAACCCTCCTCAGCCTCGTCACAACCCTCAAGTTGAGCAGCCACAGCCATCAATTGGCCTGACCAGAGGCCAAGGTGATGGAGCCGAAAGCGTTAGTTCTCCGGATTCGGCGAACTGGACTTCCACCAACTTCAATGCTTCTGCTCCGCTCAGCAGCAATGCGGATGCGACTCCAGATGCGGATGCGGATGCGGATTATAAGTCCTGGAACGAGACGCTCCATCACTTCGCAGCCAAAGGCTTGGATCCAGACACGCAGCGGTTTCTACACGAAAGCCGTCAACATGATTTCGAGCAGCTTCACAGGCTGGGGGCATTCGTGAAGCCCCCCGACGAATTCAGCGACGCGCTCCTGCATTCCTTTTTCAGATATGTCCATCCTGTCCATCCGATTCTATGTCGCTCGAAAGTCCTCGAATCATACCAATCAGGCCAGCTTTCGCCTCTACTGCTCAATGCCATCTATCTGGTGGGCGTGTCGCATGTTCCCGAGGCTGTGTACAAGGCGGCGGGCTTCAAAAGCCGGTATATTGCAAACGTCACCTTCTACCAACGAGCCAAAGCTCTCTACGATGCAAACCACGAACAGGATTCCATCACCACCCTCCAGGCTCTCGTTCTGATGTCGCACTGGTGGGGCCGGTTGACAGAGCCGAAATCTTCCTTATACTGGTTGGGGGTTGCCGCGGTCCTGGCAGAGTCATTGCGCATGCACAAAGCGTTCGTTGCTCCTCCAGTACTTTGGACTGGTCGCTGATATCACTCCTGACTGGTGCTGATGGGTCATTGCCTAGTGAGTCGTACATCAACCTCCGTCCTGATCTTCGAAGAGTCTGGCGGCGATTATGGTGGGTCGTCTTTGTGAGTTCTTCTTCGTCCCCGGCATCGGCATCGGCCTTGGTGTCTCATATACTGACTGGCCTTCGCAATCTGAGACCAACGACACCTATACGGCAGCCGTCCTAAGAAAGCCACGTCACCTCCACGAATCATTTTGCAACGTCCCACCTCTGGCGGAGGACGACTTTGATGACGAGACTTTGATGGACTCGCCCTCGGACGCCGACGCCGACGCCGACGCCGTGCGCTCGACAAATATTGCCTATCTGATTCACTTTACCCGGTTGAACTTGAGAGGTACTACTACTGTTGATCTCGTTGTCGTTGTTCCTGTCCCTCAGCCGTTTGTTGACCATTGACCATTGACCTTCCACACACAAAGTGAGCAGATATCTCGACAACCAAGATGCGAACGGCTCCCGGCAATTTGAACTTGCACCTGCCCCTGTCGACACGCTTTGGCTCCAAGCCTCTGTATGGGAGGCGTCTCTGCCGCCCGAGTTACGCTACCGCAGTCTACATCATGTGACGCCCGAAGATCCGTGGTGGTTGTTGCTCCATTTGTGCTACAAGTATGATTGCCCCGTCCAACGTCACCCCTGAACATGCCGACGATGCTGATGGACATGATCAACCCGAAGTACGTTTCAAATCGCCCTTGCTCGACCACCAGGCCCAGCCGGAACCACGCGTGACTTTGGTGTCGGCACAGCTCAATTTATTGCCGCCGCCACCATCACCCGATCTCTGGAAGATATCAACGCCTTTGAGCTCCTCGATACGTTCCCCATTTTTGTGTATGTATGCCATTGAAGTCCCGAATCCGAGCCCGAACCCGAACCCAATCTCTCTTCTCCTTCAACTTCAACTTAAATCCCCAAGACACGCTGACGCTGACCTGACCTGACCACAGAGTCCCAGCCACCATCTCAGCCCTGATGGTCCATGTGATCAATCTTCGTCAAGGGAACCCACATGTCCAAGCCATTTCCAAGCAACGAGCCCAGTCGTGCATGCTGATCATGGACGAACTGCAGAAGATATGGCCGGTTGTGACGTGGGTGCAGCGGCTGTTTATCTGTCTTTTCGACCGAGGCTCAGGGTCTGGGTCTGGGTCTGGCTTGGGCTCGGGATCGGGTTTGGGTGTTAATACTGGTCCAATTCCACCACTGGCCGCAGAGTCGATGTCGATGTCGCTGTCCAGTCCATCCAATTCCCACACTACCTCTACCTCTACCACCGATCCGGGAACGAACTCGACCCTCCCAGCAGGGTCAGGGTCTCTGGCGGTCAACGTTCAGGGACCACCCCCACGCCGGTCGTCCCACACTACTGCCACTGATGCAATGAGGTCTATACTTCCGTTTAGCAGCTTGCTCGAAGATGCTGGGTTGGATTTGGAGATGGATCTCTCCAGCGAACTGTTGGACTTGGATTGGCAGTAGTGCATAAACGGGCGTGCCAGTACGGCCAATCTATTATTGTTTCTGTTTCTGTTTCTGGACTTGGATTGGCAGTAATGTATAAACGAGTGTACAAGTATGGCCGATCCTATTCATTCTATTTCCGATACCACATTCTCGTCACCTTGGTCTGTGCGATCTTCTTCTGCAGAAGAAAAATCCCCTGCAGTAAAGCCTCGGCGGTGGGCGGACAACCCGGGACATAGATATCGACGGGGACGATGCGATCGACGCCCCTGACCACGCTATAGCTGTAATGGTAGTAGCCACCGCCGTTGGCGCAGCTGCCCATGGAAATGACCCATTTGGGATCCGGCATCTGATCATATAGCTGGCGCAACGCCGGTGCCATCTTGTTGGTCACGGTGCCGGCCACGATCATCACATCGGACTGGCGCGGCGAGGCGCGGAAGATGATCCCCAGGCGATCTTGGTCGTACCGCGGCATCGACACGTGCATCATTTCGATCCCACAGCACGCCAGGGCGAAGGTGAGCGGCCACAGAGAGCCTTGACGGGCCCAATTGACGAGCTGGTCGGTTTTGGTCCTGATATTTCGAGGAGGGGAGGTTAGTTTGAAGTTCGATGCCAGGGAGGATTAGTTTGAAATTCAAGTTCGTGCCGGCACACTCGTGCCTTTGAAATCTTTCTTTGCAGTAGGACAGATAAGCCTGCTCTTTGCAATAAGACAGACAAGCCTGCTCTTTGCAACAAGACAGACAAGCCTGCGCTTTGCTTTGGGAGAGAGAATTGAATTGGCGAGGAAGGTGGAGGTGGAAGATGAAAGCTCAAGCTTACAGAACATATTGCAGTTTTGCTTCTTGCCCTGGCACTGGCCCAGTCTCTGTCTTCTGAAGCGGACGTGGAAGTCTTGCAGTCGAGTGTGCCTTCCATTTCTCCGGCCGTGGATGTGGAAGGGCAGATTGAAGTTGGGGAGCACGACCAGGGTCGGAGATGGCTGAAGTCTGCGATGCTCGTCTAGGTACGGTGGAGGTGGCTGAAGTCTGCGATGATCGTCTAGGTACGGTGGAAATGGCAGCGGAAGCGGAAGCGGAAACTGGGTTGGTGATCCTGGGACCGGTATTTGAAGCGGAAACTGAGTTGGTGGTCCTGACCCTGACATCGGTACCGGTACTGGTGGTGGTGGTGATTGTGCGGACTGGGACTGGGACTGGGACTGGGACTGGGAATGGAAATGGAGGCCGTCTCATCGCCAGTGCTGGTGATTGCGGTAGCGGTAGCGGTAGCCGTGGGTGTAATCGGGGAGACGGACCGCAGCCGCTCTTCACACATTGAAGCATGGGTGCTTGCAAAGAATGAGAATCGACGGTGCTTGCAAAAGAAAGAATCGAGAATGGTTGGAGTGCTGGACTGGAATGCTGGACTGAGGGTTGAACCGGTCCAGACGTGTCCAGCCACGAATGATATAGGTATGAGAGATGGAGTCCAGAACAAGCACAAGCACAAGCACAACTTCGAGATAGACAATGAGGAAAGAACAAGAACAAAGAGACAGTGTGACAACGGTAGAGGGCAGAGGGTAGAGGGTAGAGGGTAGGGTGTATCTCTCTCATCTGGGTATGTCAAGTCGGCGATATGGACCCACCATATCGCCGACTTGGAATTGGGTCTCGTTTCCCTTTTCAGCCATCCTATAGTTATAGTTACAGTTCTCCATCACGGAGTACTCGTGCAAGAGTCCTCACTGGATGGCCAAGGCCTGGCTTTCAAGCTCCATCTTCACAACGCCCCAAGGTAATTGGTCGTCCTGCAGTTTAGCGTAGCCCAAGGCTTGTTCAACAGGTCTTCGAAGCGAGAGGAGAAAGGAGGAGAAAGTCGAGTCGGGTCGCTGTCATAGTCGTCGACGTCGATCGCTTTTCGTCTAGACAGAATCAGAATCAGCTGTTGCTACACATGTGTATACAGTGTATACAGAACTGACTAACTGCAGTGCGCCATTTTATCCCATCCGCTGGTGTTCTATTCTCCACCGTCTCGACTCTCCTGTATCTCGTCTTGCAGCAGAATCTTCCACAATTCGGCGCCATGCCCTCCATGCCCCCCGATAAAGTTCTGGCCGACGACGTTGACCAGCACTGATTCCTGGCGCATGCGTTCGAGGAACTGCTCCTCCTGGCTCCCGCGGGGGAAGCATTTCCGCCACTCGCTCCAGACGCTGTACGCCTCTTCACCCCAGGCGCGGAAGCTCTCGGCTTCGATGATGGTCGGGCTCACAATCTCCTTGCCGCGGAAGACCCCCCATGTGACAGCATTGACGCCGCCGCCGCCGCCGCCGTTGCCGTTGGTCCCTGTCGACGGCGTCACTTGGTGGCTATTCACGCCTAAAGTGGAAGACCGTCTCTGGGTTTCCGCCTCCAGTTGCTCACTGGACTCAAAGACCCCGTTGGCATCCGTCTTCAGCCATCCGACCTGCTCAGAGCCATATTTGATCAGAAGCGGGCGAAGATGATGCTCCCATTCCTGGCGCGGACAGAAGAACTCGACAAAGGCCTTTTGAAAGACAAAGCCCTCACCGGGCGGTCCCCAGCCAAACGTCTCGTCGTCGCTCCTGACCCCGTCGACCGCAGGCTGACTTGCCAGAGTCCAATAACCCTTTTTCTCGATCAGAGCGAGCAGCTCGTTCCGGATCACGTCGGTCTCGGCGCGCAGAGCCGCGGGCGCCCCGCTGTCCACGTCGATCTCGTCGCTCCAGGGCACCGCCTCTAACTCGCATACTACATGCCGCCGGAACAGCTCCGTCACGTCCTGCCGTGACTTGGGTTGACCCCAGAGTCGGCGAGCCGTGATGGGCCCAACTTTCAGCGTGGGACCATAGCCGTCGATTTCACCAAAGGCCGGCGAATGCGAAGGGCCCCAGCGGCCGTTGGGAAAGTCGTCCCAGGTCGCTTCTCGGCCCAAGGCGCCTTGACCTTCCGAGATCATGAGATTGTGTCTCCTCGTCGGGTCTGAGGCGGGGATTCCTGTGCCTCGATCCGGTGCGACATGTTGCTTCAACGTTGCCGCCGCCGCCGCCACTTTCTCGGCCTGTCGTCTCGCTTTTTCCTCCAGAATCACTCTGTTGTGCGGCTGTGCGTTGATCGAGCTCGTTCTCCGCTTGGCCAAGGATCCAGATTTGGTGGGCGGCACAAAGATGCCCGTCTCGGCAGCGGCTCCGTTGGATAAGGTCGAACTGGCGGTCTTGACCTCGTCGTTCGCTATGGCGTCCGAGTCAGACAGGTCGCCGGGGCTAGATTCGGGTTCGGGTTCTGATATGGGCGGGGTCAACCCGGTCCGTTCGACAATAAAAGCCACCGACTTTTCGAGGTTGAGGGTGTAGAAATGAAATCCGCGCGGCACGCCGTCGGGCTGTGGCAGAGCCTTGATCTGGTCCACCAGCTCACTGAGAATATCCACGCCGACCCTCTTCACGGCTTCATCGTCTGATTTCACCGCTTCGATCCGTCGCGAGATGTCTTCGGGGATCTTGGCGTGGCTCAGTTTCGTGATTCGTTTGATGATCTGGTAGCTTTGGATGGGCATCAAGCCGGGGATAATGGGGATTGTTGCAAAGAGTTTGTTGCCGTCCGTGTCCACGTAGCCCCGAAGCCTCTTCTCGTACGCTTGGTAGGCATTGATGTCGTAGCCAAGTTGAGTCATGATGAAGTCCGCCCCGGCCGCAACCTTTTCTGCCAGGTACGGCAGGTCGTGCTCGACACTCTGCTTCCCAGCCTCAGGGTTGCTCTCATCCGCATGGCCTTCAGGATAGCCGGCAACGCCGACGGAAAAGTAGTCGCCGTACTGCCGACGGATATATCGTACCAAGTCGGCTGCCCACACGAACTCCTCGTTGCTGTCTGTCGCCAATCCTTCGCTGGTGTCTCTGTACTCTTCTCGCGGAGGATCGCCTCGTAAAGCCAGGATGTTTCGAATTCCCACCTCCTTTGCACTCTCCAGTGCCTCGTCAACCATGCTCCTCTTCATGTTCGTACATGTCAAGTGCAGCACGGTCGTCAGGCCCAATTGTCTCTGACACACTTCGGCCAACTCCAGAGACTTGGTCGCGGTCGACCCGCCCGCGCCCCAGGTCACCGTCACAAATAGCGGCCGTAGAGCTGCGGCCATGCGCGCCAGACGAGACTGGAGGTTGGAGAAGCCTGACGACGTCTTGGGCGGGAAGAACTCGAGAGAGAAGTAGTTCGACGAGGGAGGGAGAGAGGCGAAGAGCGTGGGGAGTCGGTCGTCGTCCGCCATGGTTAACGGTGGTCGGTCCTGGCCGCGCTGCACCTTGATTTGGTATCAACGTCGAAGAGTCCAGAGATTGCAGGCTATCGACTATTGCATAGAGCCAGAGGACGAGAACAGGCCCGAGGGAGGGAGCGAGGGAGCGAGGGAGGGCGGGAGTGAGGCTGGAGGATTTGTCTCGTTGCTTGCTCCACGGTGACTCAATCTAACAGATCCCGCGCGCCGTGTCTGCTATGTCCGGAGCAGTAGAGGTACCTAGTGAGAGTGAGGTGCGTAAGAAATCTTGTGCTGCCTTCAAAAGTGGTGGACAAGGGCACGAGGAGTGAATCAATGTGTTTGGCAGTGTTTGGCAGAGTTCTGAGCCTTCTCAGAAATTGCCCCGCGCCGCCGCCCACGAGAAACTAGAAATTCTTTTCCTTTGTTGGCCGACCAGGTGTAACAGTGACAGTGACAGTGACAGCACCCGTTCAAGTACATACTACTAGCATCCGTACAGAGTACATGGTCAGTCACCCCCGTCATGATATTCGCTGTCTGAGCAGTGGTAGTACACGCCGCCACATTGAGGTCTCTAGTATGAGTCTTCCGAATCTAAAGGCTTTTGCTGTGCAGCCACAAACACCCATCCATGATGTCCACCATAATCATACTGCATGTAGCCTGAGCCCTGATGAAAGTGCTCTCCTATGCCTTTGCCGTCTCGCCTAAGCCTCCTAAGCCCCGAGAGACGTCCATCCCATAAAACAAACTCCATTGGCCATCGCGTCTAACGCCCGCATTTTTCCCTTTCCCATCCATCGCTTAGCTTTGCTCATCCCCGTTGAGAAACTCGTCAAATTGTTTCGACACATGATCTCCGTCCTCCAACTCGCCCGGATCATTGGTCGAGTCGTGACTGGTGGTTCGGATCATGTCCAATGCCTCGCTCGCATGGCTCGCTTCCTGTTCAAGACTGGGAACCACATCGTTACTCCCGTCGCCGTCCTGGTGGGTCATTTCCATGAACATGCTGTCGTATTCTCCGCCCGGCGGCGACCCTCCACGAGCCGAGGGTGACTGACTCGCGGACGCATTCGCAAGCCCGTTGCGGAGATCATCCTCTCCATCGAGACCTAATCCGGCGTTGGGGTGAAACAGGGGAAACAGGGGGTCATGAGTCCTGGCATCGCGTGATGGACCACCGGAGAAGGCTGGCAGCATCGGATCCCTGAGGCTTTCGGCCTGTTGTTCTGCTCCTGGGCTGAACAAGGGTGACGGAGAGTTGGGAGGGAACGAGGGCACCCGGTTCGCTCCAAATGATGTCCCATACGGCGCAGTCCCGGACACGTATTCAGGGTCAAAGGCACCGCCGGACCCGGAGTTGCCATTGGATCCCTGCCTCTGCATCCCGGTCGGGGTATCGGAATTTGCAGCTGTCTGACTTTGAGTCGGACTGGCCGCTGAGCCTGTGGCTGAGGGCGACTGCGTCGACGGCTTTGGCAGAAGAGGGCCCGTCATAAATGCCTCTTGTGTCCTTCTTCGCACATATGTCTTGGTCCGGAGGTGAGGAGGGAGGTCTTCAGGCTTCTCAACTCCAAGCTCCTTCATCAGTTTCTGCTGCTTGGTGGGTCGAGGCTTCCGTGTCGACAGACTTTGAGCAAGAATCGGAGGTGGTTCTGGTGCAATTGGGTTCCACTTGTGTAGTTCTTGTCGGAAAAGATTGGTTTCATACGCCAGCAGGACCTCCGCACCTTCGAGTTTCCGAAGATAAAACAGCATTTCTGGCATTTCTTCACTGGTCTGGCAGAGTTGATTCCCTTTCGTGTACTTGGCGAGGAAGTCCCGGAAGCCTTGAGCTTTGTCGATGATTCTTTTCAGGAGCTCTTCTTCTTCTGGTTGGAAGGGTAGATCGACAATATCGTCTTGCCACGCTTGGAGATCTTCGAGCTTCGGACGGGCCGCATCTCTAGGGATCTTGACCCGCCAATCGCAAATGGGACAAGTGAATGTTTCGCATTCCTTGACTTTGCCTCTTGCAAGTTTGAGGCACTTTGCGTGATACCTAGAAGACGTGGTTAGCTTGACCCTTCAGCTCGATCGAAAGTACTCACCAATCGCGACAGTGTTCACATTCAATCATCAGACCTGCTTCCGGCTGCCGGCAAATACAGAAAACAGGTTTCTCGTCGTCACCGAGCGTGCCCTTGTCATGACCCTCAGCAGGCGTCGCTTCTCTGGAGGCGGGCTCAATAGGGGGCCGGAAGGTGTCGTTCAGATCAAAGCAAAAGCTGTTCTTTTCCTCCACAAACTTCATGTGTTGTTCCAGAATGTGAAGCGGTGCGTTGGCCTTTCCAAACAACTTCTTACCCTTTCTCATCCAGTCCTCATGCCTCCTCAATTCCCTCTCCAAGTCGACGGCTCCATGAGGTTTGCCATTCAGGTCCTCCAAGCTCTTGACGACTTCTCGGACGTGGGTGTACAAGGGGCGCTTGCGGAAGTCCGGATCGTGGCTGCGTTCCACTAGCGTAATGATCTGACGCTTCGCCTCGCGATTCTTGGCCAGAATCAAGTCCATTTGTTCCAGAGTATCCTTGTTCACCGGGAATACGTGGTTCTGCACTTGCGAATGCAACGACTCGAGCTGCGGATAATGAACATCCTCAGCCGCCATCACTTCCTTGGCTTTGACCTCCCAGAATTCGCCTTGTCGTACGACTTCGGTCAAGAAAATCACCTCGGGCGCTTGGGCCAAAAGATCCAGTTCCTCACAGCGTCTTAGAAGAGCCCGACATTCGTCTAGTGTTTTAGACTGCACGTCTGCTTGAACATGTCGAACTTCTTCAAGCCATTGCGTACGCGCGTGGACTTTCTCCAGGCTAGTTAGCTCGGGCATGGCAGCAGAGAATGAGCGTCCTTCCTCAAGCAAGGTTTCCAACTCCTCAGTACTCGCTTGGTGCACACCTGAGAGAACTCGCTTAACAGTTGCTCGCCATTCATCGATGACTGTCACTCTCTCCTGGAGGAGTTCAAGTTGAGGTGCAGTGAACCCCAGTTGATCCCCGTCCTCGATGAGTTCCTTCATGCGTTCCAATGTCAATTGTGCTTCATCCTTTTCATCTCCCTTGCCTGTCCGAAGGGACGAGCGCCGCCATGCCTTCTCGTTCTTGCGTCTGTTTTGCTGCTTTCGAGTCAGATAGAGATTTGCCTCATCCACCCACTGGTCGCATCGCTTGACAAAATCGGCGAGGTCATCTAGGCCGTTTAGTACATGAGGAATCTTTTCCCCTTCGGTCAAAAGAGTGTGCATCGCTTTGAGTGGTGGTCGGGCATCGTCCGCAAGGAGTGTCTCTAGTTTTGCTTCCCACATTTCAGGAACACATGCTTTGTCCACAACTTTCTGGACGACGGCCTCCAAGTCATAGTTCGTGTATCGCAGCATGAGGCTATGATTGGGGCCTTGTAATTTCTCCTGCAGAGTCGCCGAGCAACAATCGGCTTCTTTGGGATGACGAAGGCAGGTCACTTTGCCGCTGACATGACAGCGAAATTGTGAGAGATAGGAGAATGCTTTACAATAGCAGCATTGATACTCTTCCTCTTCCAGTTCAACATTTTCGACCTGGACACTGAGGCCGCAAGCAGGAGAGACCTCGGAAGCGAGCGTCTCGAATGCACAGTCACTGTGTGGAGACAGGGCTTGGTGAAGAGCGACGAATTCTTTACGTTCGGCCAACTCGCGATCTCGAGTCCGCTCCAATGCGGGTCCTAGCCACTTGGCGGTTTTGATGGTAGTATCTGAAGCAGCAGCGGTGAAGAGCAGTTCGTCATGTGAGAAGCACGGTTGACGACGGAAATCTTGAAGTCGTCGTACCCCCGCTTCGCCGAAAGGTTCCCAGTCAGCTGGGGCAAAATTGACCGCCTCATTAAAGTTGAAGCCGTGGTTGAAGCCTGCGTGGTATGCTTGCGGAAAGGTGATGACGAACTGACCCGCGCGTTGATCAAGGGCGTATACGTCAACTCCAGCTTTCCTCAACTGGTTGGGGGGAAGAATGGTGACCAGTTGGAATAATAGATCCGGTTGCGTTTCAAACAACTCCGGAACCGCCTTCCTCATAGCATCCTCGAATTTATAGGCGTCTTTGCCTGGGATACCGTACCATGTCTTCGTCGCGCCAAAGTGTTGGTAGTTGGCAGAGTAGGCATAGTGGTCTTCATTGTGCCAACAGAACGTGGAGAAGCACATGCCCACATACAACCAAGGCACTGTCATACCAGAAATGTCACCCTTGATATGCCTGAAGAGCGAATCCTCGAGGAAAGGCATGACGTTGAGATTCCAGGGATCCTTAGAGTACGGGTTAAGAGGATTCTTTTCCACGGTGGGAAATCCACTACCATGGGTGGTAGAATGGATATCCGCGCCATATTCGACCTCCACCGACTCTGTGATGTCTTCTACCAGTCGCCAGAATTCCCGTTCAATGTCGTCCTCGGTGGGTCGTTTCTGGGTATTTGTGATGGGCTCGAAGGGCATTCGAGCAGAAAAATAGTGCTCTTTAAAATTGTTCGCCTTTTCTTGGAATTGTTTCAGGGAGTAGATACTGCCCTCTTCAAAGCCGTAATCGTTGGTGCCGACCAAACATTTGGAACAGTGCCAATCATAGTCCGGAACGTGCCGTAGGGGTGGTTCAATACAATGCTTATGGTAGCCCAAGTCACATGTGTCACAAACCAGAATACTCTCCTTGCTGTCGGACTTTCCACACTTCTCGCATTTGTCGCCTTGTCTGCGAGGTGCAGGCTTGGACCGGACCTGAGGTGTGGAAGGGCGCATTGCCGGGATATGGTTGCCGGGAATAGTAGGAAGTCCCTCTGCTTGAATTAGCAAGTCATCCCAGGTGTGTATTCCAAAAACAAATTGATCAAACCAACCTTTCTTAGGCCTCTTGCTTTTCCTGCCATTTGGACCATCCAAGTCGCCATCCAAGCCCTCCGACCCCGATTCACCGTTCAAGCTCTCATGGCTCATGGCTCTTTTGAGCGGGTTCGAGGTCCCATTCGGGACTGGAGGCCCGGGAGAGTGAATTGTGGTGATAGTGGGACCATTTATTGGCAGAAACGATGGAGCTGGACTTTGGGTCGCGGGAGGCACCCCGTTGGCCTCCTTCTTTATCACTGGAGGTAGGAGTGCGTTGACAGCAGTAAATCCGGAAGGGCTGTTTACAGCAGCAAAGCCACTATTGACAGCCGTGAAGCCGGAAGGGGCAACGGGCCTCGGTGGAGGAGTCGGTGCGGCTGTTAGCACCGAGGGTGGTTGTAGTGGTGGGCCAGAAGCAGCGTGCATGGGAGGATCGAAAACTGTGGCAGGCTGCAGGCCGGGCGAGCCTGTACCTATGCTTGGAGGAGCAGACTGAGTCGGCATTGGCGGAGGGTTCACGGAAGGGTGTTGAGGTGCAAGAGGAGGCGAGTATGCTCCTCCTTGGTCATTTTCGAGTTGTTGATGAACGCCAGGTTTGGCATATTTCAGCCATTCTTCATAGGGATGTAGCCATCTCTGGTAGGAATTTTTGAGCGAAGTGGACAGAGAAGACATGATCTTGCCACTGTACCCCAAGTCACGTCCGATCTCTGCCCACTTTTTATCCTTACAGACTCGCTCAAAACCTCCCCGAACTTCGACGGCTTTCTTGAGTTTGTAAAGATCGAGAGGGCGCTTGTCAACGCTGGGAAATCGATTGAGGTGGGCACCGTATTGCTTGTGGAACTTGGCAAGCTGGTCTAGGTAGTTGAGATTTGTTCGATTGCCTACAGACAAGTAAGTAGAATTCTGAGCATGACTTCAGCAGACGGCTCACCTCCTTCGACAAGATTGATTTCTTGACGTCGAGTCCGGAAATGGAAACGCTACGATCAATCAGCACGGTTTAGGCGCTTCCGGGGCGTTCTCAACGTTGATGTCTCACTACTCACCTCCGTATCGATGGCAAAGTCGGGATTCCAATTGTCTGGAGGAATAATCTTGCAAATTCCGTATTTACTAGCCTTTTCCGAAATGCTTCGAATATATGCCATTGGATCGCGAAATTCTGCTTCAGTTGGTCTGAATGTTGGCGCTTCAGGTATTCCATGTGGCCTCGTTCGTGTTGGGGGGTCGCGACTTGTAGAATGGCCTTTGCGCTCGACAGTTCGCATATCAAGAGGTTGAGCACGACGAGCACTGTAGGGGAATGAAGGAGTGACCATGCTGGGCGCAGTACCGTTCACTCGAGGGGCGGATGATGTTTTGACGGTCGCAGTCGCAGGTGCAACACCACCAGTTGACGGTGGAGCGACCATGACTGCGACAAAATCTCAAGTCCAACCCAATACGAATATGCTTTATTCAGACGATGTTTGTTGTCAGGACCACGGTCGACACAATAGCAGAAAGGCCGTTCTATGATGTGGAGTGGTCTGCCGGGCGTGGACAAGGAGACCGATGAGCGATTTCGTTGATATGGACGAGGCCGAGAGGGAGGAACGAGGGCCGGTAGGTAGATGCGGGTAGCCTTGTGTACCGCAGTCTGAGCTTGAGGTACTACTAATTTGAGCGAAGTGCTCTGCCAGCACTTCAGAGGGCAGAGCCTCTACATGCGGATGCGAAGAATTGAAAGAGCACAGAGAAGCGAAAGGCAGAATCGGTCGAAGAATGTGTAAAGTCAAGGATGGATGATCGGGCAATAGAGGCAGGGCAGGATCCAAAGACTAGCAGGTGGACTGAGGGTGATGATTGGCTACGGCCCACGGTGCCAGAGCGTATAGTACGCGAGTATCGTATGGTACCTGGACACGAGGAGCAGCCAGCAGCGCAGCCAGACTGAGACGAGTGCATTTGCAGCCAGCATTGCCCGTCACGTGTGCATCTTTCTGAGACTCGGAGCTCCGCAGTTCATGCCAAGCCGGCAGCCACAGGAGTTAGGTCGTTTACGGACTAGCGCAAGATGGCTCACGTGAGGCGCTGTTGCGACGGCATGCGACTACATACCAACATACCACCGCGTCCTCCATTGGTGGCGTGGCATGAACGTTTTGGACTCTGGCGCTCTGCGACATCCTACTTAGACAGTCGTGGTGCTCACAGGGTGTGGAATGGGATAGCAGAAGAGCCCCCTTTACTCTGCATCTAAACCTTGGTCGCCTCACCGGTTGTCGTCGCTGCGCCGCCTATCACCACTGTGTCAGGCGCCTCTCCCTGTCCCGGCAAGGACTTCTCAGGTCCATGCAGCCTGCCGAAGCATTCGCTCAGCCTTGCGCATCCAATATATGAAACGCCACCTGTTTACCTAACTCTGACTCATGTCTTTGGGGAACTCTCTATATTGACGCATTTAAATCTCCCACGGGCTCACTACTACATGCTATGGACGTCAAACCCGTCCCAGCTTTTTATTGCTGCTACCTTCTCCGCTCCACCGTGCGCCACTCCAGCCTCTATGTTGGATCCAGTCCCAATCCTGCCCGACGTCTTGCTCAACATAATGGTCGTGTGCAGGGCGGGGCAGTGCGGACGTCCCGAGCAAGTCTTCGGCCTTGGGAAATGGCCTGCATCGTCGCCGGATTTCCCTCCAACATTGCCGCTCTGCAATTTGAATGGGCCTGGCAGAACGCCCATCTAACTAGACACATCAACCCGACCGAGCGCATCTCCTTTGCCACCACACGCACGAAGACCTCTGCCCAGACAAGGAAGACAACACGGAGACCAGGCCGACCACGGACCTCCCTCATAGACAAACTGTCCAACTTACACCTCTTGCTTCGCGTTCCTTACTTCTCCAAATGGCCTCTTGAAGTGCGTTTTTTCAGCGAGGATGTATATCGCTCATGGGCGACCTGGTGTGGGCGGGTTGATTCATATATCCGTCCCAGCATCAAGGTTTATTTCGATCCCGCGCAGACAGTCCCGCAAGAGCAAGACTTCACTTCAGCCCAGCCAGTGCCGAGGAGGCGAAAGGCTGATTTAATTGGGAAAGGTGGAGTTGAGGGTGTAGATCCGACTTATGCCCGATTCCATGGTGTGTTTGAGAAGTCCCAGTTTCTTCTTGACGAAGGTGACAACCAGAGGTGCTCGGTGTGCGACGAAAGCATTGATATCCACAAACACCTTTTCATCATCTGTCACACCGATGACTGTCAGGACATTTGCCACGTAACTTGCCTAGCGGACACATCCCTGAAGAGAGCCGAGTCGGCTTTGGTTGTCCCGGAGACTGCACGCTGTCCATCATGTGGCCATGATCACAAATGGGTGGAATTGATGCAACAGGTGACTCTGAGAACTAGAGGCATAAAAGAGGTACAAAATTTGTTAGGGAAAAGGGGCAAGAGTACTGCAGCTGCCGCTGCCGAGATCCTAGAAACCGAAAGTGAGAACGATGATGAGCAAGAAAACGGGGAAGGTGTTCTTACACTTCAAGATGCTGTTGATGACGAACCCGGGTTGAGTGGCGAGGAGCAGGAGGACAATTTATCTGTCGCTTCAGTTGCGTCCACAGACTCGTTGATAAGCCTGACGCCCAATGTTCTGGGTGATGCTGACAACAGTACCCAGCCGGGAAAACTCGAGATCGTCATTGAAGATAGCGAAGATGACAGATGACGTTGTCCATTGTCTTCTTTTCCCTTTTTAGATCTGTTTCAGCAAGGGTCCCAGCTTGCGCAATTGTCTCGGCCTGGCATCGTTTGGTAGCAACTGAAGGGTTTCAGAGAGGATATCGGCCGCAACTTCACTTATCGACCGTCCTGCGTCCACCACAGAGACAGGGACGTCGTCCAGTCTCGCAAATAGCTCCTTGTACAAGGTCCGGACGCGCGCTTGCATCTTCTCCGTTTCATATCGCTCAGCACCGTAGCCGCCACGTTTGGCCACCGCTGCAGAAGAAATATCCAGAAAGAACAGGATATCAGGCTTTAGAAGGCCTATTTCCGGAGCCCAAGCCCAGTCGAGCGATAGATCTGGATTTTCTTTGGCCGCCGAGTACACCGCCCCAGAGAATGAATAGCGGTCGACGATGACGGTGACCCCATTCAAGAGATCCTCTTGGATACTGTGGACGGCTTCCCAGCGATTGGCCGAGAACAGCAAATGGATCGAGTGATCATCTTGCCGAGCCTGGCGTGTCAAGTAGCTGTTGATCATTTGCCCTGTAGGCGTAGTCCTGTCTGTCTTTCGTGAGCTGAGGAAAACGTCAAACAGAAATTGTTACGACGCACCAGGGAATTTGACATGCCGCACTTTGTGGCCCTTTGCTTGCAGAGCTTCGACAAGCAGCTCGCATTGACTCGACTTGCCGGAACGGTCAAGGCCTTCTAGCACGATGAGCAAACCCCTCGGTGAAGTAGTTGTTGAATTGTCCATGACAACCGTAACTGTATTGTCTAGATATCTTGGTGAGATTTTGTCTGAACAAACTGCAATGCAGGATTGAAATTGAGGGTATCCTGCTGCCATGTAGAATGTACCAGAGACTGTGAAAGGGAAACGTTAAGGTATCTCTGTCCAAGTGCTCCGCTCTACCGGGCCACTGTACGGCGGAGCTCAAGCGTCTACAACACATTCACGATGCCCGTCAAAATTCCAGACATTGAACCAACTTTCTTCACCAGGATCAACCAGTGATGGCACGATGGAGGAAGTAAGCAGTGCCTCTTTGGCGCAGTTACCGCACGAAATGCTCAAATTCGTTCTGCAACATACGTCTGCTTCAGAAGGCGCCGCAAGACTGGGTCAATTGTCCTTCCGTGCCAGACCTACCACCATCAATACACCGCACTATCTTGTCCCGACATCTCGAGGCGTGATACCTCACCTGTCGCAGGATAATGTGCAGAGACACACCAAGATTACGGCGGTATATTTGCCGCTGGAAGACTGTATGTCGTTGTGGCCCCTTCAGCGCTCAAGTTGCCCGCTGACATGTTGGCTTACAGTTGATTCGTTCTAGTCATTGAGAAGTCGCATGCCGATGCGCCCATCTACAGCACGCCTGTCCAGAAAGGCGAGTCACGGTTACGGCGGTACACATGTCTACCTGACCAGTGTCTGTCCGTGGTAGGGCCTCGCCGAGTCCCGAGCATCTCTCCTCCCGCGCATAACACGAATTCGTCGATCGCGATTTCAACCTCGTATGGATTCCGATTTCTCGAGGTGCAACAGTACAACAAGGCGGTCAAGGACCTGGATGTGGATGTCTCGGTGAGTCTGGCTGACGTGGTCACCGCGGAGACGGCCAGCGCAAAGAGAATCGAGAAGAGTGCCGACAGAACACATGCCTGGCTTGCAGACATGGTAGAGAGCCAGCGGGGTGATGCCAGTGAAGCTACACCCGTGTTTGCCTCCATTCCACCTCTCGAACCACAACTGTTGTCACTATATCTCTCCGACCTACGCGACGAATACACATCGCACATATCAGGATTGTGCATCTACTCGCCCTCCACCATGGTCGCGGTACCGGAGGGTCTGCGGCAGCTACCGACAATCTGCCTGGACGATCCGCCGACGCCGCAAGCAGTGCTTGCGGCCATCTACGCCGGCGTGGATTTGATCACCGTGCCGTTTGCGACCCAATCCTCCGAGTATGGCATTGCATTGTCCTTTTCTTTTCCCTTTCCAGGCTCGACGGAGCCGTGTCCCTCGGAGCAACCGCTCGGGACTGATATGTGGTCCACGACGCACGCCACTGATCTGTCACCATTGAGTCCGGACTGCGAATGCTACACCTGCCAACGCCACCACCGAGCCTACGTCCATCACCTGCTGCAGGCCAACGAAATGCTGGCGTGGACGTTGCTGCAGATCCACAATTACAGCATCATCGATTCTTTGTTCGCCAGTATCCGCCGGAGCATTGCACAAGGGACGTTCGACGCCGACGTCCAGACTTTCGGCCGAGCTTATCGGTCCGAGTTGCCCAAACAGACCGGCCAAGGGCCCCGAGTACGGGGATACCAGATGAAGAGCGTGGGCCGGGGCGAGCCGAAGAAGAATCCCCGGCAGTACGGCAGACTGGACGACCAGGTGCAGAAGCTGGCGGAAGCGGAGTCTGGCGTGGCCACCCCAGACGGCGATGCTGAAGATATCGAGAAACATGGGTTGGCAAAACGGGTAGAATAGGAATCGGAATAGGAATAGGGAATCGAGAATAGAAATACATTCTGGCCCCGACAGCTGATGATGAACAAAAAACCGCATACTGCATACACCCAGACCATTGTGCATTGTCAATTCTCGCTCGGGTCATGGCCACTCGCTTTCTTCACACTGGACGGATGGACAATTCACTCAGTGACTGGGCAATTCAATCGAGTCGTTGACGCCGGGATACCAATTTGGTGAGGATAAAGTGTGAGGTCACTGCTTCATGGGCGGCATCCCCTCGCCCCCTGTATCATGATCACACATTTCTAACAGCCTCCCTCAACAACGGCCCGACCTGTTTCCGACTTTTACTCGTATCGCCCATCCACCAGATCTTGCAGCGACCGTTACGGCACGACAAGCTCTTGTCGAAAGCGTCCATCAACGCCGCATCCTCGTTCCAATCGTTCAGCTTCAACTCTCCAGCGGTTTCTTGGAACTGCGGAATCAACCTCAACCTGTTCAAGCTTTCGTCCAAGACAAGGACAACCACCTCCTTGCCCTGCCCGGCGCGGGTCAACATGCCGAAGACGCCCAAGTTCCGATCTTGCGCCGTGGCGAAGGCCTGGACTTCTTGGACGAACTTGTCCACGCCGCCTGCGTGCTTGACGAGCCACGAGAGCGGCTTGACGAGACTGGACATGCCGATGTTGACACCGACCTGTTCAGGCTCGGAGGTCGACGCTGTCGACGACTCGGGACTGGATATGCTCTCTACAGGCTCGCGCCAGACTTTGTAGTCCCGGTCGAACGTTTCCTGCATGGTCAGGAGGTTGAGCGAGTTCGCTTTGGTGTTGGCGATGGCGTGGTAGAACGCATCGCGATCCCACGCTGTATATGCGTTGTCCGAGCTCGCTGGAGGGTGCACACCTGAATCCGAACTGGATTCTGCTTTCGCGTTCGTGGTCGAGTTGCGACGTGCCGGGGTCAGGCCCGATTCGAGAAATGCAACAGCCTCGCGGTCTATGTCGGAACACTTGTCTCCTTTACCTTTGAGATTGGAGGTGTCGATCAAGATGGGTGCAAGGGCAAGTCTGCTGATTTCTTGGATGCTTGAACCGGCTCCATGCATTGTGGTTGACGGATTGCCACTACCGCCACTGCTACTATCACGATCATGGCCACCTTTCATACAGGGCCTGGGCCACATGCCGCGGTCTATAAGGTGCTTGACCACGAGACTCGTGCAGCTGCCTATACCTGTGGTGATGATCCGGGGCGATGCGTCTTGGGCCACGTAGCCTTCGTCAGCATGGTGATCGATGCAGCCGACCACGGTGAAACGAGAGTGTATGCTTTCGTCGGACAGGCCAGGGATTGATGGCGCATTATGGTCCACGAGAAATAGTGGTAGTGGGTCGCCCGTCGTAGTAGGAGTAATGTTGCTGGAGTCCTCAACCGGTCTCTGCTCAGATGCTCGCAGCTCCCTGGCCTTATCCGAGTCCGAGAATAGAGAATGGAAGATTGACTCCGGATCACTTTTGACGTCGGCGATCGTAATCAGATCCTCCAATTGCGTGACCTTGTCTATGACTGCGCCTTTGCCTTGCGTACACGCATCCCTTTCGCTCTCGTTCCGGACTTCGCTGGCAGACTCGCCCAAAGCGCACCGCATCGCAACCCCAAACTCAGGTCTGAGTCGCCATAATTCATGGGCTTTTACGCTAGGCAGATTCAGGACGGGCACATACCTCTCCGTAGTCTTGGTACCATGTTCGTTCCCTGGAGGTGCGGAGGAAGAGCCGGTGCTATGTGCTATTCGCGAGTTGGAATGGAAGTTGTAGAAGTACGACAGCACGACCGCCGACACAAAGCTGTCCAGGTCGGCAGAGGGGTTTCCCATCACGAGTATCAACTGTTCGTTGCCCGAGCCTGACGCGTTTGTGCCTCCGGTCGACGAGGCCCTCTTCGGTCGAAACACTAGACGGCGAACATGAGATAGGTAGGTACTCAGGGACGGCATGTCGGCGTCGGCGTCGGCGTCGGAGTCAATGCCAGAGTCCATCAAGGCTGAGTATTCTAGGTGCGAGTTGCCGGGCATGAGCAGTTGTTTTCGCGTCGGAGTTGAGGTCGAGGAGCAATTTGGCCTGGTTTGGGTTGGTTTGGCTTGACTTGGCTTGTCTTGAGCTCGTGGGCGCGCTTGTGCAGTACGCGTACAGCGTTAGGAGTAGGTAAATACGTCCGCAGGGTTCTTCCAGCCGTCTCCTTGCAGGATTAGCACTTAAAAGTCTAATGTGTGATAGGAATCCGGCCAGGCCATCCAGCTACTAGTAGTGCTGGTTCTGATTCTGATAGCCGGGCGCGGAATGAATGCTTATCGAAGAACAACAATTCGGATGTTGAAAACCAGCGTGATGGGATAGATGATGCTGTCTACCTCCGCGCAGGCGAACCCTAACCCTAACCCTCGACATATAAGGGAGAGGGAGAGAGAGCACGGTCGGAGAATGAATAATGCAGTGGCAGTCAGTAGGACAGTAGTCAGTAGAGCAATAGATAGAGGAGTCCAGCCTGGCCTCGTCGAACCGAAGAGTATCGTTGGGACTGTAGCACCGTGGGAAGGAACTTGGTGGTGTTTTCATGGCTGAGCCTGACGTACGTAAATGCCGGATTAATTGATTTTCCGGCTGCCACATCTCACATCTATATCTATATCAGGTACGGATACTCCTGTACTCCGTACACTGTACCAGTAGTATTGGTGTCATACCAACTCGACGACAATCCCTCGCAAGGTCTAGGTCTACTCCGTACACGTGTGGACGATGGACGACAGATACACACTCAGAATGCAATCGAACATGATCTTGTTGCTGTCTTCCCGCTCGATACTTGACAGCCATCAGATGGCAAATCTACTCAACGGGCAGCCTTGACCACCACGAACACATCCAACTCATTCAAGAGCCATTCGTTCGGTCATCATAACAACCGTCCGGAAAAAAGAGCCTCTGGTACTCATACATGTGCCCGGACGAAGCAAACCCATGCCCCTAAATCAATCCGCCCGTATTATGGCTCCTTTGGCGCACTTTCCCACGCAAACTCCCTCCTTGTACTGTATGTCGTTGAGAACATAAAGACACTCCCAAGTGTCGCACAGTCTCATGGCTGTAACTGTGCCGGTGCCGTCAACCACTGTCAATCTCAACCCGAAAACTCGACATTTTTGATCCAACTCAAACAGACTCCCATTCTCCCCAGACGCACCACCTCGCACTTCGATCCGCCAGCACGAGACCTCGCCATATCCCCCGTTCTTGGACCTTGATGACTGTCTCCCAGGCGCTTCCCAGTATCTCGCCATCCACTTCTTTCAGTTGGCTGGGCTGTGGCACGCCCTCATGTTTGCGGTTCAGCCTGATGATCTTGCCGCTGGGGCTCTGGATGGCCAATTTAGCCGGCTTGTCTTTGGCTCTGGTGCCTGCCGCACTGCCGTTGGCGTTGCTATTATATTCGCTCGGGTTACTGCCTGCCGCGCTGCTCGTCATGCTCATTGCACTGGTAGGTCGCATCAGCGGGTTTGGACTGCTGGGCCGCAAGTCGAAGCCAGATTGCTCAGTCGCTGGCGTCGAGGCAACAGAGGCGGCATGCTGCCGTACGCAAAACACGTACGTCTCGCCTGCCCCGAGTCGAAAACACTGAGGTTGTACCACGTACAGGTCTTGCCTCGTGGCGTGCGGTGTGGGGTGTCTCATCACAAAGTCGTATGCAGGGTTTTCCCCACTGTGGTACAAGGGTAATGCCAGTGCCAGAGGATGGACGATATCCCGTGAGCTGAGCATCAAGCCTTTCTTCCCCGCGTACACCTTGAGCACTCCAATGCCCTCGTCTCCGGGCAGCACCGCCTTGATAACATATCGCTTCTGACAGACTTCCGTATTGGGCACGGTTCGATACCAGCTCGCTTGGGCAAGAGCTCGTTTCCTGGTCACGTTGTCCACATCCTCATAGACATCGCCGTCTTGGTCGTGCAGATAATTCCTGGCCTCAACTTCTGCCACGATCTCGACGTCTGCTGGCACGTTGATGCTCAAGGTGCACATTTCGAGTCTGTCCATCCTTATGATGCTGGTGTCGTACGCATGCATTGACAGTCCCTGTCGGAAGAACGGTGCACAGGCCCCTGGCAGACTCAGGAGGACATCCGGGCTGGCAATTGGGATCATGTGTTGCTGGGCATCTTGGACAGGCACATGAGTCCAACAGATCTCACTCGGTTTCGTCAGGAAATACCAAGCTTCGGCAATGGTTGAGCTGACGCTCGAATACCGCACCCTTTTCGGATTGGTGGGACTTGCAAGGCTGGCATCCATCATCCTCCATTCTCCATCAACCAGGATTGCGTTCCAGTAATGGTTCGGATGTGAGACGGCATCCAAGTCGAGATCTTCCCCCGGCGTCTTCAGATATCCTTGCACGATTTCGGCGTGGATACCGATAGCGTGGCACATTTCCAGGACGAGGGTTGACACCTCTTGACTGCTTCCACGTCTCGCCTGGATGACCCGCCTGGTATCGACGGGTTGGTTGTAGTTGAATGCGTCGAGGTCGAGGTCTTCCTCCCAGTTGATGCGCTCGGCACACCAGATGAAGATGGCACGGAGTCTTTGTACCCCGCTCCGATATGGACGGCAAATATATCCAGTCGCGAGACTGGCGGCCGTGATGCTGCTGGGTAGGGTCGTGATGAATCGAGCAGCTTTATCTACCTGGCTGAAACTGGGGTTGCTGAGTTGGAATGGCTCATGGACGGGCCGGCCATCTGCGTCTTCATCCCCTTCGAGGTTTTCGAACAACTCTTCCACCGGACAGATAACTGGTTGGTCCAGCATATGGCACCGATCCGCTCGTTCCTGTCGTTCTGATGGTCCGGGCGTGTTGGATCTGTTAACATCCCTTCGAGTCAGTATATACGACCCGGAAGCGCCGCTGGCTAACCCCATCGCCCCTGCGGCATCTCTTCCATATGCGCCATCAAGGTGAGCGGTCTGAACAGGGGCATTAAATGCCATACCGCCAGCAATCCCGGTCATTTTGGTCGGTGATCCGGCAGTGCTCCCAGTCTGACTTGCTGATATGGTGCTTCGGGCACTTGCCGCCCCTGTCTTTGCGCTGTCAATCAACTTCTTGAAGAAGCCTGGTTTCTTCGCTTTGGGTGTAGTGAAGCCACCTAGTCCGGGCGTCGTGCTTCGGTCCGCGTCCTCCCATCCAACTGCCGACTTCGCGCCTTGTCTTGAGTCATGGTTCGAATGATAAGACACTCCCGTATTTGGTGTTTTGGGTCGTACGTCGCTCTGATCCCATTGCTGGATCCTGGTCCCTGCGCTGGTCATCGGCCTGGTCATTCGATCCCTCATGCTTCCCATTCTTTTCCTGGCAAGGCTACCTGCGCTGGTGGCGCTGATTCCGCTTGCCGAGTATCCACTCATGAGACTCTGGCTGGTCATACTGCTCTGATGCGAGGAATTGGTTGCAACGCTTTGAACTCCACTGCTGGAATTGGTAGAGTTGGTCTTCGTCGTGTAAGTCCTGGCTAGGCTGTTGCCTCCGAGCTCAAAGGCAGACTTTCTCTTCCGCATTGACATTCGTCGGCTGGCCATGGCAGAGCCAGGTCTCGACGCCCAAGGGGAATTCTTTGGAGGCGGTTCTGGAGGATCGCTTGCAATGTCCTCTGAGTTGCTGCCTTCTCGTGCTTGCTGCATCCGTCGTAGCCGGCTTTCCATTCTCTGTACATAGTTCTCAAGGCGCGGAGGCCCATCCTGGAATCTATCGGGGCTGTTGTGTCGACTACTGTAATTGATGCGCCCTTCGGAATAATGACTTCCACCCGCACCCAACCCAAGGCTGGTGACTGGTCGAGGGTCTGGTCTCCGGTCAGGGCGACGGAAGTCATCAAAAGCTTCGGGCGACCAGGGATTGAAATCTTGTTCTGGCTCGTGTGTCGAATCTCTTCCGACAAGCGTCATGTCATCTAGCGAGGTCATCACCTCGTCCATCGCATTTCTTATCATAGGTGGAGTGTGTCCATTGACAGAGGGAGGTGCAGGGGAAGGAGTGCGAGAGATGGCCCGATATCGATCGTTCATCTCCAATCGTTCTGGAGCAGGTGAGGCAGCCCGTGACAAACTGCCATGAGGACCGCCAAGGACACGATGAGGCGGGGGCGGTGGTGGAGGAGGGGATGAGCCTATCTCAAACTGTGGTAACGGCGATGGTGATCTCGAAGGGGCTCTTGAAGGCGGTCTCTGCTGCCATAACACCGTAGAGGGAGGGTGTCTAGGGTCATAGGGTCGTTGTGTTGGAGCCGTGGCGACTCCCGCCTGCTGAGGTGTCGTGGTCACAGTACCGGTTGGAGTTTTCGCATTCTTGTAGCCTTGAAATGGCCTCCTGGCCTTGGCTCTCGCCTTCTTATCTTGCAACTGCGCCGAAGTGTCCTTGCTTCCCTGATCGGCTTTCGGCAAATCAGGCAGAGGGCTGACTGATCGGCTCATAGGTACGAAGTTGGCCTCGAGAACAACAACAAAGTTGGAAGGGAAAAGACCCATCATCCTCTTGTCTCGGCGCAACCTTCCCATCCACCATGAGCCATCTCCAGCGTTGAGGCATTCTATCAAGTCGCCTTCAACGAATCCCAGGTCTCTGTCTGTTTCACCGCCCCAAGAATAGACTGCGCGGCACCAACAAGGGAATTTGGTAGGTAGCGAAGGAGCTGCCATCTTTGGGCTTGGATGTATACTCGTCAAGATATCTTATGATGGTGCGCACTGCACTGGAGAGAGAGGTGACAGCATCTGCCGGCCGCTGAGCGATGGACTTGTCTCGCAACGAATGTGGTGATGGAATAGCGACTGAGACAGGCGCAAAAGAGTGGACGTGGGCCGGAGACAGAACATGTAGCAACACCTCAGGCGCGCGAGAAAGTGTGAGCTGCGACGAGGCCTTGAAGAAGTCTGTGCGGCAAGATACAATGCCAGTGGCCGACCAGCGAACTCGTAGCGCAGCTGCAGCGGCAGCGCAACGTCGGCCATTGTTGAACCTGCCAAGACCGGGATGTAAATAAAGAGCCAGATCAAGACTAGTGCACAAAACCACGCGCCGTTTTAGCAGGTTGGATCCATTGCCACAGGCGGGTTAAAACAGCGGCACCTGGGGTAGAAAGGGACGCTTTCCGAGCCGCTTTACCCGTGTTCAGCGCCTTCGATTCGTGGCCCTACCTGCTGCGCGAACGTAACAAGATCCTGCATGTTGATTAATCCATTATTTCACAACACTCTAACACATACTAAAGCACGGCTGCTCCCTCCAAATCCCTTCTTCCTCCTCGATCTCTGAAGTTTCTATCATGACCTCGGAAAGCTCCAACCGACAAGTCCCAAGCCAATCCTCAATCACTAGCTTGAAAGGATCTATGCAACGTTGCTCATCCTCGTCTGACAGAGGCCGCCCAAGTCCACGCCAGACAGCGACAAGACCGCCGACCTGTACGGAGTACGGAGTACGGAGTACAGACCTCGGTAGATGTGCTCACAGCTCACCCATTGACCAGCAGGGTTGCCATCGGGTCGTCCAACCACCTTGATCAGCAGACGGCAACTGTGTCATCGAGCCGTGGCTGAAATGCCGACCCCGCATCCCTCCTTCAAGAGCAATCTACGGGCACAGAGTAGGTCCAGTTGCCTATAGGATGGCCGTCTCCCGTTCAACCGACACGAAAGCCCAGCCAGGCGCGGAAGAATGATTAGTCAACAGCAGGACATGGGTGGAGATGGCCTAGCTACCTTGCCGCAGCGAGCGGCCACTGCAGCTGACTCTCTGTGGAGCGATAAGATGTTTTATACGGCCTTGGAGCGGATGAATTAACTCTTGGCTGCTACAGGGAAGCGGCAGCCCAAAAGCATGCTTATGCACCGTTAGCAGCCGTCCTGGTGCAGCACGACTAGCCACAACCTTCTCAGCTGATCTCTGGACCAATCTTGCGCTCGAGAACTTCCATGTCGCTCGGACTTGTCGACATGGAATGTTCCGAGAGCACCACCATCTCTCGTGTTTGCAGATTAAAAGGTTTGAATGCAGGTGGGTTCTCCTTGGCCAACTCCTGAGGGATGGGCACCCCCTCACAAGCAGGCAAGACTGCGATCTCGAAGTTCATTCTGAAATGGAGACTCGGCTGTCCTCTTGTTTTTGATGTCTTGGCCTGGATGCACCTCGGCATCTTCGAGACAGAGCAAACCTCGACGGCTATGTAGCCATCAAAATAATGTCTTGGCTGGACCATTGATTCAATGACCTCCACAGAGTAGACATGTGGTGCTCGCCTACTGACTGGCCTGAGGCCTAGAACGTCTTCCCCAGTGCCATACCCCGGACTCCACTAGGAGCTGTCTGGGGTTGTCTCACAGACCAGCATGTGGAATGATCCGAGGTCACCTCACATACAGTTAACCGGCCGCCTCCTCTCCCAACCACCCAGGGAGTCCCGCTCTTTTGCTTAAGGCATCGGATCCTTGGAGACTGCCGATCCCACTTCTCTCGAGCTGTACGGAAACATTTAATGGTGGGCACTATATCTCTCCAGTCCATCACTGGAACCATACGATATAGACCCCAGGTTGTCCCAGGAAACCGGTCTCATTCTACTTCTTTCTTCCATTCCAGTCCCTCCAACTTTTCAGCTGCTCATCTTTTCACCTTTGCTCCACATATCCCCCATTTATTACCCTCAACATGGCAAATGTACCCATTGAGAAAGAAATCAACATTGACCAACTCGAACGCGCCGATACCAAGGCATCTGTTAACAGCGATAAGCTCAACGATGCCCGTATCGAAGCTTTCACCCCCGAGGAGCAGAAGAAGATTATCAGGCGCATTGACCGGCGCCTCGTCCTGACATTGGGCTTTTTGTACTGTGTATCCCTGATGGATCGAACCAACCTTGGTATCGCTGTTGTCGCTGGTATGGGCGTTGACCTAGTTCTGACGGGGAATCGATACTCTGTCATCGTCCTGCTCTTCTTCATCACCTACGTCCTGCTCCAACCTCCGGCCACTGTCGTTCTGCGCAAGATAGGCCCGCGGCTCTTCCTTCCCACCATCACCCTTCTCTGGGGAATCACCATGATATGCTTTGGATTCGTCAAAGACTGGAGCGATCTCATTGGACTCCGTCTAGTCTTGGGTGTGTTTGAAGCCGGTTTCTTCCCTGGTAAGTCTGATATCGCCTTGTTGTAGACCACCCGTTAATGCTGCCATAGGTTGCGCCTATCTTCTGTCGTGCTGGTACCCGCGCTACGAACTCCAGAAGCGAAACGCAGTCTTCTACCTCATCGGGTCCATGGCATCCGCCTTCGCCGGCATTCTGGCCTATGGCTTCTCCCAACTGAAGAACCACGGTAACGGACCTAGTTGGTGGGGACAGCATTATGGCCCTACGGCGGAAAATCCAACAGCGCCCTCCGGGATCCTACCTGGTATTGCGGGATGGAGATGGATATTCATCTTCCAAGGGCTGATCACCTCCCTGATGGCCATTGTTTCGTACGTGTTAATTGTGGATTTCCCCGAATTGTCCACCAACACCTTTGGTCTAAAATTCCTGAACGAGGCCGAGGTGGATTTTGTCGTTGCGCGCATCGAAAAGGACCGACACGATGCCATCCCTGAAAAATTTAGACTAGGCAAATACCTCAAGCACGCTGGGGACTTGAAGGTTTGGGGCTTCGCTGCCCTCTTTGGTCTTACAACCACCAACACATACGCCATCGCCTACTTTTTGCCTATCATTCTAAACTCGGGCATGGGGTTTGATGTCGCCGCATCTCAATGTCTGGTTGCGCCTCCCTATGTCCTGGCCGCGATCGTTATGTACCTATTTGCCTATCTCGGCGACAAATGGCATCTTCGATCTCCTTTCATCCTCGTCAATGGAGCCTTGCTTCTGATTGGTAAGCGTTTGGGCTGTCGCCATTGATTCCCACCAGGCTAACCATGACTCGCAATCAGGGCTCCCTCTTCTCGGATATGTTGATAACGTTGGTGTTCGTTATTTTGGTGTCTTCATCGCAACTACTGCTTGCAACGCAAATGTCCCCTGTGTTCTTACTTGGCAAGCCAACAATATTCGAGGCCAGTGGAAGCGTGCTTTGTGCAGCGCCACGCTTGTGGGTGCCGGCGGCATTGGCGGAATCATTGGCAGCACGGTTTTCCGCGAACAGGACAAGCCTGAATATCATCCTGGGATTCTCACGTGCATGATATCCAGCGGTTTGATAGTTCTCATCACCTTGGCTCTGGACCTCAAGTTCTGGAGAGCCAACAAGCGTGTTGCCGCCGGGGGCAAGCCCATCGAGGGTCTTCAGGGATTCAACTACACCTACTAAAACGTCCATCTATCTAATCTGGACAAGGTAGTCTTGGTCTCGACGATGCAAAGGTTTTGACAGAGAAGGAGTGAAGTTGCCCGAGACAGACGATTATGTTTTGTGGGATTGAGTCTAACTATCCTTGCCCGTGAATGAGACACTCCATATTCTCAATATTAACAAAGATGTTTTTTTAAAACATTGTATGAGGGCAGAGGAGGAGACGCTGGATATGCAGGCAGCGCTGGCGACGGTGCAGCATCAATGGCCGCTGTCGAGCGATCGAGACAGCCGACGGCGTTCTTCGATGCATCCTTATCTTCTCGCTAGAATCCCTTCAGGCGTTGTAGCCTTGCTCGCAAACGCAACCAGTCCGCCCGTCAAACACATGACGCCGCTGAAGATGGAAAGTTGTGAGAATCCTCCATAGCGATGGACAAGTGCCCCATTGATGGGAGGACCGATCAGAACAGCCACCGAACTCGCCCCCATTCCCATTCCAACGTATGTCCCTATCTCTCGCGGATCTTCCGGACAGACGCTGAAGGCCGCGGAGACTCCAGATATGATGGTGCCAGAAGTAAAGCCAAAGACGATCGAATACACCACCAAGGCTGCGGTGGACTCAGCCTTGTTCATGCAGAGGATGACGACGCCAGTGGAGATGGCGCCGAGTCCCAATATATTCAATCGCCCAAATTTGTCGGCCAAGACACCTGGGACGACACGACCGAATGTGGAGGCGGCGTTGATGATGGCAAGCAAGTACGAAGCAAGCGTTGCGTGCATGCCTCTCGTCACGGCATATGTCGGGATGAAGAAGAGCGGAGTGAACATTCCGAGGAACAGGAAGAACATGGCGACGACCAGGAGGCTGAAGTTCGCTTTTCTGAAGGCCGCCGGGATGAAGAAGGTGGACGTTGTCGGCGGCAGACGAGACTTGATGGTCAGGCAGGAGAAAGCCAAAAGGGGCATCATGACGAAGCCCATGATCCGCACGGTCCAGCCGAAGCCCAGAGACGAGCTGTTTAACATCTTGGAGAAGGCAATAGGCAAGACGACTCCGCCGATGGAGGATCCTGATATGGCCAGGCCCAGGGCAGCGGCTCTTTTCTTGTCAAAGTACTGCGACACGGCCACTATCGACGGGACCATCAGGAGACCCGTGGCTAGGCCCAGCAGCACACCTTGGGCCAGCATGAATTGCCAATACTCGTGGCACAGGCTGGTCATCATGATGCCGAATACATACAGCACCACAGCCGGCCGGACAATCTACGGTCATGTCAGTTGGCTGGCCCCAGTCTCAACGGCTCCGGACGGAGGACGGAGTAGGGAGTACTATACGTACCCATGCACCAAACCGATCAAACAGTGGTCCTCCAATGGTCCCGGCTCCAAACTGGATGAAGGACGACAGGGATCCGATCCAGGCAATCTGATCGGCTGACTTGTTGGCGAGTTGGTGTGCCATGTAGTACTCTTGGAAAACGCCAAAGGAATTCGCGTACCCCAGAGCGGCAAAGGTGATGAACGCCGCCCCTGTCGTCACCAGCCATGCGCGAAGGCCGCCATCCGGGGCTGCTCCTAAGCTGGTAGAGCTCGTCTCCTGACCGGCCTGGGCGTTGGCGTCGGCCTGTGGCTTCTCTTCGTCGCCTCTGCCCTCGACTGTATGCTGGGTGCCGCCAGACGACAGCGACATCGACATGCTGCAAGGAGGAGGAGGATGTAGGATGTGGTGCCTTGCGGTTGAAACAATTCAGGACCTTGCCCTGTTGCAAGGCGATAGCTCTGACAATCCATCCTGTACGAGAACATGAGAGCAGGCGAGGCGTAGGAGGCCCTTATATAGCATGCAGGATGCAAGATGCCATAATATGCAATTTACAAGATTGATCCCTAAGAGGATTTCGGGCCTCGGAGATAGACTCTCTCGGGGATAAGGAGTCGGCAAATTCAACCAATCACTGGATCAGAAACTTCGGAGGCCGACAGGCGATGAACAAGAACAAGAACAAGAACAACAGCAAGATGGGCTCACTGCTCATTTCCTGTCCCTGATTCACGCCAGACATGGCCGAGACCGAACGTCGGCGTCGAAGGCCAGCCCTGTAGGTCGGAATCGGAGTCCTCCAGCCTGCGGTGTATGCTGACCTGACATGCTCCAAACCGCAGTTCCTGCTCTCTCTGCAAGCGACGCAAGATCCGATGCGATCGAGAAATACCCTGCAGCAACTGCCGGCGGTCCAAGAAGGAGAATGAGCCTTGCGTCTACGAGGGTCTCCCGTCCCTCCATTACGGCCTGGCCTCTAAGCCTCAGCCCCGAGAGCGAGAGCATCACCCGTCGATCCGGCCTGCGCTGGCTGGTGCTTCGACCCCGAGCAGGCAACCTTCCGCCCAGGATGCCGGTGCCGGTGCCGATGCCGAATCCACGAAGAGCCGAATCCGCCAGCTTGAAGAAGAGCTATCTCAAGCTAGGCAAGCCTCTTCCAGCCGGGATGCACCAAGGACGGGTCCAGGCCCAATGCCACTGTCCCACGGCCAGCATTCAATGGGCTTCTTCGGCGACTTTCAGTTCATCGACCGCAGTAACAGTATCATGCATAAGACTCGTCTCTTTGGCCAGAGCCATTTCATCAGCGGAGTTGCATTGGTAAGTGGAGTGTGCCGGTCGCGATCGAGCTTCTGCTGCTCAGCTTTCTGGATGGTCTAACAAGTCAGTTCCGAGAAATGGCAGAGATGCTTGAGCCGCATCTCCGAGAGGAGACATGCAAGGCTGTTTCGGGCATCCGAAGATGTAAATCTTTGGCCAGAGTCATCAAAGCCTGCCGGACACCACGGTGGCCCTCGCCCCCAAAGCCCGACTTGCCCGCCCGGGCTGTTGCTGACCAGCTGGTTGACTGCTATCTCCGTACGAGTGAGAGCGTCTATCGAGTCCTGCATATCCCGACCTTCAGAAGAGACTATGAGGCAATCTGGGGGTCAGAGACCGAGCCCAATCCCAATGTGGCCTTCCGGGTTCAACTGAAGCTCGTCCTCGCCATCGGGGCTGCCACGTACGACGAACAATTCTCCTTGCGGGCGTCGGCAATTCAGTGGGTGTACGAGGCACAAACCTGGTGTTCCCAGCCGGAGTTCAAGTCACGACTCGGCCTCCAATTTCTGCAGACCAATCTTCTGCTTCTGCTCGCTCGAGAAAGCGCCGGCGTGGGCGAGTCCATGGTCTGGATCTCCGCCGGTGCCCTCCTCCGAACAGCTGTGTATATGGGATTGCACAGGGATCCGGCCCATCTGCCCAAGAGGTCGACGTTGGAGGCCGAGATGCGCCGAAGGTTGTGGAACACGATCCTGGAGATCACCCTGCAAGCGAGTCTTACTTCTGGCGGACCTCCGCTTGTCTCTCTCGACGACTTCGACACCGAACCACCCGGCAATTTCGATGACGACCAGCTCGTGACCGAGCCAGAGAATCAACTGCCCAAGTCGGAGGGCAATTTCACCCAAGTGTCCATCGCCATAGCACTGCGCAAGACGTTTCCCGCCCGCCTTGCCATTGCGAAGTTCCTGAATGACCTTGCTTCCCGCGCCACGTACCCGGAGGTCCTCCGCCTTGATGCAGAGCTCAGGACGGCATACAAAGGCGTCCGTCGAACGCTCCATGGATATATTTCGAGCCCTGGGCAGTCGCCCTCGCCCTCTCCATATCAGATACGGGTGGTGGAGTTCCTCATCAGTCGCTACTTCTCGTCGCTTCACATGCCCTTTTTTGGCGCGGCGTTGCACGAAGCAGCTTATGCCTACTCTCGGAAGGCTATGATAGATACCTCGCTCCGGATTTGTCGTGCGGTCTGCCCATCCTCGGCGTCCGGCAGCAACCCAGACGACTTGGCACGACTTGCCGTCTGCGGCTCTGGATTCTATCGCACCGTTCCTTTCCAGGCCGGATACATCATAGCAGTCGAAGTCAGGACTCAACTTCAAGAGGAAGAAAGTCTCGACCCAGTCCCCCTACGACCAGATCTGCTTTCCGTCCTGGATGATATGAAGGATTTTTGCTTGCGATGTCACCGGGCCGGGGAGACTAACATGAAAGGATACATGTTCATGTGCATTCTCACGGCTCATATTCAAGGGCTCGTGCAAGGCTTTGGGAAGGACAGGCTGACAGATCTGCTGCTCAAGGCCGTCGAGGAAGCTGCAGAAACATGTTTACCCATCCTTGAAGAGGAGGCCGCATGGGCCAAGGCACAGGCACAGGCACAGGTACATGGCCAGCCTGGAGAGCCTGGAGATGGACTGAATCAAATGGCTTTTGCCACGCCGCCTGACTCGATGGATGATTGGGGCTTGACCTTGACGGTAAGTCGATGACCTCCACCATCATGCGGATGGACTGCTCATGATTCGTCTCAGATGTCAGATGCCGACTTCCCTTTCACTGAAATGGAGCCAATGAGCTGGCTGCTCAATGACGAGATGGCCGAAGATCTGCCTCTTTGGTGATGGGGTTAAGGTCCAGCTGGATCTCGATCGCATATCATGTATATCCTAGGTATCCTCCCTTCAAGGCCCAGCGCTGGATCTCGATCGCATATCATGTACTCCCTAGGGATCCTCCCTTCAAGGCGCGGCGCTGGATCTCGAATCGCATCCTATGTATTTAGGGATCCTCCCTCCAAGTCTCATGTTAGATCGGGAATTTGGGATCGTGCCAGCACGCCTCTGCCCATAACATGAAACATATCACATACTAGAAGGTTACAGACATATAATAAAGTGGCTGGTCCATTAACGCCCAAGAGTGGGAGTCTGTGAAGCAATTCAGGATTATAGATTATATTTAATCACAGGCTGAGCCCAGGCATCAGGGCCCACCAGCAGTGTAGAGAAACTCTGGAGAAAAAGTGATTGAAGCGTGTCTTGAACTTGGGGCGTGACTTTTCCTCACCTCGACGTCGTTCAGACCATCTATCGTGTGTGTGTTGTGTTAGGGTTAGGGTTAGGGTTGTACATACTCCGTACAGTATTGAGTTAGGGTTAGGGTTAGGGTTAGGGTACCTCGATCTATCTCCAACCCCGCCTGGCAACCTCAGTCCAAGCCTCACCCTCACTACCTACGGAGAACGAAGTACGGAGTACTCTGGACTGTGTTTTCCTTTTTTTCTTTTTGGACTTACGCTCGCCAAATCTCAGTCGTGACAGACTACTTACTAGCACACACACACACAACACGATGCCCTCCGCTCTGGTCACAGGCGCCACGGGCCTGCTGGGCCGACAAGTCTACAAGGCTTTCACCGACGCCGGCTGGCAGACGACAGGGACAGGCTTCAGTCGGGCGTCGGGGCCGATTCGCAAGCTGGACATCCAGGACGAAGAGGCTGTTCGGCAGCTGGTAGATGAGGTCAAGTAGGGATTATGCTCTCTTTCTCTCTCTCTCACACACACACACACACTCTCTCTCTCTCTCTCTCTCTTCCGCCCGTCACTCCTCCTCTTTATACACACCACCAGTGCTGTACGGAGTATGCCTCTACTACGACCCCCCCTCTACTTTCACTCCTCTTCACTCCTCTTTTATACTCACGATCAGTGCTGTACGGAATATGCCTCTACTATTCCCCCCTTCACTCCTCCTTTATACGCACGACCAGTGCTGTACGGAGTATGCCTCTACCCCCCACTTCTTTTGTATGCAGTACGGAGTATGGATCATAAGCAACTCCACGGCGAGAAGAGAACTAATCTAGTTTGTGTCCAGACCTCAAGTCATCGTCCACTGTGTGCTCCCACCGGACCAGCCTCGCTGACTCGAAGCTAACTCGGACCAGGCGCCGCAGATAGACAGCCGGACTCATGCACCAAGAACCCCGAAGCGGCGCACCGGCTGAACGTGACGGCGACGGCGCACCTGGCCCAGCTCGCCGCCGAACACGGCTCGTTCCTCATCTACATCTCGACAGACTACGTGTTCCCCGGCGTGGCGGGCCACGCTCCCTACAAAGCGACCGACAAGCCCCAGCCGACCAATGTTTACGGCCAGACGAAACTGGACGGCGAAAAGGCCGTGCTGGCAGCATATCCATCCCCGCACTCCTCAGTCGTCCTGCGCGTGCCCGTGCTGTATGGACCGGCGGAACAGAACAAAGAGAGCGCGGTCAACATCCTAATGGATGCCTTGTATAAATCCCAGACCGAGAAGGTCAAAATGGACGATTGGGCCATCCGCTACCCGACCAACGTGGAGGACGTGGCCAGGGTGTGTGTCGACATTGCGAAATACTACACTGCCGCGGCCGCCGCCGCCACCACTAAACAAGAGGGCCTTCCGCGCATCCTGCACATCACCAGTGAAGACCGCATGACCAAGTACGAAATCTGCAAGGTCTTTGCCGACATCATGGGCCTGCCGATCGATGGCGTCGTGCCCGACAAAGATGGCGGCAAGCCCGGCCCCGATGGCACGCTCAGACCCTACGATACTCATCTCGACACGAGCGACCTGAAGAAGCTGGGCATTGATGTTGCCACTGTGGACTTTGTCGCGTGGTGGCGGAGAAGGATGGGGGCATTTCGACATTGACATTGACATTGATAATGACATTGGTTCACATGGACATTGATTAATCCTTGAGATAATGACATTGATTCATCCTTGAAATGAACTAGTATCGAGATGGAGCTGCATAATGCAGACGGTCTGCTTGCTCTACACGCATGATACTGTATCCGTATTTGATCAAGGCTGTTGTTATTGATATTGATTATTGATAATTGATTGTTGATTGATTGTTGATACTGATATCGACGTCGATGCAGACGCTTGCTGAACGACTATAGTTAGTGCTTTTAGATACAAGGTACATGTACGTGGTAAGTATCTCCCACCTTCCACCGATGCAGACGCTTGGTTTCACCTTTGGAAATCATGAGAATCAATGAATGCTATCAATCGCTAATCACCTAGTAAAACACTCGCTTGATGGAACGATCCAGATTACTTCGCACCGTCTTCTCGTTCTTTTTCTCAAGTCTCTCCAGCATCAACGCTTGCCATTTCAGTCCGCTCCACGCCAGCACGAGGTTAAACACCCGATCACGATCGGCGGTTTGCAGCACAACCGTCAAAGTCGAATCCTTGTCCGTGCCATCCGAGTCTGACAAGAACAGAAACTGTAACACCTCCGCCGACCGGGAATGCACATGTCGGAGATTCTTGGTGGTCGAGTCCGTATCTACGTCGTCGAGCTTGCGGATTTCCGAAAGCTCATCAAATCGCCAGCTTCGAGCTAGAGCACCCTTGGTGTGTACTGTTATGCCCGTCCGGCTCACCACGAGTCGGGCTTTTCCATGGACTTTGTCGAAGACATTGAAGAAACGAGATCGAGATAATCGCCGTGTATCGTCGACCAGTTCCTCTTCTGGATCTAGATCTGGATCTTGGTCTTGGTCTTGTTCTGTCGAGGCTGGCTCGGTACTTTCGTGAGGCTGTGGAAGTTCAAACTCTGCGAGATCCGCATCTCTTAACAGCGCCTTTTCCTGTAGATGTTGAATGGCCAACTCCGCATGGGTAGGGATATCCCAAAACATCCAGCGAAACGGCGAGACAAGAAGTCGATATTGAGGCCACCTAGTTGCGATGGGGTAGCCACAGAAAAATACGACACCGCAAACCAACCAAAACAATTTCATGCAGAACGCCATGTCGCCAAGCACTGTCACCAAAAGGCAGCAAGCGAACAGAAACAAGGTCGCCGTTGTCATTCTAGGTCGTTCGAATCGATGGAAATTTGCCATGACCTCAAGAAGACCAACGAGGTCGCCCAGTTGTAGCTGGATCATAGGGCCAAGTTCGTCCAGGAGAGGTTCAAGCCAGTCATGCTTGCCATGCTTTTGAATCAGTTCTCCCCAAGCCTGGACATGAGCTCCCCGATCAACGGATCTTGCCACACTTTCTCGAATGCTCTGAACGGATCTCGGCTGTAAGTGGTTCCGGATTGTCGAGTAGATGATGTAGAAGTAAAGGAAGCCCATCATGTGCTCGGTGTACCATAGAACACAGTACAGCGCCAGCCAGCGCGCCGTCTTCTTGGGGTCTGTCCACATGTAGACATTCCGGACATTGATCAAAAATGATTGCCATGGGGCACTGATGATAGCGAGCCGTTCGATTATTCGAGCGACATCTTCCAGGTCGAAAGGAGGGGACTCAAATTCGTCAATGTAAGGCGCGGTGAACTCTTGAGTGTAGTAGAGAAGCAAATGTCCCAGATACCGGTCCCATTGCAGTCGGGCTTCGCCATCGGTGACGGTCATGAACTGGGATCGATCAGGACGAGGAATCGGCCGGACCACTTTAACGCGACAGACGTGACGACTCAAAACCCAGGCAGTTTGGAGACTATCCCTTTGATCTTCCAGCGCATGGACTCGGGCATGAGCATCATCGACATCGGCCGTGAACTTATCGACGTCTGAGACCAATGAAACATGCGATGCGGCTCGTGCAAGAGAATCATGTGCATCCAGCAATTCTTGATCTCGATCAATGGTGAGAGTTGGATGTCTGGCATTTCCCAGTTTCTCTGCCGCCATGCGGGTAGCTTGGCCGCGCATCACACGTTTGGGGTGGCAGAGGAGATACTTCAACCCCTTGGCGCCATCGGAGAGAGTCTCGTGGGTCGAGTTTTTGGACTTGGGAGAGGTCTTCTGTTGGATTTTGGAAGGGTCGAAGGCCGCATCGGTAAAGATGTCTGTCTCGTCGTCTGAGACATGGTCGTCGGGATAAGAAGGACCTGTAGCGTCAAGTAGCTGTTTGGCTTTTTCCTTCGCTCTGTTCTTGAGATGGATCACCCCATCAAAGAGGTCGCTGGCATGTTGCTCAGCTTCCGTGATACTGTCCTGAGGAACAGAAGGCATGCTAAAGAGAGTGGGAGACGCAACCAACGAAAACGGGCGCTCTTTTAGATTCTAACATGCTCTACAGAATTGGCTCACGGTTGGGATGAATGAGATGAATATGCTTCTCATTGTTGTGTCACAGAGTGACGAAAGGTGTAATGGCAAGGGCAAGCAGTCACGGAGCCATGGCTGTACCGAGTAGGTGGGCGGGAGGGCGGCCATCCAGTGTTAAGGGGAACGAAGATATTGTGAGGCTATCATGACAGCCTGATATCAGATGATCCGTCCTTTTATCTTCTAAGGTTTCGGCGTGCCAACTCTGGAGCGCTCGGGACACTTCTGACTGGAGTGCGCGTTCGATGTCGATGGTCGATGGTCCATTGCCGATGAAGCCTGGACGCGAGATGAGAGAGAAACCGGAGAAAGATGCCGAGCTACGTCACCGACGGGCAGCTGCAAGACGAATGACGCAACTATGGCGGTGCAGAAAGCACTAGACCGTATTAGTAGTAGTGCCTGTTAGTGCCTGTGGCTGTTGCTCTATCAATAACGGCGAACCTTTGATGCATTCGACGCAGAACGAGACACCACAAGAACCGGAACGAAAGAAAGGCTTCACTAACCCTGCCACAGCTAGATCTAAATAACCCCATAGAGGGGCTGCGCTGGAGATGAAGTTCATGCTGCGGGCAGAGTGCAGAGCAGCTACCGGTGCTTGGAAGGTATTCCTTACATCGGCACCAAGCAGCCTGTCCACTCGTTGTTATGTGATCAAGTTGGTGGCAGAGAGTGCGTGAATACATGGTTGACTGAGCGTGAGGCTGAGGCTGTCCGTTCCTGGTAATGGGTGCGACCTAGGGTGCGACCTGCGACCTATTCTGCTGCACCCTTGAACAGTTTGTTATGATTTTGTGTTGATTGACGCCTGATATTGTTCTCTGCCTTCACTGCCTTTACCTGTTCCACACTTCGTCCACATCCACATACTCTTGTCCTCCACCTCAGTTCCAGAATCCCAAGCAAATATCACTGTGCTCTCCAAATGTTCATGTTGTCAAAATGAGCGACCAGCCGCCTCCTCGAAAGAAATCTCGCTTCTTCAGCAATGGTAAAAGTAAGATAGGCAATATCCTCCACCCTTTCAAGAAGTTGTCACAAAGAGATGATTCACAAGAGCGAGATCATTCTTCAGCTACTACCAGCACGGTCAACAACGGCTTCTCCTCCAGCAATCCTCCTTCCCGCCCGTCTCTACATCCGCCACATCCTCGAAGTACTGCCTCCGTTAACCCATCCCCTACTCGAAGCCTTCCGCCTCCTCCCCAGTCTGCAATCAAATCTGGACTTCAATCAGACACGCGATCGAATCAACCTAGTCAAGGCCAACGCCATGGTGTGCCACAACAACCGATGTCTGACAGTGAAGCCGAGACAGACGTTGAAGAGAGCCATGATGGCGGTCATGACCAGACCTGGGATGAAAGTGACACGGAGAATGCCAACCCCGAAAGCCCCAGTCCATCAAACTCGAATCTGAACGGAATGGCTGTCAGAGCTAAGCGGAGAGACGGAATCTACGGCGTCGAGACTCTTCTTGCCCAGGCCAGCAATGCCAATGGACAAGAGGCAGACAACATTGCTGCAGGCCAAACCAGAACTGGGCTACAAGGCTCGAGCTCGAGCTCAGCCTCGGATCCAGACCCAGACGCCGGCCCAATTGTCACACAGCACACCTACACAGGCGTCTCATCTCTCGTCCAACTCGCAGCCAATCTGGGCGGTATTCCTCCTGGCCATCCTCTCCTCAGACCTGCTTTCGAACCATTTACAACGACTCGACTAACGCCTCGACCCATGCCCAACGAGCCAACCGTGCCAATCGCTTGGAATGAAGAGCAACAGCCGACTAGGCCTGGAAACACTCAATTGGGACGAGAAGCTACGCGCAGTAATGCAGACACATTCAACTCGGGTCAACAATCCAACCCCATCCCGAGCCGTCCACTGCCAGCGCCGCTCCCAGCCGGTGAAGTTGCACGTTACGTTGATCTGGACCGCGACGCCCAGGGCAGACTCCTTCCCAGACCACCTCGACTCACCAACACCATGTTGTTCCACAACGGGCGATTCCCTGCAGAGTACGAGGGCAGTCTGGGCAAGCCCCTACCGACAGTCACTCCAGCCCCACACCTGGCCAATCCCGAATCTCTCGTCCCTGAACACATGTACATGGCGCCGAACCGGGTGGAACGAGCTCAACACTACGCGCGGATCTCATTGAAGCGCAAACGACCCGAGGCCATCCTCCCACCGCCGTCATACGTGTACCAGCGCACCAACGACCCGGAGTTCAATGTGTTCCACGGAATTTTGCTCTATCCGGAAATAGTGTTCGCTCTTGCCACGGCCTTACCGGTCAAAGACTTGATCAGTCTTTATGCGATCAGCAAGGACTTCCACACAATCGTGGATACGCGGTTCACAACAGTCGTGCTAAGCCAGGCAGTCGCCAAAGCGCCCGAGTCGGCTCGCACCTTCTCCTTCCGCTCGTACGCACACCTGTGTCGTCAAGATCCGGTAGCACGCATTCCACACCCGAACGCACGCATGGCGGAGCGTAACATAGCCCGCAAGATCCCGTCGTTCCGCTGGCTCAAAATGGTCCTCCACCGCGAGAAAGTCGTGCATGAGCTGATGGCCGTGTTTGCCGAGGAAGGTATCCCACTCCCGTTCCGCTGCCGGCTGGCCATCAAGCGGCTCTGGTTCATGCTCGACATCCCCGACAACGCTCGGCGAATCGGGTATTGCCACAACAAGCAGCTTATGACCAACCTAGATTTGCACTTTGCGGCCTGCTTTTTCACGAAACTCGACATGCGCCTGAATGACCCCACGGCGGGAGAGAAGCGGGACGGCATGCGCAAACTGCTCCTGTCGCAACGTAGCTTCACCACCATCCTGAAAGTGCTCAAACGCGACATGTGGACGACTCGCTTTGCCGTGCTTCAAGAGTGGATCAAGCTAAAGTATAAGCCGCTACACGACGAACGCACCCTGACCATCTTCGGCGTCCCTCCCGACCAGATCGGCAGAGGTCATCTCGAATACTGGGGCACACGAAGTGCCGCACAACTAGGTCGGCAGCCAGAGCACCTTCTCCGTCCCGATCAGTTGATTGTTCGCGAGGCGTTCCGTCGTGGCATCCCTTTTGGAGAGGACTATGTCCGGTTCGTGCTGTACGGGTATGTGAGGCCGGATACGCTCGAGAACTATGCACCACGCAAGTACGGCCGGAGAATCGAGGCCATCAAGGACGACGAATACGACATCGACGATGCCATCGGTGGCGTGGCGGCGTTGGGCGTCGGTGATGAAGGCTTTGACGGACTGCTTGATCTCGGGCCCGCCCGGCGAGGGAGCATCTACACCATTGTGAAGGAGCAGACGAGCAAGAGTGAAAAGGAGCTGCGAACCCAGCAGGACCGGTTTTTGAAGGATTGTCTTGCATGGTGGGAGCGGGAGAAGATGGAGATGGAGCGACAAACCCCGAGTGATTGAGTATGGGACGTGCAATAATAGTCAGACGTGCTATTAAAGAACAGTCCAAGTGCTAGAGCAGCGTACCAACAGACTCGGGATGCAAAAAGGGCCCAGATGTCCCTACAGTGCAGAATCAGGGCAGACCACAAACACGGTCAGAGCTACACAATCCAGCATCACTTGGAAACGGGACTGAAGGGAATTGCGACCCAAAATTGGCCCGGGGCCAAGTCACATTTCGGAAAACCAAGTTTCGAGCCTCGAGTCTCGTTGTGGAATTCTGCCCTCAATGATCATAATCAAACGTATTCTTCTTCGCTTCGTAGCTTGATAGCTGGGCTCGTCGAGTAGCTTGTTGCGTTTGCGTGTATCTTGGTCCTGTCTTGTGTCTTGTTCTTTTCCGTACGGTGCAGTCGGCTCCCTGCAGCACATGTATATGATATGTTGGCCGACTTTTGTCTCATCCAAACGCCAACCCAGTTCCCAGTTCCCAGTCCTAGATGCAGGGTATCGCTCGCTTTCCGGCTCCAATCCCAACGCCGTCCAATGGCATCAAAATAGACACTTCGCCCCAAGATTGCGATTGCGGCGTAACATTCATTGAAGCCCAAGTAGACCCCCTTCCAGGATGGCCTTTGCCAGAGTTGTATGGCTAGCATCAGCAATACGACTTCCTATGACCGGTCCAATCGTATCGACCAACTTGGTTCGCAGCTCATTCGCAGATTCTTCCGAATGTCCATTCATCATCGGAATCTCGTCGTCTACCAATGTGCCCAGGGCATTGAGGATCGCGCTGACCACCTTCTCTGCCTCGGCTTTTTTCACACTGGAATCTTGAAGATCGTCGTCCAACAGTTCTCCAAACGCCTTGAGATTGGGGATGATCAGCTGTCTCACCACCTCGGCTCCTCCGATCGCTTTCAATCCGAGGATGGCGCCATAATGGCTTCCAAGTGGCTTCGTCGGATCAAGAAAAGTCTTCAATAATGACCGCGCCAGTCGCGGCTTGAGGTTATGCGAGTACTTGGAATACTTATGGCAGAGGTGCCCTAATAACGACGCCGCCAGATCGCGAAGCTCGTAGTGGTCGAGAGAACCAATGCCTGAACCCAACGTTCGGCCAATCAGGCACGTCAACACCGGAGGCACGAGTGAGGCTACCTGTGCATCCAGTCAGTCAGTTAGTCAACTAGGTATATGCATAACTCGAGAGATCCAGTCTCGACACGATTTCGAGGTCCGCGGCTGGCTAGGGCACTCTTACATATGGAGTTAGATTGAGTGTGCTGTTCCTCGTCAACGCATCAATCACCAACATCATCTGTGTAAGAACGAACAGATCTTTGAGATTGTGCGTCACCTTCTCCGCCACAAATTGCACGAAGTAAGGCAGCAGCTGATGCAGTCCAGGGTCATCCTTCAGACTGGCCAGCCCCGCAGTGCGATATTCCGGTTGGGTCTCGTCCAGTACCGACGCGCACACCTTTTCAAAGTATAGTTGCAGCTCTTTAGACAGAATATGCTTGACCTGGGGCTTGGTGGTTGTGGTGTCAGCGCCAGTCATGGCTGCCAGGGCAGGATTCGCGTTCGGTCCTTTGGGGAGGAGTTCCAGGTTTCTCGATTCATTGCTTGTGGGATTTTGAGGTATTGACGGCTGCACACCTTCCACCGCCAGCCAGTGCGCTGTAATGGGTGAGCTTGAGACCGATGCAAATTCATCGCGGCCGCGGCCATACGCGATACATACCAGTGAACGAGACCTCCCGGGGCACCTTTGGCAGCGGCGCATTTATCAGCTTCTCAAAATCCATCTCTTCATCCTCGACATAGAACAACGGTTGCCCTGGCCCCAGCGAGGCTTCTCCATATTTCAATGGGCGTGTCGTCTCGTAACCGTACAAGGGTTCAACGTCCAGCACCCGGAGCGCCTGCGAGATATCCTGCGTCCACAAGATCGTCCTTTTCGCATGTTTCATGAACTTCAGCGCTTCCTGCAGGACCTGGGATATGCGGTACTCGATGTCTCGAGACAGAGCCTGGCTGACTTCCTTGTTGAGGTGGACGATCCCGACGGATTCGGCGACATCCTTGACGGTGTCTTGACCCCAGAGAGTCATTGTGACATCGGGCACAAGGGAGTGAATGTATGGACTGGTTCGAGACGAGGGAGGGTGCGCGGTTGAGTCTGAACTAACGAGTTGCGGAGAAGCATCAGTTGCAGATAGATGTCTAGTATCGCTGATGCAGAATCACGATAGGATTGTTGCCGCTCTAACAACCACCCGAAATGGTTAGGTCGTTAATTCCCAAGCAGCAAGAGATTAATCTATTTCTGGCTTTATGGCAGTTAGGATATATTAGTATAATCGACACCTCCTTACATACTGATAAAGCGTATACAGAGTCTACTAATCACTTGAGGCATTTGAAGTGATGAGTACCTAGTCGTGTGGTGATGCAGACTGCAGGTGATTCATGCTATTCCTCTATCAAGACTTTGTGATTTCTGTTACAGGTGGCACGCGCTTCATCTGCATCTTGAAGCCTCGAGGCTGCCTCACATACTTCGTCTTCAAGTCTGTATCTAGGTGGCTTTTCAGTTGTTCAGAACACTGTCAATGATCTCAGCATCGCGGAGTAGCTGCTCATCACCAAGCCTTGGTCCAGCAAGTTGTAGAGCAATCGGTGCACCGGCCATGAGTTCAACATCGTCTATGCCAGCCATCAGCTAGGTTCATGGCCAAGTAGCAATGAGGGGAGACTTACATAAAGCTCCCAGTTCTTTGTCAAGTTCGGACATTGGCTCAAAGACGAACTCTTTCGGGTCCTTGGCAGGGTCGACCGTCCCATAAGGCAGGATGACCGCAGGATACTGCATTTTGTTAGCCTCAAGATTTCCACCACCAAGTTCACTTCGAGGTATCTTACATCAACAGCATTCCACACTACTGTGTACATCTCATTCTTCATCTCGCCTGGCTTGACCGCAGTATGAGGCGCGGCAGGGCACAAAACGACATCAATCCCAGCCTCACGCCACTTGTCCAGCATCTCCTTCTGGTACTCAATCTTCTTGGCATTCCACTTCCACATTTCTTCGGCGGACTTCGGCTCACGGTCCCAGAAACCGATGCCAAACACGCTGGGCACCGGTGGCTCCCCCGCCTTGGCCAACTCGCCCTTGGCATACGAGAGGCCGTCAGCAGTAAAGAGTTGCGAGGTGATCTCGCGAATGTCGGCAAAGTCGGGCGGTGTGAAGGGCTTCACGACGAAGCCGGCGGCCTCGAGCTTGGCCACGGCCGACTGTAGGGCGCGTTGGATGGGCGGTTGCGGGGTTAGGCCACTCTTGTAGATGACGCCGACGACGGGCTTACGAGAGGTGGTGCCCTGCTCAAAGAACGTGGGCATGATTGCTGGGTCTTGCAGCCAGGGTTCGGCGGCGCGGACAACGCGTGTGAGGAGGGTTATATCACGCATGGAGTGACCCATGGGGCCACACACAGCCGGCACGCCGCTGTTCAGGCCAGGCCAGTTGGAATGGGCGTACTTGAGGAGGGGAAGGAGACCGTAGCTTGGTTTGTATCCATAGCAGCCGTTCAAAGCGCATGGGACCCTTCAGGATGCTCGTCAGTTCCACTAGGCATACAGTATACTTGTTGATACCAGCGGGTGCCAACTTACCGGATGGAGCCTGCAACATCGGTGCCAATTCCCAGCGCACTGGACCGGAAAGCCTGCGCTGCACCCTCGCCACCACTACTTCCACCGCAGGTCAAGTGTGATACAACCGGATTCTTGGATCGCCCAAAGACATTGTTGTCCGACTCGGCCACCAACATGGTCTGGGGGTTATTCGTCTTCGCAATCACGACGGCCCCGGCATTGCGCACAATTTCAATCAAGTAGCTGTCGTAAGTCGAGGGTTGGAAGGCGCGGGAAATATAACCATCTGTCCAGTCGTATCCTTTGACATGGAAACATTCCTCCAAACTCAATGAGCGAATAAACTGAGAGGTAGCCTCTGTAGCTCACTCACCTTGAAAGTCATCGGGACCCCGTGTAATGAACCCACTACCTTCCCCGTTTCCTTGAAGTGCGCATCCAACTTCTTCGCGTCTGCAATGGCATCGAGAAACATGATCTCGGTCAAGTTGTTGCATAGCTGCTGCCCCACCGCCGCCCGCTTGCAGAATGCAACGGCGACTTCTTCAGCCGAGTAGACGCCTTTCGCAATTTGCTCCGCCAACGCAGTCGCATCGTAGGCGCCGGTGATCTGCAGCTCGCGCTGGGAGAGAATGCCACACGTCTCGACAACAGGGCGCAAGTCTCGCACATCGTCGCCGGGGATGTCGTTGAGCTGTAACTTCCAAGACGCAGGGATACGAGATTCTTGTTGGGCCTTTTTCTCGGCCGCAATCTCTTGCCACGGTCTTGGTGGTGTCATTGTTGGGGAGCGAGGAACGAACGCCTATGCAGAAGGACATCTGCGAGGGAGGCGTTACGAAGGCGAGCCGTCGCTTTATAGCTCTCTGCAGGGGTACGAAGATGTGGCATGGCACTCGCACGAGGACCTGGATAGCATCGACTCTCGCTATCGAGTTGGTTCATATCTTCGTACTATGGTGGTAAATCAGCATCCACGTTCTCAAGCGCGGCCTTTACCTATCGATCGGATCGCACGCATTTTCCTATTTCAGCGCACCCGAGTGGAGTTGCAGCTGCCATTGAGCGCGGCCGTCGAGACCTTAGATAGCATGCTCTGGTTTCACTAGGTTGTCAGCCTTCAAACCCATCTTTGCAGAGCATATGCTGAAGTTGTCACCCTTTCCACTCAATGAAGAACAAAGAGAGAAAAGGCGAGGACTGTCTAAGGTGCCTGCTGCTGCCTATAGTACATGTAGAGTGAAGTGTAGCTGTACGTGTAATGTGTACGGTTACTGTAATGCTACCGAAATCGGGGACGGAATTACATTTTCCCGACCTTGGAACGCCACGATTGCAGATTTCACGCTTGACCCAATGTGGTCAATGCAGGCTATCAGATAAGGCCGTCGGTCTGGGACAAGGGCACTCGTACCTATAGATCTCCGCTCCTACTACTCGTACCCGTACACCCGTACAGTATCCCTGCGAAGGGAGACCTTCCTCACTCATCTAACGGCTCACCGGGCAATCGATTCCCAACCGACAGTCGGCATGCTTAAACGGTCTCGCGATGGCTGCATTGGCTGCAAACGAGCAAAGGTCAAGTGTGACGAGATTCGACCGACCTGTGGAACCTGCGCTCGTCGTGGCCACCTCTGCAATGGCTACGGTGCAAGGCCGCTGAAATGGCAAAAGGTGAACAAAACGACATCGGTGGTTGGCCGTAAGAGGAAAAGGAACAGGAACACTCCCACCGTCCTTGTCCTTCCTGACACCGGCAAGTGTAACAAGAGCGTTGCTGGACCGCCTCCGAGCCGACCTGATGAAGCAAAGAGAGCCATCAACTTCAAGCAGCCCAATCCAGTGCAATGGAGGACGCTATCAGCATTTCCGGCCGGTGTTCTGTCACCAACCGACGAGCGCATCATCAGCGTCTACTTCCACCGACATCCGCCAGACATGGTGATGAACGAGGAGGGTGACTTCATGCATGAGATGAATGCCAACGCTCTACTGCTGCTCAATCACGATCCACAGGTCGTGAGCGATACGCTATGTTGCATTGGTCAAGTCTACATTCAGCAAAGCAGTAACGGGTCAATGGTACCTGCGTTGGATCGAAAAGGACGCGCGCTGGCAAGACTACAGAAGTTGGCAAACTTGAAGCATAGTCTAGAGCAGACTGTCTTACTGTTGCTGGGTTTGTGCGCAATGGATGTACGTATGTGGCCTCTTAACTTCCACGCTGATCAAACTGACAAGTGCGGCAAGCTTATCGACGATAAATACGAGCCCGGGAATTCCGCAATCCCTCTCCTGCACGCCTACGCCGCGATGCGCATTCGGGGGCACATGAACGCTGGGCTCGAATTCAGCCATCTCTCCAAGTACTTTATCCGGGGGCTCGCTCGGCAAGAGATGATTACCGCGCTTGTCCACCGCCGACGAAACTTGATACAGACCGGTGTCTGGCTTGACGAAGAGTGTCGAACCTCGGCCGATCGCTTCATGGGGCTTACAGTCACTTTGATGCCATTGTTGGAGGAGCTGTGCGCGCTCGCTGAAGACCTACGAGCTTGTGCAGCGGATGGTCGTCCATTTTTGTCAAGAGGAATTGGATCAGGCGAGTCCGAGGATGTTGGGATCACATCCTTGGCCTTCACTCCCTCAAACTCGCACCTCGACCGCGCTGCGAACCTGCGCGCCCGCATCGAGTCATGGCGGCCGGTAGCAAATCGAGCAACCTCGGTCCGCTCCCAACAGAAGTTCCTCTACCAAGCCTGTGCCCACCGCTGCGCAGCCCTGCTCTACCTTCACCGACTCTTCCGCCCTGCGGGTTGCTCCGTAGAAGCAGATCAAGTGGCTCTTGGTATAGCATGTGAGATCCTCCCATACCTACAGGCACTTCCGGAAGAGATCCGCACCTCACTCTGGCCGGCCTTCATGGCTGCTGCCGAGTTGGACGCCCGAGAGGACCGTACTGCCATTCTTCGTGTGTTCGACAACATGTATGGCAGCAGGAAAACGACGACGACGTTGAGAACCAAGGCATTCGTCGTCGAGATGATTTGGAAGGCGAGAGACACTGGGCAGAACTGGGGTTGGATGGCGCTTGTGGATCGCCATCCTTACGAATGTCTACCGATCTGATAGTCGGCTACAATATGTCTCTGCGCATTCTGGCGAGTTTACATGGCTTGTGGGCACCTCACATCATACACCACAATATCAAGCCCCTTGCTGCTCCGACACTCGCCATACCAATCGAGCTCCACTGACTTCCTTCCGTCTCAACATCGACAAGGCCTTCTCCGCGCGTTCCAGCAGAGTGCGGCCTTCAACAATCACCTGGTCGTTCGGCTCGACAACTCGGTTGGCCAACAGCGTCGGCATGATCTCCGATTGCAGTCGGTCGGCCAGAAACTTGTTTTCCAGGTAGAAGTGAGTGCGGACGCCCACCGCCTGCACGCCGTCGGCCCAATCTGCCACCGCCTTGACATCCATGTCGTATTCTGGCTTGACACCGTCGGCGGCATCTTTGACGATAACCGGCAACATGACAGCAACCTTAGCTCCCGCTCTGGCAATGCGCGCCACGGGTCTGACGCTGCCTTCCAGACTCCCTATGCAATCCAAGATATAGGCGATGCGGGCCGTGGGTGCCTGAGCAGCGACAAAGTCCAAGATTTGCTGCTCGACATTGCCGGCTCTGTCTCTGTAGTCGAAGGATTTCGCTGCACCGTAGGCCTGCAGTCTTTGGTGATGTTTCTTGCTCGCAGTCACGACCACGTTCGCGTATCCGTACCATTTCAAGATCTGCAGTGCATACTGGCCCACGCTGGAACCGCCGCCCCAGATCAGAATCCACGCGTCTTTTTCCTTGGGCACATAGCTTTCCGGTTTCGGCCACGGCAGTTCCAAGCCAAATTCGGTGGTGAAGGTGTGCCAGGCAGTCACAAAGTTGTTTGGCACCGTCGCAGCGGCTTGCGGCGAGATGCCCTTGGGGAGCTTTCCAAACAGGTATTCCGAGGCGACGACAAACTCCTGCTGTCCTTTCTCGGCCTGAGTTCGCCAGCTGAACCCAAACACCTTGTCGCCAACCTTGAGCTTGGACACTTGTGGGCCGACCTGCACGACCTCGCCGACCACGGTGTCACCGAGCACTTGGGGATGCTTGACGAGGAGCCCTCCATCGGCCTGGTGGAGATCGAGAGGAGTCGACGCCGTCCATTCGTTCCTGATTCGAACTTGGTCCGCGGTTGGGACGGGGGTGGGGAGTTGGTGGACTTCCAACGGCAGTCCCTGGCCGACCGTCACCACCGCCGCATGAGTGTGAGTGGGAGTGGCCATCACGCGTATGTGTATACGCAAAGCCTAAGCCTCGAATGTTTCTCCACGAAGTATCCGTACACGAAGAGGCAATACAGTCGAAGACACAATTGCAGTGCGAGAGCTCTTGAGGAAGGAAGGAATGCGTTCGTAGCCTTTCTCTCTGTCAATCAATCAGATATCTACCCTAGACGGAGTATATGGAGAAGGAAGCCTTTGCCAAATAAACACCCATGGGTGCGAAAGGGAAATCCTCTGAGCGGGAGCCGACCGGATCATCACTTGTATTATATATGTAATGTATTATATGTCTTGCGAGCCATCCCATCCAGAGGACCCTTCTACCGCCAATTTCGTCCATGGCCACTGCTTGATCCCAGGGGAACATTAGTCAGACACAGGTGGCAGCGGGCTGAGATTTCGTCCGAAACTTGAATGCCAAGGGTAATAATAATGTTGGAAATCTGGCCCGGGCTCAGGCTCAGCCTCGATCGGGACGAGGGTGATGCCGCCCTATGCTCACCATACAAAGGAATTAGACCTTGAGTCACGTAACTCCATATGACTACGCTAGGATTAGCGTAGCCTTGCACGTAACTTAGCGATAGTCGCCTCCTATACGCGAGCCTCAGTAGGGTTAGGGTAAGGGTTAGGATTAAGCCTCGCGACTCTAATAGACTCCCCTCCGTCTTGAATTCATATTGCAAAGCGCACCTTAGGTACGTTTGCTCGTATCTCGTTACAGTGCGCCGAGGGGTCGGGCTCTCGGGCTCCCGTTCTCTCAAAGCCTCGCTGGCCGTCCCTAACGCTGCTTGGAGGACGCAGTTGCCATCTTGATATATAATTCAACCCGGTTGCATTTCTTTCCAACAATTGGGAAACTCCCTTGTTTGGGTCCGCTGGTGTACCTGCAACACCTCAGAGACGACGGCTAAGGACGCTGTACCGATTGGGTTCGAAAGAACCACGAACCACTGGTCGTGGTTTCACTTCCCTCCAGGTATTGTGGGTGTTTGGAGGAAAAAGTTTTGTGGGTGCTTGGAGGAAAAAGTTTTTTTGCACTTTCGAACCGAGAACTTGTTGTCTAAAGTGGTTGGTATCCAGGGTATTTTCGCTGTGTGCGTTCGTTTGCGCTGTTGTGCGGTTGTGGTGTGGTGTTATGTGTTGTGACCTACTGTCTGCGTTCAAGTTCTCTTCATTTACCTAGGTACTCTCACTCAGTCACCAGAGCAAATTTCAATAAATCGCCATCTATAATCTTGTCTTTCTTTGCCATCAACTCTTCCATGTCCCAAGTGGCACAAATCAGCCTCCCGCTCAGCCACATGATGTCCTGCAGCTGTTTGGTCAGCCAGACACAGACCGCTCCACACAGCGCAACATCATCGGTCAAATCTATGGGGGGGGATCAGTTAGAGAAGGACAAGGACCAGGAGAAGCAGTGAGAGAAGAACAAGGATAGGGAAAGCAAAAGGAGTGAAACCCAGGTCCGAAAATAAACCAAAAGGAGTGAAACCTAGGTCCAAAACACTCACAGGGCAAAAACACTTCGGGCGTGTTCCCCTCGGCCATCCTGGTCTTGACCGCGCCCGGGTGCAATGCAATGCTCACCAAGCCCTCGTCGGCGAATTGCTCGTGCAGACACTCGACCAGCCTGATCTGCGCCATCTTACTGACCGTGTAGCCGGTGTTAGCAATCGGGCCTCGTCTCAAACAGCCGGCGACCGATCCGACCGCAATGAAGCCCTTGGCGCCATTGGGCGATGCGAGCAACAGAGGCACGAAATAATGTGCTGCGAGATACGTCCCCAGAGCATTGACGTCAAACGCTCGCTGTACCCAGTCCGGGTTTCCTTGGTCCATCTTCAACGTGACTGGGCCGGCATAGCCCGCGTTGAGAACGAGGACATCCAGCCGTCCACACTTGCTGGTCACGTAGCTGGCCAGCGCCTCCACAGCCGCGGCATGCGAGACATCGCACTCGACAACATCGACCTGGATGGCAGGATTGATCTTTTCAACCGCCTCGGCCACCACCTGTAAATCGCCGATGGTCCGAGACGAAAGAATGATTCTCGCCGCGCCCGCCCGCGCATACGCATAAGCAATGTGCTCCCCGATGCCGGTGCTCGCGCCAATAATACACACGGTGAATGATGCCGGGAGCCTGACGCTGGCAGGATCTAAATATGCTGGTGGATATTGATGGCGTGTCTGCACAAACTGGTCAACGGCCAGTACGCGGGGGTCGCCGCTCATGGTCAACAAATTTGGATCAGTCACCAAACAAGAGCAGCGCCTGGTTGAGATGGAGTATGATTGGCAAGAGAAGACTCACAAAGCGGGAAGCGGTGCGTCTGGTGGGAAAATTGGCAACTAAATTGGGGTGATCCAAATCGTGACCATATTTTGAAATGATACAATTTAAAGTACGGATGGTACCTAGCAGTAGTTACTCTTTTATTCGCACCATTCGGTATCTTTTGGTGACTAAGCGAGAAACGAGCAAGTCTAGTCCAACCTATTGTACCTAGCACTCTTGGGAGTATTATGTTGCTGTCTATAATACCTGGAAAATAAGAGTATGTTGCTGTCTATAATACCTGGAAAATAAGAGTAAGTCGCTGTCTACAATGCCTAGAAGTAATACATGAATCCCAGTGTCTCTTTGGGCATAGAGTCGTTTCTTCCTCAAGACAGCACCAGATACTCTTGAAAGCGGCGCTCCTGGTCTACTGTTGACATATTTCCGAAGCAATGAAATTTGCTTGACTGCTTGGAAGCAAGAGAAGACCTGTTTTCGTTCTGCAGCTCTATGAAGGCCTAGGTGGTCAACTGAGGGATGGCCTCCAAGACGGCTATACGACGCAATGGTCGCGTACTGCTTTCTTGAAGTCGGCGCAACGAAGATCACATGCACGCATGTATTCAGCCCCGGACTTGAGAGATGTTGAGTACGGCCACCTTTGGCCCCTGCTGAGTACCAAAACGCTACAGCAGACAAGCAGATCATCTGTCAACAGCATCATTCATTGCTATTGGGGAACCCGCACTGTCGCAGCAAGTACTGCTTCTGCTCCGAATGAGGACGGTGATCCTGACAGCCGGTCAAGTATTGCAAGCAATTGGTGGCTGTGTAATGAGACTGCAAATGTTCCAGAGATTCATGGACAGACGCGCGTTGGGTCCAATGTGAATATTGTTGATACCACCACCAAGTCACGAAGCTAGCCAGCAGGTAGAGCAGTCAAGTGCGGTAGTGTGGAATGATCGGAACAGGTCGCACTTCACGATGCAAGTGGTCTGCTCTCGACGTACTCATGGCTATCCATGGAATACTGTCCCGCGCCTCAGGTTCGGGAATGGGCCGACTTCCTAGACCAGCTTTGTTGGAAGAATCGTGATCCCTACCTCAAGGGCTGCATAGCCGTGGTCCCGATCTGGACACAAGATAGGTGGATCCAGGAAATCTGCTTGGAAGGCCACAAAGTCCACGTATGGCGCTTTGTGACAGATACATCAGACTCAATCTTGCCTGCTCTGGGACAGGCGCTCCCATCTCATCTATCCGGAGTCGGACCTTGCAAGGCCTTGGTGTTCGCATTTTGTTGCACATCGGAGAAGTCGGAGGCCATCCTCATACGAGTGTCGCCTATCTGAAGCAGTTTCTGAACCACCCAACCTCTTTCGGCACCAGGATCGAAGACCGCCAGGCAAAGCCTCAGGGCGAAGATAACGAAGAAGGGCCCAAGAAAGGAGGAGCCCATCATGAATGGTGTAGAGCGGCAGATTTCCCGTGCCATCTCGCGATTCTCCATTAGATACAGGCCTATCATTTCCGGCGCAGAATCCTTTTCCAGATCCTTCAGAGCAAGATTCAGCAGGAGCATAATGGTCCAATAGCCCACGTGGGTCGACCCCACAAAGACATTGATGTAGACGTATTGTACAGGGATAACAGGATCATTGGTCGTCAGGGTTATCGTGTGCAGGCCGAGCCTCTCCATGGTGGCACGAAATTTCATGTTGATGGATTTGAGATTGGCCCGGTGCCGTTTGCAACGTTCCAAGACCGATGCTTTCAGTAGCGCGTACTGGTCTGGCGAGAGTAGCTGGCGTGCACCGGAAAGCCTCATGACGTCCTGAAAAGTGCCGGGAATATGTATGTTTTCGCAGTAGAATTCTTCAGCTAGATCAAAGATCACCATCCGTTCCGAGGACATGGCGGAAGAGCGAAGATCTTGGTGGACTTGTCGTGCCAGTTCGATCCAGTCTGGTTGTGCCAGAAAGCAAGCCTCATCCTTTTGGAATGCGTCTATCACAATCGTGTGGCGGAAAGCGAGATAGATATCGCGATCCATCCCGTGCAGATGTCGCTTCGGGCCACGGATACGCATCAATGCTCCAGCGCCGCCGGCATGACGCACCCATGAGTCATTGGAGTCAGAAGCCAGCATCTCGTAGAAGGACAGTAGTATGGTGGCCGACAACGTTTCCGTGCCCATGCCCTTCTTTTCATCTGCCAGCGACTGACTAAGAAGGTGGAGGGCCTTGCCGTAGTACCGCCTCGATTCCTGCACGAGAATCTCTGTTTGTTGGATTCGACCTAGATGGACAAGTGAAACGGCCCGAACGGCCGTATCGAGGAGTCTCGTGCCGAATAAGCCTGGTAGCTGAGAGAGCCAGCGAGTGTGATTTCGCAATTGTGGGGGAAGAAGGACCGGGGCAGTAGGGTTCGTGAAGGCGTGAGAAAAGGTACTCAAGAGCTGCTCCTGCGCGAGATATGGAGAGTATACATTGCTATTCAGCACCAATCCCAAATCAATGTCCAGGGTGGCTGGGTCACTATTGAGTGATCCGGTGCTATACGCTGGCGGCTTAATGCTAAGGAGGTCGAAGTCCGGATTGATTTGATTCTCTAGAAGAGCGATGAAGGAATTGCGTGAAGGCAGGAGGACCTCACCACGGTGGCCCTGCTGGTCGTCATCGGTGGGTGAATGGTGGTAGGACACGAGAGCCGAGCATTCTTCCGGGGAGGATTCGGTTGATCGACTATGGGAGCTGCTAGTCGACGGTGTAGATTTGTCAAGACCAGTTTTGCTGTCGTGAGCATCCTGTTGACCGAATCGCTTGCGGAGTTTGGAGCCTTCATCGTGGATCCTCAGATCTGTATCGTAGCCCGGACATGGTCGATTGCCTTTCAAGCAATTGTTGCCTGCCTCGAGAGATTAGCGTCCATACGGGGGAGGAGAGGGAATGGCTCGTAAAGACTAACAAATAGGGCGCGTCTGGTCACACTGGTGGAAAGGAGATCAGTTTCCATGTTTCAATTCTTCGAAAGATACCCGCCCTACCTTGACGCGACGTTGGACGCAGATTCGGCATCCTTTGCTCCTTGGAACTCCAACCATGCCTGCACCCAGGAGTGAATTGTGGAGGATGATCGACCTGCCAGCAGTCTGATCGTGAACTCCGCGCCTTGCGGGATGTGCCAAGCTGGTTAAAGCTGTAGTACGGATAGTGGGACTAGGTATACGGCCGCTGGAGGATTCCAGAGAAGATTTGACTGTTGCCTGAGCAGGAACCGGACGGTATAGGAGCGTGAAACACTTTGGCGGGGTAATCCGCCGTCGTATGGACTGAGGGTGGTAGGTCGGTAGGTACTAGGTATCTAGGCAGGTAGGTGGTAATGTGTGCTTCAGTGTGTGTACGGAGTACAGGGTACACCGCACAGATTGTTTGGCCCCACTGGTATACGACACAGTGCGTCGGGCGCAGCGAGAATGGTTACGTAGACAGCGACCTCGAGGCTAAGATAAGGCTCACGTAAGAATACGCATACGAGGGAGGGGAACTCCATTACTCCAAACTGCACCTGCGCCCTCCGCAGTCAACAAGCCAAAATGTCCATTTGTGGTGCCTTATTCTCTGTTCAGGGACCAACTACTAGGGTATCCCCTCCATGAGCTTCTGAGCTTCTGATACCTGCTAGTGCCTGGAGCATCCTATCATGTTAAAGATACGTATCAAGCCTCCTTAACCCATTTCAACAACGCCGGTGGCTGGCTTAGGCTTAGTTAGGCCCAAGGCCTCTGAAGCTTAACCCGACCTGGAGATCGAAGCTCTCGGATTCCTTCTAGCCACGACGACACAAAGCCTTCCGGATGTCTCCATACTGGTTTTTTATACCCTGCGCGCTGGAAGAGGACCTCTCATCCCTCCAGCTCGTTCATGGGCACATCGCCATCATCCGGGCCGACAATAGCCTCGGCGACTTTCCACACTTGGATCAGGTTGTCGTCGGCCGCACTGCAAATCACCCATGGATTGTTCTTGTTCCACGAGAAATCGCTGATACGATTGGTATGCCCTCCATGCATGAACAACAGCTCTGGAGGCCCGTCTTCACTGTCCTCCGGTGTTTGCTCTTCTCCCACCCTCGCCATATCCCAGAACATGATCCGTCGGTCGTAGCTGCTAGACGCGAGGACCGATTCTTCAAAAGGATGCCATTCAAGATTCGTAACGCTGTCGTTATGTCCTTCGAGCACATGTAACTTGTACTTGAGGTTCCGCAGATCCCAGATTGCGATCGTTTTGTCGGCGCTCCCCGTCGCAACCACAGTTTCCACTGCCAGGTTGAAAGCAATGGCATTGATGGCGTCACGGTGCTGATTTTCGCCTTTGGCAGCCGCTCTGGTGGTTTCGGGAGATCGCACGTCCAGAATCTGCATGGTCAAGTCGTCCGACACCGTCCCTACCAGATAGGGAGTGATGGGGTGGTATTGGACATCGTTGACAATGCTATTGTGATGCGTGTACTTGCGGAATTCCTTGACCAGCTTGTTGGTCTTCGAGCCCTGGGTGATATCCCATAGTCTTACGGTGGAATCTTCGCTGGCCGTGGCTAGTTGGCCAGCTTCTCGAGGATCCCAACTCAGGCCATATCCCTCTCTCTCGTGCCCAATGAGTTCCAACATCGGGTTTGGTCTTCCAGTAGGTAGGCTGGTGTGCTTTGTTTTGTCCCAGATCATGACTCGGCCATCGGTACACATGGTCGCAATGATATTGGGATTTTGAGGTTGATATCGCGCTTTGTTGACCTCGCCAGGGTGATCAATTTTTTGGACAATATTAAACTTGACCTCAATCTGGTTCTTCCCTGATACGCCGCCGCCATATCCTCCGATCTCTCCTGTGTCTTCATTGTAGTCCTTCACGTCTGGCTTTTTGGGGTTTGGGAGCTGCACATTGGCAATCTCCAAATAGTTCGGCTGGCCTTCAGCAGTATGCGTGCCAATCAGAAGGCGGTGTTTTGAGTAGTTGGTACCAGGTACCCTAGGCATGTCAGTCGCCGAGGACGAGCTGGGGCGGAGGTGCTCTTACTCTTGAACATCTGGAAACCATTGTGTGGTAAGAGTAGGCCAGTCCAACGCAGTACTCAGGATCATGTCATAGAGAAAAGGGGCGTTCTTCTTCCACGTCTTGTATTCTTCGTTGATAATCTTCTGCGCCATCTCTGCGTCTTCGTTGAGGAGCTCTTCGCTCACTATAGTGTTGTTAACACAAGGGACCTGAAGATCAGGCTAGCACCTACTATTTTCGTCCTCTTCCGCCATTTTGAACCCTTCGACGGAAAAAGGGAGAGCGGGAGGAGATAAGAGGATAAGACCAAGCTAGACGAAAGCGGACGCTGAATTGGTAAGAGGATGGTTTCAAACCGATGGGACAAGCACCGGATGCGATGGTATTCTGCCTCTGAATCCAACGCGTGCGCAGTTTGGACACCTGCAACGACGCGTGAAGTTGGGCAACGAACAGAGGCGTGTCATTGGCCAGCGGCTAAAGTGGTCTTGGCACTGACCGACAACTCGAACTTCAAGAAGTCGAACTTCGCTTCGCCATGAGACGAAGTGTTGTCACCAGACTGAATTGCTACTCATCCTCAACGTCCACATCGCCAGAATATTGCAGGATACATACTGCCATCGTGTCAATCTACCTTTGACGCTCGTTGCCGCATGTACAGTATCCGAATCGTGCCTGCATCTTCTCTGTCTCACCGAACCTCAAGTCTCTCATTTGGCCTGCACCCACCGCCACCATGGGTGTTCCCAAATTTTTCAGATGGTTCAGCGAGCGGTACCCAGCCATATCGCAGCTTATCGCAGAGAACCGTATCCCAGAGTTCGACTGTCTCTATCTGGACATGAACGGCATCATCCACAATTGTACTCATAAAGATTCAGACTCGCCCACCTTCCGCATGACGGAGGACAAGATGTTCATTGCGATTTTCAACTACATAGAGCATCTTTTCGGAAAGATCAAGCCCCAAAAGCTCTTCTTCATGGCAATTGATGGGGTAGCACCCAGAGCCAAGATGAATCAGCAACGCGCTCGTCGATTTCGCACCGCCCTTGACGCCGAGAAAGCCCGTGAAAAGGCTATCAAGGAAGGCTTGGAGATGCCGAAAGACGACCCTTTCGACAGCAATTGTATCACCCCGGGAACAGACTTCATGGCGAATCTCACCAAGCAGTTAAAGTACTTCATCAGCAAAAAGGTCTCCGAGGACGTTGATTGGCAGGGTGTCGAAATTGTCTTATCAGGCCATGAAGTTCCCGGCGAAGGTGAACACAAAATCATGGAATACATTCGACAAGCCAAGGCGCAGCCAGGTTACGACCCCAACGTCCGCCATTGCTTGTATGGACTGGATGCGGATCTCATCATGTTAGGTCTCCTCAGTCATGACCCACATTTCTGCTTGCTCCGAGAAGAGGTGACTTTCGGTAGACAAGCAAGCAAGAAGTCAAAAGAGCTGGAGCATCAGAATTTCTATCTCTTGCATCTATGCATTGTCAGAGAATATCTAGAGCTGGAATTCCAGGAATCAGAGCGGGAAGGGGCTCTCAGTTTTCCCTTCGACATGGAACGAGTTATTGACGACTTTATTCTCATGGCTTTCTTTGTTGGCAATGATTTTCTTCCTAACCTTCCGAACTTACACATTAACGAAGGGGCGCTGGCGCTCATGTTTCAAAAGTACAAAGAGGTCCTCCCAAAACTGGGCGGTTACATCAACGAGCATGGAGTCATCAATCTGAAGCGGCTGGGAATTCTCCTAGACGCCTTGTCCGATGTTGAGTATCGCTTTTTCGAGGCAGAATATCAAGATGCGAAGTGGATCAATGCGAAGCGACATGGGCACGAAAATGGTCACACCGGAGAGGAATCCGTCAGACCATCCCGTGGCCCTGTCAGAATTTCACCGGAGCAGAAGAAGTTATTCAAGCAGGTGAAGAAATATTTCATCGCCCCAGCCAACAGAGATTCCGCGACTAGAACGCCACTCAAGCTCCCCCCGACTCTTCCAGCGAGAGATCGTAAGTTCATTGAGCAGCTCGCAACCGATTTGAATCTGCAATGGTCCACCCAGGAGGACGATGATGGCAATCGTTTCATTCAAGTCGAATTCCCATCTTCAGGCAAGAACGAGGATTCAGACGAAGATGAGGAAGCCCAGCTAGCCGTTACTCGGGTTCTCAAGCGATACGAAAATGCTCGAGTTGAAGATGCTGTTGATGAGCAGACTCAGCAAGACATGAAAACCAAGTACGATGCCAAGTTTCAAGAGTGGAAAGACAAGTACTATCGGGAGAAGTTCGCCTGGGGTCTTGATGATGAGGAGGCCCTCAGAAAACTGACCGAGAACTATGTGCAAGGTCTGCAGTGGGTGCTCTTTTATTACTACCGTGGCATCGCGTCTTGGCCATGGTTCTATCAATATCATTATTCGCCGATGATCTCCGACGTCAAGAAAGGCTTGGGTGCGGACATGAACTTCCAGCTTGGTCAGCCTTTCCGACCGTTCCAACAACTCATGGGAGTGTTGCCTGATCGAAGCAAAAAGATCGTCCCCCAGGTTTACCACGAATTGATGACCTCGAAGGATTCTCCCATCATCGACTTCTATCCTCGAGATTTCGAGCTTGACATGAATGGCAAGAAGATGGAGTGGGAAGCTGTGGTCAAAATTCCCTTCATCGATGAGAAGAGATTACTCGGTGCCATGGCTCCAAAAGATGCTCTTCTTTCCGAAGAAGAACGTATTCGCAATGATTTTGGTGTCAGCCTGAAATTCGCCTATGCCCCGGAGGTCGACTACACTTACCCATCCTCTCTGGTTGGCATCTTCCCCGATCTTCCTCATTGCCATTGCATCCAAAATGAGTTCGACCTCCCCACCATGGAAGGCTTGGACCCGTATGTCGGCCTGGTGGACGGTGTGAAACTCGGAGCGGCCGCTCTGGCCGGTTTCCCGAGTCTGAAAACTTTACCGTTCACAGGGTCACTAGGGTTCCATGGTGTCAACGTTTTCCAACAGGACAGTCGAAATGAGAGCATGATCGTGACCCTGTTGGATACGGAGACGCGAACAAAAGTGGAGTTCGCCAAACAACTCCTCAACCAACGTGTATTTGTTGGATATCCGTTCTTGCAGGAAGCAAAGATAGTCAAGGTGTCGGACGAACTTTTCGACTACACTAGTCCAGAGCATGCAGCCCAGGGTGTCAGGTCAACTGAACATTCTGGAAATGAGATTGATCAATTCCACAAGAAGGCAGAGCGGGTTGAGAAATGGTACAGCAAGAGACTCGGGATGTTAATTGGTGACGTCGAATCGTTGGTGCATGTTGAAATGCTCAAGGGGCTCAAGAAACTGGATGATGGCTCTACGGTCAAGGAATATGCCGAGCTTCCAGGGTTGGAGACCGTACATCCTACGCAACTTGTTGTTGAGAGTGTCATCAGCGAGGACGTGCGTTTCATAGAGAAAGCAGCAGTGCCGATTGAGGAAGAGTTCCCCGACGGTACGAACGCATTCTTTCTTGGCGATTACGCATATGGGATGCCTGTCAGCGTGGTTGGACATGAGGACGGAAAAGCGAAATGTTTGATCGCTTTTTCCAAGGCACGACAGGCCGAATTCGGGCGCGAGATTGCCCGACAAGCAGAGAGGTTGTCTCCGTACACACCCTCTTATCAAGTTGCCCGAAGTCTCAACTTGAATGCGTTGGTACTGGCCAAGATTACGTCGTCTTTCTCCATCAGAGTCGACGATCAGCGAGTCAACCTTGGGCTCAACCTCAAATTCGAAGCCAAAAAGCTCAAGGTGTTGGGCTATTCCCGGAAGACCGGGACTGGGTGGGAGTTCAGTCAAGCAGCGGTCGAACTGATCCAGCAGTACATGATTAAATTCCCGCAGTTTATTGCGGCAGTTCACAATAACGCTCAAGGAGACATGTTGCCAGCGACCGCCTACTTCCCCGGTTGTGACGAGAAAGAGGCCAAGGCCAAGGTCAAGGAAATCCAAGCCTGGCTCAAGGAGATCGAGTCAAAGAATTTCGAAAGAGTTCCGCTGGAAGCAGAGCAGCTCGATTCCGAGATTGTCAAGCGCATTGAACAAGCAGCTGATGAGGCATTGCGGAGTGAGCCGCCTCCGCAGAACAAAACCATTGGGGGTGTACCTCGAAATGCGCTTTTAAAGCCTTCAGACGCACAGTGGCGGTTAGGTAATCAGAGATTTGCCCTCGGAGACAGAGTCATTTATGTGGCCGACTCGGGCAAAGTTCCGATTGCGTCCAAAGGCACCGTGGTCGGGCTGACGCAGACCACAAGGGAGACGTTGTTGGATATTGTTTTCGACGTGTCTTTCATGAGTGGCACTTCATTGGGCGACCGTTGTTCACCATTCCGAGGATCCACGGTTCCAACATGGTCGGTTCTCAACCTCAGTAGCCGACAGGTCGTTGCTTCGTCCAAAGCGAGCACGAATCGACAGCCAAATGGGGCAGGATCAACTCCTCTTACCGTGCTCGGTTACGGTCAACCAGGTATCAATGGAAGGGGGCAACTACGTCCAGCACAGGCGCCAGCAGCATTGAGAGGGTCGTGGCGCGGAGCTGTAAGCGGGCAAGCTCCAAGCGGTCGTGGAGCAGCGAACGGTAACACTGGTCGTGGCCAGTCCACCGTCCCTATTCGGAGCTACTCTGCTTCACCCGCCAACGGACATCGTGGAAATGCAGCGAACAATCCATTTGGTCAAGGTCGCGGCGGCCGTGGTACCCCGATTCAACCCAGTCGATATGCATCAGTCGATCGAGGCGACTCTCAGGCGGGTGTGATCCAAAACAACCCCAACTTCCATCCAAAGGCTCACAACAATGTGCCTCCGCCCGCGAATCTGAATAATGCATCCACGCCACGTGGCCGTGGTCGAGGCAGAGGAGGAGGGCAGAAAGGGGGACGAGGCGCACCCCGTGGCGGGGGTTCTTGAAGGGGACTGTTGGATTATTTGTGTGAGTGAGTGAGAGAGAGAGAGGTCTTTCAGGTCCTGGACCCATGCTGGGAGACATTTCGTCGTGAAGCGTGTCAAAGGAATCGGGAATAATAGTGGTGAGTCAGGGCTTTCGGTCACGGTGGAACGGGCGTTATCGCCTCCACTTTTGCCCGAGTCGGATGGATCTCAATGATTGGACATGGATCGAACGGCGAACGGCGGCACAGTGACGGTCGACAGTGGGCAGTGGACGGTCCCCCCTGCACGCTGGTCTACACCAACAGCCCCGCAGTTCGCGAACAACGATCCATCAATCGCCACATGTTCGACTTGAAGCCCGACATGAGCCTTTTGAGAAGACGATTTGACCTCGGCGCCTTCGCTTGGGCCGCGAACGATGCGGCGAACACCATAGTCAGAGCAGACACTTGATCGATAGGTTTATATCGAAATGGCCTCAGTCACCTCACCACCAAGCATGGTTCGGAGATATTGCGGGCCTGGACTTAGGTTCCTTTCGCACCTCGAAATGGGTTTAGATATCGACGCTTGCGCAACGGAGACGCACGTCATCCGTCGCCTGATTCGCCTTCTCGAGTCTCCATGGGGAGGAAGAGGTCTCAACGATGGTTATCGTTGGCTATCGTTGGCGGTCACCAGGATGCCAACTGCACAGTTCACCCGAAAAGGTGCCAGACCGTGGCCGCTTCTTCCCGCCCTAGTTTGTTACAATCCCATCCCCATTCCCTCCTCTTCTCCTCTTTCTGATTCGATGCATCTCTTACGTTCCTGGCTGACCTGACGCCGTCGGCTGAACCCTCTAACTTCTAACTCAGATCTGCTCGTTCCAGCCCCCCACGCTACGCTCTGTGAGAGGCCGTGGTCCACATGACTCTCTGCATGCAGTGCCCTCCAAAGCTCCCGACTCTTTCCACTGGTTGGCGTACGCTGAAAGGCCTCGTCCCGGCACCAGAAGGCCAATCTTGTTGACAGGCATGCGCCGTCGCAGATGCTACTCTTTTAGAATGTGGGCAACTACTCACTCTGGGGCTGCTTGCGCTCTGTACACCTGACTGTCAATCCGAGAGTGATCCACTAGTTGTCTCCTCGCATCATCATTTGCATCCTTATCTTACACGAGTCCAACAAGGTCGCATTCTCGCGCACACTTCCACTGTACCTGCTCAGTCTTATGGTCCGGTGCAGTCCAGCTCTCGCAAATAAAATACTCAGATACTGACCATCAGCCCCGGGAACGGGGTGGCGTCTTCTCACCTGATCTTATTGGAAAGCCATCGCTCATCACCCTTCGTCCGAACATATCCTCGTTTTGTGATTTCTTTTTGCGCAGCGACCAGACAAGGGCCATGAGGATGTATGCTTCGACCTTCTACCGACCGCCGTCAACTGCGCCATAGCACACTATCTTTCCATATCTCGAAGCAAGAGGCTCCGACCGAAGAGTCGATTGTTCCAAATCGCGGAGCGACATCCACCAGGGTGGAGTGAGCGACACATCGACACAGCGACACAGCAATATCGCCACGACAGCCACTGTTGTACCTGTGCGGTTTGATCTTCCAGGAACGCTGAGAGCTGCGCATTGTGTGTGTTTGTTTGTATCCGGCGCGGTAACGACATCATGGCGGACTCCATGAACCTGATCACGGCACAAATCTCCTTTCTTGTGAGTCCTTTATTCTCGCAGATACTCCGCCAGCGTACATTGTTGTCGTGCGCCATGTTCAGCTTTCCACCATTTCTTTCTTAGGAGGGCCAGGAATGGGGTCAAGCCACCGGACATCAGAAGACGGGCGAAGAAATCATACTAACTCGACATCTCAACCCCAGGAACCGCATCTCGCGCTCATCCACATTCCGATCGAGTTGTACTCGCTCTGCTTGCAGCCGATCTTGCGACTCCTGTTTGGCGAAGACCACGACGAGGACGCGGCCAAAATCGCCTGGACCAATCGACACGATTTCCTCAATGTCTCCATCACCCCAGTTGAATGTTCTATCATGTGCTCGCGCAGTCTGGCAGACCGGCTGGTGGCGCCGGTAGCCGATGTCCTCAACAAACTGTACGCCGGCACTGACCACGACTCCAACTCGAATCCCAAGACGCAAATCCAAATCAGCACCGAAGACTACATCGTCATCCAGGTTGATGGACAAGGGCTGGACGCCGGGCAGAGGGTGTTGGAGCTCACGTCGCCACTGGCCATGGCCGGAATGTGAGTCTGAAGTGCAACGGGGCGAGGCGGGGCGGGCAGCTTTTGCTTTTGCTCTCCGGTCGAAGGCGACCTGACTGACCATGTTTGATCCAACAGAAGCATTTTCTTCATCACGACCTACTTCTCAGACTACATCCTCGTACCGTTCCGCCAATGCAGGACCGTCACGAAAGCGCTACAACAGCGAGGGTTCGTGTTTTCGCACAGTGCCGACGCTTTCGTCTCGCAGCTGTCGCCGTCATCGCCTTCTCTCCCTCAGAGTGGACGATTGGGCCCGACGAACTCGCCTCCACTGCTACACACATTGACACCCACGCCCACTACACCGCCGGCGAAGGACATCCCCGAACTCCAGATCCGCACGTTCACCAAACTCAAGCGCAACAACATCAGCCCGCTCGTCGACGACAGTGTCCGGCTGGCGAATTGTGCGGGGAGCCGCGAGTATAACCAGACCAGCGACGAGCGACTCAAGAACGATCTTTTACAAGTTTTGTTGGCCACGGCTCCGGTGCCGTTAGGCCCGTCTAGTGCCAGTGCGCCTACCACTACGACCCCCCCAAAAGGGGACAACGACGCCGGACTGGGCGTGGGTGGAACAACAACAGCAACAACAGCCGTCACTAACACACTGACAGCGGCAGTAGACCTGGACTTTGGCGCCAAGTTCCTCTCATTGACCATCACCTCGGGCGAACCGATCTCAGTGCTGTTGGAACACAGGCTCCTCGACCGCTTAGGCGAGTCTCTGCTAGGCGCCAAATCGGAAGAAGACGCACTGGTTCCCATCACGCTCGACCTTCGCGAGCTGCCGCTCGAAGCCACGGGCATCGTGTGTGGTGTTGCCGGCCGGCTTGCACAAGGTAGCGCCGAGCCTGACGAGGTCGGCGAACTGAGTCCGGAGATCAGTCCCAAGATGTTGCCTGTGGCAGGTCCTGGAACCAGTTCGGGGGATGTAGCTACCACGTCTACCTCTGCTTTCGCGGGGGCGGGTACAGGGTCGAGTCCAGCCACGGGTGTCACAGCGAGTTCGAGTCTCGACGAACCCATCGATATCTCTTTCTTGAGCACAGCCCGAGCAGGCACGGTCATTGTGCGCGCAAGTCAGCTGCAGAAGGCGCTGGAAGCTTTGGATTACGGCATGAAATGCGTCGCGGGAGGGTCGGAGTGAGTGTTGACTGTGGCCAGGGGCTCGGAGTGAGTGTTGACTCTCGCCGGTCCTGAAATGCGTTCGTTCGGCGCCGCAGCACTACTGGGACAGAGTGAGTACATGGCGGGCAAGGAGGCCGGCCCCATACCCATATTGAAACACGCACCATTGGGTATCTGGGTTGGTTGGCTGCATCGCATCGCATCGTATTGCATTGCATCGCATTCAGCGAAAGGAATATGAAAAGGGGAGAGGGGAGAGGGGAGACAAAAGGTATGCTATGTATGGCCTTGGGACGCTGGACATTGGTGTTCATTCGGCCTTTGCATGATTCCAGCCTTCACGCGTCTTGCGCTGTACGTGCAGCTGCAGGACAGGACAGGACGGTACAGGCCAGCTTTTGCCTCCGAAAAGTAATTTGTTTCAGACCCCTTTCTTTGGGGGAAAAGTCGTTTCAACCTTTCAACCTTTCAACTCGTCCCACTGCTTCGATGGTGTATCCGGTTCCGGTTCAGTACTTCCATGCTACATTACACTACTACTATTACTACTACAGAGTAGAAGGTATTTTCGGTTGTCGAGTCGCCTGTCATCTTGGGTACCTTACCTGGCTCCCTATGCTATGCCAGGACTCTGAGGACCACATCAATGACCTTCTCAAGAGAGATCCTACCGTCTCAGATTCTGGGCCAACCAGCATCCCTCGCAATTTGCTCTATTGGGTATACGTCCAAAAGTGCGACCGTGACCGGATTGATCCTGAAAACCTGAGCATTTCCGCTCAACCGTACTTAGTGAGTGTACAGAGTATGGATATACAGTACTCCGTAGGTATACAGTAATACATGCTACGCTACGCTAGTCAGTGCTGGCAAAGATCTTGACGACGCCTTCAACACCGCCGCCAGCCCAAAGGCCTTGTCTCCCTTGCGCCTGGCTCCCTTCTCTCCATTTGACAACACTGACAAGTTTGCCGGCTGGGCTGATGTCCACCTTTCCCACGCTCTTGCCCGTCAGCACATCCCATGCCCTGACATGCCCGTCGTTCTCGCTGCCACTCAAGACCAAGCTCTCGTTGAGGGCGAAGCAGCTCTTGAGTCTCAGACTGTCATTCTTGTATCCCTCGACATTCCCCTCGGGCGGGAACGCCCTTAGACACGTCCCCTCGGTGCGGTCCATCATCCTGATCCGCCCATCGAGAGTGCCGACCAAGACGGTCCTCGCGTCCCGCGCGACGTCCAAACTCGTCACCGGGGCCGGCATGACATCGACCGTAACTCTTCCCATGCGCACATCGTAGCTTCGCAGCCTCCCGTCCACGCTGCCCGTAACGAGCTCATGCCCGTTGCCCGGCACAGCGATGCTGGCAATGCTGTCTTTGGCCTCTTCAAGAACCATGAGCGGCTTCGCATCTCGGCTCTTGACGTCCCACAGCCGCACTGATGTGTCGTCGCTGCCGCTGACCAGCACACTGTGGCCCTCCCCCGCAAACGCGACGCAGTTGATCCGACTGGTGTGTCCTTGGCTAGTATTGTTCCCAAACCGGCGCAGCGTGCCCTCGGCGTTCTGCACGTCCCAGAGAAACACGGCCCGGTCTCCTCCCACGCTCGCGAAGGTTTGGTTGTCTTGAGCCACCGCAATATCTAACACAGGGTATCCATGCGCCGCGTACTTCTGGATCGGCCTCGTGGTCGACAGCGACGCTTTCGACGCAGTGTGTGTGTCGGACGTGGGGGGTTCGGCGCGAGACAGGTGGATTTGTCGGTCCGACGAGCCTGTTAGGATATAGGTGCCGCCTAGGGACGAGAAGGTGATGGCGTTGATCGGCCCGGCGTGGGTAGTCAGCGTGTTCACGAGAGACGAGGGGAGTTTGGCTTTGGCCCTGCTCATGGTGCTGAGGGTGGTGGTGGTGGTGTTGGGATGGCGCAGGGTGTGTGGGAGGATCAAGTCAAGGCATGGAGGGGTGTTGATGGTGCGCTTACATACGAGACGTGGAGGTATGAACGCCGTGTAAGCTTAGAAGAGAAATGGAAGTGCATCCTCACCGTTCTTAGTATAGCATCGTAGAATGGGACACCGATTACGTTCGCGCGGCGAGGTCAAGACAGATGTGGATGGATTTTAAGAGGGACGGATACAGCCTGAGAGGAAATGGCAGAGGTTACAACCACAACCACCAACCACGTACCCTGGTTCTAATAAATTGAGAACTCCGTATAGTAATTGGACAACTCTACTGCTAACAGGCGTCGCCCTGGTCTTCTCGTTGCTACTGGAAAGCTAGAGAAGGGTGTTTATTGACATTTTCAGTTCCTCCTTGGATGAATCCGAGCCTATTCTGCTCCGTAGGTACGTAGTAGTATAGGACCACAGTCCCGTACAGTTGACGTTGTTGCCAGATCATGTATTATTAGTTATTGCTCCCTGCTTCAGCTCTCTCTTGCTCTCTTCTCTGCTCCTTCGCTCAAGGCGCCGGCGGCAATGAAAAGGGTAACCATGTCTGTGGTGGAAATCTTGCAAAAATTCCTTGCCGACCCGAAAGCCAACAAGAGTTGGTCGAAAAAGTTTTCAACTAGCAATGGAAGCAAACTCGGCCGAAGCCTCACTATTGAAAGGGTTAGACTCTGTACATTGTTCAAAGAAGAACGCGTGTTTCGAAAACGTACCTGTTGTGCTTATTGCCCATGCACTGGGATAAAGAAGAAAAAAGAAGTCAAGACGGAGAACGAGAGAACGGAGGCTTAAGTAGTACTGCCTGCGGCAGGCTGCTGCCTGGTCTTGGCGGCCTTAGCCGACTAGCCGAGAACGGTAAGTGCGTGTACGGAGAAACACTTGTAGCAGGCTGCAAGATGATGATACTAGTACGGTGAAGCAAAGATACTGGAAAGGTAGCTCGTTCACTGATACGGAGGCGAGGCTGAGAGGAAAGAAGACTCGAGATTGACCCAATACGAGTGGCTGGATGGACGCTCCACATCTGTGCAGAGACTCAAAAGAGTGCGGATTTGTAACGTGAGATTTGTACGCTCTGGCTTTGTCCGCGGCATTTTCGGCCGACAGCGGACGAACAAATAATGATTTTGTCTGACCGCCCATCGGAGCAGCACTCCGGGTACGATCAGAAGATTTGGACCATGTCAGACTGCTGACAAACTTGACCTGGAATGAACCAACTCTACACTGGCGAAGCGGCCGCCTTGACCATCATGAGAGATCTGATCAAGTCTTTCTCTAATTAATTACATCCATGCCTTATTCAGCGCTGGGTCAGCCTATCTACTCCATACCGCACCTTGGTCCTTTTCCATTCTTACCCCAAGGTTCGGTTTGGTTGCTGCCTACACCGGTCAGCATCAACCTCTACTACTCTTGACCCTCAATCCCTTTATTGAAGTTCAACGGAACCGCCTTGGACACCAGGCTGTCCCATCCTATCCAAAATGTCCTCCCGTCCTCCGAGTACCTCCACTTCCCCATACAATGAAGCTCTCGGGTTCGGCTCCGATCACGCCCAGGGCCCCTCCAGGAAGAAGATGCGAAAAGGAACAAGGAGTTGTTTGGAATGTCGACGGCGGAAAATCAAATGCACCTTTGAGCCTGGGAGACCCGCCATCTGCAACGAATGTTACGCTCGGGGTTCCACATGCATCGACCAAGAGCATGGAGATGTCCACGCATACTCTCAAGTGACTACAGACCTGCCGTCATATAGTTTGCGAGAGCGGGTGACCCAACTGGAAGATCTGGTGAAGCAGGTGTTGAATCGCTTGCCAGAAAAGCCGAGCAATACTTCCTCCAATTCCAACTCCGACTCTACCTCCGCCTCCGACGCAGACAGAAGCCACGTTGATGCTCAGGCTGCCGAAGTCCTCAAGAGTCTGAAAGGGTCATGGCGGCAAGCCAACGCCGGTGCAGAGGAGTCGCTTCTCCTTCCAGTCGGCCTTCGAGACGACGCCCCTGTATTGACGCTGTTCGACAATGCCGTCATCACGAGGAAAGAAAGCCAAGCCGTCGTGTCCAGAGCTCAGTATAACAAGACGAAAACCCTTCTGGCCGCACTAAACAAGTTACTACCCCCACCGCAAGATCTTGAGACCATACTAGATTCGAGCCATGAGTGGTGGGCGATCTGGAGGACAATATTCCCCGAGATGACAGACAGCCGGTGTGAAACGATCAAGGAATCTGTCTCCCATTCTTTACGTTCAGAAAAGCCGGCCGAGCTGGCCAAGATTATGCTCTGTATTGCCTTGAGTATTCATCAATTGCCGGCCGATTTCGACTGGTCTCAACTGTCAATCAAGGAGGAACCGGCGGCTCTGATGGAACGGTATATTGCCACAGTCGACAAGTTGATCACCTCGGATGACGAAATCGCCGCCACAATAGACGGCATTGAATGCATGATGCTTGAAGCCAAATATCACATCAACATGGGCCGACCAAGACGTGCCTGGCTCCTATTCCATCGCGCCATCGCGTTTGCACAACTCCTCGGTTTCCACAGATTACCCTCTCAAGTAGACAAGACATCATCGGACTATCGACGCTCAGTCGTTATCTGGTGTCACCTTATCATAGGCGACCGATATTTAGCCCTCCTACTTGGCCTTCCCTATTCGGTTGCCGATGCCTTTGTTACACCGCACATCCCTTCAGCTGCTGGCGTTTCTTCGCCAGCAGAGGCCATCGGTGGTGAAACATACGTCGCCATGATGCTCCCCATCCTCACCAGAATCAACGATAGGAATCAAAGCGTGACGCCTATGGGATACTCTGCCACATTGCGATTAGATCAGGAACTGGAGGAGTTATACGGTACCCGAGATGCTTCGTGGTGGTCTATCGACGTTATCCCGGGCATCCCTACAGAGGCACACTTTGAGCGGTTACAAGCACAGTTTCTCCATCACCAGGCCAGAGTCCTTCTTCACATGCCATTCATGCTCCGATCGTCCGCCGACAAGAGATATCAGTACTCACACTCCGCGGCTTTAGAGGGTGCGAGAGAAATGATTCGAATCTACGACGCGCTACGGACGAACAAGGACGTAGGGCCATTTATCTGCAAGTTGGTTGACTTCCAGGCCTTTACAGCCGCTATGCTACTATTGTTGAATCTCTGCGGATACGCGCAGCAGCATCGCGGGAACAGCGGGCAACCCGTCGATCTCGAGCAAGATCAAGCAGACTCCCAACTTATTGATCAAGCGGTTACACTGCTCAAACACGCAGCAACGGAACCTGGTGGTGTGGTTGCGGCGCAATCCGCGCAAGCTCTCGAAATGCTGGCTCGAGTTCGACAAGGCTGTGACGAGGCCGACCTGAAACAATGCCGAAGCGAGTCGGTTCAAGTGTCGATTCCCTACTTCGGCACCATCTCCATCGGGCTCGGCAAAAATTTCGTTCCCATCAAGCCAGGTACCTATGTGCGAGGGACAGCTGGTGCATCGTTGACCAACACCTCCAACCCAGCCAAGTGTGTATCTCACATGGGTCTCCCCACCCCTCCCTCCATATCATCCGGCAGCACACAACAGTCACCCTTGTCCACGACGATAGACAACCCACACTCCCAGGCATCAGCTCCGCAAGCTCAGCGTCTGCCCATCTACGAATCCACCACCTACATCGCCCCAGGATTGGAACATGCGTGGCCTGACTCGGACGATCCGTTTGTCACTTTTGACAGTTTCATGGCCTTTCCTTCAGGACCTTCGGACGGCATGACCGGGACGTCTGGCTTTGCTCCTCAGCCGACCTCGCAGAGTCCACATGGTAGTGCGACGCATGATCTCAATGCGGACGCCGCTGCCAGAGGCCTTGGCCATGTCCCAGGACAGGGGTATTCATTCGGGTCAAACCCTTTCGGCCAGGTACCAGTGGATCTCGATCAAGGCTGGAACTGGTTTGGAGTTGACGCTCCATCGTCATAATCATTTCTATCGTCAAAATACCTATTCGTTCCCGTACCGAGGGACTTATAAACAGTGACCCGTGCGGGATTGGAGGGGAGGGGCGTTGATGATGAAAGAATGAGGTAGTGGGTGTATCACGACTACGATCTAAAAGATAGTGGGTAGAGCATATGGAATGGTATATGCACATATAATAAACTCGGCAGTATGGTGGGCGGACTTGTACCAAAGGTTGGACCTTGGAGCGCGCGGCAGTATGGTGGGCGGATTTATACCAAAGGTTGGATCTCGCGCGCACGGCAGTTTGGATGGCCTAACTAAGGCTTGGGCGTCAATTCCAACCATGTCCCATGTCCATGTCCAGCGAGCTACAGTATAGTAGCTACCATGTAACATGTTATGTAACATTAACATTGGATATCTCCATCTCCCGCAGCTCGACGAAGGATTCTTTTCCTACTTCTACTTCTGCTTCTACTTCTCGAAGCGCGTGTTCACGATGCCATCGAGCAAAACACTATATACATAATACTATATGGCGCTCGAATTGAATTCGAATGACCAGACCAAACCAAGACGTATTGTATTGATTTGATTTCAAAGTTTGTATTGTGTTGGTATTGTTGAACCCTCCCGATCCAATTGTCTACAGACGTATGTCCCGACATTCTAGACACAAGGCGACTGAGTCGGCAGTCCAGTTCCATTAAGTTTCTCATTATCATATATCCATGTGTACCCGTAACCCATAACCCGTATCCTTGACCATAATCCTTGTAGAAGTAGATCCGCGCAATGCCATGTATGGTTAGCCAACCTAGTCATTAAACCCGATCCTGATCCCAAGCCCCTGAAAACCCAATCGGTGAGTCTGAGCAGTCGTGCGCGTGCGCGTGCGCATCCGTATTCGTCCGTCCTGTGGTGAGATGGTCCGCGCCGCGCCACGCTATGCTATGCCAAAGGTTGTGTAAGAAGTGTTGATTTGGAAATAGATGAATGGGAAAGGGAAAGAGCCCTCGATCTGGCCGAGGGGGTGATTTCCGTTGAAGAGTAAATGTGTGTGTGTGTGTGTGTGTGTGTGTGTGTGTGTGTGTGTGGAGAAGGAGAGAGAAAATGGTTGCTCTGAAGGTGGTAGCGGTGTTGATGTGACTCCTGTAGGTTTTGATGACAATTTTGCTGATCGGTCGGTGCGTGTCGAAGTGTCGTGGCGTTGGTCAGTGAAGTAGTGAACGGCGAGATCATTGCATTCAGAACCACCTGCGACCCCAAGGGCGACCACCGCCACCGCCGCGACCAGTCCAACCCGACCACCCACTACTGCCCTGCCCCCAGCCACTGCCTCCCGCAGTGTTCCAAGACCCACTGTTGCCCCATGACCCAGTTACAGCTGACGCTTGTGTGGCTGTCACAGCTGGAGCGGTTGTGGCAGGGGTGGTTGCGGTTTCGACTGGTGCGGTTGTGACCACGGCAGTGGTGGTGTAAGCGGTTTGCAACGTACTTGAGATTGGGGTCGTTGCTTCGGACGTAGGGTTCGCCGTCGACCCAGCATTTCCTGAAGTGACGGCGGCAGTTGTGCTTTGGCCCGTAGTCTGCGTTGCGGCACCGTTCGCGGTGTAGACTTTCAGGCTGTTGATGAGCCAGTATGTGTCCTGGAAGGCTGATGGGTTGTTCTGCACAAAGGCCTGACAGGTAGATCCTTGGCTGGAGCACGTTGCGTCTGTCGACCAGACATTGCCGGCCCAATCCCCACAGAAGGTAACGTCAAAGACAAGTTGTTGGTTCTTGACCTTGTCATCGATGTCGCAGCCTCCTGTGAACTGGCCCTGAGGAAGCCCCCAGCCCGAAGGATCTGGGTTGCCGCTCGAGATATCGGCAGGGATACCGCCTCGGGGGAAGAACCAGATGCTGATGGCTTCACTGGTCCATTCGGTCGCATAGACACCACCGTTGTCGGAGTTGAAACCACTGCCGAAACTGCTCGAGTCTCCGCTGCGAATGGAACAGCCGGCATTGGTGGCTTGATCGGCAGCATTGACGTCGCAGTTGGCCGTCTCCAGACTACCAGAGAACGCTCCCGTGTTGGTGATGGAGCATCCAGAATCTGTGTGCATGGCCATGTTGTTCGTTGTCTGACTGTTGACGCCTTCGATGATGTCGATTTCTCCGCTGTAAGGCCAGTCGGGGCCGAGCAGCCAGAATGCTGGCCACGTACCACAAGCGCCCGCTGGCATGTGAGCAAGATCGAGGATGATCAGACCATGGTTGTATGACTTCTTGCTGCTTATTCGAATACTGTCTCGACCACTCCCAGAGGCAACGTTGGTAGAATCCACTCCCATATACACTGCACCATTGTCGATCTTGTATAAACCGGAGCTTTGGGCTTCGTCTTGTGTGATGTAGTTGACGTAGCCGTTTGTGGGGTCGGCACCCTGCTGAGGTCAGTCTTTTGGCGCCCATGGAAAGAATCCAGAACACATACCGTGTAGAAGTCGAACATGGAAGCAAAGGACGATGACGAGTAGTCATCTTCGAGCACGTACGAAGCTGTCGCTGTTGTTGCCGCCAGAAGTGCCAAGGTAGGGATTGAGACACGCATTCTGCCTGATTTGCAAGTACAACGCAGGCCAAGTTTGGAAGAAAGCGATTGCAAATGCAGTGATTGTAGGAGCAAGTCTTGCAGGACGCCATAACGAAGCTAATGGACGGCATTGATATATACTCGGCGACAAGCGTGGGAGATGGCCAGCACAACGAGGCTGGTTAAAGGTGACGATGGCAAAGCCGGCATCAAAATCACGAAAATGCGAATGCTGGGAAACGCCCTGTTGACGCTCGGACACGTTTGACCGAGGCGATCCAGGTACACGGGCAAGCCAGAGAGCCAACAGCGGTTGAGGAAGAGTATAGAAGAGGAGTGATGTTGGTCAGAGCCACCATGTGGTTGGATGTGCTCAGACATGACTGTGCCTCGAGCCCAAGGTGGTGGAAGGCTGGGAATCCTCCGGGGCTAACTTTGAGATAGACGAGAGGCCGGAACACCACCGCTATGGCCATGGGGGAGAACCAGAAGCTCGGATTGCATGGCCCCAATGTAACCCGACCAATGACGAGTTGATGTCGTACGTGAAGACCACTGCAGAGTAGTCAGGTGTCCTATCCCTACTACTAGTACCGAGTGGTAGTCAAGTCAAAGCTTGACTGCCATCGCAGTCACAGTTCGTGCGGTATCAGCGTACCTACAGTGTAGGCAGAGTTTGTGAGAGGGACTGGACAGCGAGTCAGGCGCACTCCGGCCACCACATCTCTGTTTGTCTCCGTAAGCAACAAGGAGATTTTCTTAGGTCGGCTCCGCCTCAAAGAGAGCCAGCATTGTCTGAGCTGGACCTGGACCACCTTTGATTTCACCTACACATGGACCGTTCAGCAGCTTACCGGTGGTGAGAGGCCGCGTCATGACTGGCCCTGGCCTGGTCGCTGGCCTCGATGAATGGACGATTGCCATGACCGCGGTCTGGCCATGGACAGAAGCAACTGATGGGGGCTGTGTGCACTGTGCATTTCAGCTGTACAGAGTTCAGAGTATGCTGTAGGTTGGGAACTTTGCTTGAGTCGACGGGTGTCAACAACGTCGGTCAGGGAAATTAGAGATGAGAGGTCGTCGTGGCTCTAACTCGAAACAGGAAGGCTAGGCGAAGGTCACGAGGCATACGCTCCTCGGATTGGCTGTGCACATAGTCCTCCGTACAGCCTTGTTCCACCTACTATCAAACCATCAACCCGCGTTCCTCTCTATGATTAAACCGTTCTTCCTCTGGAACGCCTGTCCCTCCTCCGTCTCGAACATCTCACCTCTTTGCTCAGGTTCCTGCTCATTGCTCATGCTCATGCTTACTGATGGTTGCGTGGACGGATGCTCGCCCGCTCGCCCGCCGTCGATTTCTTTGGATGCCCGTGCGAGCCTTAAGCCCCGTCACCGCTCCGTCTGCCCGCGCAACCGTGCGACGCGTGCCCAGCTGTGATCAATGCTCGACCGTCAGCCACCTCAACCTCTTTGATTTCCAGAGGAGCCCTCATCAGGTGCTTGAATCAGCTTACCCAGCTTACGCCTCCGACGTACTGCCTGCGTACGACTTGCGTGGAGGATACGAAGTCCGACGCTGCGCAAAGCAGGCTACAACCCTACAACCTGAGGTTCTTGTATCTAGGCCCAAGAGTACTCCCACGGGAATGTCAATAAATGATTTCTTGTTTGCTCATCCGCGGAGCAATCGTTACGGCCACATGATCAAGGCTAACGATCGGGCAAGTGTGCAAACAGATCATCACCTAATACATTCCCACCCCTCGAGATCTCTGCTCGCTTTACGTCTTTCTCGTGCTCTCGTTGGTCTGTCCTATTGGATGCAATCTGCTAAGCTGTGGAGAGGAACGTGCTGTGTAGCCAGCCACTAAACATGCCACCGAAGAATGGAGCTGAGTTATAGGGCGGAGAAGCGAAGGCAAAAATTCAGACTTTCGCTCCGATATTTATGAGATTTGCGTTACCCTAACTCGTGTCCTATATACCAGGACCCTCACTTTTCCAGGACTGAAAAATCGGTTGGTACCGAAGAGTTGGCGCAGTGGGACATGGTTGCATAACACTTGTCCAAGGATGTCCAATATGTTGGATCTCAAAATAAGACAATCTGTTTCCTGCGTACCTCAATCAATCCTGCGTTGCAGAGAAGTCGCCGAGTAGGCACCAAGAGCGTGCAAGTTTGGCATTTAATCTGTTCAGAAAATCGTGTCTCGTCACTCTTCTATCGCTTAACACTTTTGCTTCAAATTCCAACCTGCCTTGTACACCCGGCCACAGGCGAGGAGAATTGCTCCCACGACCGTGCTGAAGCCCAGACACAACTGCGCGACCAAATAACCGCCTCTTCCACCACCATTTGTTGACAATAACACGCCTGCCACGGGCGGGCCTGCAAGACCAGAAAAGCTAAACACGGAAAAGGCCATGCCCATCCGCATGCCATTTTTACTCATATCGGTGGTCAGACTCGAAACCGTGGTTGGGAAGAGGCACTGAAAAGCGCCGGCAGAGAAGCCAAAGAAGATGGAGAAAACGTACATGCCCGGTTGGGAATCGATGGCGATCCAGACAAAACCGAACAAGGCGTGGATGAGGAGTAGAGGGACCATCGTATTCAGTGGCCCCAGAAACCGGTCCGTGATGTACCCGGTCACCAGACGCATTGGGATCCCGGCCGCGTTGAAGACAATGAGCATGGTCAATGAGTCGGAATAGCTCATGCCGATGATGGAGCGGCCGTAGGAGGCGAGGTAATAATAGGTGAAGAACAGTCCGCCAAAGACAAAGGACATTCCGACCACGACGCACACATACGGTACCTCCAAGAAGGCCCTCAATTCGACGATCGGGCCGGCTTTGCGAGGAGGGAGCCTCGGACGCATGAAGGCCAGCGCGGTTCCGAGCAATGCCAGATTCACAAAGCCCAATACCCTCACGGTCCAAGCGAAGCCAATCTTGGGTAGAAGTTGTCGCACAATGATGGGATACACCGCGCCGCCTGCGGAATTGCCGGTGGTGACGATGGCGACGGCCACGCCCCGGTTTTTGTTGAAGTAGGTTGTCACCAAGCCCAGGGCTGGACAGAAGAATATTCCGCTACCGAGTCCCGTGCAGATGCCCTGGGCAAGGACGAGCTGCCAGAATACCTTACAGAGACTGGTCATGAAGATGCCGGTGACTTGAATCACGGATCCAATGAACAACGTTGGGATGAACAATCCGGCATCCAGCGCCCGCCCGGAAACGGCGCTCGCGACGAAGACGAGCCAGAGCTGGACCGATCCGATCCAGGCTATCGTTGACTGGGACTCTCCCAACGTCCCGGTATAGTAGCTTTGGAAGGCGCCGAAGGAGTTGATGTAGCCCCTGCAAGAAAAGAGGTCAATGGCTGGTTCTTCGATGCCCTCCAAGTCATGATTTCCACGTTCCGACGTGGTCACTTGCGACCGACCGACTTACCAGGTACAGAAGCAGACAATCCATGCCATTGCCACCTGGGTCCATGCTTTCAACCCACCGTCCGGAGGAGGGCCAGGGTCTACAATGTCTCGATTTGTGAGCCGGGTTGCGACCCTGCTGAGAACATTGCTGGCGACTTGCTTCAATTCCGGCAGAGTGCCTCGAGACGTCTGCTTGACGAGGACCAGTTTCCCCACGCGCTCCCCTTCCGGGCCAACGCACGCTATGACATCGACATCTTTCTCGGACTCTGCAATCTCCCGGCGGGACATACTGGCCGTCGGTTCTTTGCATTCATGGGGCGACAATGCGGTTGGGTTGGCCCTTGGATGTTAACAGGATGTGAGACTGTAGGATGGGAAACCCGCATTCGACGTGAAATACCCCTCAAAGACAAAACAACACAATCGCAAGGCGATAAGGCAGACAGACATGGCGGATACCTTTTGGATACCTGTTGGATACCTGTTCTCCAACACAAGGCCGGGTCAGAGCCTCCTCAAACTAAAACTCGGTCTTGATAATAATTCGCTGAGACGCCTGCGAAATTGGGGTTGAGGTCCAAGACACCTCTCATCGGTGCCGGATACCCGATCAATCTGCACTGTGGAAGGGCGTACGGCTTGGGTACCCACTGCCAGCGGAGAGTTGTTGGCATCCAATGCGCTTCTGCAAGGCTACAATGTGTGTTGTACCGGTCACCAGATAGCTGGTAGACAGACGCCTTGTCTTGTTGGTGTCTTCCACGAGGAACACATCTCCCGGTCCAGCGGTGAGAGGTGAGACCAACTTTCTGTAGTAGTCCGCGTCTGCGGGCAAGGAGGGGTCTTAGGATGAGGCCTGAGGCCCTTTAGCTTCGACCAGCGCCTTCACTTCACCATCGTCAGAGCAGATCCAACGGGATTCCCCTGCTTCGGAACTTGGCCGATGGAGAATGGCCGACGTCAGATCTACAGGTGACAGGAGTACTCCGTGCAGCACAGAGTACCTGGTAGGAGAGACCGCTTCTACAAAGTACTCCATACCACTATCTCGCAAACAACACCGGGCTTGGCAACTCCTCATCGGACAAAGAAGTCCGAAACTACCTACTCCGTACATGTTGAGTATGTGCATACATGTTACCCGTGCTGAACATTGCAGTTATCACCCGCTAGGTGCCGGTACTCTAAGCGGTGACAGTGTAGGAGTCGTGCCTGTGAGACTGTCACCCTCAACAGTTGGAGCGTTTGTCAATAGAATAGTGATCATCGTTACATTCACTTTTTCTTTTCCGTGACTGGGTACGGAGTATTGAAGTACGTACCCTGATAGAAAAATGTTCATACAAGGGGAACCCTGTCTACAACCTCAATCCCCGCACCCCCGGATATCGGTAGACAACTCCTCGCCCACGCTCGCCATGTCCTCCAGCAGGCGCGCCCCCCTGGACAGGGTACAGGGTATCTAACTATGCACCTCTAGAACGTCCTCTTTATCCGTGATACAGCCCTGACTCGCATCGCTGACAAGTTTGGCGTACTTGGCCAACACGCCCCTCTTGTACCGCGGGACGGGTTTATTCTTATTCCACTCCTCACGCCTCTGAGCAAGAGTGGCGTCGTCAACCAGTAAGTCGAGCTTGCGTGTTTCGGCGTCGATGACGATCTCGTCGCCATCGCGCACCAGGCCGATCGGTCCTCCCTCCATGGCTTCGGGCACGATATGGCCGATTAAGAACCCATGGGAGCCGCCGCTGAAGCGGCCGTCCGTAATCAGCGCGACGTCTTTACCAAGACCTGCGCCCATGATGGCCGAGCTGGGCTTCAACATTTCCGGCATGCCTGGCCCACCTTTTGGCCCTTCGTAGCGGATCACCACAACAGTCTTCTCGCCTTTCTTGATCTCCCCGCGCTCAAGGGCTTCGATGAAAAGATCTTCCGCGTCGTAGACTTTAGCTTTGCCAACGAATCGTAACCCTTCTTTACCCGTGATCTTGCCCACGCTGCCGCCGGGCGCAAGACTGCCACGCAGAATCTGGATGTGACCCGTCTCTTTGATGGGTTGAGAGAATGGTTTGATGATAGTCTGGTCGCTCGGAAAATCGGGGGCTGACTCGATGTTTTTCTTGAGCGTTTGTCCCGTCACGGTTATGCTGTCGCCCTTTACAACCCCCTCCTTAATCAAGAATTTCAGGAGCGCTGGGATACCCCCAATCTGGTGTAGGTCGTTGAACACGTACTTGCCTGAGGGTTTGAGATCGGATAGGAAAGGAGTCTTGTCGCTGACGGCTTGGAAATCGTCAATGGTGAGTTTGATGCCTACGGCGTCCGCGATAGCGATCAAATGCAGTACCGCGTTCGTTGAGCCACCCGTGATCATGACCACAACCATGGCATCTTCGAAGGCCTGGCGGGTCATGATGTCGCGTGGCTTGAGATCTAGTTTGAGGAGGTTCTTGATCGCTCCACCCGCGGCCAGACATTCCAGCTGTTTCGCTTTAGACTCGGCCGGGTTGGATGAGCTGCCTGGGAGGGTCATCCCCAGCGTTTCAATGGCCGAGGCCATGGTGTTCGCGGTATACATTCCACCACACGCTCCACTCCCAGGGCAGGCGTGCCGGATAATATCGAATCGCTGCTCTTCGTCGATTTCCCCGGTGATGAATTGTCCATAAGCCTGGAACGCTGAGACAATGTCGATGTGGGCGTTGTTCTGGGTGCTCGCACAGCCAGGAGCTATCGAACCCCCGTACACCATGATCGACGGTCGATTGACACGACCCATGGCCATGAGAACACCTGGCATGTTCTTGTCACAGCCCGGGATCGAGATGTTTGCGTCGTACCATTGTCCCTCCATGACCGTCTCTATCGAGTCCGCAATGATCTCTCTGGACTGCAGACTATACCTCATGCCGGTTGTACCCATTGAGATAGCGTCCGAGACACCAATGGTGTTGAATTGCATGGGTACCAATCCGGAGTTGGCTACGCCCTTCTTGACGATATTCGACAAGTCCATCAGGTGTGCGTTGCAGGGATTACCGCTATACCACACCGAAGATATGCCCACCTGCGGCTTGTTCATGTCGGTTTCTGTCAATCCCACTGCGTATAGCATGGCCTGCGAGGCACCCTGAGACTTGGGTTGTGTAACATATTGTGAGACTCGATTGAGGCCAGTAACATCGGAGGCATTGTTGAAGCTGGGGCGGGAAGAGGAAAACAGACGACTGCTATACTGTGAGCATAGGAAATTTCGCAGAGGGAGCAGCAGCGTACCTGTTTTGTTTGTGAAGCTGCGTCCTTGCCTGCCTCAAACGCAGACTTCTGAGAGAAGCCGAGGCCCTCATGGTGATGCCGCTTCGGGGCTGCTAACTCGAAAAGATGCTGGAGAGCACGGCGCAGAAAATATGGACAAAGCCTCTCTACGTGAGAGGAGTGTTCTGTGCGAAATCTTGCAGCCTCAGGAAGCGTTGCGGTTTGACGACTCGAAGCTGCGAAGCGGTCCGTGGTCGATGTTCAATCGACAATTTAGCACCTTTTCCCCCAACACTGGCAAAGTAACAGTAATTACAGTACGGAAAATACAATGGACCCGCCGCAGTAGCCGATCGCGCCCTCGGAGCCAATGGGAGTGTCTGTAATTGCACCTTATCCGGGGAGTCTAGCCGCACTCCGGAGAGGTAGGCTGCGCCGCTTTAAACCCTGCCAGGTCGTCTATACAACCGTTTTTGGCACGGAGTACGGATGGTAGTAGTAGATGCAGTCCTACTACCTGCCATGCCACTATGACTTGGCTCGCTATCGTGGACAGGATGTACGAGAGCTGTCTGCATTTTCCTTATTCTCGTAGCCTACTAGGAGACTTTTATCTTTCATGACGCATTCGTACGAACTCCAACAGAGGATTTCGCGCAACGATACAATTACAGCCCGTGGCAATCAACAAGGTCGAACGCTATTCATCACAAGGTCTCTTCTTCCACCCATCGCAGACCGCCATCTACTTGTATTCCTTCCTTGACCCAATTCATTTCGCGGATTTCGGCCAGTTTTTTACGTCGACTCGCCCTCTTCAAGAGGCCATCGACACACTCGGCCGCCCCCTGAAACTCCCGACCTTTTTCGGGATCCCATTCGCCATCTTCATCCCCATACTTCACCCAAGCCCACTCGCACCGGGCGATACGATGAGGCGTTCTTGCTCGCAGTGTTGCTGGATCGCCCCGGGCTCCGGGCAAGGGGTCGAAAGGTAGTCTCCCTTCCAGCAGAGCATACAAAAGTACGCCCAAGGCCCAAGCATCCGTCTGCCGCCCATCGTAAGGCTGTCCCATGATGATCTCGGGAGCCGCATAGTCTTCACTCCCACATCGTGTCGTGAGTAGGGGGCTCTCCGGGGGTTCTGGTATACTACGGGAAAGACCCAAATCTGTTAAAGTTATCACGGCTCGGTCCAATGTCTGCCAATTGAGTACATCTGGATGGACTCGGATGGGGATGTTGAGTAAGACGTCTAACTCGGTCAGCCAGCGCTAAGGGATTCTTCAAAGGTTCTGAACATACTTTCCAGCTTGATATCACGGTGGACAACATACTTTTGGTGGAGATATCGGCAGGCTGAAACGAGTTCTGCAAATATTCGCCGGACCAACGGCGGTGTCAAGGCCTCTTGGTGATTGCTTGCCGCCTCAAACAAGTCCCCTCCTGGACAGTAATTCATGACAAGTAACGCACGCGCACCACCGTCATTCCCGAATGCCTTCAGATGGACCAAAGAAGGATGCCTTATCGATTTCAAGATCTCAACTTCTCGCTTCAGCCCAACTTCGATTCTTTCGGCGTCTGCTCCACCGGCTGGGCCCTGCTCCACAACTTTGACTGCGACGAGCCTTGTTGACCGAGCTTTGATACCAGCCATATTGACACTGTCCTGTCTATAGTCCACACTATCCTCATGATGATGCTTCAGTTGTCGGACTGCCAAGTAGACCTTGCTGAACGTTCCTTGACCAAGGAGACGGATGGCTTCATACGATCGAGGCTCCCCAGTAACAATGCTTCTAGCGTAGAAAATCTCCAGTTTCGGCTTTTTGGCTAGGGGCTCATCTTCCTTACCACTATCCACCTCCTCCGCAGTTGGAGGTGGCGTTAGGGGCCGGACAACAGTTTTGGCGAAACCTCTTTGCGGACCGATGTATTCTTCCCGGTGCATTGTAGTAGTTAGCTGTGAACTTTCGGCCGGGAACGCCGTAAGAGATGCGGCGACGTTCCGTGGCTTTGCCGCGGGAGGTGCATCAGGAACATAGTCGCTAACACTTCTAGGGTGGGTTTCCTCGAGGGAGGGATCATCTGAAGTATTCGACCTCGATCCCGGAGGAGGGAACTGGAGGCCTGGATAACCCTTGCGGCGAGGAGAAGCAGGTAAAAGGGAAGAGGAATGAGCAGCTGCGGTGATCTCTGTCTTCAGAGAGGATATCGAAGAACCACGGGATCTCGGCTGTGAGAAGGCCTTCCAAGATTCAGAGGCTCCCGTTGGGGAAGGCAGCGGGGTGATATCGAGCATTGCTGCAATTTGGGGCGACGAAATGACAGCACCAGGCGAAACAGAGCCGGCGGAAGAATGCAGCTGCGTTCGAACACTAGGTGCACGACGTGGAAGACTCGCTACAGAAGCACTTGCACGCAACTGTGGCTCGTACTCGACAGAGTGGGAAGATCCTGATCTCGTGAGAGCGTCGGCATCGGTCCGGATCTGTAGGCCATTCAATAAAAAGGCTGCGTCTCGATGGACGCGGAGAGAATCCGCCGATGAGGCAAATTGCGGTGCAAAGTGTGAGGTTACATGGTGGTTGATCTGGAATGCCTGAGCATTTGTTTGGTACCGTGGCTGATCCAAAGGATTAACGGCAGAGGTGGGAACGGGAGGAGTCAACAGGAACCGATCGTCTGCCCATGACTGCCCATCTGTTGTCTCGTTTTCCTCCTCCTTTGAACTCGAACGCGATTTGAATTGGGAGGACTGCAGAGGGGCGGCCCGTGGATCGGTCATGGTGTACTATGGCTGAGGCTTAGATGGCGGGCTTGCGTGAGGATGCCCAGAACGCCTTGATCCTTCATTAGCAGGCGCATGAGAGAAGTATGGTCAGAGGCGAGGGAGTCATATCGCATTCGGACTCGGTGCTAAAGAAAAGAGAGACTGGTCGCGAGGCAATAAGCATGGCCGGGTTCGATGCTTGTCTTTTCTGGCGGGCGAGCGGCTCAGAAAGAGCCAGTGGACGCAGGCTTAGGATAGAATTCAGAGCCCCGTGTCGCAAAACACGAGGTGGGATGAAACGGGCGCAGGGCTGGGGATCCCGCAAATAGAAAGAAATGGTAGCCGTGTGTGTCTCACCTCACCGTAATGCTGACGGCTTCTGTATGGCCGGCCCCAGGCCCTGGCGTCTAGTTCAGTAATGTTTCACCGTTAGGCTTTTGGCAGTTGGTTGGGCGTCACAGAGCCTCCTAGGCTTGGCAACAGAGAGTTGGATATGGCAGGGATACTATTAATTAGCCTGATTTACGTATTCTCCGTACTTCGTATTGTCTCTGCAACCACCGGTTCATGACCAAACGTCGAAGCTCAACAGTCGGTCCTCTCCTTGTGCCCCTTCCAGCCACGGCTATCGAAGCAATATCCAGGTGCGGTGGAAACCAAATGGTCTGCTGCCAGCCCTCGATTTTCAAGAACACACACACCTGAGTCAAATTGTATGGGATGAGGACCACAGTCAAGAATGGGGCCATCAGCAGCAGAGCAAAAAGGATGAGTCCCCCTCCGGCTCTCACCTGGAGCTCTACCAAGACACCCACGGTACTTCAGACCATCGTTGCTTTCCCCGCATTCGCCAAAATGCCTTAACGTTGCTTCTAGCAATCGACCCCGATCGACCTGAGTCGACTAACGTTCTCTGCTACTTTTGCCTCTGCCTAGCTTAGCGACGACTTTGACAGTGGCAAATTTTGCTTACCGCAGGCTCCGTGGTCTTCTCCTTCTACCACATCGAAAACCGGAGAGTGAATGGAAAGCAGGACCGTGGCCACCCTCTCCGCCGGGTTTTCCGCAAAAAGACTGCCTCGTGTCAGCATGCAAATAAGGTGGGAGAGACTAGGTTTTGTTTACGCGTTCATGTCAATGATGTTGACTTTCATTCGATACCGGCCCGGTTGCGTGATTATGAGTTCTGGAAAAGTTGCATAAGCCAGTGTAGGCCGGTCTCCGTCTTGGTCTTGGTGTACTGGATGGATCGAATCGGCTGTCCTGCCTCGCAAAAGATCTGTCCGGGGTGGAGCCAGACTTTGTTCCATGTCTGGCGTAGTCAAGGATACGAACGCCCAGATACCGCTCAAGTCTGGCAGTGCCACTGCTTCATGTCCATGTTCCTCGTCCTCTGACATTGTGGCTGTTGTAAAGGTCACGACAACAGGCAAGTGAAGCGATACACCTGCAGCAATCTTTGATGGTGGTCCAATGGCAAGCTCCATCTCATATCAATGCCGGTTCAGTTGAAGCTTGCGCGTACGATGAGCCTATGGCTATGCACTCCGATCAGTTGACTGGCACCGCTATAAGGCGGAAGCTGATTAAAGGTACGGATAATGGATATGGCCTTTTAACTGAGGGGTTGAACACGCACTATTCGAGGCGGCAACTCACAAGTGATTAGAGACTACCGGGTTGAGGACAGTCGGGCAGTACTTGTAGGGCAATTCCAGCCCTGCAAACGAGACCAGATGCATTGTACTTCCGGAGAGGAGGAGCCTGACTACACTCCAGAATAGAATGGTGTAGTGTAATGGTGTCGGCGCAAACAATATTGATACAGTATCCGAAGCTTGGCCTCTATTCTTCCACGTCTGACAATGGCAGCGACCTATCTGCCTGACTTCACAGACGCCCCTTTTGGACGGGTGTCCCATGAGATCCCAAAAGCTCACACTTGCCAAAGGCACTATCCAAGGGCAGGGGCAACAAAGAGAGTGGGGGATGGTGGACGATACTACGTAGAGCCAGACGCCATACCCGGATGGGGCCCTGGCCCCCAGGACAGCGAATCCATTATCGACCCAGCTACCCTTCGCGCGCGTTTCCCTCAAGCCGGGATGGGTTTGGTCGTTGTCCGAGCTGGAAGGATTCAGCAGATCAAAAGGCCGTCAACAGATTCACCTCCTGTGGCTCTGTTGACAGCAATTGCATGTAGCCCACTCAGGTCTACTGCCATACCAGATCCCGGCTCTCATCCTGACAGCGCATTTTCCCACAATAGATGTACACTAGCATACCAGCAGAGCATATGCTGTGCAGCGCATGCCGCTCTAGCGTTTCCCGTTCGAGTGGTCTAGTGGCACAATCAGAGCAGATGGAGACACAGTAGGCCCCAGAACCCTGGGACCAAGCCTGACAGCTTGACTTTTTGACGGGAGAGATCTGGCAGACAGGTGATGGACGTGGGAGGGAGATCTAGTGTAACTTGCGATGACGCAGCCATTATTGTCTGATCTTGAGAGGGCTGGTGCAAACACCATAGCATGTTGCAATGACGCAGCCATTATTGTCTGATCTGAGAGGGCTGGTGCAAACACCAGGCATGAAAGTCGTCATGGGGCTGCAAAACAAGAGCAAAAGAGAAGCGAGAAGCGTGGAGAAGGGAGTTCTTTCTGACTAGCGCCGATCGCAGAGTTGTGTGCGCAGAGCACGCAGAGCACGGAGAATCGAGCCTTTCACAGGGCTGGGAGACGGCAACTAAGGCATACATATCAGCCAGAGTCTCAACAACAAGCATGATATACCTATAATAAGACTGACGCGGTTCCGCCGGACGCCGTTCCTGTTGGTGGTCGTGTTCGTGTTCTGCTATTCGGGTAGCATGGAGACTCTTCCATTTCGATACAGCTGGATCATGAGAAGCAACGTCACTAGTAGCAATGAGGCCCAGGCTGCGCTAACGCTATTGACGACGCGCTGCTAACCTAACGATCAGGGGCTCAGGGGGCTTGCAGCCACGAGCGCAAGGAATAGTGTAGGTGTGTGTCTAGCACCATGTCTGTCATTGCTAGGTTGGGTTCAGAGTATAGGAAAAATCAGAGCAGGTATGAGTAAACGAGAGTCTGTATATCACGAGGTGATGACTGGATTCTACAGATGGAACCCATAAGCCACCGTCACATACTCTCGGCTCCTTCCTCTTGAAGCCCCTAAGCTCAGAAATTGATTTTCCGGCGCACCTGCCTCGCCTGACAGTCACCACTTGTGACTTAGGTACCTACCTCACATACTGTTTGTTCTACACGACAGGACAGCGGTAGGTGGCAGGGTTAGGTATCCAATCTATCCAGTCTCGGACTCATTACTCCTTGCTTCATCTCTCCCTACAAACCACCGTCGGCTTTCGCATCGAGGTCCACCCTCCTTTGTCTCTGGCATCATGATCCCTTGTCTACATCCACAGAGCCTTGCCGGGTTTTCCGTCACACCCAGCGCGCCGTCAGTAGCGGAGGACAAGATCCTTGACAGCTCAAGCCACAGAGTGCGGTGTGCATAGTTTAACGATCTCTTTGTTTGGCAGACCGGCGACCTCCGCAAGGAGACATCGCTTCGCCTTGCTGACGTCGCGATCCCCAGCTGCAATCCTCGGTCAAGACTTTCTCGAACGATCGTACCCTCACTGCGGTCCAAACTCCTACATCTCGCATTAGCCTCTGCTAGGACGAATGGGAATCATATCCGTGATGCAGCTCTTATTAGCCCTTATCCTCGCACTCTAGATGTTCCACAGATGACGACCGGCTCGCCAGCCCTAACTGCTCAGTCACCCGTCATACTGGGGCTGAAGAAGACCAAGCAATATACAACCCAGTTCATCATAACATCATTCAGTCACCAGACCCAAATAAAAACTAAGACTTGTGTCTGGCGAGTGGCTTGGTTATCCGCCAGTTGTCTTGCAGATAGTCAAGACCATTCTCCACTGTCGCACCGGCGTTTCTACCACCGATCTTCTATATGACCTGTCACATCCTGATAACCCGCTCAGCTCGAGAAGGATCATTTCGAATCGCGACATGGGCTGGCTGCGTTGGCCCTGTGATCTTTGAGAGCTACCGCTGCATCAGATACACCCAAGTTTTCAGTTGTTTACTCACCATATGCAATGTCACACTTGTTCGTGCGATTGTGGAAGTGGATCCATATTGATACTCTCTCCCTGACATCCAAAAATGGCCCATAAAACGGCTAGGCATGCAATCTCTGAACCTATGTTTAGACAAGGGCTCCTTACACTCCAAGAAGCATGTCCGACAGAAATTCAGAGAAGGACCAAACACGGAGTAGATTGACCAGGGGTGTGTCATTGCCCATGCCTCCCCTGGCCGCGCAGCAGCCACCCCATGGAAAGATGACATCGACGAGGCATAAAGAGGACCCGGTAAGCTGGGTAATCTCCACCCTCGAGGACGTCGACATTTCCTGAAAGAGATTTTGAAGCAAACCTCGGGAGCTCCTTGAGTGAAACAGCTCTCGGGGCCCGGACTGCCCGTCATCTAGGCTCATCCAGGTCCGATTGGGTGCGATATTCAGTTATTGTCCTCTCCTTTCACCCGTTACGGTCTCTGATCCGAAAATGTCCAAAGTGCTGTGGACCTCAACCTTAAGTGGAGACGCTTGATTGAGATCTCGCCGCGAGGACAAGACGAAGCAGCGCAGAGATAAATTTGTCATATTGAGGTACTCCAGTTAATAAGGACATGGCAGGTAAGTCATGACTTGAGCTCTTGACGAATCCCCAAACGCCTCCGTCGCAATAGCTATGACGCCCCTTTGAAAGACTGAACACTCTGAAGCTCCTGGCCTAATCGTATTTGCATCAACAAGCCCGTTTCCATTTCCGCGTCATGACCCTGACCTCTACCGGGACGTTACTATTCATGAAAGTGCAAACCTTATGCCGATCAGACGCCACTTCTATACACCTGACTGCCTCCATTTCTCAACCTCACCGTTTCCCTTCTTTGCAAGACATGCAGAGCCCGTGCCAATGCGGCTTCACTGTATCCTCTCCCTTGAACGAATTCGCGTCGCAATGTTGCTAAGCTGGTGCTCCATCCGATTGGGAGCCGTCTTCTCAATTCTTCTTCAACCTTGCTCACTTCCTCCACCAGCTCCCGATTTGCGCTCAAGCCGCCTGCCCCCTCACCCTGAGACACGGCATCCATGGTGCTCGCCAAGAAAAGGCGGATGGCCTCGTCAACGTGGTGTTCCTCCGCGACGGGCGATAAGGTGAGTTTGGCTAGTGATTCTGTGATGCGGATGATTGCTTCGAGTTGACGCACTGTAATCGGTATGGAGGATCTTACGTTGCTATTCTGCTCGGCTTGAGCAACGCGATTTCGAATGGAGACAAAATGAGATGATAATTTCTCTGCGGCAGGGGCTGAGAGGCGAGGTGCACAGCGCCTGAGAGCCTGGGTTAGTGCTGGTCACCCTGGAAGGCGGGTAGATACGTACGATTTGCAGAAGGTGATATATCTCTTCATCTTTTCGACAGGAATTTCAGCTTCGGCTTGTTCCTCCATGCCTTGATTGCCCATGTGTATACCCATGACATGCTTTGCAATTGTCTCGTCACGTTTTCTATCGTGGTCGTCTCTCACGATGAAAATCATGTCAAATCGAGATAGAATGGTCGTCTGGAAATCAATATTCTCCCCGGGAGACTTGAGGTCGTCATACCGCCCGAAGATAGGGTTTGCTGCTGCCAGAACCGAAGTACGCGCATTGAGAATGGTGGTGATGCCGGCTTTGGCAATGGAGATGGTCTGCTGCTCCATGGCTTCGTGGATTGCCACACGATCTTCGTCGCGCATCTTGTCAAACTCGTCAATACACACGACGCCACCATCAGCGAGTACCATTGCACCCCCCTCCAGGTAGAACTCGCGCGTTTGGGTGTCGCGCTGAACAGAAGCAGTCAGACCTGCCGCTGAGGAGCCTTTTCCTGAGGTATAGATTGCAATCGGCGACACTTTCTCCACGAACTTCAAGAGCTGCGATTTGGCGGTACCTGGGTCGCCCAAGAGTAGGACATTGATGTCTCCTCTGAGCCTCATTCCGTCGGGCAAAATCTTCTTCGAGCCTCCCATCAGTAGACAGCAGATGGCTTTCTTGATATCGGCATTTCCATAGATAGAAGGAGCAATGCATCTGGCAAATCGCTCGTAAAGATCTGGGAGTCGTGACATTTCCTCAAATTCTTGGATTTCTTCGTCGGAAAACGATTGCACTCCGCTTGCGGCATGGTCAACATCGGTAGTTATACCGACCGCGCGGAGGTATGGATTTCGGATTGCAACTGCGTTGTCTCTCTTGCCACCTTTGTTCGCCTGGTAGATGGAAAAGACACCCATGATCGTACATCGAGACCCGGGCACCACTCTGTTGGTAAGATAGCGATCTGCAGAGACTAGAATATGACGAGGTAGTTCTCCTACTGGAACCTGATCCGGTGCTTCCTGTAGCTTCAGGATTTGCTGATCGATAAATTGTGACTTCTCGTGGACCACGTAGTATGGGTCCAAGGGACAGGGATCGCCAGATTCTTGGCCAGGAATCCTGGGCCTGCCACAGGTGCGCGGGAGTGTGATGCCAGAGAACCCTCCTTCTAGCGGCAATAACTGAACATGCTCGCAATTCCGACATTGGATGCTCAGAACGGTTGCTTTCGAGGAGAGGGTCGATGCGCCAATGACGATACCCGGAATGCGGACTAGGTGGGAGACGTTTGTGGCGTTGAGGTCGCGGATTGAGATGTGAGATACGGACGAGTGTAGGAGGAGTTGGTGCTGGGGGAGCTCGACGTCGGCGTCGTGAGGGAAGACAATGCGCTGGGTGCACTGTTTGAGGGCAGCTTCGAACAGAGGTATAACACTCCCGGGATCGCTGGTCAATCTGTGGGCCAATTCTTCGTTGTATGAGATCAGGTGGGTGAGATCGATGTCGCAGTAGTATTGCTTGACGAGAACATTCTCTCGAATCTGATCTCTGTAGATGTAAGAGCCGTCAAGTTGGAAAGCGAGGACAAACTCCTTCAGTTTGGACTGCAATTCGGTACGCGGTTCAGATGAAGCATCATGTTGTGGTGAAAGCACGCTGAGTGAATATGCTGATCTCGAGTCTAACGCCATATTGAATGTTTAACTGTTGGTGAGCTGGCGAACGCGAACAGAGGGATCTCTTCATGTAGAGGAACAGCGGCGGATATCTCAGAAGTGTTCTCCTCGGAGCGTGAGGGACGCGTTTCGCGTCAAAACGCAGCCCCCGACGCGTAAAGTGGTTTTCGGCGAAATTAATCGCCGGGGCCGATGGTCGGGCGGCCTCCCTTGGCATTATTGATCGCATCGAGTTTCCGGGGCCCATAAGCCGTCTGCGCTGCGTGTCCTTTGGCGTCTGACAAGCAGCAACCTCAAGCAACCACGAAACATGTCCTGTGGGAGGGTCGCCGTCTTCTGCAACGATCAAACTGCCTCTGCCCTATCTACACGAGCCAATATCAGCGACTGATGCATCACAAACTCGCGCATACGACACCGGTGAGATGGCCTCTCCGGTCCGTCCTAGGTCAGAAGAGACCTTTGCCTCGCCTGTCGCAAGCTCGCCTTCGACCGCATTCCCTTTCCCAGACGTATCCAAGGGGCCATATGGCGCCTCTAGAGGAGGCCTGCGACGTGGCTCGACTGCAAGCTCCATTGCTAGTATAGGGGGCGCGCTCGATACTGGCTCAATCAACACTACAATCACGGAGACCGGCCAGAATGCTATTTCCACCTTGCTCCAACACCCAATTGTGCGCACCGGATTGCAAGCAAGCGCCCCTGTACCGCACTCCGGCTACAAGGTGCCCAGCCATCGCGATATTCCCCCTGTTGCGTTGACAAACATCCCTCATATCGAATCGAAAGCGTTCCACCCGTATCTCTCACAAGTTGGGTCATTGTATGAAGCATTTCAACGAGCTAAGAATGAAGGCGAAGGAGAGACATCCTTGTTTCATCGAGACAAGAAGGAAACAAAAAACGAAGAATGGGACGCCATTCTGAGCAAGCGTCTACAGACATCTGGTCATTCTCGGACCGGGTCCATGAGCTCGACCGTGTCTACGCCAATCGACACACCACAGCCAAAGAGGAGGTCAAGCGGGCAGCGCCGTCAAGCTGTCACGCCTTTATCCACCCTCCCTTCGGTCTATTTTGAGGAAGACTTTCACTTGGAGAACCCAAGGACGTTCGATATCGTCTCCGAACATTCGGAAATTGTTCGCGACCCCAACGGTACTCCGAGTGGAAGGAGGTCATTAGCTACAAATGCCATCTTGCAAGAAAAGCTGTCTTGGTATATGGATACCGTGGAGGTTCACTTGATCAACTCTATTTCAACAGCATCCAAGTCTTTCTTCTCGGCTCTCGGCTCACTCAGGGAGCTACATGGCGAAGCCGCCGACTCAGTGGACCGCATTCAAAGATTACGAAAGGAGCTGGCGAGACTTGACAAGGAAATGGCGATTGATGGTCTGAAAGTGGTCAATCTCAAACAGCGTCGTGACAATGTTCGCCAACTCGCCCAGGCGATTATGCAGCTTGAAGACATCGTCAAGGCTGTGCAGAGCTGTGAGGACATGGTCGAAAAGGGCGAAATCGGCGAGGCTTTAGACAGTTTGGATGGAGTCGAGGCGTTGATCGCTGGAAGGGAACTAAAGTCAGCGGCGCCTAACGAGTCCGGCCAATATCCGAGACGCGATCTCCGAAGAATCAAGGCGCTCGAAGGTGCATTCGATGACTTGAATCAGTTAAGGTATAGGGCTGGGCGAGGCTACGAAGCCAGGTTTCACTCCAGTCTGTTAACCGACATCAGACGACACGTTGGACAAACGGAAACTGGTGCAACACTTCACAGGTGGGGTAACGCATACACAAGACTGAGGCCTGGCCAAAGAAGGGCTCCTTCGAGCTTCCCTGGTTACATGAACATCGGGCCTGAGTTGCGGGCCGAACTTGAAGCGGAGATGAAGGGTCTGTCGAGGGCCAGATACACCACGCCGGCCGCAACAACCTTCCGGTCCCTTGTCTTGCGAGAGATGAAGAGTATGATCCGGAAGCAGTTACCTAGCTCCAACGACGATGACAATGTTTCCACGGTCTCAGCTTCGACCGCAGGTGGCAGACAGATGAGTCAACAGGAAAAATCGTCGATACTGGCGCGAAATCTGAGAGCGCTGGACGCGGATGATTGGTACCAAATGTTGGCTACCATCTATACAAACATAAGCGAGGGCCTACGCCGGCTTAGTGTGCAGGTCAAGATTCTCCTGGACATTACAAGCACTTTACCCGATCATACGGTTCAATCCCCTGCGAGAAGTCCGGAGCCGGCAAGCATCGAGAAAGTGATGAGTCCTCCGACCGGCCGACCAAGGGCAACCAGTACTGTTCAATCAGAGATGCAACAGGCGCTGGACCTCTCGAGCCTCCTTGGTGAAGGTGTCGACCTGGTGCAGGCGCAGATCACAAAGGTCGTCAAAGTGCGATCGCAACAAAATTCCGAGCTTCCCCTTACAGCGTTCCTGAAGTATTTCAGTCTTAACAAGCTGTTTGCCGATGAGTGTGAGGCGATATCAGGTCGAAGCGGGGTGGCTTTGAAAACCGTCATCGACACTCAAATCAAGGATTTTGTAGCCCATTTTGGGGACTCGCAAAAACACGACGTCATCAAGGTGATGGACAGCGACAAGTGGGACGCCAAAGACTTTGGCGAGCGTGAAAATGAAATCCTGGGTCGGGTCATGCAAGGCAGCACTGGCGATGCCCTCCTTTGGATCGAAAGTACTATGATCTGGCAGACCCCGACCAACGGCTCTACAACAGCCAACGGCACGACGGCGAATGGTACATCTGGGGCTGCGGCGAAGGTGCGGAGTGCCGTGGTGGATGAACAGAAGTACATCCTCCCAGAATCGGCCCTGGCTATACTTCGATCCATCGAAAGCTTCCAACATCTCGCAGCGGCCATTCCTAGCATGAGTCATGAAGTGGCGAACTTGCTGCTAGACAGTCTGAAGTTGTTCAATTCGCGAAGCTCACAGCTGATCCTTGGAGCCGGCGCCACCAGGAGTGCTGGCTTGAAGAACATCACGACAAAGCATCTGGCGCTGTCGTCGCAGACGCTAAGCTTTGTGGTGGCTCTGATCCCGTATGTGAGGGAGTTCTTCCGCCGCCATCTGTCCTCCTCTGCAGCACCACAAGTGATGACCGAGTTTGACAAGGTGAAGCGCCTGTTCCAGGAGCATCAGAGCGGGATCCATGAGAAGCTGGTCGACATTATGTCTGGACGAGCGTCCATGCACGTCAAATCCATGAAAAACATTGACTGGGAAGAAGCGGCCAAGAACAAAGCGACCACGGTCTCACCTTACATGGAGACTCTGACTAAAGAGACAGCTACTCTACAGAAAGTGTTGGCCAAGCATTTGCCGGATCCCGTGGTGTCGGGGATCATGACGCCGGTCTTTGCCAGTTATCGAGACCAGTGGACGAATGCTTTCAAGAATCTAACCCTCAGCTCGACTGCGGCGAAAGAGAGGTACGCTTACGGCCAATACTGGTTGACGGAGTATTACCTGCTAACATGGAAACCTATAGGGTCCTGGCGGACGCGGCATTCTTCAATTCGCGCATCAGCAAGATCGACGGAGCGGGAGACCTGGGCGAACACATTGTCAACCTAGTGCAGGCGAAAGAGGTGTTGAACACAGCTCCGCCCCCGCCCCCTGTCGAGTCGTCTGCGGCACCCACGATTGATGGGCCAGATCAGGAGAAAGATCAGGACAAGGTGGGCCAAGGGGAAGATGAGGCGAAACTGACTGAATCGCAGAAGGAGGGCCAGGCGGCAAACACAGACGCAAACAGCTAGTAGATGGCCGGGTATAATAATCAGTTCAGTCACTGAGTCTAGTCAACTTGTACATGGATGGAAACTGCTGTTGGACTCCAGTCCCACCAGTCTTGAACATGCAAGCAGTCTTTGGCCAGCCGAGCCAGGAGCCAGAAGCCGGGCTGCTCTCAAACAGTCATTGGGCTTTGCTGCTCTTCAAAGTGACACTGGACCTCTTTTCACGTTTGCGCCCATCATCGCATATAATAACCCTCGCTGCGTCCGCCCTCAATCGACTTCCACGCGTAACGTAACGTGGTGTTCGACCGTTCCTGCTCCACCCGGGTATCACTGAGCTGCTCTGTAATACTCTCTGGGCGGGCGAATGGTCGAAGCGCATGCAGTGGTTAGAAGATGGCGGTGGCGTTGGCGTGGCTGCCGACACCGCCAGGACAATTGGCAGGACTGCTAGAGAAGAAGAAGGTCCAGCGACGGTTCTTCTTGGCGAGTTCGCTGGCCTTTTCCAGGTCCAGCATCTCGCCCAACGGCATACCCCAAAGCGCGAGGATATATTCGTGCAGATAGTACGATTCGGGGGTGGGCCAGCGCTCAAAGGTAGGAGCATCGCCGCCGACAGCAGCGAAGTAGCAGTCGTGCAGCCAGTCTTTGATGGCTTCCTCCTGCTTGAGCCCGGCCCACTGGGCGGTAGAGGCAGGGTCGTCGTGGCCCGAGCCCAAAGTTGCGCCGTCGCTGCCGCGCAGAGCGAGGCGCTCGCGTTCCTCGGGCGTGCGCCTGTAATAGTCCACGGTCCAGCCGAAGCGGATGAGCAGGATGTCGCCGATCTTGATGTCGCCGCCCTGGGCGGCGGGGCGGATGTCGAGGCCTTGGTGTTTGCCACACGCGACCAGGTCGTCGTAGGAAATGGCGTGCGCCGTCGCTGTGTCATACTTGATGCCCTGGGTGTCTGCGTAGCTTCTGTAGTCCAGCAGGACGGCGCGGCCGGAGAAGCCGTGTGTGGACCAGTGATGGATGCTGCATTTGTGGTTCGCTTCCGAGCCGACAATGTCCGCGGCGTGCGTGTTGTTGTAGAAGGTCTTGGTCGGCAAGTGTGCGAAGTGCCGGAACCCGTCCCACTGTGTCCCGCTCTGCGTGTTGAGATGGTAAATGTCGTCGAAGGCCACGCTGTCGTGGATGTCGATGATCCGGTGCTCGAACCTTTGCCGATTGAACGCCGGCTGCAAGGGCACGTCGAGCGGGAGGTCCAGTCGTGCCATCTCGCCCGTCCGCACCTCCGCTGCGGCAGCCTTGACTCGTGTCGGCGTAAGCAGATTCAAGCGCCCGATGTTGTCGTCCTTGCCCCAGACCCAGGCCGCCTCGTCCGGAGCGCCGACGATCTTGGGCAGATTCTTTCGCGTCGGAAACGACGTCGAGTCCGGATCGAAGGGGATGGTTGTGGCTGTCTTGCCGACGAGGGAGTCTTTGAGCTGGTGGAGGCGCCGGCCCGCTTGAGAGAAACTGTCCGCCATATTGTAGGTACCGTAGGTGTCGTGGATGTGTCCAGATGGATTGGAGTCTCAGACGGTCGTGGAGCAGAGGCACAGTAAGGGAAAGCAGAGGTTGTAAAGTGCGGTGATTCAGTCACTCACTCACTTACTGAGATGTTGGCGAAGTCTCTGTGTGTGTCTCTCTCCAAAGCTGAAGCTCGATCGAATTGATTGAGACCCGAGGTATCTTGACTTCCAACCGACCCTTTTCCTCCAGATTGCCGGATGCTGAAGGCTTGCTCCATCCCTGACCCCGCAGTGTCTCATCGCTCGCCCACATTCTTGCAGATGACGATTGGTCTGGTCTGGTCTGTTGTGCGATCATGTCATTTCATGTCACTCCAGGCTGGGTAAACTATGTGTCTCTCGGAAAGCCGGGTCCATCCAAGCGTTGTCCGTGTCATAAATACTGACTTCCTTGTTCCCTGGACGGCACGACGGCGTGGAGAATGCGGGGAAGTTGAAGAGTCTAAGTCTCCATGGCATGACGGTGTCTGGGCCGCTTCTCGCCGTAGCGATGCGTGACGGATAGAGGGGGAGGGGATGCGGGATGCCACTTGTGTGGTCCATACGTAGACTTTGTAGGTAGATGCTGAAAGGGGTCTGAGAGCTCAAGATAATCTGATTGCTCTCCTGGACGATTGAGCATATATCGTCCTGTGTACGGAGTATGTCTAGGTGAGATTTCTGACAGGGGAAGAAACTCCAATCCCCAGCTACAGCTGCGAAAAATAATGCGCATCAGGCAATTTTCCCCGGGCTTAGGCTCCGGCTTCAGGTTCCGCCACTTCCACTTTCAACTTCCACTTCAGCCGACAGGAGACAGAGGCGTCAATTTAGACATGATTGCTACACGCCGAGCTATGCGAGGATTAGGGGGGTAAGATATATATGACTGACAGTGGTGTGTGAAGCGCGAAGAAACCGGAGAGCGCAGTCAGCTGAGCCCAGTTGCTCTGGGTGCGACATCGGCATTGGAATTCAGCTTGAACATGGCACCGCCCTCGGCAACAGCGTCGGATTCGAGACCTCTACAAGATAGACACACTCATTCCACCAGTCGGAACGGATCCCAGATCCCCAAGAGGCTGTATTCCATCTCTCGACCACCGTCTCTGGCCTCCTTTCGAAAGCTCTGCGCGCAAACGATCACCGCCGACACCTACCCTCAAGCGTCGGCCGTCGTCGCCAACATTCCCATCTACAACCTCTCCGGCACACCACCTGATCAGACCACAATCGACCACCTCCAAGATGAATGGCACCACATTCTGTTGTCTGGGCCGGGAGTGTTCGTCTTGCGCAACTTCGTGCGGGAGCGGGAGCGAGACACTGGCCTGCTCAACCGGGTCAACTCGGTCTTCTCGACCATCATCGAGTCTGAAGCCTCGGTCAGCAAAGGCGACCACTTTGCGGCCTCTGGCAAGAACTCACGGATCTGGAACTCTTTCCAGAAACACGCCGAGCGAGATCCGGCATCTTTTGTCCTCTACTACTCCAATCCGTGGCTGGCTCGAGTCTGTGAGACATGGCTTGGTCCCGCCTACCAGGTGACGGCGCAGGTCAATGTAGTCAAGCCCGGTGGCACACCACAGGTCAGCCATCGAGACTACCACCTCGGATTTCAGAGCTCGGAAGCTTGCTCGCAGTTCCCCAAAGCTACGCAAATTGCCAGCCAGTCCTTGACGTTGCAAGGGGCCGTGGCGCACTCCGACATGCCGCTGGAAAGCGGGCCGACCAGGTTCCTGCCCTTCTCACAGCAGTTCGAGGAAGGGTTCATGGCATATCGCGTCAAGGAGTTTCAGGACTACTTTGACAAGAACTGGGTCAGTGTCGCGCTGAACCTTGGCGATGCCGTCTTCTTCAATCCCGCCTTGTTCCATGCCGCGGGCCAGAATCAAACATCTGATGTGGAACGGAGTGCCAACCTGCTCCAGATCAGCAGCGCCTTTGGGAGAACCATGGAGAGTATTGACACCCTGACCATCATCTCCAAGTGCTGGGACGATATCAGGAAGTTGCATGCGCAAGGCTCCTCCAGCGAGCGAGTCCAGGCCATTCTATCTGCAGTTGGCGAGGGCTATCCCTTCCCCACGAACCTTGACCGCCGGCCACCAGCTCCGGGGGGGATGGCGCCCGAAAGTGAAATCGATGTCATGAATCAAGCTTTGCTGCAAGGATGGAACACCGAGAGTGTGGTCTCGGCCATCAAAAAGATCAGGGCCGACTCTATGCCATAACGACGGGGAGACAGGTCAGTCCAAGATAGATATAGATCCCAGTATTGTAATACTTGTAATACCCATCTCTTTCCAAATCTACCAACCGGGTAGGACACTATGAGAGCTCATTCTTGAACCCTCCCGACTATTCGATCAGCCTGCGGATGTCCCGAGCCCACAGGGTTGACGGCCTGTTAACGCGGCTCATTGTTTGTGACCTGCTCTTTTTTCCCTTCTTGTGCATGGAAGCCACGGCTTTTGCCTGACCAGATTGCTCGAGTTCGTTTTCGTACTGGGCTCTCGGTCTCTTCAAGATGTAGATTGATAGCGGCAGGGCTGAGGAGAGGAGGCCTCAAAAGAATTGCGAATGGAAACAGGTATAGACGACTATATTTCGTGAGGACCGGATGTGCTTCAACCTGCCTTTGAGTTTACTCTCAGCTCAAAGTCTAGAAGATGAGAGTCCGGAGATCACAATACTTACTGGCGAGTTAGTCGGATGTCTGTTTCCATCTGAGCAGATCAGTAGACTGCGCCACTCGTAGAAGCAGGCGCCCTGATAACCCTCCCTGATCCGCTTCGACCAAGATTACCATCCAGCACTGTGCGTCAGACAAGTGATGTGGGCTGCTCTCTTCCCTGGCATATTAGTAGCCTGCGACAGTAGATGTAGATTGACGACAAGGCCAACGGCAAGACAGATCAGAGATCAGATCAAACTCTCTAGAATTAACCGGCAAACAGAACTCTTCATTTCGTAGCTCTAATTTGCAGTCAAAGTAGATCTGATCCTCCTCCGAATCAAAAGACACCCAACTGAGCTGACCCTGAAGAGCTGGGATCAAAAGTCCACAAGGAAGAGTTCGGCCAGGTCTACGATGTCGACGACCGAAGTCAAGAGGCCTCTATGCTAGCCGACCGAACTCTCCAACGACCATAGATTAGTCTGAAAGGAAACTCTTCCTGTGAGGGTAGATACTCTTCTTCTGAGGGTAGATGCTCTTCCTCTGAGGGTAGGGTAGATACTCTTCTCTTCTCTCATCTACAATCTCGATTCCAGATCCCCAACTTCTTCTCCAAACCCAGCCTCTAGGGCAAGGACATGATGAAAAAGGGTGCAGTGATTGCATTGCGACCGAGCCAAAAATTTCACGAGTAGAAGCCCCGGAGAGTTTCCAACAGAGACTCCTGCCCCGTCGTGCAATGGGACAGTGTGTCTCTGTAGCAAGCCGAATGTATGAGCTCGACCTGCTCTCGCTAGGTAAGTATGAAAAAAGAAAAGAAAGTCAAGTCAGGGAGAGGTGGAGGAGCACTTATTTATACCTGTAGGGAAGGAGGGCAGGTTGATCTGGCACAGAGGTGCTGGCAGAACCGCCTGCCGTGATTCGACGGTTGGGTCTTGGTCTTTCACTTGCACCTGCACTTCACTGCATGATCTGCGGCAGGTGCAGCCTGATCTTGATCTTGATCTTGGGTTCTGCAAGGCAGTGCAGTGATGCCGAATTCGAAATTCACTCTGGCCATCGCTACGCTTCACAGCGCGCTCCTTCTCCTTCTATGTCGGTCGGGGAATACCTTATGCCACTGACCAGAGGAGAGGAGACGGAATCCAGGTATGACAGCATACTGTAGCCAGTTAGACTCTCAATTAACTCGGAGTCTGAACCTCTCCATCATGCCTGTGTATCATGAACAAGGCTTCGTTTTGGCACACTGGCACAATGTACTACTACCTACTACAGCTACTGCTAATCCAGCCTTGCAGATCTTGGCTTAGGTCATGGCAAGGCTCTATGGCCAGGGGAAGCAAGGCTGAAGGTCGGGGTCGGCTCAAGAAAGCAAGCTCAAGCTGGAGCGGAGCGGAGCTACGACAGAGCAAGAACAATGAACCGGAGGCAGCAGAATATCAATATGCGGACATTGTTTGGTTCAAGCTCAATGGTATCTGTTTCCGTCCCGTTTCCTTGGGATCATGCAATCTTCACTTCACTTCATCTTCATCTTCGTCATTGTTATGTTAGCCATTTCATTGTTTTGATCAGCCATTCGAGAAGTGACAGTGGACACATGCGAATTCCTGTCCTGTCCTCGTTACACCTGAAAGTTTCCATCACCAAACACCAAACCTGGCCAACAAGCGACCAAGATTGATATCCAGTCACACAAGCTCTAGCCAGTTCAGAGAGTGCATTCATCGTAGAAGGTCTCTAGCATGGCCTGAATCTCCTCGATCATTTCGGACATGTCGCCGGTCAGGATGTTGTCGGTCAACTCGATATCGTACGGTGAGGGTGCCACAAGGCCGCTCTTCGTCATCCATTCACGGGCTAGGATCTTCCTACACTCCTCCACTTGATATTCCACATGGGTCAGGTGGTCCTTGAAGATGGTCTTCAGAGCACGAATTCCGTTCCGCCGGTCTCGTTCACGCTGGTCCTGCTTCTCCACGAGTCGTCGGCGGTGATTCTGATCAGGACTCATGTCTTTGATCGGGGTGTATGTCCTTCCAGTCTTTCTCGCCTTGCGCGCAGCTCCACCTCTTAGGCCTCGTCGACGTAGATCTGGATTTTGGTCCCAAAGGCTCTCGATCGTAGCTGCGATACAAGCTTCTTGCTCACTGGCGGTCATCTGTGCAGCGCGAATCTGGTCGGCAAGAAGTTGCAGGTTTGCCTGGTGCTGACGAAGATAGTCATAGTCCAGGAGCAATGCTTGATGATGATTGGGTTCAGTCGCATGGTCATGATGGAGTTCAGTCGCAAGGTCATGATGGAGTTCAGTCGCATGGTCATAGTAGGATTCAGTCGCAAGGTCATGATGGGGTTCAGTCCCATAGCCATGATGGGACTCAGTCGCAAGGTCATGATAGGGTTCGGTCGCATAGTCCATGTTGCCGTCATACATGGCTGGCTGAAGTTCCTCAGAGGTTGCCTCAACCCAGTTGTGTCCCAGAAAGTCTGCTGAAGTTGGTCCATACAACACAGCATCGTTCGGGACGCCTGACTCCGGTCAGTACTTGTACAGAAAGCCGATATGGCAATATTACCATAGTAACACTCTTCAAACGGAGGCGCCGACATCTTCCTTGTTTGTGGCGTGGTGTATCAGTACTTTGTCCGAGTGGGTGCTTTCATTTGGCGCTCGGATGCAACATATGTGCAAGGGAATCTTTGGGTGCGGCAGAATCCAATGGCACATTGTTGAACACAGCAATTCACTGCTTTGTGCCAGGCCTTAGATGTACATCCAGGAGCCCTCCCTGTCTTGCCAAATCTGCAACCTAAAGATTCCCAATTCGCGCAGGGTCAGCTTCGTCGGGCATTTATCTGGTGATGCTGACGATATCGCTCAGACTTGGATGGATGGTGAATATCTTGTCTTCAAAAATGGTAAGGCCTCGCATAAGGCTCTCGCTGAATGACACGCGTCCGTCTTGTCAAGCCCAGTGTCGGTGCCAGTGTAAGCGTCGACAGCAGATGGTTTTGGATCCGTTGACTCGCTGCTTAGGACCTGGCATCTTGTCTCATTCCCGGTGGGCTTTTCAGATGGCGATATGTCGCGACCCAAGGACAGACACCTCCTTCAGGCCTTGTTGGTGCAGCATCTTGTTTTTCCCACGGTGATTGGTGCCCGAGGCCGCCTGTGAATTGAATTCTTGCCACGTCAAAACAAGCCGTAACACGGTCACGGTCACTTGCAAAGTGCATTTTCGCAATATCCCCAACTCAAGCAAAGCACCTGGTGCACGCCTCGCTTACCCAGCAAGGATGGAGGTTTCATTTTCAGGTCATTCGCCAACATCGGCCCGTCGGCAGCTCTTAGGAGAGCAGTAAAGAAGTCTAAGGGACAGGCAAAGAAGAATGATGTTACAATGATCAAGAGCCGGGGCTTCTTTCACAGGGCGAAAGCGACAAGACGTCGTCCAAAGGAAAGCGGAGCCAGAGCTTCTTGCTCCTCATTCAAGTTGTGCCTCCACGCTATACCGCACTATATCTCACCGTGTTGTATCACGTCCACAGGGAGAGACACGAAAGAGGATGTCCGAAGAGGAGTGGGAGTTTGTCAGGCGTGGAGAAGGGAGAAGGAGAAACCATTCGTACGGTTGGTTGGTTTGATGGCTTGATGCCGAGACCCTAAGCCACGGCACAGTCACACAATGCACACAGGATTGCTCGGTGCGGCGGCGGGGTATAGAGCCCTTCCCCAGGTTCTGATTCACAGATACATTGCAGTCAGTATTGTGCCGCTCACGCTCATCCGGAGCACAAATGCGTCGCAGCTCTCAATCGCGGAACATGGGCTATATTTCATGTATGAGGGCTAGCATACGGGTGGGATAGCCATGCATCGGAATGGAATGGTTCGACAACCTCCGCCATTAACAACTGTAAGAGCTACAGAAAAACGATTCCATACCGAGCAAGCAGCAAGTAGCATTGCTGTCAGAATCCAAGACTGCCGACCCTTCATGAGATGCTACTCTATTTTGACGCTCACAGACGCTAGCCTCGAAATGGAATGCACTAAACCCGGACGGTGTCTTACGCTCACTAACAACCAGGGAGCCTTGTCATTGGAGAATCCCGTTTATCCCGTTTACGGACATCGTTGGATTGGTCCCCGCCAAACGCCAAACGCCAAACGTCAAGAAGTCTCCCCGCGCTCGAGTCTACTCTGTAAACTCCCTGCACCGTGGTGAGAAGGTCACAAGATTGAAGTGTGACACAGTGACAAGATGCTCATTCAAGAGTCCTGGAAAGATGTCCCTACAAAGGCAGGCGGAGATGGTTCCATGCGTACGCCTCCAACATCTGCCAATGGCTCAGTTGCAGTTGCGGATCTAAGCTGAGCGGCGCAAAGGCATTTTCCTGTTCCATCCCACGATCCCAGGCTACCCGCACGCAAAATTCCCCGGCGTCGTTGTCTTCTCGGAGATCTACCAAGGTAAGATCTGGAAAGCCAGATTTGCAAAGCTGTTGAGGGAAAGAGTAACTAACAGTGACAGTGACTGGTCCTGTCGCGCGGTTTGCCAGACAAATCGCCGGACAGGGATACATTGTCGCGGCGCCCTCCTCCTACCATGAATTCACCGGTCCAGAGCCCCTAGCCTACGATGTCCCGGGTACAGATGCGGGCAATGAGTACAAAATTGTCAAGAAGCTTGCGGCCTACGATGAAGACGCAGAGTTGTCGGTCTCACTTCTGCTCGGGCTGAAAACATGCACCGGGAATGTGGGCTCTACAGGAATGTGCCTCGGTGGACACCTGGCGTACCGATGTGCGTTGGACTCAAGGGTCAAAGCTGCAGTCTGCTACTTTGCTACCGATATTCATAGCCACAGCTTGGGTGCAGGCAAGCAGGACGACAGCCTCAAGAGAGCAGGCGACATCAAAGGAGAATTGGTCATGATCTTCGGCAAGAGTGACAACCATGTGCCTCCTGAAGGAAGAGATCTCATCCGAAAGACACTACACGAAGCTGGCGTCGACTTCTCCTTCTACGAGGTTTTCGGAGCTCAACACGCCTTCATCCGCGATGAATTGAGCAAGGGAAGATATGACTCTGCCATCAGCAAAATATGCTTCGAGATGTTGCTGGAGATCTTCGGACGAAGACTGAAGATTGACTTGGGAGAACCGAGTGGAGAGAAGCTGGTGGTGGAAGACGTGTGTTGAGCCAGTCAGTAGTCCAAATTATGGATTGAACATTGGTTGCCTCACCCTTCATTGTAGGTCAGATTGTCTCTATCAAAGCACGATTGTTGATCCTACAACTTCGCAGCAGTCTTCTTCTCTTCTTCCTCTCCTGTCGTTTTGTACCCAAACAGATAAGCAGCAACCTTTCTGATCTGCACTTCTTCACTGCCTTCAGTGATTCTATACCGTCTGAAATGTCGCCACATATGTTCGAATGGATAATGTCTTGAATATCCAACCCCACCATGAATCTGAATTGCTCGATCGGCCGATTCAGTTGCCAATCGGTTGGCATAATAATTGCACATACCGATCTTATGCCCCAGCTGCTTCTCGATGGCTACCCATGGCGCCTTTCCGGTGACCTTGCATTCCGCTGTGACTCGATCCATCTCGACCGCTGTTCGCAGAATCAGAAGCCTCAACATCTCCGCCTGAGTCGATAACTCTACGAGAGGCCACTGAATGGCTTGATTCGCCGACAACGGTTTCCCAAACACCTTCCGTTTCTTTGCATACTCGACGCTTCGGTCAATGCAGTAACGTGCGGCGCCACAGCTTGAGCTGGCTTGGCGGATTCTGTTTTCATGGGTGAAAGTCTGCGCGATAGCGAGACCATTATCGACAGGACCCAAGATCGCTGATGCCGGGACGCGAACGTTTTCAAACAAGACTGTGGCATGATCGGTAGGCATGTTGAGTGTCCACTCATACGAAGCCACTGTCAGCCCCGGCGTGTCCCGGGGGACTATGAATGCGGTTATGCCCTTGGGGTTACCCGCCTTGCCAGATGTGCGAGCAAAGACAAGGCAATGCGTCGCACTGTGCATACCCGTCTGCCACTTCTTGTTCCCATTGATTTCGTACCCTGGCTCGCCTGATGGCAGAGTAATCGCTTTCGCTATGGTGTCCATATGCGTGGCGTCAGAGCCGTGGTGAATCTCAGTCAGCCCAAAGGTCGCCCTGAACTCGCCACGGATGCTCGCGGGGATGAACTGTTTCTGTTGCTCGGGGGTGCCATAGTGATGGAGCATGATGATGATAGGGTTGTTGCCTACAACGCTGTGCTCGTTCTGCAGGTCGTTGGCGAGACTTAGGCCGCCACCGTACACGGGATGTGAGGCCAGATGGTATCGGATGGCACACATGTGCAGGTTCTGCGAGTCACTTCCAGCACCGCCATATTCCCTTGGAAATGTGAAGCGATAGAAGCCCGCCTCATCGGCGAGTTTGCGGGCCTGATGAAGCAAGTCTTCCCAGTCCTCTGTAGGGAGACCTTGGTTGTCCCATTGCGTCCGAGATGACTCGCGGCGGTGGTCAAAGAAACGGTTGTTATCATCCTTGTGCTGCAAAGGGAGGATCTTGTCGTGGATGAAGGCGTCCAGTCGTGAGAGGTAAGACTGTACATCAGACGGGAGGTCGAAGTTCATGATTGCGAAAGAGAAGATCGAGCGCAGGGACTTGGTGGGTTGTGAAACCGAGAGGACTCGGTCAGTTGAAGAAGGGAGACTACATCACGCTCAAGAATATGCCATCTTACAGACATTACCCAGATGCCCAGGACCAGACCCTGTGGGCTGATTGAAGTCAGTCGGTTCAAGTCATAATGCGGAGACCGCAGACCCTCGGGAGTCGGACTCATGAGGCCTCAAGCCCTCGGTTCGACCATACTGCATCTGACAGGTTTGTGGTCCGCAGTAAGACATATACGGCGGAGTTTTGTCACCACGCTGGTGCACCTTCAGGTCCGCAGTCAGTGTCAATATCGGACCACAGATATCATCAGCAACTGTTGACGATATAGACGTTACACGGCTCAATCTCCTCTGAGTCATTGCACACGGAACTTCTTTGGAGGGAGACACGGCCTACCTTCACCAGCATAGCCATGTCTGCGCTCCCAGCAGCTCAAAGCTGCTCACCCCGCAGGCGTCCACAAAGATTCCCATGTTCCTCGAGAAAAGCCACAAAACGGGTCGCGATCAGAGCAATCAAACGGTTGACGCTCGAGGCTTGCTGTTGAGCGGTGACGCCAGAGAGACACTGAAATCGATACGTGAACAGACCGCCACCCTGCAAGAAACACACCTAGCGCTGCAGCTACAACTGACGATTGCTCAAAAAGGGCGAGGGGTGCAGAAACATTGCACGAGACTCTTGAGATCCTGACCGGTTGGGGTTGCGATCATTTGCAGGCTATTAATCATAACAACCTTTCCGAGTAGAACGAAGAAGGCATGTATCCGGGAATACTCTTCTTGCACAGGTTTATGCCAGGGATTTTTTATGCGAATCGGCAAGAGAACACCTGGTTGTTCCTCAATCTCGGTTCGACATCGAATACGTACAACACGATGCTAGGAACAGAGACTGAGGCGAGGCTTTTTTGGGCGCCACATCCACAGCCCCATCATTTTTTACACTTCGTCGGGTTGCCAAGGGACCCAAATCTCTCTGTGTTTCTAGATTACGGACCATGGCTGCAATGGCATTCAACGGAAGAGTTCCTTGGACAGACCAGCCTCAACTGGTCAAGGTGAGTACGAATGCAGGCAGGAGGGAAAAGAAGAGGCGGGCCAATCTCCCGCTCAAGCCACGTTCTACATTGAAGCGACCAAGATCTGATACTAAGGCCCCGCTAAGCCTTTTCGGGGTCCATCCCCTGCTCCTTTTCTTCCACCCACCTCTTTTTTGAGAGACCTTTACCGAGTATGGAGTACGGAGTACCTCCCTCGGCTTCAAGCTGCTTCGCTTTGCAGCGGAGTGGCAGCACTCAACCCGTTTCAAAGCCAACAACCATGAAGCCAATGCGAGAGTCGTGGCCTCTTCCAAGTCCCGGCTTCTCTCGGAAACTGACCTACAGACTTGGAACCCATGTCTTGCTTCTTTGGCAAGATGTATCTAGCACATCTTCTTCACTGATCGCTTAATAGCTCCAATATCGGTGGAGAATCTTCATGGATCCTGGCCATGTGGCGACTTTCGTACGTGAGAGTGTCAGACGGGATCTCACATTTTCCAATTCTAGCTTAAGCCAGCTTGTACTAGACGAACTTCGCTGGACGGGGCCGGATGTCCTTCCGCGGTGAGTAACTCCCACATCCCGTCAGGATCATGCCGCCCTGTTCTATACGGAAGTCCCTGTTTTATATTGGGCGCGAAGTCCGGTCGCTACTTCATCTTTTCTTTTTTGTGCCAATGTCCTTTTTGCGTTGTCAACAGGCACGCGTCCAGTCGTTACCTCTTGATACCATTCATTTCTGAGCAGTTGCGCTTTGCAATATGCTGACGTTCTTTCATTTTTTCTTCTTCTTGAATGTGGCGTTGAGCTCATTGGGGAGTGTCCACGGCCTTCTGCCTGAGAAGAGAGAGCTGTCGAAAAGAGGAAGCGAGAACACCTGCCCTAGTTTCAAATCAGCCGCCACTGAATGGGCTGCCAACATCTCCTTCTCCAATGCGGCATCGTCGGCAGAAACGCCAGCGGGCTATACACAAGTCTTTTCGAACGGTCAAGTGTGGACATCGGGAGACGGATTTCTTGGGTACACGACAATTGATGAGTACGACAGCAGCATCTGCGCCGCGATTTGCGACTCGCTCGAGGAATGCTCGTCATTCAAGGTCTACTTTGAAAAAGAGGTTGGCGGATCCCAGTCAACAATTAAGTGTACCTTCTGGGCCGGATCAATAGATGTCAATGCGACATTTGCTGCCACTGCTGTGATTGCGGGTTGCAACGGGTACACCAGCAATGCTTTGACGCCACCGGATGGGTTTGAGCCGCCATCGTACATTGGAAGAGCTGCAATTCAACCACCACCAGACTCGGGGTCATTCATCGGTTCCAAGGTCTTTAATGGCCCGTTCAACACATCTCAGTGCGCTACTGAATGCCAATCTTGTGGATGTAAATTCTTCAACACTTACATTGTCTCCCGGAATGGTGTGGGCCAGGGCCAATACTGCGATATGTATGCTCAAAAACTGGGATCTGAGTATGCAACCGAGACTGGGAGTTCCTATGGGAAGACAAATTACACCATCTCTCGCAGCTTTACTTGTGGATGGTCAGGAGACCAGCGTGATACGGACAGATCAAGCCGTGCTTCTTCTGTCCCGCCAACAACGACCGCAGCCAGCTCCACTGCAAACGGCGGCTCGTGGGAGCATGATCATCCCTGGCATGGAAGCTGGCCGAATACCAAGAGCTCCACGACCACAACCATAACATCCGACAAGAGTTCCACGACACCTGGAGGTTCTAGTACAACATCTACACGACCGGTTGACAGCTCGTTCACTCCCAGCACAGGCGCTCATAGCACATTTTCAACCACCTCGATCCCGACGAGGCCTGGGTTCAGCACGTCATCTTGGTCTCCATCCGAAGGGTTCAGCAGCAGTTCGACAACGACTTCCGGGGCGGCCTCCTCTCAGACAAGTACGTCTAGCACCCCTTCTCATAGTCAGACTACATTGCCGCCCATCGAGTCCACCACGACATCTCTCGAGTCCACCACGACATCTCTCGAGTCCACCACGACATCTCTCGAGTCCACCACCACATCTCTCGAGTCCACCACCACATCTCTCGAGTCCACCAC